AAGCCTTGGAAGCCGAGTTCATCCTTGAGGATGCCATTAATGAGCATACTGTTCTGGCTACACGCTGAACGGTTGACCTAGAACAACAGATGAGTGAGATACCCTTGAACTTGTGGAAAATGCACCTACATCATTGTAAGCCATCATCACCGACCCAGTCCCAGCACGAACGCCCTCCGCAAACGGCCACAAGTAGAGTTCATGAAGAGTCCGATCATCAATATTCGAAGAATACCCCTGCGTAATAACACTGCTCATGCGATGCATCTCCTGCTCATTACCGATAAAGTGCTTAAGACACGCGATCGCCCCCGTACTCTGCATGCCCTGAATCGTCAGCGCACCCCCGATGGCCTGCAGACTTGGATCCGCGCCAAAGCCCTCCCAGCCACGGCCTCCTCTCGGCTTGCGAAATGTCGGACCAACGACCGGGCCCAAGAGAACATTAACACCCTTGCCACGGGCCTCTTCCCCGAGTTCAACGCCGCGCTGATACATGAGCTCCTTGTCAAATGTCGCGCCCACCGTAACACCAGGAGGGAAGGCCGTGTTATGGTCCGAGTTGCGAATGCCCAGCGGGGAATCATGCAGACAGAGATTCGGAATACCAAACCGAAGCGCACTTCCTGTCTGGCCCGCACAGGGGCCCATGTACATGCCGGTCCCAGTCGTGAGGTTCATTTTTTCCGCCAGCGTCATGTTACTGACGACCTTCTGCGCCTTCTCGTATGCGCTAGCCCAGTCGGAAAGCCAGCCTCCATTAGGGGCTGGGTAGTAGGGAGGCGAGAAGGCGCCATCGTCTCGAGCATTTAGGGGAGGGGAGGAGGCAGTTGACCAGGGGATAATGCCTGCCAGCAAGGCCAAATATAGAGGTAGATTCGCGCCCATGGTTTACCTTGCATGGGACTTGAAAGAGATGAGACGTACTCGGAGGTGCCGGTGTGGGTTCCAGGCTAGAGATATACGCCGGCGCGCTGAGCTCCTCTCTGCCTTCCAGGGTTCTAAACTGGACCGGGCTACCGGTCATGGATCATGGGGTCCTGGCTGGATAAATACATCGTCGTGGTCATGCCACAGCACGATTGGGTTAAGACCAATCACAAAATAGCAAAGGGGCAGGGTCACGGCGCCATGTGCGCATGCCAAGGTTGTAAGGCACTGCTCGGTCGCCAGCAGAATCGAGGCATTAGGGACGGGAAGAAACGCAGGGATTGGGAAGAGGGCAAGTGATCAGCGGGGATGGCCAACCCGGGGATGGAATGTCGGAGGGATGATCCGTGTTCACGGGCGGAGTTGATGATGAGGAACGGTTCATTATTGTCCTCATTCAGCCGAACCAGGGAAAGGATCATCCTGGACGCACATTAGCCGAAAGAGAAACTTGGCCATGACAGCGCGGGGATTCTGCAGGGATTGCTGCGAGTTGGTTGCACGGGGGATGTTGCAGGTTGCAGCTGACGTGACGATCAGCCGAGGCTATTGTTAGACATATGCAGGACTTCGCTTGCGGGTTTGGGGAAATGATCATCATTCACTATCTTGATGAAGGCGACGTGAATGGAGAGTTACGGTCCGCTGGGATCTTCAGGGGCAGTGGCAGGCATTTATCCATGGTTCGATTCAAAGAAAAAGGAGCCACTGATATTCAACTACCAACCAGCAATCACTATTAACCATTCTTATCAACGCCAGGGCCATCCTTCCAATCCCATCGTAGAAACAGTCATAAGCAAACCCCTTTTCACAAGAAAACTCCATGTAAAATCCTGACCGTGAACCTAAACTGAATCAACGCCCGTCACATATTATCAACCACCCAGTCGAAATCCAGGCCGGTTGCTTCTACATCCACCAGCTTTATGAGAGTACGAGTCGCCGGAAACAATTCACAGGGGCCCCGGGGACACCCCAAGGACGCATGAAACAAGCGCGTGCATTGAGGCTCCGGCACGGCTGAAAGCATTCGCAGGAGACGGTCGATGCTCCATCCCTCATACGGCGCCTGGGGCGGCGGGAAAAGGTCTTTTGGCTTCATCTCTGTCATCAACTGGCCAACGATCATCGTATCGCAGGCCTGACAGCAGCCGCCTTCCTCAAGGATGGATTCCATGCGCTGGTAGAGCGAGATGACGATGGCATCGACGTGTTTCTGGCGGGCCATATCAATGTGTTCTGTCAGTGTCCTCAGGTCAGCGTTGCTCACACACACACACACACACACATTCGTCAAAGTGAAGAAAGGAAGAATGATACGCACTCAGCACCCCATCAGGAATCGGCAGTCCATGTTTCAGAATCACCCCGGTACTTCCTCGAATGGCGACACGAGTGATATACCAGAAGAGACTACGGTGACGGAACACCCAGGCGATGTAAATCCACTCAGCCACATCACTGTCGTATGTCTTAGAAATTGACTCGGACATGTTAATGACCCAAATTTCACTGAAAGCCATCATATTATTGTGGCACCCCCAGAGCTCAGTCAGGAGAGCAATCATGCACAATGTGTCCGGGGTAACGTGGCGTGGGACATTTGGGACGCGACCGTGAATGGCATTGAGCAGGATGAAAATAGCACTGATGTTATCAAATCGAGCGGGAAGAGCATCCACTTCTCTGAACGTGTGCTCGTCGTTCAGTTTCTTCTGGAAGTAGGGGGAGGCATGGCCGAGTCGATCCGAAGATACTCGAATCATTGCCTGCACGGGGCGGTTCTGAAAGTCACTGTTAGAGGTTGTGGTTTGCACGGACTGCGCGGCTTGATGTCCATGGTTTGAGCTGATCACTTCGTGTTCTGGTGTGGTGGGGGCACTGCTCCGGCGAGGGAATTTGCTGATGGTGTCGACGATTCCCTGAAAGTAGCTTGGAACGGACTGGGATGTGCGGTGAGTGGGATCTAAATGGTTCATCAGCACAAAGATGAATGTGTAGCAAGCACCGGTAGTGACGGCCAGTGGAATCAGCACTCACTGAACCCGGTTAGACGCGTATACATCTGATCACCATCCCTCTCGACCACGAGAAGCATGTCCCCACGGGCATCGATGGTCGTATAGTTCAGATCCATACTGATCCGGACTCTGGTGCTGCCGTGTGACTATGGGAGGATGGAGATGTGAGTAAACATTACGTTCGCCGAGATGAGCAGAACACTGGACCGAAATGTAGGAGAGGCGCCGGAAATAGCGAGCTGTCTGTGAACCAGTGAATGACTTGCCAGTGAATGAGAGCACACTTCAGTTATCAAACAGCCAACCAGCATTACACGATACGAAAACGAAAACTTCTTTGTCAACATGGGATTGTATTGTCTATATGCTCTTAGCATCATGCATTTCGTAAGTCATGATGACCATAATCTATCGACTCATAGATATCCACTCGTATGCCAGCCCGCCGGTCATCGGTGGCCCTAGTTGAAGTAGCCAGGGAACAGCCAGTTCATGCGCTCCCGAGCCTCGGGACTCCAGTTGGGCTCGGCGGTGCTCATACCGAACTTGACGGATCCCTCAATGTGCTTGGCCTGCACCAGCTCGGAGTTCTTCTCAGCGGCCAGTTCGTCCAGCACAGCAGTCACGAAGCGCTTGGCGTTGACGGCGTTGGCCTTCATGTTGCCCATGACCATCTCCACGGTCACATCGGCGGTCGACTCGTGCCAGCAGTCGTAGTCAGTGGACATGCAGATCATCTGGTAGGCGATCTCGGCCTCGCGGGCCAGCTTGGCCTCGGGGAGGCACGACATGTTGATGACGCTGCCACCCCAGGAGCGGTACAGCTTGCTCTCAGCGCGGGTAGAGAATTGAGGGCCCTCTATTGATGTGATCAGTATTTGCGACCCTTATTCCTCGAGAGAACCATTACATACCCATGCAGATCAGGGTACCGCGGTCGTGCAGCACCACACCCTCACCCTCCAAGCTGTGTCCACAGGCCCTCACGACCTTGGCGACACCCTCGTCGAAGGGGTCACCGAAGGGAACGTGAGCGACCACGCCGCCCTCGAAGAAGGTGAAGGGACGGATACCCTTGGTGCGATCGATGACCTGGTCGGGAACGACGAAATCGCGGGGCTTGATCTCCTCCTGCAAGCTACCGACGGCGGAGAAGGCGATGATGGTGCGGACACCGATGGAGCGCAGAGCAGCAATGTTGGCGCGGGCGGGAACCTCGTGGGGAGCGATCTGGTGGTGCAGACCGTGACGGCTCAGGAAGGCGATGGCGACCGTCTGGTTGTTGTGGGAGCACTTGTGGTGCAGGATGGTGATGGGGGAGGAGGGGTTGCCCCAAGGAGTCGCGACGTTCAACGACGCAACCTGAGTGAAGCCGGGGAGCTCGCGCAGACCGGTACCGCCAATAACGGCGATACGGACGGGCTCTATGGAGGTAAATAGCGATCAGTATGGATCTGGTCAGGAACAGGATGCGCCGGGCGGGGATCCGGACTTACCGTCGTAGGTGGAGGGAAGGGCGGCCATTCTTTGAGCGAGTTGTTTTGCGGACTCGATTCTCCTGAGGGGACGGGATGAAAGAGTGGACAACAGACGGCGCAGGGCAAGCAAGGGCATACAATAAGAGAGAAGAAGGAGGGGAGAAGAAGGAGTGGTTTGAAGACGGAGACAATCGCAAATCTTCGGCGGCGGGGTCATCGCCCAATCGGGTAATCCGTCATCGCCTAAGGCTGCCATCTTTTATCGCGCCCCACGTGCCGGTTCCTCAGGCATCATTCGTCCATCCCTCTCTTCCTACTTTTAGTCTTTACTGCGAAGGCTTGAACTGCTAACATTTCAGTGTTTTTCGTCTTGGCTGTTATATTTACATGAATAGTTCATCTGAATTATCTACGGAATGTATCTGACCCATTAACGGATATAAAGAATCGATTTGTAAAAAGGCCCCGGCCTACAGAAGTTGGAAGCCCATGACATGGTGAGCATGTGAATTCTTTATTACAGTCATCATCTTCCCTATACAACGGATATATCTCTGCATTAGGCTGGACGCCACTCGTAGTGGTGAGGTCCCTTCTTCACCGGGCCCGGATCCTCTCCAGGAACGCCTGGTTTATAATAGGCATGGGCTCCAAACAGATCCATCTGCGCCTCCATGAACTTGGTAGGCAACATCGTCCCTCCTTCATACTTTAAATACTCTAATGTCGCAGACAGCGCGGGAATATATTGATCTGCCACAGTTGCTGCCAGAACCACCTCCTTCAGTGCGTCGAAGTGCTTGTGCAGTTCGCTGGCGATCTCATCCAGGAACTTCATGTTGGTCAGATCCGGGCGCAGGAGCGGTTGTAGAAGATCTGCAATGGCTTCGGACTGAATGATACACCCCCCACGCCAGATCTGAATACACTTGCTGAGATCGACGTTCCATCCCTCATCCTTGGATGCGCGCGCGATCAACTCCAGTCCTTGGCAGAATGAAGCCAGGAAGGAGCAATAGACAGCGCGACGCAGTTTCTCAATGAAGTCCTTGCGATCCTTGGTCTCGATGGCCTTCGGACCGGGGATTCTGAGCTTCTTGGCAACCTCCAGTCGCTCAGCACGATTTCCACTGGCGATGCGCATATAGTGAGCCGTGGCGAGCGTAGGACCGGCCACATGTCGGTTTGCGGTCTCCATAACGGACCAGTAGGGCGTTCCTTCGGTGTCATCGTCGTCCTGTACCACTTTGTCGAGCACGTCATCCAGCACGTAACCGCCGTTCTGGCTGGCGCCTTCGCCTTGATAGTCGCCCTGGGGAGTCTTCTTTGTGCGCAGGATTTGCACACCAATGTCGAGTAGGAAGTTCACCCGCAACTCGCCCTTAGTATTCCACTCTTCGAAGATATCGGAGATCTCTTGATAGTTCAATCCCAATCCCCAGTGGAGGAGCGCCCACGCCTCGGCCGTGGTAGACAACATACCCCCCTCAATGCCATTATGGACCATCTTCACAAAATGACCCGAGCCAGCAGGTCCCACATTAGTCACACAAGGCTTGCCGGTCTTTTCATCCTTCGCAGCATACTGCTCCAACAACGGTAGGACAAGCTCAATTGCTTCCGGATCTCCCCCAGGCGATAGACTCGGGCCATGGCGGGCCGATTGGTACCCGCCCGAGACACCCATGCCGATCCAACTGACCCCGAGTTCCTTGCATCGCTTCTGTCGTTGCTCGGTTCGTCGATAGTTCTCGTTTCCACCATCAAGGATAATGTCGCCCTTTTTCAGATCATTCTGGATCATATCCAAGACGGAGTCTGCGGGGTCGCCATGGGTGATGGAGAAAATGAATAATTTCCGTTCCCCTTGACCTTCAAGACTCTTGGTGAATTTGTCGATCTCGTAGAATCCTTCTACTTTCCCCTTGCCGCTGAATTTCCCTTCGTCGTACCATTTCTTGATCCCGTCGACGTTTTCTCGTTTCACATCCCAGATGGATACGTCCAGGCCGAGCTCGGTGAAGGCAAAGCTCATCATCGAGCCCATGTTGCCGGCTCCGACGATGCCGATGCGCTTGAAGGAGTGCGATGGCATTATGCTAGCTTGATTAACAGTATATTGATTTGTTTTACACACCAGAAAGACATTCCTAACTGTTGTGAAATGAAGCATTCTTAAGAGCAGCCGTGGCGCGGATAGACGGCCAGGCACCACTACGCACCCGTTACATCATGTGCAGACGTCATTCCAGATAGCACATTGCAATCATCCTATATTACAACCCATACATTATAAGTGTGGCGTGGTCATTATAGTCATATAATCGACCCATTCTATCCGACTAATAACCTGCTGCACCACCTTTACCACATACTTTTGTGCAAAGTACCTGTCTGGAAGTATCGGAAGCCCTAACCAACCTCCCACGGCGCGGTTACATCATCCTGAACAAACCCATCCCAACTCAATTGCGATCCTCAAAACTATCATCACCTTGAATATATCTACATTCCTTATAATTAAATTTCTATCACAAATAAACACACGATCTTCAATTATTCTTCCAATTACCACAACCACCACATACATTCATCCACCACTTACACCCTCAACCAACATCCCCCTCTACATACAAACCAACAATGTCCACAAACATCAACAACATCCCGCTCAGCTACGCAACCTGCTCCCTCGGCCCCCCCAGCATTCCCCTCGAAGACAAGCTCTCCTCCCTCAGCGCCGCCTCCTTCACCGGCATCGAGCTCGCCTTCCCCGACCTCCTCGCCTACGCCAACACCCACAACGCAGGAACCACCCAAATCCTTCCCCACGACTACACCTCCTTAGTCCACGCCGCAACCGAAGTCCGCTCACTATGCGAGACCCACAACCTACAGATCATGATGCTACAACCCTTCGCCAACTTCGAAGGCTGGCCACGGAACTCCCCGGAACGGGAAGACGCCTTCACGCGCGCCAAGGGATGGAGTCAGATCATGGAAGCACTGGGGACGGAGATATTGCAGATCGGGTCGACAGACACACCAGCTGAGAAACTCTCCCTGGGTAACAGTAAAAACAAGGAGAATGTGGTGGCCGATCTGCGTGAGCTAGCGGATATACTCGCACCGAAAGGTCAGCGCATCGCGTACGAGAACTGGTGCTGGAGTACCCATGCGCCCGGGTGGAAAGATGTATGGGAGATAGTGAGGGATGTGGGGAGGGAGAATGTGGGGTTGTGTTTGGATACGTTTCAGACGGCGGGGGGGGAGTGGGGGGATCCGACGACTGCGGATGGGGTGGTTGGTGGTGGTGGTGATGAGGTGAGGAAGAGGTATGAGAGCAGTTTGGAGGAGTTGGCCAGGACGGTTCCCGCGGAGAAGATCTTTCTGCTGCAGGTGTCGGATGCGTATAAGCCACCGTCTCCGTTTGAGGATGCGGTGGTGGATGGGGCGAGGCCTAGGGCACGGTGGAGTCATAGTTTTAGGCCGATGCCGTATCATGGGGGGTATTTGCCGATTGAGGAGGTGGGGAGGGCGGTGTTGAGGACTGGGTTTCGGGGGTGGTTTTCGATGGAGATTTTTGATGGGGGAGTGAATGGGGATGAGGAGATTGAGGATGTGGGGAAGTTTGCGAGGGAGGCGATGGGGAGTATGAGGAGATTTTTGGAGAGGTGCGCGGATGGTGTTTAGCTCGTAATTATTGGGGGGGGGGGGGGGGGGAGGGTAGGATGTAGAACTTAAGCTCGATATACTGTACTTGTGGGTATACTGGAAGGTATCCGGTGGACTGGATATATTTAAATCAAACTAAACTATTCATACAAAACAATTTTACCGAACGCCACATATGCATAACTCATGGGGAATATGGATAAATGCCAAACAACCATCGCTCATCACCCATCCTACTCAGCTCCCTAAGCATCGTTGCTGGGGTAGGGAACCTTGTAGGTCGGGACAAACTCCTCCTTGATCGACCGCAGACTGACGAAGCGGGACAGCAGGTTGCCACTGCCAGCCTTGTCGTTGGTACCACTGGCACGGGCACCACCGAAGGGCTGCTGGCCGACAACAGCACCAGTGCTCTTGCAGTTGATGTAGAAGTTACCGGCAGTGTTGCGCAGGGCATCGTCGGCGATGCGGAGAACCTCGCGGTCCTGGGCGAAGATGGAGCCGGTCAGACCGTAGTCGCCGGTCTGGTCGACCTTCTCGCAGATCTTGGCAAAGTCGGCCTCGGTGGCATCGGCGTAGGTGTGGATGACCAGGACGGGACCGAAGAGCTCGCGGGAGAGGAGAGGGTGGTCGGGGTTGCTGGTGTGGTAGACGGTGGGCTGGATGTACCATCCCTTGGAGGAATCGTAGGAACCGCCGGCCAGCAGCTCCAGCTCGGGGTCGTTCTTGGCCTCATCGATCACGTTGGCCAGCTTGTTGAAGGAGGCCTCGTGGATGACAGGACCGCAGAAGTTGGTGAAGTCCGAGGGCTCGCCGACCTTGATGTTCTTGGTCTCGGCAACAACGTTCTCGATGAACTCGTTGGCGATGGACGCGGCCACGTAGGCACGGGAGGTGGCACTGCACTTCTGGCCCTGGAACTCGAAGGCTCCGCGGACAGTCTGGACAGCCGCGTTGCGGACATCGGCGGACTTGTGGACCAGGTGGAAGTTCTTACCACCGGTCTCACCAACAATGCGGGGGTAGCTGCGGTACTTGCCCTCGGCGACGCCGTTGGCGATCTGGCCGTAGAGGCTGCGGAACACAGCAGTGCTACCGGTGAAGTGAAGGGCAGCAAAGTCGGGGTGGTTGAGAACGGTGTTGGTGACCTCCGCGGCGTCACCGGGGACGAACTGGATGACGTTCTTGGGCAGACCGGCCTCGAGGAGGATCTGGTGGACGAGCCAGTTGGAAGCGATGGCGGAAGGAGAAGGCTTCCAGACGACAACGTTACCCATCAGGGCGGGAGCACCAGCCAGGTTACCGCCAATGGCAGTGAAGTTGAAAGGACTGATGGCGTAGACGAATCCCTCCAGAGGACGGTATTCAACACGGCTGGTCCGGTTAGTTTTCGATCTATCAACTGCTAGTATGATGGAGTCACTCACTTCCACACGCCAGGAGCGTGGTGAACGGGCTGCTGAGCGTACAGGTCCTCGGCGTACTTGACACCGAAGCGGAAGAAATCGCACAGCTCGGCGGCAGAGTCGATCTCGGCCTGCCAGGCATTCTTGCCCTGGCCGTGCATGGTCAGAGCCATGATGTCATAGCGGTATTTGGTCGAGATCAGGTCAGCGGCCTTGAGGAAGATGCTGGCACGGTCGGCGAAAGAGGTGGCAGCCCACGACTTGCGAGCCTCAAGGGCGGCATCGATAGCAGCCTGAACCTCGGCGGCGGAGGCGTTGGAGTAAGTGGCCACGGGCGCATGGGAGGCGGGGTTGCTCTGGGTCTCGGACTGGGAGCTCTTGATCTGTGGGGAGTTAGCATTATCCCAATTGTGTCTATCATTCGCATGTCTGCTACTAACCTCCTTGCCGGCAATCACCAAAGGCACATTGAGGGGACCGCTCTGCTTGGTTCTGGCGAGGGCCTCCTCGAGACCACGGCGATCAGGAGATCCGGGGGCGTAGTGTTTCTGCAATTGAGTCAGTAAGCTTGATAATAACCACGATCTGAGGATAGCTCACGTTCGGCTCGTTGTCAATGCGAGGAACCTTGAAGGTGGCGTAAGAGCCCATGGCACGAGCGCTCGTGCGGGCAAGGGAGAGGGAGGGGCATTTGGCGAGGGAAAGGCCCCGAGAACGCAGGAGCAAAGAGGACTGCATGATGGATTGTGCTCTTCCGAGTCGTTGCAACTGGACGAGGACTGAATCCGAGGGATAAAAAGTAGGAGAGGTGAGGAGAAAGTGAAGCACGACGCGGGGAAGCTCCGGTGATATAAGAGGCCCGGTTACTGCCGGCCGTGGTTAGTCAGCGCGCAGGATCCCTGGGTGGCACAAAAGTACTCCTGGCCTGGCTGTTCAGAGTTCAGACAGAGGCGCAAGGTTGCGTTCAAGCGAGCCGACAAGTGATTATCCTTGCCGCGTACCGGCAACCAATGGGCCGGCCAGGAAATGCAGCAGATCTGATACTCTGCTGTAGCGCTAATCAGTACCGCCGGCTGGATTCCGGGTGGAGCTGCCCACCGGCCCGGACACCTCCACCGGCTGCCTGCCATCCGCTCGTTTTCATTAGTAGGCTGATAGTGCTGAGGTGAACACGCATGATAACTGTGACTAAAAGGAACATGTTTTTTGTTGGTTTTCAATCAGCATCTATCCATGCTACACAGACTATGTGAATCTGAACTGAAGTTTGTGCCATTCCTGTGATGCCGGTGCTGGTCTCCCCACCTCCATGTTGATCCCCCGCATTGGAAGCGATCGCTGTTACATTCTCCGCTGTCCGACTCGTCTCCAGAAACTAGAAGCTGGTTTCAATTGTGGTTCCCAAAAACTGGCAGGCAATTCACAGTACCTGAATAATCGGTGGGGAGCTCAAGACACCTGTGGAATTGAGGGCGAACAGCATTGACTTTCATGCAAGTATAATGAATGGCTACATGCCGAGAAAATACGTGGAGCGGCAGAACGAGGCGGAGCTGAATACCGCAGGGAAACCGACGCGTGACTCGACCACCTGACCTCGAGACTGAGAATACAGCTGTTTCGCACCTTTCAGTGATTGCGAACCGTGACAAATATTCAAATCATTGGGCTTCAATTCTTGGTTATCAATATCAATCTATGTACATGTGGCAGGCCCAGAAGATTTGCAGAAATATATACTTCTGACTTAGGATCCCGTTCAAGCAATCCACCACCATACCCTCTCCAGCCAATTGCGTGGCTTCCGTTCAAAGTCGTTCGCGCAGAGCTGGTCAATCTCCTCTTTGCCCGTGAACACGTCAATCTCCGACACCTTTGTCATCCATGGAGTCCGGTACCACAATTTGTGGCCCACATAGAGGGCCAGGAAGATGGCCACCACAATATACGACACCAGGAAATCGGCGGCGGTGAAGTTGCCAGGGAAGAAAACTGCATATCCGTTCGTGATGGTCAGGAGGGACACGACGACAATAACGTAGTATGTGCCGTAGGGCTGCAGAGGGGTCTTGAAAGTGAGCGTGTCCAGCAGTCCATGGTAGGTCAAGGCTTTGCGGAATCGCTGAATTTCGTCAGTCGGGTCTGCAGAAAGCTCGAAGGAAATAACTTACCAGATAGGTGATACCAATGAGCACCCAGTTAATAAACCCTCCCACTGTGGTGATGTTCGTGAACCAGTAGAAGACAGTCTCTCCTGAGTCAGACAGGTTCAGGAAGGACAGCAAGCCGACCACCCAGGTGATCAGCACGGCTACGTAAGGCACGCCGTTGCGGTTGCACCGGGTGAAGATCTTGGGGGCCTGGCCGCCGCAGGCGAGCGAGTACAGGGTTCGAGAACCAGCGAACAACCATGCATTACCCGAGGACCAGGCTGAGATCAGGATAGCAGCGTTGACGACGTGGTTCAGCCCAGAGATACCCGCATTCTGGATGGCAATAACAAAAGGACTGGCACTGGCGCTAGAGCTACCGCTGGCAACCGCGGACATGAGTTTAGGATCATTATAAGCGACTGTGACACCGATCACGAGGGTGCCCAGAATGTAGAAGGCAAAGACTCGGTAGATGAACCGGTTGGTGGCTTTCGGGATATTGCGACGGGGTGCTTCAACTTCACCAGCGGCAGTGGTGATAAGTTCGGGGGAGAAAATGAAGGAGAAGCCAGACTTGATGAAAGCTGTCCAGAAGTCCAGGAAGCGACCGGTGTTTCCACCGACCAAGTAGGGATTGAACGCGCCCGGGTTATCCCAATAGCGGAAGCCTAGCCGATCATGGTTGGGACCACCGCCGAAGAAGAGCACCACACCCAGGATAATCAGGCCAATGATGGCTAGGATCTTTAACGTTGCAAACCAGAACTCGGCTTCTCCGTACCATGACACCGCAATAATGTTGAGTAGCAGAATCACTGTGGTTGTTAGCGTTCATCATGTCCTACTGATGATGGAGGTTGAGGTGAATACGTACCGAGGAGGATGATTGTGATCCACACCCCGACATTGATGGAGGTGGTCCAGTACTGGATGATGATCCCGGCAGCCGTCACTTCACTTGCCAGTAACATGGCAAAAGAGTACCTAATACACATGAGGATCAGAGTAAGTTGGTGAGCGGAAGATAATGTGAGCCTACCAATAATTATATCCTAAATTGAGTTAGCATATCACTGCAAGAGAAATATGGGAGCTGCCAGGTACAGTGCAAGAGACATACCAGCAGCGAATCCAATACTCGGCTCCGTATAGCGGCCTATCATATAAGGCACCGAAATGCCCTTGATGGGCAAATAGGTGGTCATCTCGCCCAGCACGTTCATCACAAACCACACCACCGACGACATGGCACAGTAGCCCATGAACAGTGGTGCTGGGCCCACCGTCGACAGCGTGGATCCCGAACCTACGAATAGACCGGTCCCAATACAACCTCCAAGAGCAAGCAGCTGCAGCTGTCGGGAAGACAATCCACGCTGAGTGTCTGTGTTTGGCCCATGGTGGATCTCGCCCTTGAGGGCCTCGGGGTCTTCATCAACATATACTGGAGATGTCACCTCGGTCTTGGACTCTTCGAGGTCCTTTAACGTCGGTGCACCCATTCTGGCATGTACAAAAAAACGAATAATACACTGGTGCGAGTGACTAGAACAGTCGCAGATGGGAATTGGCTACGGACGTCTTATATGACTGTAGCGGAGGCGACTAGCCTGCCCGTCTCAGCAAGCATGCTTATCAGGAACCAACACGAAGTGATTTTTGAGCTACGGCCCGATGGCGCAAAGACTTCCAGAAGAACACCGTCATTGGCTCCAGAGGGCTCTGGGGAGGCGATTTGCGGGGGTTTAACATCTTATCTCTCAATTGGGTTTACATACGAGCGGTGTTTCTTGTTAGGACATGGGAAGGTTTGGTGGCTGCCATGGGTTCCTTATCTGCCCTGTCTGCCTGGGCGGCGGGGATCGTCCGACACGGCAGGGGCATCGATATCAGGTTATCTGGCTTGCTCAATTGTTTGATATGGATCGTTTTTCATTGACGATTTAAGCTTCTATAAAAGCTGTCAGAGCCGGCGCCGTTTCCTCGTGGCATTAGAGTATTAGACTGCTGCAAATCCGGGGTCGTTCTCCGCACCACAGTGGGCATATTCTAGACGTGAAGATAGCTGAATCCACCGCGAGGTTCCAGTGACTAAGAGAAACTGCAGCATCGCGAGTGTGTTTGCCGGAGTCATTCTGTTACCTAATGGCATGGTTCATCTTTGCTCGTTTGGAAAGCTTGACCCATCAAGGCTGGCCATCCGCTGCCATTATTGGTGTGTCGGATGCCGCCCGGTGGAGTTTCAACGGGTCCATCTACCACTAGTCCAGACCGAGGCTAGTAGCACCTTCATGCCTGAATATACAGGCACCTTAAGAGTTTGTGCCTGGCGGCTATTATGGACAGAGGCAGAATCCGCTGGTGCTTGGACTCCAGTATAACCAGCAACAGCAATGTTGTTGAAGGGGCAAGATTTGTGGTACTTAGACCTGACTACAGACATGATCGGAAACATCTAGTATATTCCTATCAGCGACATCGGCGTGCTTGTACCTCCCTGCCAGGGGTATAGTCTACATTCCTTTCAAGCTGGCATAGTATCTAATCATCTCCAGTGAAATGTGCAGACACCAGCAGCACGACCGGGCCGGTCAAGCGGCGACAGCGCCGGTGGGGATGAACCCACCGGCCCGCCTGCCGGTCATCGCCAATCTCTTATCGCCGTGTTATCAGGGTTATCGCCAGATCGATAGTGGATTTTTTTTCCTCGACCCCCTCCACGAAAAGTACTGGAATCAGGATGACCAGGGTCTTGGGCACGGGGCTTTTTGGTGCTTTTGTCTAAACTTCGAGATACTTTCTCATTTGCTAAGAACCATAAGGCGTAGTCAAGATCTAGTCAACACCGCTCCTATCGAGTATTGACACACCACCCCCCCCGTCCCCGTTCATCGGTAAGTTCCAGCGAAGCATACAGTAGCGGGCGATCAGGCGTAGATCTGGACACCGCTGGCCGGGTCAGGTGCAACAATGCTATAGTTGGCCACCCTTTCAACTGCAACGCCACCCGCATCATCTCTCAGTCACGCCCGAGCCAGTTTGCATTATCTAACGTCACGGGGAAAGCCTACCCCCAAAAAAGAAAAAGTGATAGTAATGGCTGGCTGGGTCGTTCCTGGCCAGCAGAGAGCCATTGCTGACCGGCTTTCACTCCTGGCCTGCCCGGTTTCCACCGGTACGGGAACCGCTTCTTTCCATCCCCATCTCACTAAAGGAGAGATCCTCCACTCGCCATACTTCCATTCCCCTCGCGATGCATTTCATACCACTACAAATTCCCCTCCTTTGTCTCCGGACTGAAGAACTACTTATTTCTATCAGCGCTGCGTGACTCTTCTTCTGACTTCCTTCTGACTTCCACTCCTTTCCTTCCCTCCCATCCTTGCCACCTCCTTCTAGTTACGCCACTTGCTTATCATCATCAATCATGAAGGCTGCCCGCCGTCCCATGCGGGTGCTCTCGGGCGTCCCTACCACATACTCGTCCGCCAGATACGTCAGCCGTACCAGCAACCCCAAGTCCTCCGCTGCTGCGTCCACCCCCACCAACACCCTGTTGCAGCAGCAGGCCGCCGTTCCCTCCAAGGATGCGACGGGATCTCCCCTGGCCAAGCTCCCGATCTCCTCCGTCCTGCGGTCGCTGGTGATCCTATCCGTCTCTTCTTCCACCCTCCTGTTAAAGCCATGCATCTTCGCGCTCTCGACCCTCGCGCACCCCAAGACCCCCGTGTTGGATGTCGCTAAGAACCCTCTGTTGAACGCGCTCGTCAAGCACACCCTCTACAAGCAGTTCAACGCCGGTGAGAACAAGCTCGAGGTGCAGCAGTCGATCCAGACGATCAAGCAGTTGGGTTACCGGGGTGTTCTGCTGGGTTACGCTCGCGAGGTCCTGGTGGGTGAGGGGAATGTCGACCCGCGCGACGAGAAGGCTGCGCGGGCAGAGATCCAGACGTGGCTGGATGGAACCTTGCAAACTGTGGACATGGCCCAGGAAGGCGACTTTGTGGCCCTGAAGTATGCTTCCTCCCGCCATCAGACTCCTGAATTGGAATTTAGACTAACTGTCACAGGTTCACCGGTATGGGTACACAGGTGCTTGAATTCTTGCAGAAGCAGGCTGCTCCCTCGGAGTTCATGGATTACGCTATCACCAAGGTCTGCGATTTGGCCATCTCGCGCAATGTGCGACTTCTCGTCGATGCTGAGGAGCAGGCGGTGCAGCTTGGCATTGAGAGATGGGCCTTGAAGTACCAGAAGTACTGCAATGCGAAGACCCCTGGCCATGCCATTTTCTACAACACCTACCAGGCCTACCTCCGCTCGACCCCGGCCACCATTGCCAAGCACCTGGAGGTTGCCCGCCAGGAGGGTTACACGGCTGGTGTGAAGCTGGTCCGTGGTGCTTACCTGAAGACTGAGCCTCGCCACCTGATCTGGGCTGAGAAGGAGGAGACCGACGCCTGCTACGACGGTGTTGTGGAGGCTCTCCTGACTCGCCGCTACAACTCGATGCTGCAGCCCGCTTCCGAGGAGCACAAGACCGAGCTGCCCCCTGTCAACGTTATCATCGCCACTCACAATCGGGACTCTGTTCGCAAGGCCCACGCCATCCGTCTCCAGCAGGCTGCTCGCGCTGAGAAGCAGGGAGTTGACCTTAGCTACGCCCAGCTTCAGGGTATGGCCGATGAGGTCAGCTGCGAGCTCTTGCAGGGCTTCTCCAGCGCCGATGGGTCCGCCTCCCAGGAGACCCCTAACGTGTACAAGCTCCTGACCTGGGGTACTGTCAAGGAATGCATGGGTTTCTTGATGAGACGTGCCGTGGAAAACACCGAGGCGGTTGGCCGTACCAAGCAGTCGCAGGAGGCTATGCTTGGAGAGCTTAAGCGCCGCGTTCGTCGGGTGTTTGGTTTGGGTAACTGATGTTGTTCTATGATACCTCTTGACTCGCATTTTGTTTTTGGCTTTTGGCCTCATTGGCGTATTGTGTGATTTTGTTGACTGATTCCCTGAGCGTGAGCATGCATGTAGATGGCGTTAGAATATTCATTTCACTTTTTTCATGATAACGAAGCTCAACATGGAGTATTTGGTGTTCTTATAGTGCGGCATAGATAGCCGCTAATTCACGTAGCGCACGGCGGTGATGTCAAGGAGGACAGTCGATCCATTCCCGACCCCGCGTCTCGCATCTACAACGTATCACTGACACCAACCTCGATCGCAACGGAAGGCTATCCGACATTAGACCCTGTGAACTAGACCTTTTTCTTCTCGGTACTGAGATCCGATGATATCCGTGTCTCTTGACGCTTAGGCACTAAGTTGGTCTATCTCCGACATCGCTTCCCTGGGTGCCGAGGGGCTATCTGTCTATATAAGCTGCTGACCACCGACTAGACGAACGGTCCTGAAATCCGATATAGCTATTCGCTTGCCACATATACTCCGTGACTCTAGATCTCCTAGACTCTACCATTGTTACGTCGCCAACATCCTCCTCCTTCAGCATGCGTCTTCTTCCTGAGCCAGCGGTCGCCCAGATCCTGCGACAGTTGACCCCTGCACAATGCCATGACCTTCTTGGCGCTCTCTGTGAGGGTCTTACCACTGTATCGTCAGAGTCCTCCACACCAAGCCACGAGCGACTTGTCCATCAACCGCTCCGCAGCACCATTGTCACCAGAGACCAGAACCTCTCTCTCTTCATGCCCGTTTCCAACACTGTCCACACCGGCTTCAAAGTGGTAACCGCCTCCCAAGCAAACGGTATCATCGGCGTCATCAACATCTTCTCCCCGGAAGGTAAATTGCAAGGACTCCTCAGTGCTGCAGAGATCACAGCCTTCCGCACCGCCTTAGCGGTTATGTCGCTGTTCCTTCGCTGCACAACCCTCAACAAAGAGCACATCTTGATCTTTGGCTCTGGACGCCAGGCAGAATGGCATGCGCGACTAGCCCTGCTTCTCGTTCCAGATCAGATCAAGAAGATTACCTTTATTAATCGCGGTCGCCGGCGGCTGGACGAGCTGGAGAGAGATGCGATCGCTGATCTACGGTCTGCTCATCCCGACAAGACCTTCGCTACTTTGGTCAAGGAAGATACTCCGAACTACGAGGAACAGTTACGGAGTGAACTGGCTGCTTGCGATGTCATCTTCAGCTGTACGCCGGCGACCGAGCCAAACTTTCCGTACACCTATCTGCAGCCGTCCAAGCGGCGGTTTATCTCTCTTATCGGCTCGTACAAGCCGCATATGCGGGAGATTGACACTGAGACGCTGCTGTCGGGCGGAGGAAAGGTGTATGTGGACTCGAAGGAGGCGTGCTTGGAAGAGTCCGGGGAGTTGATTCTGGCCGAGGCGCAAGAAGATCAACTTATTGAGATTGGAGAGCTGTTCGGTCGGATGCGAAAAGACGAGTCCATTGATGTGCCGGCAGGGTGTAATGTGGTGTTCAAGTGCGTGGGGATGGGGATTATGGATTTGGTGGTCGGGAATAAGCTGTTGGAAGTTGGTCGGGCCAGAAACATTGGTATGGAAGTGGATGGGTTTTAAGAATAGTACTACTAGCTCTACTAGTAAAGAAAATAGCTCCCCTAATGGGCTCGATGGTTACTGTAGTGATGGTCTATCTATATCCGCCCCAGCTGCAATGGCCGAACAGCCAGCAAACGAGGCGGCAGCTCAGTCACGCGAGCAACGCCCCTAACTAAACCCTGCAAAGATAGCTTAACCCATTGACCAATAACAAGTAGCTATCCGGAATGCACTAGTTCCATAGTGCAGGGATTGATAGAAAGAGAAGAATCGCAGATGAAAAGGGCAACCCAGGAGGCCTCGGCGGTAGATCGGCGAACGATGGGTTGAAGGTGTGCCGCTGTTCTGATCTTATCAGTGAGTGGGAAAAGGGAAGATTGGAAGGGCCAGAGGATCTCCTCCTTCGAACCCCGGGGAAATTTTCTTGTTCTCCGCAACCCACGCAACGCCAACTTGACCCTCTCCCCTCTGCCTTATGGTCCTGCTATAATTCTACAATGCGCCTGCCTCTCCATCGGCCTCCCTGATCTCAAAACTGCCATGGATGTGGGCCCTGCCACCCCTGCTGGACTGGGCCAGCAGAAACGACCCCGCGTTTCCGAGGAAAACCGCAAAAGAGCGGTGCGAGCGTAAGCATCATCCATCCCTGATTTTATCTCCAAAGCGCCCGTCGAAATATCTGGGGGATAATTGGAAATGTTTCTGGATTATCACTGACCGCTACAGCTGCGATGGATGTCGTCGCGTAAAGGAGAAATGCGAAGGAGGCGTCCCCTGTCGCCGGTGTCTCCGGTATCGTCGGCAATGCATCTTCACCCACCCCGATCAGACGGAGAAGCTCGCCCGATCGCCGTCCGTCTCGTAAGTCGCCAGATACCTTTTTCCAGAGTCATAAAATGGTGCTGCGAGCTGTGGACTGATAATATGTGATGGGGTTAGGATTCTGGACCGCACGGTTGCTTTCAATCAACATGAAATGCTCGAGTCGGAGCGTGTCCGGTACATGGAACGCATTCTTCAACATTATGTCCCGAATATCTCGTTCGATATACACTCTCTTCGGAAGATGGCGGAGGATCTGAAACACAAGCATCGTCCCTCTGGGTTGGAGGCTGGACCGCCTTCGATGCAGCTGGAAGGCGACGAGCTCGAGGATTTGGCCATCGATGATGAGGACTTTACCATCAAGGCTTTACCGGATAATACTACCCGTATGGTTTCTCAACTTGTTTTTGATATTGTTGCAATTGTTCGGGCTATTCTGACTGGTCTGCAGAATACTCGGGAGAGTTCTCGTATTTGAACTTCTCCATGAAGATTAGACAGAAGATTGACGAGTGGATGAAGACAGCAGCTCCAGAGGTATTTACCGTCTGCTTCTGCACTATTACTCCATGTCGCTGATGGTTATAGGCATCGACCGAAACAGAGCCGTTCGAAGAGCGATGGCGAGCGACGCAGCTGCAGTCGGGTTCGACTTTGGTGTCGACATCAGTCACCTGTCTTCCGCCCCGTTTTGTCGCCGACTTCCTGGTTCAAATATTCTTCAAATATGCCCAGACCAATAATTTCTACGTTGAAGAGGACTGGCTGCGAGATAAGCTCAACACGTGTTATACAGATCCGTCTTGTCTGTCGTCGAAGGATGCCGGCTCGGTATGCGCCATCCTGATGGTCTTGGCTGTCGGAACACAGTTTGCGCATATGGAATCGTCCATCCCCGTCAATCGTCTCTCGTCCAACTCGGCATTTGATGATGACCATCACTTTTCCGAGGACGATGTTGGTCTTACTTTTTACCAGTTTGCATCCAAGCTGTTGCCAGATATCATCGCCACTGCAAATGTCCGAAGCGTGCAGGCCTGCCTACTGATCGGAACGTATTTGTTACCACTCGATACATCTGGGCTATGCTACACATACTTTGGTTTGGCGCTGAAGATGGCGATCCAAAACGGTATGCACCGAAAGTATACGGGAGAAGGACTATCGCCGCGTATGATTGAGATTCGGAACCGTGTGTTTTGGACTGCCTACACTATCGAGAAGTAGGTTATAACATGCCCCTCTCATCTTCATCCATGCTTACAATTTCCAGGCGTGTCAGCATTCTTCACGGTAGACCGGTTTCCTTGTTAGACGCAGACGTAGATGCCCCGTTCCCCACGGACTTTCAAGGCTTGACGCCATCGGGACATGTTTCAAACGATACGAACATGGTGACCCTCATCAAGCTTACACTCAAGCTTGGAGAGGTTGCAAACGAAATGTATGTTTTGGCTCAAAGAGACAGTTGAACCTATCTAATGCTAGTAGATCCGTCCTTCGCAAGTCCCGCAAGAATCAGCAGCAAGACTGTCTGGAGAGGCTCTTGAATTTGCGAAAGAACCTGGTCGACTGGTGGGGAACGCTACCTGAAGAGACCAACTGCAGGGATCTCAATCCAGCAGGACCCCTTTTCCGCTCCAACGTGCACTTGAAGCTCGACTATTGTCTGACCCGCATCTTCCTGGGACGACCGTTCCTCTTCAGCACCAACAGGGCAGTCAGCTCGGCTACTCTACCCGGTGCTCCTCTCAAAACACCGTCAGGTCCCGCCAAAAACCGTTCCACATTGATTACGGATTGTGTAGAAGCCGCCCTCGAGATTATCGACCTATGTCGGCTCCTTCGCGACGAGCGCGGTCTTGCTCGCGCATCATTTACCGAATTCAGCTCATGTCGTGCTGCTCTGCTCGTCATTCTAGCCCAAAGCTTGACCAAACGCACCGAGCGCCTGCGCGAAGCATTGGACAAGGGCATGGCACTGATCAAGATCATGTCCATGGGCGTCGGCTCTGCCCGTGCAGCAGTAAGCGTCATTGAGACCTTGGAACGCGCAATTCGCCGTCTCGAAGAGTATAGCCAGACTCAACCCCAAGGCAGTACCGGTGTCGTCGAATCAGCATACGACCGATTCAAGAACTGGGAAATGCTATGGAAGACCGGGCCAATTTCACCCGAAATCGTCCCATTCCAAGAGCAGCAATACCATCATACTAGCAGTAACGGGCTCGCCCCCGTTGTCACCCCCATTCCGGGCGGCGCATCTACCGCGAACGAGCCCGTGGAAGCCGACGTCGGCAGCGCAAGTCTTCCCGACTCGTCGGAGTTTTCTGTTTCACATCCCCTGTCGCAGATGCCGCATTTCGGCCTCGATCACTTCGTTTCGAATCTGCCTCAAGAACTGGGCGAGTTCACTGCCATCCCTTGCTTTGAGCCTGATGGCCAGCCGAGTCTTACTGGAGAGATGAAGCAAGCAGATACGCGGTGGATGAACTTCATGAATGATTGATTGCGTCAATGCAAGTAGGGTTTCGTTGTGATTTCAGCGTTTCGGTCTGACTTTCCGCGACTATTGTTGTCGTATTCCGCTGTGTTGCGTTGTTTATATGTTTATCCGCCCGTAAGCACCGGATTTAGTTTCGAGATACCTAGACAGTATGTATATATTCGTTTCACTAGTAGTACTAGTTGGGAATAGCAGGACAATAAATATTGCAGATAATTTTGGACTTATAATGATGATAGTATCTACAAACGCTACTACATGCAATAACAGGATATCCCCTACTAATCGAATGTAACCTTCTTTCCCTGGAAAGCAGCAGTAGCCTTCTGCTCCTTCGCCTTTCTCGCCGCCTCCCATGACGGATGCAATGGCTTATTATCCTCCGGCTTCTTCGCCGGAGGCCCTCCTCGCTGAGGACGTCCAAACTGCTGCTGCTGCTGCGGCCTGCCCCTACCGCCACCCCGTCCCCAGCGATCACCCCCATCAGTCGCTCCCCGCCGAGCATCCCACCCATTATCGCGTCCGCCTGCCTTCCGCTTATTCTTCTCCTGCTTGACGTGATTCGCTCCAGATCCGTACTTCTTCTCCCAGAGCGCCCGACGCGCCTGCTGACCCATACGGTTCTTGCGACGCGGGGGCTCGTTCGCCGCCTCGCCGTCTTCAGCCTCGTCCTCGGATCCGGACCAGTATCCGCCCATTGTGAGTGATGGGAGGAAGGTCGTGCTGGTCGCGGGCGTTGAGGACGCTTTGCTTCCCTTGGCTTTCTTGGTAGGTGGGGCGTCGGGGGATGGAGAGCGGGAGATGGAGATGTGTTGGTCATCGTCGTCTTCTTCTTCTTCTTCTTCTTCGTCGCTGATACCGTCGCTGATGTCGTCGCGAGCGCGATCGTCATCCTCGGATTCGTCTTCGTCTTCGTCCCCTGAATCGGGCGCGAGTCGCGCATCGAATTGCGCAAAGTCGATGCTGTCTGCGTCCGAGCCTGCGTCGTCCATGTTGATGTCTTCGTCGCCGCTTGGCGAGGCGTCGGGGTCAGCGGATGCGCTGGTCCGTTTGGTCGATACAGCCTCGCTGTCATCCTTTGATTTCTTCTTGTCTTCCTTGGTAGATTTCTCCTTCGTCTTCCCGTCCTTCGCCTTCTTGTCGGCTCCCTTCACATCCCCACCCGCAGGCTTATCTTCAATCCCCAACAACTTGCGTATCCCCTCCATAATCCCCGGAAACACATTCTTCACCGGCGTAGACTTGTACAAACGTGCCGTGACGTTCGCCTCGGCCGAGCTCTTCGGCCCCTCCGCCGCGATCTTCTTTTTATCCTTGAAGGCGATGAAGAGCGGTGACTCGGCGATTCGTTTCGTCTTGAGGAGTTGCTTGAAGAGGTATTTCTCGGCGGTGGTGTGGGGGTCGAGGGTCTACCATTATTCCAGACGTTAATACTCATTACATATACATACTTGGCAAAAACAAGGTGGAATGTACCTTAACAACCTGAATCTCCTCCGCAATGCGACTCAACGTCCCCTCCTTCTTCTCACCCTCTTCCTTCTGCGCCGTCTTCTCTCGTCGTCCGAGCTTCTGGCGCTCGAACCCCCGCGCTACCTTGAGCGCTTTCGATAGGGTCATCACGCCATATTCGAATTTCTGGAAGAGCCGGGTCAGTTGTAGGGATTGGCTGCGGTCGTGCGGTGTGTATGGGGATTCCGAGAAGTCGGCGAAGTTGCGCTTCCCCATTTTGGTTAAATTTCCCTGTGTTGGGATGGTTCGAGGTGTATGTTGGATGTGTATGTGTGGATAGACGGTTCAGTATGCTTGTGGGTTTGATTAGATCCACGTGTGGGGAGATATTCTGACTTATGCCATTCAATGTTGATTTGAAGATTAGGATCGATTAGTAGTAGTTTTTCTTGGTCAGGGAACTTTTTCTGCCGGTCCGAGGGCGGGCGGTGCCAAGCGATGGCTCGCCGCCTTTTTGGTTTTTGGGCAGGTGGACGGGGCATTTTGCCGTTTTGGGTGTCTTATTTTTGGGGGATGGTTATTGGTCCGTTTCGGGGGTGGATGATTTCATGGGGTTTATTGTTTTGATTGTGAAAATTGGGGGACAGGATGGGTCAATTGGGTATGGTATGATACTCTACAGATCTTTTGATGAGCTAAGTTTTAGAAATTGAGATGGTTTGTGTGCAATGGGTCAAGGATATAATTTCATAATCTACGATATCATAGCGCGAGCCAACCTACTTTTGAGAAAAGGCGACCCACGTTAGAACTTTTGCGCGAAATCAACGTCAAATTCAACACACGGTATGTACATACAGAACTAGCAAGGAAAGATAATACGATTACATCTCCTCTATTTCTTTTCCTCCTCCTTCGGCTCCGGCTTGGGGGTGGGCAGCTTGAACTATATTATCAGTTAGCATCATCCTCATCATCGCGCGAATGCTGATATCAACATACCGACTCAGGAGTTCTGTCAGTACCCGCACTGACAGGCTCCCAGGCAGCGGTACCACCCTCGAAGTTCCGGAACGCCTGCGTAAGCTCCAGAGGCTCAATGACAATGCGCTTCTTCTCCTCACAGTAACGCAGCTCCGTGTATCCCGTCAAGGGGAAGTCCTTGCGCAGCGGGTGGCCATCAAAGCCGTAGTCGGTCATGATACGACGCAGATCGGGGTGGCCGGTGAAGAAGACACCGAACATGTCGTACACCTCACGCTCGTACCACAGAGCACCCTCGAACAGACCGGTAACACTGGGCACGGGGCTGGCCTCGTCGGCGTAGGTCTTGACACGGATACGAGAGTTGTAGCGCACACTGAGCATGTTGTAGACGACCTCGAAGCGCTGGTCGCGGGTGGGGAAGTCGACACCGGTGATGTCCGAGATCTGAGTGTATTCGGCCGCGGTGTGGTATTTCAGGAAAGTCATGGTGGGGATGAGGCCGGAGGGAGGAACGTAGATGCAGAGCTCATCCTTCCAGACGGAGAACTGCTGGACGTGCTTGGGTAGGCACGACATGATGTACTGGCCGTACTTGTGCAGACTGTCCGCCTTGTCCTGGTACTTGTCGGCCGGGTTGACGACGGGGGCGCGGAGAGGGCCAGGAGCTATGAAATTATGTTAGTGTTGCACATTCTGCGGTATCAACGGTCGAGTCCGGGTGCCATTGGACATACGGGGACGCTGGGCCTGGCGCATGTTGGGAACATCCTCTGAGATAGGCGCGGTCGAGGCCTGAGTGGCCTTGAGAGCGGTCGTAGTGAAGGTACGGGACGACCGGACGGCGGTGGCCAGGGAGCGGCCAGATCCCAGCCGCATCAAGGAGCGAGCAGAGGCCATGATGACGGACAATTGCGGGTGTAAGACGACGGGGGAGGTGGAGGGAGGGGAGAGCAGCGGAGGTTCCTCATCCAAGGAGCTTTTGCCGGTCCAGGCGAAGTTGTCGCGGTCACGTGAAGACTGCAGGTTTGGCTGGCGGAGATGACATAAGCGGCGCGCGGACAGCAACATAATCCGTGCCTGAGGCTGCAGGGGAAGGCAAACGGTGCAAACCCGCGCAAACCCCATCAATCAAAGCTTCACTTCTCTTTCTCGCTCTTCGCCTCCAACTCTCCCTCTTCCTTTGCGTCTGTGTCCCTCCGTGCTCCTTCTTCTCATCCTCCTCACCTTTACCCCACGTTTGTCGATCTATCATCCTCAACCTCCCTCGGACTCTTCTTCTCGTCCCTTTTCCTATCTTTCCCTCCTGTCTCACTTGACGTTCTTTTTTTTCTACCCGCTTTTCCTCGCCCTCTGCCTGCTCCCACCCCCCCCTTCCGCCCGGGTTTGGTTGATGGGTGTTAGTCTTAGACTGTGATCGCCGTCTTGTCCAGTCGTCGTACCGTTGCACAGCTTCGTCACTCATAATGTCAAATCGCCAACAGATTGACTCCGTCATCGATGATGACGACGAGTTCTGGTGCGTCCGCTTCCCACTTTTCGTACCCGTCGGGTTGTCCTATGACTGGTCCGTTGGGCTGACATCTTTGTCTTCTTTAGCCCCCTTTGCATCGAAGAATTCGATCTCTCGGACAAGAACTTCAAGCCTTGCCCCTGTGGGTATCAGGTACGCATCCTGCTCGCCTTATATTCCCCTCGCGAACCAGCGGCCCGATCAGGAGATCGCTCGCGTCGTATGCGATCCGGACCGTCGCTAACAGACCCCTCCAGATCTGTCAATTCTGCTACAACAACATCAAGACCCACAGCGAAGAAGGCCGGTGCCCCAACTGCAGACGGGTCTACGATGAGAGCACCATTCAATACAAGGTTCCCGATGCCGACGAGTATGTGTTCACTCCTCGCTCTTGTTCCCACTGTCCCTTCCCGCGTCTTGGCGCTAACATCGCAACCCGCAATTTTAGATTCAAAGCCGACTTGGCCTTAAAACACCGCAAGGCTGCCGCCGCGAAAAAGAAGGAGGCCGAGAAACGTGAAATCGAGGCTTCCAGTCGCAAGAATCTTGCCGGTGTCCGCGTCGTGCAGAAGAACCTGGTCTACGTGATCGGTCTCAACCCCACAATACGTGACGAGAATCAACTCCTCTTGACTTTGCGCGGTCGAGACTACTTCGGTCAATATGGTGACATCGAGAAGATCGTCGTGAGCAAGGCAAAGCCTGGTGGCAACCCCAATCAGGGCATTGGCGTCTACGTCACCTATGCAAGGAAGGCCGACGCAGCCACTTGTATAGCAGCTGTCGATGGGTCGGCCAACGGTGACCGGGTGCTACGGTAGGTCGAACCCTCCACCTTCCTGTGTTCTGTTGGCAATGCAACATACTGACCGCTCTAGTGCCCAATACGGTACAACCAAGTATTGTTCTTCCTTCCTGCGTAACGAGCAATGCCATAATCGAAACTGCACCTTCCTGCATGAGACTGGTGAGGACAGCGACAGTTACAGCCGACAGGATCTCTCTTCGATGAACACCCTGTCAAGTCAACGAATCAACGGTGCCCCCAGCGGTCCCACCCACTCGATTCTTCCGCACGTTGCCCGGTCCTCCGCTCAACCGATTTCGCAACCAATGCGCCGCCAGCCTAGTAGGGATGACGCTGCGGGGAGCCGGCCACCGGATGGGTCTGCCCTGCCATCGTCAGCAAGTTGGGCAAACAAGGATGCCGTGCTTAGCCGGACGAGACGGGCAAGTTTGACGGGCAGTCAAGCCTCGCAAAGTCCGCGTCCCGCCATTGCCACGGTGTCGCCAGCGGTGGAGGAGGCCAAGCGCGTGGAGAAGCAGTCTACGAATGCGCAGGAGCGTGCTCAAGCTCAAGCTCAAGCTCAAGCTCAGGCCCAAGCCCAAGCCCAAGCCCAGGCTCAAGCCCAAGCTCAGGCTCAGGCCCAGGCTCAGGCTCAGGCTCAAGCTCAGGCCCAGGCGCAAGCGCAACCGTCCCCCTCTCCCGAGGCACGATCCTCTTCGTCTAGTTCTCCGCCTACTGTCCAGACGCCACCCAAGCCGGAGACGCCTCTGTTGGATAACCTCGTCAAGGCTGTGAACTCCCCAGACTTTAAGTTCATCTTCTCGGCGGCTGGTCTGCCCGCGGAAGAGGTTGCCCTCATTGAGAACCACCCTTCGTTTATCGATCCTTACGGAGGCGTGAAACGCCGAGCTATGCGTGAGAAGGCGGAGCAGGAACGTGTCCGGCGGGAACAGGAGCTGTTGCAGTCTGCTGCAGCAGAAGAGGAGAGCCGTGAGAGTGGAAGCTTGCAGCTCGGTGGCGAGCCGGATGACGCGATGCCCCCAAGAGGCCGTAGCGGTCGCGAATCTCATGGTGCCATTCAACCTCCTTCCCAGCAGGGTACCACGACAAACTCGGCAGTTGGCTCCCCCGTCTCGGCAACTAGTCACCAGTTTCAGCAACTCAATCTGGCCGGTCGTAGCTTGACCCCTCTGCAGCAACAGCAGTTGCTCCTCCTAAAGTCTGCCGGCAACCAACAGGCGGGCCTGGTTGATCAGCTGCAGGGTGGGCTCAACTCCGCTGCTCTTGACCAGGCAGCTCAGGTCCGCCAGGGTCTGCTCCAGAGCCAGATGGCACAGTTCAATGCTCTGCAGGCGCAAAGTCGCCAGAACTCTCGTTTCACATTCGCCAATGAGGCCAATGCCAAGAACATCCCCAATGTGCGCATGTTGAGCCAAATGCAGGCTGGTACTCCTAACCCGCTCGCAGCCCCTAGCCCTCAGCATGGTCTTGCTGGCAACTACTTCACTAGTGGTGTGCAGGGTCCACCCCCTGGGTTGAAGACGGCGGGTACTCCGCCTATCAGCGGCGGCGGCATGTTCGCACAGGGTCACGGTTTTACAACAAATGCCAATCTCGGTTTGGGATCCAACCTCGGAAAGCAAGAAGCCAATCCAGAGTTGATGCGTGAGCTGCTGAGAGGCCGCAGTGGCGCAAATGCCGGTGGTTTGCAGGGTCAAGAGGCCGCTAAGCGTGAGTTCATGTTTCCTTTCCTCCAACAGCACCAAACTCCCCCTCCCCTGACTCCCGGCAATGGCCTTCTCAGCTCTTTCTATGGTACTCAGGCGGGAAATTATTCCGAATCTGGTCCACAGAAGCAGAAGAAGAAGGGGAAGAAGCACAGACACGCTAACACTTCCTCCGGTGGAGGCGGTGTAGTAGATCTTGCGGACCCGAGCATCCTACAGGCGAGGATGCACCAGGTTGGTGCGAATGCTGCTGCTGCTGCTGCTGCTGGGCAGGCGCTGTACGGGAGTCAGGGTCAAGGTGGGTACAATCAGGCCATGATGTATGGCAGCGGTTTCAACCGCTGGTGATTGTTTGCCCCCCTTTCTCATAATTCATTAATAACCCTCCCTCGCCCTTCACTTCTATCATTGTTGTTTATGATGACTACCCTTTTTGCATTTTGTTTCTTTTTGCCCATGCTCCTTTTCTGTCTCCCTTTTTATTTGATGACATGATATCATATTTCTCTAGATGGGCGTGGGATATGATTCTTATGTTTCAGTTTTCCGGACTCATTGATTCGATGTTGAAAACTTTGCGACATATTTCCACTCTGCAACGAAAGCATTAAGCAAACGGCTCTTGAAAACAACAAGAATTCGGGCTAGGCGTGCCTTTGGCGTTATCTTCATGATTGGTTTTTATCGTCTTTTTATGTTTCTGTGCTTCCACATCATGTTTCTTTTTTGCGTGTTGTCTCCGGCTTCCGTGTGGATGGGAGGCGTCCTTGCACTTTATGGGCACATCGTGTCTTCTAGGTCCACTGCGCTTTGGTGGCTGTCGTATACTTTGTTCTTTTGCATCCAAGCTGGGTTGATCTATCAGCATCTTGGTGGCCCATTCGGTCTGGTCATGGCTTTATGTACGTTAACCTCCCTGCCCTGGCTTTCGATAAACACGAGCAGGGCCCTCTATGCGAAACCAATTTCTCACAATTATTGTTCTTATAGACAATATGCCTTGTGTGTCCGTCTGGTTGCATCGGCCGGGACATTTGTGTAATTAATATGCCTGCCCTTCCGTACCTTGGTCGTCTCGTTTTGTTTATAATAGTCCACTGGCACGCCCTGTTTCTATTTGTTTCTGCTTGTGTCTTTGGGAGGGGTTCCTTTGCGTTGTTCTTTCTATCCGGCTCACTCACCCATCGTCTTGCAGACATCAGGAAGCTAACGGCGCTTCTAGTGGACGAAGAATTTCCTCCTCTTGGAGCCCAGCCAAAGGACAAGCGCCCCGTTGACAGCTTTGGCTATCTCGTGCGCTCGCATTTCTCCAGTGACTCGCAAGGCTCAGCTCGTGCTGGAACACCTACCCTGCCCCCCGGGCTTCCTCTGCCACACGCTCATCCTGCATCTGCCTTGTTCCAAAGTCCACTCAACCCATCCAGTCCGGTCTCGTCGCCATCCGTGCCTCCGGGTCTTAACCCACCTTTCCATAGGCTAGGAACGCCGGGCCAGGGATTCCAAGAAAGCTCTCGCCAGGCTTCTCCGGACTTGAAAGATACTCCTGAGAATCCGCCCACCTCAAGTCGCATTAAGAATGCATCCGAAATATCACTCGGTTCTCCTGTGCCAAAGTCAGCCAACAAGGCTCGCTCCCAGCAAAAGGGGGACTTGACCGTCGCTTCTGACAAGAAAGCTGGCCTTTCGAAGACCGGAGAAAATAATGAGAAAGCCTCGGCGCCTACGGCGAAGGCCAAGCCCATAAAGCTGGAGCTTCCCTTGGGTACTTCTCAGTCTCACGACGCTTCAAAGGCAGATACACCAAGTCAAACCAATACCCATGGCCCGGTGCCCACTTCGACGATCGGTTCTCGTCCGAATACACCCTTAACTGGGGTCTCCCGCGTTTCGGACTCTTCCGCTCCTCGCCAACCTCGAGTCCTCCGTGTGGTTGACACGCCAAAGACTGAAACCCCGCCGCCTCCATCTGCCACCCAGTCTGTCGCTTCCATACCTGCTGCAACAAAAGCGCGTTCCAGACGACCAAGCATCTCGTCGCTCAGCCGGCCTGATACGCCCGGCGACTTCGGATCGGAAGCCGATCTTTACACCTCGGCGTCCGTGTCTCGGGCCAACTCTCCTCCCGCTTCGTCCAGAATCGGCTCTGCACCTGTCCGGGCGATGACCAAGAGCCAAGCTAAGAAGGAACGGCGACAAAAGGCCAAGGAACTGGAGGCCAAGAAACAAGAGGCCACCGCTGTGGTCGAAGAACCAGTGCAGGCTCCGATTATCGGTCGGAAGCGCAAGACCAAGAAGACTCCTGTTAGCTCGAACGAGTCGCCGGCTGCAGCTTCGGAGAATACTGAGGCTGGAAAATCTGCCAACGCTGGAAGTTCAAATAGCAATGAGAAGGCTGCGCAGCGGACGGAAGCGGCCAAGAAGAACAAAACGAATGAGAAGGCCACGAAGGACTCCAAGCCAGCTGCTACCGAGGAGAAGGCCACTCCTGAACAAAAAGCACCTGCTGAGGCGTGGCGTTCCAAGAACACGGTTGAGCAGCTGATGAAGGACGCTGAATCCAGCGGGGTTCCGGTCAAGGAGCTCTTCTCGGAACGTACATCCCCGTTGCAAGTCCTTCTTGCTCAGCTGCATAAGTCTGCTGAATTGGACCTAAACAATCATCCCCTGTTCAACCCAGCCAACCTAAACCAGCGATTCGACATGAAGTGCAATGCGGATGATTACGACATCCTGAAACAGCCCATTGAGTTGACGGATGAGCATCGTAAAGCATTGATGCGCGGAGAAGCCATTCGTGTTAATTCGGACTCGACCATGCTGAAAGACCGATGCTTGATCAGTCCCCGTGGATGCGTCCTGCACCATCTGTCGCCCGAGGAAGAAGAGCGGTATCTTGCGCTTGAGAAGAACATTGCCTGGGCAATTGATACCTTCCAGGAATACTCGAACGTACCTATCACGGAGCCTGATGTGACCAATCGCGGTGGTGGTTTGGACGCGTTGTTTGCTACCCCTGAGAATTTCAACATCTGCTGGGTCGACGAGACCTCGGCCGGTCTCACCTCTGGCTCGCCCACTGCCGGGATGTCTCTTTCTGACGCCAGCGGCTCCACTATTCCTGCGCCTCCCAACGTTCTGTCGGCCATGGAGGCGGACAGCACGCGCAGCCATAACTGGGCCATTGCCAACACCGCGGAACTGGTCAATGCCACTGCCACCTCGGTGCGATCCTTCGCTGCCGCTACTGCCAAGCACATGCTCGGGGCCGCGGGGGTGGTCATGGGCAACATCCCGGACCTGGACGATGTGGTTGGAATGACCAATGAAGAGCTGCGCTCGTTCGCCGTCAAGTCGCAGAAGGATCTTGAGTCGTCTCGCAAGGAGCTAGACACGATCGACAAGAAGCTCAACGCCCTAGTGAAGCGGAACCGCAAGCTTGCGCAGCAGGCTCTTGCGACGACCGTTGACGCGTGAACCCCCGTTTTGTCCATATGACAACTGTATTCTAGTAGATTTCTTTCCAAGCATGTTCTTTCTTTTTTCTTCTGCTGGCCTACTACTACCCCTGTATTCTACACTTGTTTTTGTTCACGGCATGGTGTTTATAGCCGCAATTAGACTTCACGGGGAAATACTCATAATAAACCAACCAATTATAATATATTAGACTATACCAACTTTTCAAGTCTATACTAGTCCTCCCTACGCACCCTCATTGGGACGGAAGACCACCTTCTCCCCGGAAACCCCCTCCTTATTTGTCTTCAACGCCTCCTCAACAGCCCCCAATCCACCAGGAACCACGCGCACGCGATTCGGCACAAACAGTCCCTTCGCAATCCATCCATCCTCACCTCCAAGCGCCTTCACCATGGGCTCACTAACATGTCTCAACTTGGGAGAAGCCCCAATACCCAAAATCTGCCTAACCTCCACCTGATGTTCGCCCTCCTTCCCCAACTCCGCCGCCTCCTTCTCCGCACCCAACACCGTCACCACCGCCTTCGCAGCCCCCTTACTTGCCTTTGCAATCTCCACCCCGAGCACCTGCGTCTCCTTCATCGAAATGGCATCATACACATAACGAGTCGGCACCTCCCCAGCCGCAGCAACAAAGTCCTCCGCCTTGGCAATCTTCCGATCCAGCACCACATGCGCTCCCAGCCCCTGCAAATACTCCCTATGCACGACGCTCGCATTCGTAATAATCTTCGTGAACCCGCTCAACCTTGCAAACTGAATCGCATACTGTCCTACACTCGACGCTCCGCCCAAAATAGCAATCGCCTTGCCCTTGCCTGCCGCATCACCGCCCTCGGCCCAGGGAGCAGGTGTGATTCCGTGCCCCGTGCTATCATACATTCCCGTCACGACGGCCACGCTCGCTAGACTGATCCCCGCGGCTTGCTCGTCGGAGATGTTGGAGGGGGTTCGCGAGACGAGCTCTGCCGGCATCACGCAGTATTGCTGGAAGGTCGAGGCGGCGTAGTTGCCAATTATGCCTTGGAAGAAGACCCGGTCGCCTGGGGTGAAGGTGGTGACGTTGGAGCCCACGGCGGCGATGGTGCCCGAGGCGTCGGAGCCGAGGACGGCGGGGTATTCGGTCAGGAAGAAGTTGTAGTCGCGCATCTTCCAGTCGACGGGGTTGACGGCCGTGGCGGTGATTTTTATGAGGACTTCGTTGGCGTTGGGGGAGGGCACGGGGTGGGTGGTTAGGGTGTGGGGTGATTGGGGGGTGGGCACGGTGGCCGCGAGGTAGGTGTCGGGGAGGGACATTGTGGTGGTTGTGGTGGTGGTGGTGGTATTGTTGTTGGATTGAGGTGGAAGAGTGTGGTTGGTGGAAAGGGAAATAAGGTGCTGACGGGCGTTGTTTGATATGAGGATCAGATTATAGCTCGTGAGGGGTGGTACTTTGATTTGGATGATGAGGTTATATAGGGATCCAGTGTCTGATTTGTAATGAGGTCATGGACATTAGTCATCGACTCCACTGGGGCATTAATCTGGGGTGTGCTTGGTTATGCGGTGCATGTTGTGGATAGGGCGATGGTATATCTGGATTAGAGAAGCTGGGAGAGGCCTGTTTTAAAGGTATGAACATGGCTGCAAGCTGTAAAAAGCACATGTGTCATGCAGAATTTGTAGAAGTCACTGACATAAATTGCCTATCGAAAACGGTTGAGCCAGAGTAACCAGTCTTCAAATGCGCGACCAATGGATAATATAGTATGACTTAATTAGCATTCCTGTCCCCATATTTCCAGTACTTTCCATCATGTATGGATCTCTTTCAAGTGGTGAGTGAGACTGGTGCCTGGGGTCTTAACTTGCATCCGGATCTGCGGCAAGCATCTGCAATCAGATAGCGTCCTTTCTCTTTTGTTTAACCTTCGCATACAAGCCATGCAGCCCAACATGGTCAATGGAACAGTAGCATAACATCATGATCCTCGCAGGCATAGCATTTCCTCTGACCATAGGATTGATTGACCGAAATGGAGATGCCAGCTTAAACTGCCTGAGAGAGTGGTCGTGAGGTACTATCCAATTCAGGGTAACCCTGACTGGTAATCGCAGGAAATATATACTTCAATTCTTTCCGCAGCGCATGACGTCTACTAACGGGCCACTAGCTGAGGACTATTGCGGAAACAGTCTGCAGTGTAGCTTGGGTCTAACAAATTGTGTTAATGAACAGAGAAGAATAAAGTAGATTAGAGGGTCAATATAAGCAGTTGGATTGATGATGGGTAGTAATGATAATATGGGATATGAAGGGAGGTCAAGGACTTGATCCTTGACAAGCTTTCCCGCTCGATTCCTGTTTTGGCAAGTGTGGCTTGACATGGAAGCTTATCCGGTAATAATATTGGAGGAAATTTACAGTACTGCATGTCACAGACTTACCGCCTAACCCGTTCCGGAACACAGGCCCTAGGTAGGCCCGAGGCTGGATGTTGTATCTTCGTCGAACTTAGCTCGCATAATTTTGATAATTCATAGAGAAATAAAAAAAAAAAAAGCTTCCTATTCTTGACCTGGATATCAAACTAACCTAGCCTAGAATAGAGTAAACGCTATGTAAGCGCATGAGGATCGTAAGTGGTAGAGACTGATATAAAGCAATTCTTTCTATGAGACGCCACAAAGACTGTCTTTCATGCTGTCTGAAAGCTAGCTCATCCTGTTGACTTGCATTGTACTTTGGCACAAGGTTTAACTCCAAGTAGTGTCCGACAAGTCCTTACGAGCCCGGTCACAGTTGGACAACCCAGCATGAGTATAGCAGAGTCCAGCCACTCCGGACGCCCACAGCGCACCACACTCCCACATGACAATAGCCAGATCCCACATCTCAAGGATTTTCTGATCCTGAGGATAAGCCACCTGGGCAGCGAGAGTAGCTCCGACATATTCATTCTCCGAGGGTAGGGTATCACCGCCCTTGACGTAGGCGAGAACAGGCTTGACAAGGAGGTCAATGACAGCACGGGTCTCCGGCAAGGGGTCCGAGGCAATGAGAGCCTCAAGACGTGCTTCAGCGTTGGCAAGCGCACGCGCACCGCGCTCGACCTTGGTGCCATTTGCCCGGAAGTGTTCCAGAGGAGGTCTCTCGTCGGGGACGATGGGGACGATGCCCGCGTCGACAGGGAGATCAGTCCGGCCGAGGAGAGTGACGGGGCGGTGACGACAGTTGGAGAGCTGCCACCAGTGGGTGAAGAGGAGGCAATTGGCTGCTGGGTTATAGGGATCGTTGTCGCGGTACCAGATCATAGCACCTATTATGCGGGCGTAAACCTCGGCCAGTGGGGCTTCCTCCAAGGAACCTCGTGTCAATGAAGGGATGATGTTACTGACTTCACCGCACGCTACGTCGGCTCCAAGGTCAATCCAGTCGTGTGCGACGCAGCCCAGACCGGCGATGGCGGCCATGTGCTCGCTACCACCTCCATCGTAGTAGACGTGACAGAACACCGCATCGGCCAACTTGTACCGGGCAAGGCGGGCCAGATCGTTCCATACGACGATGGTAGGACGAGAAGGAATAGGGTGGGAATCCTCAATGACGGTCTTCTGGCGCAAGCAGGAATAATTGCAGCCTTTGACAAGGCTGATGTCGGTAATGTGCGGGCCGGCATAAGCGGACTTTTCCGCAGCAGCGGCCGCATCGGCAAAAGCAATGGAGAGTTTGTCTGCCATGGCAGCGCTGTGAACACCGATGGAGTAATCCATGACGAAAGATGCGTCCATGGTCGACCACAAGCCAGAGATTGAACCACCGTAGACACCACGGTTGTAACCACTTGTCATGGCAAACACACTGGTGTTGAGCATGGGGCCCTGGCAGTCCTCCCCGGCGAACAGGTTGACTGCAGTTGGATCAGATGCGACGGCCACGCCACTCAGTTTGGGTGCGAGAGGCTTGCGGGCAGAGCACCAGCTGGGCATGTCGACGGGGCGCACCTCGGCAAATCCGACGTGCTCAGGGGCGCCGGTCGCGATCATTCTGTCGCGGGCCTCCAAAAGAGTCGAGGCGTCTGAGAGCAAGCCGGCGGCGCAATCGACGGCGTCCGCAACACGTGCATTGCGCATCCATGAGACACTGGAGACGGCACCCAAAACACCATCCGTTCGAGGAGTATCAAGACGGCGCGCCACGTTAACAGTTGTGGTGAGGGTGTCAGTTTCGGCGTCGTATTGCTGAGAGAACTTGCTTGCTCCGGGTTCGGCAGGGCCTATGCCGTGAGATTTGAGTGACCAGGCGTGAGCTCCCCGAGGGGCGTCCATGTTGACTCCCTCTGCCGCAATATGGGCCGTGCCCCAGGTGGAGGTAAGCCGGACGGTAGCAGCCAGGTCGGTAGCGGAGAGCTCGCCTGTGCGGTCAGCCCAATGGGAGAAGACAGGCAGACAATCGAAAGCGGGCGAGCGACTGAGACCACCGGTGACCACCAAATCCGGTACCAGGTCAGATATGGGCTGTTTGGCGTTTCTGATGGGCATACGCTGTTTGATCTCCTCGGAGCGTGCGCGGAATTCGTCGATTCTGGCCTGGCTCTGGATAGCTGGCTGGCGCAACCGCGTGCCCAAACTAGTGGGCTTAGTAGCAGCGCTTGGGTTTCCTGAGCTCAATGGAGATACATTGGCCGGATTGGAAACGAACTCATTCACGTCCCGACAGGACATGCGTTCGAAGAAGAGAGGCTGATCCTCAGCCCGGGGGTCGACGAGACCTCCTTTACGAGCGATGTCGGGGAGATCATCTGTTCGCGCAATGTAGCCCATCTTGAAAAGATGTTTGAGGAACGATGTGGTCTCTCGGGAAAAAGAATAGCTTAAGGGAGATAGTTGATGGGAATTAAGTTGCTCTTATAGAGCGAAGAGAGATAACAAAAGGGAAAGGAAGACTCTTGGATTCACGTCTCCAGGTACTCTCGAGACTAGGACTTTTCTTGAAGCCAGTTATCTCTGAGCTGCCTGAGTTGATTTCTGTCCATGACCACACTCATTGTTGGACCTTTTTATATAGATCGAGAGAGGGTAGATTAACACGGGCCACAGCCGTTCCTCCGTTCAGCTCAACTCAGGCCAGAGACACAGGCCAGCCTGCGAGCCATGATTCAGGAACCACTTGGCTGCAGGCCCGCTCAGCCAGCCTCCATTGCCCGAGTGAAGCGTGTCAGACATAAGCCCAAACTCAATTATTTTGGCAGATTCCGCGGGCTCTTCCTCCTGGGGGAGGGCGGGGGGAGATACGACAGCCTCACTGAATTTTAATACCTGATAAAGTTGAATTGCTGACCAAGATTATCCCCTTATACAGCATTCTCAATTGACACCAGAAAATGTAAAGAACAAAAGACCCCCCCCAGAAAAGGGAAATAAGATATGACTCAAAATGAAAATATGTCTCTAATTCAATAAACAGGAGAAACAGACATGTAACCCTTCTCCATGAGTGGTGTTTCCCGTCGAAGCGTTCTTCCACCACCAAAGAGCCGAACCGCTAACTCCACTCATTATGCGCTGGCATTTTCTCCCCGCCAGATTAAGACGTACTAAGCATAGTGCTCTGCCACTTGGAACGACAGCACAACTCCACCTTCATTACCCCTGTCCTGCAGACTGTCATGATCTTATTCCCCGCTGTCAGCGCAGATTCAGCTCAGCCAATCTCTCCCTAATCCGCGGATGATCGGGACCAATCGGAAATGAAGAGCATAGTCCCGTGTACTACTCGTCATCATGGTACCCGATCGTTTCGATTTGGCTCCCTAACCTATCGACTCGTTCCACTGTCGATTCCGTACCGATGCACACATGCATTGGCTTTGGCCACTTGGCACAGCCCCCTTTGCTTCCCTTGGCGCTTCAAGATGATGGTCGCATTATCCTACTCGCAAAAGTCTGCAGTATATGCAATGTATTTTCTCTTGAATGTGCCTTCTTCCATGCAGCAGATTCGGACGTAACTGAGAACGAAACCTCTGATCAACACCGTATGAGCTTGTTTCCTATCTCAAATGATATGCCACCAGTTTCTCGGTCACCCCGCTTAAGGCTGAAGCCAAGAAAGACCACCAGCTGAGATGCGACTAGATGTTAGGGCGTGCATGCCTTGCATCTCTTTGACATATCGGATTTCTCAACCCTTCCACCCGCTCCCCGGACTTAAATGAACGTTCACCTGGATCCCTATCACGGTCTACAGGGGAAGTAGATCTTCATCCACTCATACGCTCTCCATAAGCAGACATTTGCCACCTTGCCTGACCATTGCACAATATACTAGTTCGCTAAAGTTAATATACCGCGGAACTTGCGATGATCAAGCCATATGCGCCTACGCCCCCACTCTTTCAAAGTGTTGAGGGATATAATTGCCCTCAAACCTCAGCTGATCTGAAACCGCCACCAAATATAATCGTTTACTCCTTATGTGACCAAGTCGACGAGCTCCATAACCGCTCTAACCGCAGACTTTAACCTGACCGGTCTTTGTTCTCGGGCAAGATACAAACCAGCCTAGCCCACACTCTTGGTCTTACGAATTATTCATCCTATCTACACTCATGTTTTCAGCATACGTATGCTCCTCAGCGTTCTGCTTTCTGGCGCCCACACCGGTCCTTTGCTTAACCGGTCTTTTGATCATCATCTTGATGTCACTTCTCTTTCGCTTCATTCTCAGAACAGACAAGGTCGAAAATATACCCCGTGATGCGATAATGGGGAGGCGACGTATTCGACACGGAAATGCTACCCATAGTATATGGAGCTTATGAGGGATTAGTTGGCCACTTAAGGGTTCCACAAATGTACCCCACGCTGTAAGCTATACCGGACACTTCGCCATTTCGTCTAGCATGCTTAGATGACATTTCCAGCCCTAGAATCTCTTCGCACAATGAAGGAGGAAGATACAGGGATTACCCACTATCCACACAAGTCTACAATCTCGTTCGCTGGTCTTTCATCCGAACTCCAGGAGCTGTCCTCGGGAACCACGAAGATTTATGAGTCATGATTGAAGGATTCTATGTTTTTGTACTTTACTCCCTATGATATGCTCTGCGTTCTTACCTGTTCGTTATAAACATTTCCAGAATGTACACTCTCCTTGACGTATGTCAACTGTACCAGAACATACTTCTAGGACATTCTAATCACCTGAATGTATAGAACGATCAGTAATGTACCACACATTTAATTCAAGCATCCACCCATGTAATAAAACACTCCGGTGGGCAGCCTCAGCCCACGACGTGACTAAGTTCCAGGAAACTCAGCTGGCAAGGGATGTTACATCTGACCAGTAAGCCTACACCACATACTGCGTCTGTCAGCTTAGACTATCCACTGGCAGGAAAGCTAAGCACTAAAATCAATTCAGAAACCATACTCGTGATAATGTCATCCCTTGTAGTTTGCTGTCAAATCAAGATTTTGTTCATGTGTCCCTTCATGCAACCAAAGATTTTGCCGGGATAACGGAATTGTTCTGCGGTCGAAATTTCTTATTTGTTGTCTGTGCATGCATGATTGATATACGATGAGTGACGGTACTGCATAACATATGCATATTATTCCACATCTGCCATTTTTCAGGTTGTTGATCAGCCTGCGCCACAAATCCCCCACTTCCGCGGAGGTTATCATCCCTTGCTTTTTGAAAGAGGGGGGGTGTGCGTGGAATTCTTGTTGTGATCCAATCAGTCGGTGTGGAATAAGATCTTGAAGAGATGAACTGAAGCAATGATTGACGTTTCGGATGCTTCGGTGAAACTCAAAATAATGTCTTCTTACTGCACATAAACTTTGTGTAGATTGCTGTCTAAGAATGTAAGGGTAGTCGCTGAGGTGATGATGCGAGATCATCCCTAAGAGCCTGACGCCTGACTTTCGTCCGTGAAACACCAAAGGAAGACGCTGCAACTACTCTGAACGAGTGGAATAAGATCGCAAATGGCATATAGAAAAGGAACACCCAGCCTACAGTTCGAAATATATGGTGTGGTTTTCATCCGCCTCACCAGCTCGGAAATAACGCTCTCCGGTGTAGCTAGAAAACAACATCAGTAAAGCGCAGGGCTTATCAATAAGTCTATTGTGAATTTACCTCCAATGGGTGAGCCCCATGACGATGTTTCTGCAGCCTTTGATGAAAATGTCTGCGACAGCGCGGCGTCTTCCCTTGGCAGTCTGCCGCATATCATCAACCACTTCATCGAAGCCCCTTGCTGATTCTTGAGCGAACATGAAGGCAACTTTCATTGCCTGGCTGGCTATCAGATTCTCGTTCAGCATAATGATTGGAACAAGGTTCTCGACTTGTCCAACTCTCTGTTACACAAATGTTAGCTATGTGCAACATTCCAACACCTTGACAGGCACCTATTTACCACCTCCTTTCTCAGCGAAAACATGTCATTCTGTCTGTGACAACTCAGTTAAAGTCCTGGATCCGACATCAGAGCGGACTTACATGTGGACAAGGTACGATGTATGTCTCCGGAGTAATTTCATATGCGTATCATCCATATCCCGCGCTGAGATATCAAAGTCATAGATAAAGCTGTAAAAATGTCAGCCACAGCTCGACAAAATGTTTGAGAAGACATACGGAATAGTTGCGATAACTGGATGGACGCCAGCTGTGCGGTCTCGTCGGCGCCAGTACTGCTGTACTGAGGGAATTTCACCCTCTGAGTAGATCGAATCCACCCCATCAACACTCGACAGATAATCTATCATCGCCGCTAACAGAACCTTGCGCGTCACTAAATTCAGACCGTCAGTATTGGAAGAAAGCAAACCATTGGGACGTAAGACATTCTTTTTGAGCACACCTGACGCACATGTTCTGCTATCTCGTCCCAGCAGCGTAGCGCGTTTTGGAGTTCCTCGGAGAATTCAGATAAATCTGGATACGCTGCTTCATGGCAAAGGACATGCTTGAAATATTCGATACTAGTATGCTTGTACCTCTTGATAGTTTTTGAATCGTGGCTAAGGGAGCCGCAGTCGAATACTTGAGGGGTGTTTCAGCTCAGTATAACGCTAGTATGTAGTAGATGGGGAATCCATACGATCATCCCATATGAAGTACTCGTACTGTTATCAGTAAACGGTCAGAAGGTCTTGGTTCACACACCTACCCAGGTAAACCACTTTGCCACCGTACAGAGTTGTTCAAAGGATGATTTTGCGCACATAACTGCGGCGAATGTCGTGAAATCCGCTTCCTGAAGCTTCCGACAAACTAGTGGGTTCTTGGCAAAGCTGTCTGACAGTAAGACCGAGAAGTGTATTGCTAGGAATCTATCAAAGTCGACGCACCGTTTGATCCACGGGTTTGTAGATTCATCTCGGGCCCTTGTATATTCTGGATGCAATTCTGGTGACCAGTCTGGGAACAAGGAGTAGAGATTAGGTAGAACAGCATACTGTCCTTTGAGTGAGTCACACAGTTCTTGACGTTGCTCCATGGCGGATTGCTTATTATGTTCGACTTGGCTTCGATGAACGTCATTCAATATAACTGTAGTATCTATAATCACGACTATTATGCAGTATCACTAGTCTTATGTATTTATAGGTATCAAGGGCCAGCACAGCCACCTAGGTACTGCAAAAGCCACGGCTATATAGAATTCCTAGTACATCAGTCAAAACCATATCGTGCTTTCAAATGCACTTAATACGCTAGTTGTACTAATCCAGCTGATGTGGCTGAGACATATGCTTTAGACCTGCTTTCTGAAGTACATATTTAACAAACTCAAATCAGACGTGATGGCTTGATTTCTTCACACGTGCCTCGGTGCGGTTACACGGCGTAGATGCATCTACCCCTTGTTTCGGTGAGCCCGGTGTCCAGTCAATGCGGTCACCAGGCAGACCACTGTTAAAACAATCCTAGTGGCTTAGGGTTTTCATCATTTAGAAGCACCGCAGTTGAACTGGAGTTGTGCGACTGTGAGCCCCTCATACCTTGCAGACCACACCAGAGCGGTCGGGACTACTTCGATCGTGACTGCTGTAAAAGAAAGATATATGGGCGCAAGGCTCTAGATCTCACATAAAGCATACTAGTTCAAGAAATTAACATTCCGTGAAAGTTTGTTTCTATCATTTCGTTTTCTCTCTTATCTCTGCTCTCTCAGGTTTCTACTGCCTACCGATAGCTTACCCCACAATCTTCTGAAGTCAAGTATGAGTTCCTCTATACTAGTCCAATGTGCCAAAGACCTCATCGCAAAGGTCGCCTCTGAGTCAAAGTCACAATATGGATTTTCCTCTATGGCTCCATCGATCTATGACACTGCATGGCTGGCCATGGTCGAGAAAAGAACAGATCAAGGATACGAATGGCTCTTTCCAAGCAGCTTCGAGTACCTCCTGCGCGAACAAACGAATGATGGTGGTTGGGATGCCCTCGAAAGCGTCGCCAGGCAGCACAGCGGGTATCCCGAAAATATCTGGATCCAAGACTGTGTTATCCATTCGTTGGCTGCCCTTCTCGCCCTGTGTAGACATGTCCGGCGTTCTTCATCCCATCACCGAGAACCCCTACCCGACGATATCTTGTTTCGACTCTTTAGTGCCAAGTCGTTTCTAGATGCTAAGCTGCAAAAGTGGCAACCAGATGATGGTATTCATTTCACGGTTGAACTGATTGTTCCGGTCCTACTCCATCTTCTGCGTGAAGAGGGTGTAGACTTTCAGTTTCCTGCAAAGGACGACTTGTTGAGCAAGTATACCGCAGCAACTAGCGTTGACCTTAGCTGGCTATATCAGGGCCCCTGCAGTATCCCCCCGTTTTCGCTGGAAGGGTTCGCGAGCCAGCTTGAGTGGGACAAGCTGGAATGTCTCGTTACTTCTTCGGGTATAACGGCTTCTCCAGCCTCTGCGGCGGCGTACCTAATATTCTCTCCTAACTGGAGCGATAAGTGCGAGGCATATCTTCGTCATATTGTGTCGCACGGCCAAGGGAAGGGAAGTGGCGGAGCCGGGGGTGTATATCCTTTGGAGGCGTTTGAGCCCTGCTGGGTAAGTTACATTCAAGGATGCGAGGAAGGGCTACTAGGGTTACCGCTAACACTTCATCCTATAGGTTTTGTCAACCCTGCTGGACAGCGGCTTCACGGTCGAAAACTTGGGAGCACAGAACGTGGGTGAGCTGGTCGAGTTGATTCATAGGTCTATTTCGAATGGCGTGACCGGTGCTAGTAAGTATAATTCAGGCCAAATTTCTGCCGCAGTGGATAGATAGTAATCCTCCAGCCCATACCTTCTTCCCCGACGCGGACGATACAGCACGGGCGTTGATGGTTCTCAATAACAATGGCTATGCAGTTAGCCGTGCAAATCTAATTAGGAAGTTTGAGTGCGATGATGGCTTCGAGACTTTCGATGACCGAATGCCCCAACGGGTGACAAGCGTAAGCGTCAACGGAAACGTACTAAGCTGCCTCCTTTCCTCGTCCGATCCCAGTGCCTTCACCCCACAGATAGAGAATATTGCCAAGTTCATGTGCACAAAATGGAGCAAAGAGAAGACCCTTCACGATCACTGGGTACCTGCGCTGAAATGAGCTCCACATCTGTCTACCACAGCACTAACCGCTGTACTTTAGAACTTATCCGAATATTACGGTATCATGCACATTGCTCAATCACTCGTCCCGGTCAGAGTCCTCTGGGACCAGGGATGCATTCCAGGTCTAGCAGAAGATATCGTTGAAAAGCATATATCGACATGTCTGCGAGAGGTAGTGGACCGTGTCCTTCGTGGACAGAATGATGATGGCTCCTGGGGCAACATGCACGGCGCTGAGGAGACAGCATACGCGATCATTGCGCTTGCACAGCTAGCGTCGCACGCTGACATTGTTAGTGATTACAGCAAAGCAGACCTGGCCATTGCTAGGGGAAAGCAATTCTTGTTAGAGACATGGACGATGGGCCAGAAGCCGGACAGGATCTGGACGGGTAAGGTTCTGCATGGCATATCATATGTGCATGATGCGCATGTGCTTGCTGCTTTGAAGATTAATCGGGCGAATCTGGCTGGAAAGCGAGGTTTCTTCTGACTGGTGTCCTCAAAACTGTGCATGATTAGGAATACGTACTCTGGCGAGCATATCACGTTATTTCTGGTTGGCAGTAAAAATGACAATGCATATTGGTCCCAGTAAGTTACTAAGATCTGAAGTAAGCTACCTGCTCAAGATGAATTAAGCATCCAACATCAGTGAAACCTGCGAGGACTAGAAAGTGCATGATTACGCAAACCTCTACCGCAGTTGGGAGTGTGCACACGTAAGTCTAAACCATCACTAGAAGCGATTATTTCCAAGCTTTAAAATTGGCCTTAAGAAATCTTTTACCCTGATTATTGATCTGATAGAAGATATGAGTCCTTTCCGTAATCCGACCTGGCTTGGTCGTAAGCCATTCTACTACTTGGTAGTTAGTCTAGATAGAAGATTATATCATCTAGGTTTAGCTTTCCTAGCTTGAGATTAAATCTTCCCTATTTCAGATATAGTAATAGAATTATAGAAGTAGTTACGGAAGATGCTAGGATTATTCAAGAGGTATTCTATGTAGTTAGTAATTGACTGTTACTTTAACTTCAATCAGACCAGGCAGATATATAAATATCCATATAATTTTCATTATTCTGGGAAGGTAGTTATTCAAGTCCCATGAACATGGGTTCAGCTCTATTGCTACTGCAGTGTTGTACTTATTCAAGGCATGCACATAGTATTGCGGTTCGTCTTTGTCTTCCACGAATCTGATATAATCTACACGGTACTGAATGATGCTGACAAGATAGAACAAATCAAATATATCGGTCTATATATTCTATACCAAGGTCCTACTTATACAGCAATGTCTTACTTCTGCAAGTCATACTCAGCCCATTCCCCCAAGATGTTCCGCACGCCATAACACAGCCGTAAATCCCGACATTCAACCTCTTCATTCACCCATCGAAGACGCGACAGGCCGCCCATCACTTCCATCCTTTTATCCAAAGGCCCAGCATCCAGATCACGTAAAATGTCCCGCGCAACCTCCACATCCTCTTCCACATCCTTCAAGGACGATACCCCCAGGACAGTAGAGACAGAGACGGCGTATCTATCGGCAGCCCGCACAGCTTTCGCCAACGAAAACCGCAACGCCAACCCCGCTAACCCGAACCCCTGACACTCCAACCAACCCGAAGCGATACTCACAGCGCTCCTCAGCCCCTCAGGCGCAGGATGCCAATCCCCCAGTCTCCCACAAGGCACCTTTCCCGCACGCAACAACCCGGAGGCAAGCGGACTCGAACTACAAACCACCGACACGCCAGCCTCACGAAGAGCCGGAATGCCATACCGCTCCAGCTTAGTGTTCTGCACTGTCAACTGAGCCCAGGTCTGCACGACGTCTAATGGCTGGCCATATACGTGTCGCACGGCATGCGCGACAGAGACTAGCGTCTCGAGTGGATAGCCGGAGATGCCCACGTACTTGATATAGCCCTGTCGGCGGAGGTCGAAGAGCACGCCGACAGCTTCGACGGCTTCGTGCTCCGAGACGAATTCCACGTCGTGGCAGAAGACTACGTCTAGGTAGGTGGTGTGTAGGCGCTCGAGGGAGTTGTGGACTGATTGGCGGACCCAGGTGGGGGAATAGTCAAAGGCGCTGGTCGAGAGGCGCCCGACTTTAGTCATGAGAATGTAGTCGCTGCGTGCGTAGCGGGTTGTTATCTGGGGGTCGGAGAGGGCGGTACCGAGGAGGTGCTCGGAGGGGTGGTAGTAGGGGGAGGTGTCGATAGCAAGGATGCCTTCGTCGAAGGCGCGACGGATGATTGTTGCAACGGGGAGGGTTTGTGGATTGGGGTGGGATTGGTCGCTGAAGCCTGAGCCGCCGAGGATTATTGGAGGGAGGGTTAGGGTTGGATGGAGTGGATTTGACTCGGACATCGTTGGGAAGTGGAGAGAGGTCACAACGATAGTCTATAGCAGCAGAAGGAAAGGAACAGGAGAACGAAAAAGAGGTATAGTAATGTATGTGCGCTCCTTTGATCTATGAGGAATATTTCTATGATTTAGATGTTTTTATCGCATTCTTATTAGCAGCATGGCAATTTGCCGATCAATCAGACTTAATACCCGATTTAGCCGATTTCCGTCTTGATACTGGACAGAAGGACTGCTAGCAAAGACCCGGTTGACCCACCCAAGCACAGAACAATAAACCATCAATAATTCCATCAAGAGTCTGAGATGGCTATCTTCTCGGGGTAATGGCAAAAGTCAGATATGGATCGCCTGGCATTAAACGCTATAGCGTTCGGGAGCGTTCAGTCACGGTGAACTGGTTGCCCTAGGTGTGCTTGATCAGGGGAATCTTTCGGACGGGCAAAATAATTATAAGCGCGATAGGTATAACAGTCTAAGACTTAGAGAGGAAGAAGAGGAGGAAGAAGAAGAAGAAGAAGGGACTATAGTAAATTCAGTTGCTCAATATTTCGCCTCCTTTTAGCTCCCTACTCTACGGGCCTGTACGGGTGAGAGTAGTGATGCCCTCGGTGGTATGTAGAATCCTCGGCATCGCCCGCACCGCTACCGAAGGGCCGAAAGCACTCATTTTATCCTTTATCCAATATCTCGATCTTACAAGCTAGCTCCGTGATGCTAGTGGTAGTCCCTCCACCGCTGGCTCGAGGCACTGGTGGCAGACGCCCTTCCGACAATTGCTTGCACGGGACCATACAAAATCAATATGTACATGTACCCGGAATGTATCCATAGTAGCACATAATCCAGTTCGTGTAACGTAATGAAAGCGAGTTGCAAGGCTGAAGTGGAATCCCGGTGAACGCCTAAAACACCCTAACGCGCCTCAACAAGGAACATACCAACGTAGAAACGCTAGACCAGACGGGGAAATCCTCTCCTGGCCGGATAATATGCTAACAATCGACATCCGAGGTCAATAGGCGAAGTGAGCAGGCGCTTGTGCATGCCTAGAAATACAGCTTGACCTGGCGTGCTCGAGCACGTTTCAACCATCCCGCAACAAGGGAGATATCGCACTAGACAGTTCTCGCCATATAACAAACCTTGGTTTTTATTAGTGACACAGTATCTTGTACCATGCGTTGATCTACAGACACAGCCCCGGGTCCCCTAATGTCCAGCGATACATAGACAATATATCCTGCCGCAAGGCTCTAAGCTCGGTATTCACCTCCCCTTGGGCACGAGAGTGCAACAGCACCGATCGGAAAGCCTTTCGGAAAGCTTTCTTTAACATGAGTTAGTTTCAGACATGGATTCCAAGGCACACGTTGCCTGGGAAGGTAAGGGGAGGTAAAGTGGAAACCGGGGTATGCGAACCTGAAAGTCCGTGCTCAAGGTCACGATGGAAGCTTCATGCGCGCGGATGATTACTTCACAGGCTTCCTCCACCGACGGGTTCGGGCCAACGAGAGGCATTCGCTCAGCAAACAAAAGAAGCACGAGACTGCCGTGGAAAAGATAAATCCCCACCAGGTAGGGCATGAACGACAGTTCGGGATCGATCGAGAGGACATAGGAGATTTGCTGGGCTGCAGCGATTGAATGAGAGGCGCACTCAGAGAATTGTGCGGAGGTGATCCAGTCCCCATGGTTTTCCAGCATACTGGTGGCATCCCATTCCCCATACAGCATTACAAAGAGAACCTTGATAATATATGAGGCGTATGCCATTGTCACCTCGGCACGTGGAGTCGTCGAGGAAGGTCGCGAGGCGTTTGCAGTCTGACCTACCTCGCGAAGCCATTCTGAAACACTCTGATGACAATTGGTAAGTGCAATATCGATGTCCCTTACCACGGCATGCTCGTCGAATTTCAGTCGCGGATGGTGGCGCCACAGACGAAACTCGATAATATCCCCCAAAATAGACATCAAGGGGAGGAAGTACTCAAAGAGCCCAGTTCCCGAAATGACAGTTGGCGGGCCGTAGGTCCTCGAGGGCAGGGTGTCAGCTGTAAAGGCATGCAGCCTCTGCCAGCAAGATTCTGGTAGGGGCGTAAGCACTTTACATTCGGCGTCGAGGAGATAAACGGCACGATTGTGAGATACGGCCAAGTGCCGATCCAAGGCATAGACCAACCAGAAAGCCCGCCGTTGTTCTTCTTGTTCTTCGATGATCTGAAGTGATCCCCGTTCCGGCTGGCCAGTCCGCAAGGGGTCCTGGTGAAACCCAAGATGCTTGATCAAGCGAAGTGCTTTGTTCCACCACTTCAAGCAGTCTGACTTGTATTCGCCACCGGAAATAACGATAGTCAGGATGACGAACGTGAGGACATCGTCTACCGTAGGGGTAGGGCCAGTCCCGAAAGTCCTGCGAGCGCGGTCTGGGTCTCCAGCATCAAGGGCGGAGACACAGTCGTTTTCCAACTGCCAGCCCCCTAACTCCAATTATTGGCCGCTTGCCTACTGGATACTTTCATCACCCGGGGTTGATGGGAGGGTGCAGATATACACTTACCGTTTACGCGACGCCAATTATCCGGGTCCAGGCGCTGCAGTAAGGACATCACCAGGCAGTAAAGGTGATCAACGATTCGTGCCCGCGATCCTGGGATATAGTACAGTCTCCCATTTGCCGTGTGCGCTGCACACCAAAGCATTGTTGCCAGAAGCGCTGGAGAGGTCGGCCGCGGCTTGATCGGATCCAAGACCGCGGATCTTCGAAGCACGGGGGAGAGAACGTAGGGGCTATGGGAGGATCCGGCGGACTCACCGGGCTCGGTAAAGAAGGTTTCGAGCAGACTGCAAGCGTCTTCTGGGCTCAAGACACTCTTCAGATGAGGAAGGAGGGGCTCGAGACATGGAAAGCGGCAGCCCGCGGCCAACGACGTGCTTGACGCCGACGTTGCGCTAGCATCCGGGGGAGTTAGCGCCAGCGTGGGAAATCGAGGGATTGGGGACAGCGCAGTCGCCCCCGACTCAGGCTGCGATAAGTCGAATGACCGGGGAATGTTGGCCTGATATGTTGCGAAAGTGGCCTCGAAATTATTCATGTTCACTGGCTCGTGTGACTCTGGTAGCTCGCGGCCCATCGCAAGAAAGCCCGAAACCGCTGGTACGCCATCTATCGAGGCCTCGTCGCGGGCTGGTCCAAAGGAAGTTGGATGAATCCCTCCGGAAGATGGAGTACTCGGTACATCTAGATCGCAATGGGCTTCGGCTGGTAGCGGACTCTTGTGTTTGACGGCCGCTTTGCGGCCTCGTTTCTTGAACTTGCGTTTGTATTGACAGGGACGACCTAGAGCTATAGTGAACCGACCATGTCAGCAAGGACGGACCAACCCTTCCGGCGGCAGAAAGGGAGTGGGATTTCTCAGCGTACTTCTACAGCGATCACTGACGAGCATCACTATCAGTTAGGTACAAGTCATGAAATTCAGCAGGCCAACGAGTTGATGATTCGTTCATACCAAGGCAAATCCCCATTGCAGCGCGTGCGGGAGGAGTTGCACAGGTCGCACGCGCGGCCAACCCTTCTCTGGCTCATAACAGACCCAGGAGGACGCAAGATAAATGCGAAGAGAATAGAGACTGACAGTCTTTGAGTGAGACTACATGATAAGAAGAAGAAGAAGGGGAAAAGAAGATGGAGGAACTACTTAGAGTGCACTGTCATGCGAGTTCTGTGCTCGGCGATGGTTTCTGGCCCTTCATCCTTCACCCCCGCTTTTCCCCTTCCTTTACGGAGATGATTGGCGACCATCGGGCTAATGCACAACGAGGACGCGCCCCGATGCCCCCCCACACTCCTTGGCCAATTTCAGTGCAGATTGTCATTGTGCTTGTGCTCGGAACGAGGCATGGCGCCACTACAGTGCATCTTTCCCCCGCGTTCCCCCTTAATTGAGTGCCATTCTCGATTTGCTTATTCCATGGCAACGCATACAGGAATCATGCGACATCTATGTAGTTCAACAAGTCCATGACACTTTGCGGTTATTCAATGTCCCTTCTTATTCGTCACTCTTATTCTTCATGACTGGGTTCTTCTGCAGAAGAAACCCCTAATCCATGCCGTACACCACATCTTGACGGCGATTGGCAGGTTCAACGACTAGATTATCTACTACACTACCCCCTGTAAGATTCCCTGATACTGTCGTCTGGGACGGCGCCAACAATTTGAAATACCCTGTCCAGTCACTGGGCCACGCTGGCAAGAGGCGGATTTGGGTGTTATTCCTGGCAAAAGTCTGCATCAACATCTCCTGCAGCCCGATTGCAGCGCTGCCATAGTGATTGATGTCGGGGCTCCAGTCATAATTGGGGCCCTTGAAAGTGGGAAAGCGGTACGTGGTGCTGTCCGATAGTCGGGAGATGGTGTTCGCCTTGGCCAGCTCGGTCAACCCCATCCGCGCCCACCAGATCTGATCCTGGCGCCAGCCACTATACCACGAGGTCAGTAAGGAATGAATTAACTCTTGACCGAAGCTAGACCGGGGCGGACCATACTAGGTGCCATGATAGCCAGCGGATTGACTGTCATTGAAGTACGCATGCATAGCATAACTGAGATTGGTCGGCTGACCAAGGCCGTACTCGCTCCAAGCTGCAAGGAAAGAGGGCGACTGAAGTCAGTACACGCTACGTCCAGGTTCCTTCTTTGAGGGCTCAATACTCACGAAAGACGGGGTACATGGCTGTAGGCTCGCTGTTGACTGTAGTTGAATAATTCACGGCCGGAGATATACAAATAAGCTCTGTGAACAAGCCAGGTCAGCAAGGTGTGTTGGGGGTGCGTGTATAGCAAGCACTGCAGGAAGCCGGGCCTACCAGAAGCCCCAGGACAAGGGTGCAGCGGTGTAGCAGGGATGCGCGACAAATAACCCTCGTAATACGATCGATTGCCTTTGACATAGTTGGGATTCGTGAGGAGAATGTCCATCACCGTCCGCCGCAATCCTGAGATGGTGGAAGAAGGGTTTAGAGCGAGTTTGTAGGTCTCGGCGCCGGACGCTGGGTAAAGAATCAAGGAGCCGTTACTCTCCAGCCCGTTACGCATCTGGTAGAACTCGTCGAACCAGGCCAGTTGATACTCGACGAATGGCATATATTCGTCGATATTGAGGCCCCCATAAGTTTGAGACAGTACCGCAATATCTGCGAACTCGTTGGCGGTATCTGATAGCCAACTCAGATAGTCGCCAAACACGATGCCAGGCGGATATAAAGCTGTTCGTGGCCCGTCACCATCAAAATACTTGGCATTGTACTCATACGTGTTGGGAAGGCCGGTATTATCGATCTGTTCAGAGGTGAGCGCGACGTCCAGGCCGAAGTACAATTGCCCCAGGCGACGGCTGTTGGGGGTAATGTTCTTGTAGAAGTCAAGCCCGTCTAAATGGATGTACTTCAATTAGCATCCAATACAACCATCTGTCGTCCCACATAGGGAGGCAAGTCCGAAGGGCAAGGAAAGAGCGCTGAAGCGGCGCCGGGGGGGGGGGGCAACTGACGGCGCAAGATATCAAAGTCGCCACTCTTGAGGAGAGGCCAGAGGAGAAGACGCTGGTTTTGAGCAGTATAGGTGCCCCCAGACCATTTACGATAGTCGGGCGACCAGGGAGCTCCGTCGGACACGAGGACCGGATCAAAGGTGAACAAACCGCCATTGAAACGAGTGGGGAATTGCCCACCGGCGTTACACCCCAGCATGAACCGGAAGTATTGGTAATTTTTTCCGACTTGGAATCCCTCATCGTTCGGACCAGCATCTGGGTTGATAATGATGTGCGACCGATCCCAGAATGATCGCCACCAGGCCACCGTAGTCTGCCAGTTGGTGTTGGGCATCGAGGCTGCTGACTGCACCAAGGCAGCAGACCATTTATCAACCTCAGTGGTCTGATTTTGGCCAATAGCTACATAAAGCTGGTATGAAGTTGACGCACGGGGTGAAACCAGATGATAGGCAGTGTAGTTTGTAGACTGGTACTTCAATTGCTCGGTTATGCCTCCTGGACGCAGTTGTGGAGATGTCATGTAGGCTCCGAACTGAAATTTGGTCAGGGCACGACTGCATTCACCAGGCCTGTACACACACTCACAGTATTGTTGGTCATCGGGTTATAGAAGGACCAAGGATCCGCACGAGACAGATTCTGCTCGGGAATCTGCCATGCGAACAAGGGGTTGTCGGTGTTGTGATGATAACTCAATACCCCGCCTGAGACGAATGAGATATTATCGGGATATTGTGTTGGCAGAGGGATAGCGGGAACATATTCAACTCCCCATGATGTTTGCCCTATGGCGTCATGTTAGCGGCACGCCACTCCTGGAGTGAAGCTGAGAGAGGTAGGGTGGCTATTACTTTGCTCTCCTTCTACCATCTGCCAGCCCTTAGTTCTCCAATTCTCGTACGACGCTGTCAGACTGACAGGACTGCCAGCAGTAACATTCACATGTATCCCCGAGGTCTCAACGTCTACCCATATGTGGATGACCGTGTTATTATCACCCGTGAAACTAATATACCCTTCGTTTAGATGAAGTCTCTGTTCAAACTGAGTCGCATTGACTGCGAAAGGATTCGGTTGCATCCTCAGTCGCACACGACCGAGCTTTAAGAGAGAATTATTCTCATCGAACGCTCCGCTATGCGCTAGATAGAACAATAGATCACCTATCGACGGTCAACGCGTGGTCCACAAGTTTCCTAAATCGGATTTCCGTGGTGGGCATACCGGATTCTGCCCAGACGTTCAAGCCCACGCTTCCACCACCCAAGGGCATTGAGTCTGCAGAGTTGGAGCTCTGAGTGTCCCAGATAGTATCATACTGGGTTGGAAGTACGATACCGAGACAAACATGAAGCTGGATTAACAGGGACAAGCCAATCCAGCCAGCATGAATGGCAAAATTAGGAAGGCACCACATAATCATGTAGCTGCAGTACCCTGTTTTTTGGTTGCTAGACTAAACATTTAGAAATAGCGAGTGTCTTTAGATGCTAATTGGAACTATATATACACGGAGTATCTGAGCTAGCACTTGGAATATGGGACCTAACCTGCCATCGTTAGTGAGTAGGTGCTGGCTTGTACGGCGGTGGATCGTGACCATTGGGCAAAATAGAAATTGGCAATGCACTACCAATATAGATTGATAATATAGTCGTCAAGATGGACGGTTCAAGCTTCAAAGGAATCAGGGAAGGAACGTCATTTAGCCTCATTTCTAAATATTATTCAGAATGAAATGACGATAGCCCACATAAAAGCGGGTATCTTCACCTGCTATATTCTTCTTGTTGAAGTTCGAACTTTCCAGGGATCCTAGATCCGTTTGATGCATCACTACTGCTTCGAAAGCCCCGCTACTCACCTTGTACGGTTTGAGTGCATTGTTTAGCCTAGGTTTAGCAAGATTTCATATATCCGGCAGATCAAAGCGGGAGGTACGGTTGGTGGGATTTCCAAAGGGCAATTATCAGCGCTAATTAAGGCCTTTTGCATGTGAGCAAGCGCCTGCAGCTACTCTGCATGCCACAGAGTTGGTCATGCAGGGATGTATTAGCCACACGGAATGTGCCTATTTGCTTTAAAAGTACTGAAGTAGCCATATTGCCCCAGCAAGCACACATACTATTCCATGGCATCTTATTTTAAGACTCCCTTAAGGATATACTTTTGCCTAGTCCTAGCAATATAATCCGCGATGAGGAGAAAGGGAAGGGTGGATACGGCAGATTTTAGGACTTGCTTAGGGAGAATCACCGGCTATTTCTATTCGGCCCTTCCTCGGGAAATTTCGGGCCAACTGCCTTATGGTGGCGGAAGCACAAAGTCTGAATTTGAAGACGCAGTGGGCAATCAGAAACTGAAATGAACAAAACCGTTAGGATTATTCGTGTTGCGGCATCAGGGAATTATTGAAGATCCAAGATTTCGATAACCAGTGTATGTTCAATCATACAAATTCGTTATCATTCTGCCATCGTACGACCGTTCAGTAGGAACAGTCCTGCCCCACTTACTGTGTAGCCCGGATATGCACTAATAGTACATGACAATTGCGGACCAGCGACGGTCCGCTGGAAGGAATGGTATTCCGTAAATGGCAGATAGAAAGAGTACGATCTCGTCAATACAAATCGCCGAGTCTTAGAAAGCTCTTTTATCCTGGCCTTACTGACGCGTATTGAATCTGTTCGTTGGCCCCGTTGGCTGCAGATACTAAAAAGTACTCAGTACAGTTCCATCTCTTCTCTGTGGATAGATAGAAGCTGCAAAGTATTATCACTATTATAGCTGAAGATATCCGGGGGTAATGATGATGTAGAGGCTGGGCTGACAGACAATGCATATTTTTCTTACTCCTACTAGTACCCTAAATGAGAATAAATGTAGAGGATTATCTGAATTTTTGTTCCTCGATCTGACTAAAAGCCGAACAAGATGGAGACATTGTGCCCATGTATGATGTTTACTGGGCCCATGGCCTGATATGGCTTGGCAGGAACACTGTAAACACCGGTTTTGGGGGCTGGAAGATCCTGGAAAGAGGAACTGAATTTTGGTAAATAGGCTAATAGTAGCTAACTATACAGAGTACTAACTAATTAGTTAGTTAGTCTCCCTGTATATTTTAGTCAGCCCGCCGTTTTTCTAGATAACTACTACGAACAGGGTTAAAGATCGTCGCTATGGTTCCACCGGCCGCGCCATATATCTACAGTGCCGCTAAGCGTGGCATTGCTGAAACCACGGATCAGTAGCAGACCACTACTTCCGTTCGATCCGAGCTATCCTGGAAATTCGTTCACAACCAGTTATGCGATCACTGCGCCGTTGCAGTTAATCTGTAATGGGTGGTCAATTCGGTCACCGTGCTCATATACGGGTTCCCTGCTGCTGTGAATCCACTATCATTGCCACCAAGGGCCCCATAGGCTCTGCTAATCAGCCAGAAAGGGAATACTATTGATAAGCCCAGGCGCACCACTACCCGAGGGGGTATCCCTTTAGTCTACTGCATAGCTGGTATCAATCTTCACAGCTGCACCGAGCTTGCCATTCATGTATGGGCCCGGGAGGAACCCCGGACTGCCCAAGCTACTTATCATACTTACTCCAAGCGAAAGGCCAAACCGTGTGCACCGCTTGTAGCGTCAAAGCTCGAAGCAAGACGATTAAATTGTAGGTAGCTGGGGATTTAAGTCTACTGGGGCTGCAGGAAAGAGAGCCGCGAACTGAAAATCTGATCTGGCTCACACTCGAGCCTGCGCAAGGATCTCGTCGCTGCTGGATTGAACAGACATTTACTCCTAATGCGCATGAATTGTGTGGTCCGTAATTGATTAGGCTACTCATCTCCCCGCGTCCAACATAAACATGGATACATGAACAAGATCCGTAATGACTGTTCCTCCTAGAACTTACACCACCGCTCGGTTGAGCTGCATCCCTACGACCGAAATATCCACATAGACCTCCTGACTGGGCTATATTACTTGCACCGGCCCTACCCGGTACTCTGTTATCTCGGTTGACTATTAACTTCGTTTTCGGGCAACCAGGATGAGGATTGTTACAGGAAATGTTCTAACGGCGTGCCACAAGCAAACTTCTGGGGAGAGTAACATGATTCCCTGTGTTAATTTTTCTCTTTTCCGAGAATACTTGCTTATTTACTTTGTATTTTACTTGAATGACTGGAGACCATCATTAAAGAATGGTGCAGGATCCAGAAACACGCATGAGACAGGAGCACCAAATTAAGTGTTATCATATGACCTGAACCACCAAATCTAGCATAGTCAAAGGGTGGAAACAGCTTTGTAAAAAGGGAAGACTGGGGTTATCTAACGAGTGTGAGCTATCTAAACGCACCCGATATAAAGGCAATATAAGTGAGACAGAAATGATAGTGGTTCTAGCCTGATTTATCGCAATGCGGATAGACAACTGCCTTGAACCCCTATCATTGGTCAGAGCCCTACCAAGTAGACCAAAAAGAAAACCATCCTTGCTACTCCGACTAGGCGGAGAGATAAGCCCCGGCTTTACATATTCGCCATAAGTGTGCTGTAAGCTGAGGCACCTGGGAAAAAGCTGGTAGGAATTGTCGGAATCGGAATAGAGGTCGTAGTATCCATGGATGTTGAAATCAGGCCGGGCATCGTCGTCGTCGGACTGTACGCGGTGACTGGCCTACGCAGAGGATTAGCACAGGTGATAAGGGGGCATCATGGCTGTGGTAGGCTGCATACACCGAGGTAATCGTGGTCGTAAAAGAATATGAGGCAAGGGTGCCATTTTGCTGTCGCAAACATTCGCCTTCGCCGTAGGCACTGGAGCATTCCTAAAAGAACATAAGTTCCAGCTTTGAAATCAGGACCGGAACCAGATTTTTATTACCTGTTTGACGTAATCTCCAGTCTGGGTGTGTATCAAGCGGGTTAGTTTTCGGGCATCATAAACATCAATTGCAATATGAAGCTTACATCAGTCCACAATTCAACGGCTGTTAGGGTAATATTCGTGCATGGATTCGCGTCCGGGCAAAGAATTCTGATGGGGCTTCTCTGAATGCCATTCGAACTGGTACCCTTCCAATTCTAGACTCGGGGTTAGATTCTGGGCATTGCTGTGACTGGGAGTAGATGATACACACTTCAAAACCGATATTCTCGTACTTGATACCGTCACCATCGCTCTCATCACCCCAGTATGTATCCAAATCTAGCATGTAGGCGTTGCTATATCCAATGAAGTTCTTGAAAGAACAGTTTGTAACTGTGCCATTACCCCCATTGGACTTGATCATGTACATCTGAGTGGAGTTGTAAGTGTAGATGTTCTCAAATTCAATGTTAGAGATATTCGTGTCCGTGCCAAGTGATCCCATCGCGCATCCGCCACTGTGGTTGCAAAAGACGTTTTCTACGCGGACGTTGGCCGATGGACTCTGCATTGTTCATCAGCAAGCTTTAGAATAGGCCTCTTGGCTCTGGGGTTGTGCAAAATAGACTACCTTCACAGTCACACATTCGTCGCCGTTAGTGACCTCAACGTCATGGATCCAGTAATTGGCTCCGGAGATATCGATTCCGTCAAGCCCTCCCATACTGGCGCCACGAATGACCATGTTGTACACCTCGCCGTTGTATGACTCAACTAAGTTGAGGAAGTAGGCCGGTGAATCCACCAAGATCAAGTCATGCACACTGAAATCAGTCACGTTGTTAAGTCGAAGAATCCGTGGCCCGTATTCGTCTTGCTCATGGAACAGATAACCGTAGCCCTGAATTGCTCCAGCAGAGTTATTACTGAAAATTTCGATATCACTGGTGTGTTCGACTAGATTGTATCTCAGCGTAATTCTCACATCATTGTCGGCTGTCTCGCATGTAACTCACTGAATATCATGTTTCCTCCATCGGTGCTGCGGTTTGTTAGTGTTCACAAAGTGGCAGATTCATATAAGCGCATTCCTACACATTCTTGTCTCGGTAAATAATGCCATCTAGTTGCAAAGCCCAACCAGAACCATAAACTAGTGACACCCACGACGAAAGGAGATAGTCCCCTTCCGGAATATAAACTGAATCACTAACATTAGTGTTTTCCTGTTGCTCTGCTTTTAAACCGCCATAAAGATACTAGTAGAACTTACCTAGTCCACCTGTTTGGCAGTCTTGGAAGGCTTCCTTGAGTGGCGGTCCGATATCAATGGTCGAATTTGCGGATGCCCCGTAGTCAAGTACGTTGCATACTACACAATGACACGTCGAGTTAGCTTCTTGCGACGCATTTGCGCAACATAAATTATACCTTTCTCTGCGGCTTTCGCAGACGCACTCGTACGTGGCCCCACGGTCCCTGAGACCTGCGCCGCCGCAATGGCGGGCAGAAGTGCAATCAGAGAAGTAACAAGCATTATACTAATGAAGAACCAGGTTTTAAACTGCCGATGTGGAAGGAAAGATTTGAACCATAATGAAGGGCTTGTTTCCCTCTAGCATGATTTCTTATATAAATACTACCTTCAGTAAAATGAGGGGATCTTCAGCCGCGTCACTGGAAGAGTCGATCCTTCAGGGGTGATGAAAATTCCCAATGTCCCGAATGTTCTGCTATCATCATTTCATGCCACATGCCACCACATGTTTTTGTGGATGTGAAGCGTGTGTATTATCATTGGTTCAAGCACCAACAATTTTTTAGCCTAATTTGGGAAATTTAGAGAGCGACGATAAATTCCCGAGAAGAAGCTTAGCGAGACCCTAGATCGAGCCCAAAGGGAGACATGATTTTGAGCGCTCCACTTGCAAAATCTGTGTACACAGGTCTACGAGAACGAGACCTCGCCATTCTTTTCTTTCGGTAGAAGCATGCCCTGACGCTAATGACGACGCAGGCGATCCATTGCCTATTAGCGCCTCCAGCGGGCCGCTTTTTGACCCGGTCTCGGGAAGTTAGACTGGAACCATCCTCCACAATTGGCTGGTTCGGCTCATACCATCATTGACCATGAGATTCCACCCAGGTATATACCCATTGAAGCGTATACAGGTTTTCTTTCTTGTCACTGGAAGCGACAGAAAGGGATCGTCTCCTGGGTAATCCAAAATCAACCGATCTGCTGTCTCAATGCTTCCTGCGGTGGGGGAGGTCTGGGCACGCTCCGTTCCCTTTCCAGACGGAAAAGTATGTTGTCAACGCCAGTATATATGCAGTTTCAAGTCCCACCATGAACGTAGAACCTAGTCTAAGCTATTCTCCTGCATATAAACTTATTCAATGTTGTCACAAGCTTGCAGACTTACAAGTAGTATGTTTTGTGTGTGGTTGCTGGTTGCCTTCTCGCTCTCATGGCCGTCCCTTGCCCTGAACAGCGGCGACTATATGGTATGAAATGTTCAACCACTCCTATTCGGAACAATAATAATAAGCTGACTGTGGGGCTACCTATCAGGGAAAGCTTCCTGCTATGGGCTGGAACCCCTGGAACACCTATGGTTGCAATATTAGCGAGGAGATACTGCTCAGCACAGCCGAGCAACTAATCAATCTCGGCCTTCTAGAAGCAGGCTATAATTACGTGAACAGTATTAACCCTTCCCGTATGCTCACTAAAATACGCAGTGTCTAACAAGCCACAGTCGACGATTGTTGGTCTGTCAAAAGTGGCCGGGACAATGTCACCCAACAAATAATCCCTGATCCAGCAAGCTTTCCTAATGGAATCAGTGGAGTAGCCAGTACCCTCCATAGTCAGGGATTGAAGTTAGGCATCTACAGCAGTGCAGGAACCACTACCTGTGCTGGGTATCCAGCTAGTCTAGGGTATGAGGACATCGACGCCGCCACCTTCGCATCATGGGGGGTTGACTATCTGAAGTATGACAATTGCGGTGTTCCTTCGAACTGGACTGATCAGTACAATTCTTGTACCGACCGCTGGACAAACATGCAAAATGATACCTGTATTGGCCTCACGAACCCAGCGCCTCCAGGATATGATTGGTCCAAGTCATTGACAGCAGTACGATACGGTCGGATGAAGGATGCGCTACAAAGGCAGAACCACTCCATCCTCTATGCTTTGTGCCCCTGGGGTTTTGCCGAGGTCCAAACCTGGGCAACAGGAGTCGGGGCATCCTTTCGTATGAGCAAGGATATAAAAGCGAGCTGGGACTATGTGCTGCTTATTCTCAACGAGAACTCATTTCTCATGAACTATAATGATTTCGGGTAAGCGGAAGGCCCTATGACCCAACCCGGGAGTTGAGTGTCAGCTAATCCGTTCGCAGCATTCATTCAGACGCTGATATGCTAGAGGTCGGAAATAACGGTCTTACTTTCCCTGAGCAGCGTTCGCACTTCGCACTTTGGGCACTGATGAAGTCACCACTCATTATTGGTTCGAAATTGTCCAACCTAAGCGCTGACCAATTGTCATTGCTTACGAACCCCTACTTATTGGCATTCAACCAGGACCCTGTTTACGGGAAGTCAGCTGCTCCTTTCAAATGGGGCACTAATCCAGACTGGAGTTATAATGCTAGCTTTCCGGCTGAATACTGGGCGGGAGAAAGCCAGCAAGGAATGTTTGTTGCTCTCCTTAACACGGCCAGTACCGCCAAGAATAAGACAGCTCTCTTTTCAGAGATTCCGGGTCTTCAACAGCACAGGTATGGAATTATTGATGTTTGGACAGGACACTATTTGGGCTGCTTCCTACATGACTATACAACGTCAGTAGAGCCTCATGATATAGCGGTTCTAATTTTCACGAATTGCCAGAAATAAGAAAGGGGTCAGCGTACAGTGGAAGGGATCAATAAGCCGAATTTATTTGCCTCCTATGTTACTATTTTCCACTACCTGACTTTCTTTCTGGCCAAACCTTCTTTATATCTCACGTCTATAGACTGCTTTACTCGCTCCTGCGTTGTAAAGACTACAGGATGTAGAACATTTGCTTTGCTCACCTTACCAGACTATCTGCAAACTCAAATCAAGAGCGTGATTACAAGTTCAATCTCTGGTAAGTGGTCAGTAACAAGCAAAATGGAAAAATAAATCCAAGAAACAAAAACATACAACAGAAGGGATTCGCTGGTGGTCACCCACCCAACTACTAACCTCCCGGCGTGTGGCTTAAGTACGGCTGAGCGGACGGGAAGCCCTGTTTTCCACACCCTGTGGTCGTATGTACCAATTCTATCTTGTGTCTAAATCATATAGGCTTTATGCAATGACCTGGAGGTAAACAAGCAAGGTGGATGATCGCTGAATTATGGGTGTTATGGGGGATACAGATCCCTAAAGCTTAGATAGATTAGAGAATACAGTCTATAAGATTTCTCTAGCTGAGTGACTGGATGTAAATCTTCTCTATTACTTAAGTAATAACTATAATATTTAATTAATTAAATTTTCTTTTAAATAGATCCGCGGCTAGAATAGCTAAAGTACATCAGTACTTAATAAAAATAATATTTATTTCAGCTGGTTTATGGATGTTGATGTCCGGCAGCTCTGATTATTTAAATAAAAATATACTTACTTACTTAGATAGAGCTAGTCTATTTTATATAATATTATTAATATATTTTATAAATAGAATAGGATTGTATAGAGAGTAGTAGACTATAAATAGAAGATTAAATAAAATCTAAATAATATTATTTATTTTACCTGTCTGCTTCAGAGTTTTTTATATATTAAGTATTTACTTTAAAATACTTCAGTTATATCAGAGAACAAGTGTTAGGGGCGTTGTAAGAGACGTGATAAGTTTAATTATATGTGCGAGCACTAGCTACCGTCCTGTTTTGAACTGATTACTGGTTTTTCCTAGTATCGGAGGGGCCAGTAAGATGTATTATAGAAGTGAATTATATAATCTCATCTAGTTTATATAATTTATAACCACATGTTATTTCTATGATCTGCTGGATTATAATAAGCTAGTTAATTTATTTTAATATTTTTTTTTTCCCAGAGTAGAGTGGTTATACCTGACTGTTATATCTTAACCCAACCGTCAGGTTACAGTTAAGGTTAGGTTAAGGATAGGTTACAGTTAAGAGATTACTTTAACTGATCTGAATATCGGATCTTGACGGGCCTCAGTCCCGGGCTATCCTGTAATAATCACCTAACCATGGGCTTGACCCTACTAACTATCAAATGCAGCCTCGTAATCGCCCCGGACGCCGCGCACGTCCGTGAGCTCGGCTGCCGCTGCAATGACACCTACCCCTCACTACGGCCAGGGATTTGGCTTGGAACCACAAAAAGACCATCTTTACTGTTACCTAAAACTTGTCGACGGCAAATGGTCCCTCGTCCGGACAACATGTGCTAGATTTCTGGCCAGCCTTGCAGCTAGATCCAGACACATAACAACCAGTAACAGCTTGCAATCTTAAATAACAATGAACCCACCTGACGCCATTTGTGGCCAGAAAACAAAAGTCCGATCTTGAGAACGTATCTAAGTACGTAAACCTCTCAGTACCTGATCCACATACTACGAGCGGCCCATGGCAGATTAGAATGGATCGTGCCTAATCCAAGCCTGATCAGCCCCAGCGCACGGCGCTTGGCATGGATGATTGTCTTCCTCGGACAAAAACCCAAACTGCGTACACTGAAATAGGCATAGCATGCAGGGAAGATCGGGCACTCAAGCATAATAGAACGAAAAGAGAAGGGAAGGAAAGGAAATGGGGGGAGCGGGCGTGTGATGGACCGAGGCAGCAGGGACATGGACAAAAGTCCAAGCTACGAAGGGCTGATGAAAGCAGACGGACCCCTAGTCCAAAACTGGTATTGTTTGCCCGAGCACCCTTGTTTGACCTAGGCAGCGGGCCCATTTCATAAAAGGTAAGGAGTAGGTCAGTTTGAAATCTTTGAGTCCCGCAACTGTTCCTTGTTAAACAAAGGATGCCCCAGTAATCCAGCGAATCATCATGTCAAGCGCTACATCCGGCCGATCTTGGGGCAACTACCATAGTACCAACACTACTCGTTAGCCAACTGGATCATTAAACCCCTCTCTCCTAATTTTACTTTGACTTACCAGGTGTCCAGCGTTGTCCACAGTCACAAAGGCAAAGCGTGACGTTTCGTCCGTCCCTTCACCGACCGAAACCTGAATTTCCTTCGCACTCCCCACAGGTTCCTGGCTCCCAGAGTTGATCGAGACCCACGGAAGTAAGGGCTTTGCGGTAAATTCTGTCTGGCCTTTCCAAGAAAGCGAGTTCGCCCAACGTAGGTTGCCAGCCGTATTACAGGCGAGATCAAGGTTGCCTTGATACGCTAAGAAGTCAACATTATTTGCGAGTAAGAAAGCGATCTGCTTCGAGCTCGACACCATGCCGTCCGCTGATTGAGCAAATGCATCAATAACAGAAGTAGCGACGAATTTGTATTCGGTAACCTGTTGCGGTGGCGACAGGGCCTCCCAAACAGATGGCGAATTCAAATATCTCTCAATTAGAGCCGCTTCGATATAGCACATTTCGTCGATCTCACAAGGTGCAGTGACTGTCGTCATCCTTAGCAATAATTTGGCCATGAGCCTCTGATGATAACAACTCACTATCAAATCTGTTACGGCCATCAGCGCCGGCCTCGTTATCATACTACCCTACAACACTATCGTAACAGACGGACTGGGCCGCATGACATATCGCGGGGTCTGAGTGTTGAATGCATATGTCATATAGATCCATACAGTGCGGCATATTCGCCGCCATAATATCGCACCTAGTTTCATTGAAGATAGGAGATGGGACTCCTGAGTTAGTAGTACACAGTGTTTCCCAATACCCGAACGTTGCATCCTTGGGTGACATGAATCCGTTACCCACCAAGCACGATTTCAGCGGTATCCTGGGGCTATCTTTATACAGTTCATTTTGTTCCAAGATTTGGGTCGCCAGATAAGGAATGTACCGGCCCTACACAGTGTATCACAAGGTAATTGTTAGAACACTGAGCAAGCTTTTTCTGGGGGCGGCTTCTATCTTACTGCGTAAGATTCACCGGAAAGGTGAACGGGAAGGAACTGTTTGTGAGGAAAAATCTCGGATATGAATAATCGCAAGAACCGATGCATGTCCACCGCGGCTTCACGTGAGTCATGAGGCAGCTCATAGCCCTCATCGATATAGGAAAACCCGACATCGACTGGCTGGTCAACAAAAAGAAGTGATGAATTCTTGGTCCAGGCCCAGGGGTTGTGATCTGTTCCATTCCCAAACTCATTAATCCGGCAAGGGCCAACTTCTTCGAAAAGTCCAATCATACTCGAGTCTCCTGGGCCCCCAGTCATCCATAGCGTTAGGGGATCATGGAAGGGGTCATTCTGGCTTTCAAAATACCAAAAGAAAAGATGCTTCGGGCCAATGTCGAGCCAACCAGTGAATTGGGGTGAACGAGCATCACAGATCGAGTCATTCTGCTCCTGGATGCGAATTGAAAATGCCGGTGAGTGTGGGCTGCGAAACACCGTAAAGGGATCAGCCCCCTCTGGCCCTAACACGGTCTGCGTAGCGGCATATACTACGCTGCCGAACAGGGCCGACAAAAGGGTGATCATTGAGCAGGGTGGGTTATAGGATATTGAATTCAAACTGGCAGTAGCAACAGCACCGGAGGGGTTGGTTCAGTCAGCTTTGCGGGGTCAGTTTGATTCAATGGATGCAGCTATCATCGTGTAAGCATTAATTAGTTGGTGAAGTCTAGCCAAAGAGAAGCAATAGATAGAGAGAAGAGAGAGAAACGGAATAAACACGGAGCAATGTAGTTTCATTCAAATGTGATGCTGCTTGGTCGTTTTCACCGATCGTGAAATTCTCCTTCTCTGGGGCCTTTGCATTCTTCCTGATGAAATTATGTTGGAACGTAATCTCAGTAGATTACTAGTAGTCGAGGTCACGTGACCCGAACTCCGTAACTTCAACTGCTCCTCCGAGCGCGCCTAGATAGCGAAGAATCAAGCGTTTTCAACGACTTCAGTATTGACCTAAAACGTCGTTTCAACAGGTTATGAGCCCGGCTCTTCGCTCGTGAGGCTAACCAGCAAAGATCTGAGCCACCATACACACGAAGCAAGCCGCAATTGCAACGGGGACACGCACCGCGATACCCCTATCTCAAAACACCAAAACACCGCGAATATCAAAATATTCAACCGCCGGAAGCAGACCCCAGAATGTCGCAACCAGGCAGATACCACTCTTTACAACATGTCTCGAATACAGAGGCAGTAGCCATACAACCAAAGACACAAGCAGATAGGCTTCCAGTAAAGCTACCAGAAGGCGTTCAACCCGTATCTGAAAGGTTGAAAGGGCGAGAAGACTACTCAACGTGGCGCTTTGAAATATGTCAAATCCTGAAGAACGTCGGTCTACAAGACATGATCGACAAGGGTCTATCCCATCCTAGTACAAACCACACGAATTACTGGCTATGGCACCACCTGTCAATCAACATCCAGTCCTGGCTAGCTAGCCAGCTGTCAGACCCCCTAAAGAGGGCACTGATGACGTCCCCTGACGCGCACGACTACGCGGACGATGCCTACGAAGTCATCAAATCACTCGTCCTAGGCCACGGCCACACGCTTTGCCAAACAACGTACTTCGACCTCATCCACAAACGCCGATCCGACTACTCTACCGTTGAACAATACGTGGAGGCGTTCAAACACGCATACAACTTCGCTAAAGAGTTGAAAGTCGGGATATCACCATACTGCGGGTTGCTACACCTGCTCAAAGAGCTGGAATCCGACCTTCCAACGTGGGTGTCAACAGTGGAGTGCAATTTGCCTGATAATGCTGCGGACACCCTCCAGGAGAAAGAGTTTCTAGTTTACTGCAGGACCGCAATCGAACAAGGTAATAAACAAATGCAAAGATATTCTTTCGCTGCGCCAGCGAAGAACACTGGAAGCACCACCAAGTCGGGAAGCACTGCAACGACCTCAGAGTGGAAGAAATCAACATTCCCACCGAAAGGAACGACCCCTGAGGAACACGCTAGAAAGATGCGAAACTTGAAGCCAGAGATGACTAAGGGACGCTGCGCTTTCTGTAAGACACTAGGCCATGGAGCAACCACCTGCTGGCGCTTGAATCCTGACCTCCGGCCAGAGGATTATAGGCCTCGTATAGAAGGCATCTGGTGGTTCAAAGGATCGAAGCCTAGCGAAGCATCAAATGCAGCGGTAGGCGAAATAGGATCCGATGACGAAAACCCGTATATTTTGAATTTTTCTGGCCTAGCCGTTGCAAACGCCACGAACACCTCGCTACGCTGGATATATGATACAGGCAGCTCACAGCATCTAACACCTGACTGCGCTTCCCTAAGCGGTCTCCACCAATTGAAACCCCACGAATACTACCAATATGGCACCTCGAACGGGGGAATCGGTGTTGCAAAATCGGCAGGGTATCTGACCCTGACCCTAGCTGCAAACGGCCAAAATACGGTGTTGAAGATCAAGGCCTACCACCAACCGGACCTACCCTACGGGCTCCTTTCTTCCAACCGCCTACGTACAGACCTTGGCATCTACGCTACCACTAAGGACCTGACCCTACGCAGGGACCGGGATGACAAGATCGTCGGCCACCTGCAGGCATCGAAAAACGTGCTTTTCGTCAGGACAAAAGACCCTGACCTAGCGCTAGCGGCAGTGGACCCCCTACTCTTGCACCGGCGATACGGGCACGCAGGATTCCGCCGAATCGCTACCACTGCAAAGGATCATCAAATTGAACTCGAACACAGGGACACCCTAGAGTGCGAAGCATGCTCGCTAGGCAAGGCCACACGCCTCGTTTCAAGGGACCCAATCCCAAAGACTAATGATCCAACACAGCTCTGGCATGCAGACATCCAAAAGGTGACCCCGATTGGTCATGGCGGATTCAACTACTTTCTACTCATGGTCAACAACGCTACTCGCTTAGTGAGGACGGCCATGCTTAAACACAAAGATGACGCCTCCGACGAGCTGATCAGGATGAATATGGAACACAAGAATATGGTCGGCCGATACGTGGCCACCTGGCACCTAGATGGTGGCCGCGAGTTCAACCGCTTTAGGAAATGGGCGAATCATGCAGAGCGAGGCATTCAAATCAAAATATCACCTCCTCGAACACCCGAAGCCAACGGCCTAGCTGAACGATACGGCGGCTTGCTCAACCGAATGAGCAGGGTCATGATACTAGATGCTGGCCTCCCTGCTCACCTCTGGCCGTACGCTGTACGCCTCTCAGCGCAGATCCTGAATCGCCTCGTCCCCTACCACAGCGCTGTCAGGAAGACCCCCGTGTTCCTATACAGATCCCACTACAACCTCCCGAATCCTAACGCGTCACTAGACTTCCTACGCGTATTCGGATGTCGTGCCTACCAACACATCCCGCAGGAAGATCGAGTCGCATCCCAGAAAATGGGACCTCGTGCAAAAGTCGGATACTTCGTCGGTTTCGATGGGGACAACGGACACGTTTACTACGTGTGGGATCCTATATCTGATAAAATTAAACGATCACGAGACGTTAAATTCAACGAAGATCGAACCTACAAGGATGACAAGGAGGATCCCGGTGGAGTTCCTACACGCGAACCTGACCCTAAAGGACCAACACCAGCTGGCCCAGGTGCCGCGCTCAAGTTAGACAACGCGTTCCTGCACCAAACAACCAATATATCAGATAACACGAGGGCCCTGATTGAGCAACCGGACCCTGAAGAAGACGTCATCCGAGGCAGAATCCACACCATATCTGCCTCCGCAGAGCCTCCACCTACACGCTCGATCGAGAATGCCACAGAATACGAGGCATCCTCAACGAAATACGCCGCGCAGGACTACCGCCTGCCGGACCCTACTGAGCCAGAAGAACAACCCATACTGAGGCGCTCCGCAAGGACCACTAAAGGCAAATCATCAACATGGCCAGATTACCAACAACTGGCCACGGTTGACCGGGTGACCCTACCCCACCTCAAACAACACGAAGTGGTCGTTCCGAACACCTACAGCGAAGCGATGAAGTCCCCGCTGGCACCATACTGGAAAGATGCTATGGATACACAGATCGATAAGATACAGAATATGGGCACCTACGAGATCGTGAACCGACCTCCAACCGCTCGCGCAATCCCAGGCAAGTGGGTGTACGACCTCAAGGTCAACACTGACGGATTCGTCACCCAATTCCGTGCTAGATGGGTAGTCTGCGGCAACCGCCAGATACCAGGCATCGATTACGACGAATCGTTCGCTCCTGTCGCCAGCGAAGCGGCCCTGAAGCTATTCATGACGAACGTCGCTATAAAAGATCTTGAATGGGAACAATGTGATATAGTATCTGCTTATCTACACGCGCAGATACAGGGCAAACGCGTGTTCATGAAACAACCTACCGGATACCATGAAGGACCACCGGATCAGGTGTGCCTATTAAAGATGGCCCTCTACGGCCTCCGCCAGGCGGCCCACCTCTGGCACCAAACGTTTGACGAAACACTTAAAAGAATCGGTTTCGAACCACTGAGGGAGGATCCCTGCGTATACAAAAAGGGTGATATCTGGTTGATTATTTATGTTGACGACTCCGCTATCGCTGGCCCCAGGAAGGAAGACCTAGCCGAGGTCAAACAACACCTAAACAAGGCATTTGGCCTGAAGGAAATGGGGGAACCAAAGGTTCTACTAGGATGCAACGTTCAACGTGACTACCAAGCAGGCACGATATCACTATCCCAACCAACGTACGTGGAGGAGTGCCTCAATGCAGCGAACCTAGGATCCTGCACCCCCTCCGCCATTCCGATGACCGTTGCCTACAAAAAGTCAGATCGCTCGAATATGACTACCGAAAACGTCAACCTAGCCGAATATCAAAGCCTTGTAGGGCGTTTGAACTGGCTAACCACAAAGACCCGCCCCGATATACGTCATGCAACGTTTAGACTTCAAAGGCGCATGAACACTCCCACTACGGCCGACGCTAAAGCATTGAAAATTGTATACAGATATCTGAAAAGGTCCATCCCGTACGGGATCACCCTCGCCACTGACCATACCAAAGGCATCGAAGTCTTCGTAGATGCCGCCCACGCTGACCACGAAGACGGCAAATCAACGGAGGGATACGTCATCTTCTACGCTGGCGGCCCAATCAGCTGGTCATCCAGGAAGCAATCGCTAGTTGCACCGTCATCTACGGTAGCAGAATACTGCGCGTTTGACTCCGCCGCCAAAGAAGCCTTGTATATAAAGAAATTGGTTGAAGCGTTTGACCTCAAGGCCTCCGTTGACGGCAGGATACCCTTGTACACCGACGCCGCCAACTCCCTACGGATCCTGAACCACGGAGGCTACACCAGGTCCACTAGATGGCTCGATAATCGTTACCTATTCGTAGCCGATCTGATCACGAAGAACGCTATCACCATTCAACACATCCCAGGGACCACCAACCCGGCGGACGGCCTCACCAAGCCGCTTGATAACGAATCGTTCAAAGCGTTCAGGCACCTCCTCGGAATGACCCCCATCTCCTCCCCGAACCTGCATCCAGGGAACACCGGTTGAGATAGCCGTTCCTTCCTATCTAGGCAATGCCTAGAGCCTCGTTACGAACGCTCCCTCGCCTAGGGGGCCGTGTTGGAACGTAATCTCAGTAGATTACTAGTAGTCGAGGTCACGTGACCCGAACTCCGTAACTTCAACTGCTCCTCCGAGCGCGCCTAGATAGCGAAGAATCAAGCGTTTTCAACGACTTCAGTATTGACCTAAAACGTCGTTTCAACAAATTATAAAACCGACTGACCAAAATTATTGTAGAGTTTTGGAGCTCGAGATTCTCTCAAAACATACGGCAGATTAGATGACCCTGATATGACGGAACTGTGAACCTAGGGAACGTGCTCAATCGGTGTTTGCATTCTAGAAGGGGTGGTGGACGTTATGGGTCACGGGGTACACTATGCTACTGTGGCAGAAATGGGCTTGGCAAACAGCTGGTTAATACACCGAGTTTAAGGTATCAGGCCGTGATCAATTCACTAGATGTATTATACTAGCTTGGGCGATCCTCGTGGTAAAATTACCCACTGTCACCGAGACACACCCTAACTTTAGTGGATATTTTAAGCTTGCGCGGCAGGGGAGCTTGGGCCTGTAACTCTGGGTCTTTGGGATGTGTTATTTCTTTTAATACGATTCATAGAGAGAAAAAGCCAGCTAATCTTTTGAATGAGAAGTATAGTAATTTTTTAAGTGTAAAATATCTGCGCCCCTTCATGAGTAAATTACCGAGCTTTCATCGGCTCAGGAACCTAACACGAGTCATGACAATCCCAGGCTTCCCTCTACTATCTGGGTAATTGAGTACTAGTTCAGAAAAAGTATCTCGCTAAATTATCAAAGTGGCTATTCGCATTGCCAATTCAAAACAGTCACTAGAGAAAACAAAGAAAGCAAAGCAAAGCCGCTCCAATATCGCGTTGGAGTTAAAATAAATTATCCGGGGAAAAATAACTCCAGAGCGGCAGAAATTCGAATACATGCGTCTTGAAGCTAACTTGGGCGATCTTCATGGTAAAATCGTAAGGGATCCCTCTCTGTTTAGCATCATTTCAAGGAAAGTTAGATGGATGCTTTTAGATCTTCTGGCAGATTGGGACTTTACCGGTCTCGAATTGTGGTCTGATTGCCCCCCGGACTAGTCGCAGGGAAAAGTTACGTGCCAGATTTCAGCCCCAGACGGCGTCCCCACCGCAAATTGCGTTTATGGAACATGGGAGTGTTACAACAGGTCGGGTGATCGTCATGGTAAAATTACTGCCAGTCATTGAGAGACTTTGTTATCCACTCATACTTTCATTTCGCGCCTTGGGATTTTTGAAATAGAGAAAGTCATGATTCTAGCCGAAAGACCCGACCAGCGGGCCTTTTCACTCTACATATGTCCTGTGCATTGGTCTAAAGGAGCTTTATACATGCCATGGCTGCCCCAAATACCTATTGTTCTCTGGTACGAACGATGTTTTCCTTCAGGTTTTCTTCCTTCATCCTGACCCCCCTTTGGTTTTTATCATTGCGGATTCTTCCTGTCAACGGCAAAAGAACCATTGACTAGTATGTATATATGTTATCCGGTGCCTTGGAAAGATAACCTATTTTAGTAAAAAAAAATAGCATCTGCATACTTTCAACCTAAACATAATGCTTTTACCCTCGAAATCGCCTTTGCCACTAAGCATCAACTAGTAGAATACACATTGGTTGGAGGCGCATACAAACACAAAGAAATTTTACCAATAATAAAAATAAGACTACCAATGGTATTGAACTGTACCCGGATTTCTGTGGCTCTCGGATCGATTTTCTTATGGTGTAGGATCTGTCGGAATGGGCGAAACACCCGACTATAAAAGGACGTGTTGCAAGGGAGTTCACACGCATGCGCGATTCGTTTCATTGTCACTCTCATATTTTCAAATAGGTCTCTACTCACTCTGGAAGATTCTCCCATTGATATTTCATTTCAATACAATGCCGCTACCTATGTTCATTTTAATGGCTTTGCTCCGCAATTACACTGCCCGAAGGGCAGGTAGTCACATGATCAATGAACAGAGAAACCAGGAGTTAGTACTTGAAGTACGTCACAGACCATATTGGCCGTGTGACTGGGATAATCTAATTTCCACAGTATACTTGAATTATCCTCCTTGTGAGGATTATGAGCAGACTATGGCTAGAAAGAATATCTGAAGCTTCTATTAGAACCACGGAAAATACACATTCTTTAGGTTCAGTTAAACTATCAACCCCTTGTGTCCCTTTACCACCTTCTGGATCCCATTATCCGGCTTGTGTCTATGTCTCACGCGAATCAACTGCTTGATCAAATGTTTCAAATCTGCCGCTAGAAACACAAATCGATGTCCTATTGCCAGGACAGCAGGGTTCCTCTGTAAGGCAAGGTCTCCTGTACCGTGCCAATGGGAATGTTGCCCCAGAGAAAAGAGAGCTACATGGGCCAATTCACAATGGATTAGAATCCACAGATGGGCCAACTCGCAGGGATATGAAATACATTGATGGCTTTCATGTTGCATGCATGTGCCTTGTTTTATATTATGCGGTGAAAGACCCCTGCCGATTTGCTAACGAAGTTGCGCGATCGAGCAAGCAAAGGGATATTGTGCAACGGCCTCTGGCAAATGAAGGTACTTATAGAGGATATGCAGGGCAGGCTCCGTACTCGGCCAGTGTACAGCCTATAGATTTCTCCTGCGCAGACCACCAAAAACGCAAAAGAGAGGTCGAGCACCAGGTGGATGGCTCGGCAAAAAGGACAAGATATCAACCAAAGTCTGAGTCTATATTCCGGAAGGCTTTGAACTCCTGTGGGTTTCGAGATGGTTCGGGAATGACCCTGAGTGATGGAAAGCTTCAAGAAATCTGCTTCATAGGAAGCCAATGTCTCACTGTTGACCAACCGCAAGACCACATCCAAAGAAATCTCCAGAAATAGCGGAAAGACTTAGAGACCGGCCGCTACACGCCGGGTTATCCAGCACCGGTAGAATTACTTGATATGGGTATAAAGCAATTCAAAGTGCTCTACTCTGGTTGTCTCTCCAGCACAATCGACATTCGTCTCACCCATATATCCTTATACTTTACCGTCTGGCATATCCGTCAAGATCCAGGGAAATATATAGGAGACTCAAGGAGAAAGGGCGAACGTGTACTGACCTCCTTCCTGAGTCGTATCTCGGGGATATCAGGTGACGGGCATGCCGAAGATCGGCGTCGTCGCTATGCCATGAGCAGCTACTTGCGGCTAGGGAAGCGATGGGCATTTGTCGCCGCTAGTTTGGGGTATGGTAGTTTGCTCATCTGTAGCGACAAGCTGGCGTCTCATATGTAAGGGTCTATCTTTCTCTGGATCGTTGGGGTTATGCTCATCATATAAATCTCTAGAAACACATCGCATTTTGTTGATGGTCAAGTGGGGGCTCTTGTGACATATGATCTCAAAACCCGACCTGGAACTGTGGCTTTGTACAGATCCATGGAACCCACAGTTATAAGCATGCTACGAGGACGGATAGCAACCGACGTTACTGCATGCTCCTTGCTTTCAGATGCTAAATTGGCTCAGTATAGGGAAGCAGACGTGAAAGCGACAGAGAACCCCGGTATCGGTTCACCCTGGAAGTTCATATTCCGTCAAATAGCAAAAGCCCAGTTCCCGCCATTGAAGGACATGTCGCAGTTTATTCCTCCTCTGTCTCGTGACTATGCTTGAAGATATGACAGCACATTGAAAAAAGTGTGACACCGCTGCCTGACTTTGTTTAGTTGGTCTTATTTTGTTCTGATACTTCCAAAAGGATGGATTCGATGTGTATTTTGATTTGCCACATATAGCACCGGTTAGAGAGACTAATCGTTAGGTGGCATTGTCAGTTCTCTAGGGTTCTTATAAAACTGTATCTGAGACCTGGGTATTTTATTCACCTCAGTGAACCCCCTTGATTTGTTACCAATTTGATTTCACCCTCGCGACCTAAGGCACATATTTTGGTAATATACAGCCCATATTTGAAAGACATACAATACCCTGGGCTTTTTGTCTTCTGTGTGTACCAGGCTATTTCATCGATCTCAAGTTCACGTGGAAATCGATATTTCCGTTGTAGAGCCGAAGTTGGACAAAAGTCTTACTACAATGGTTCTCTGATTCGCCTACCCGGAAGTTAGTTTTGCACCTGCTCTTGTGTCATTATTGTTAACCTTAGGTACATGCCAAAGGCCACAGTTGGAAGAAGCTATTGTTGCCATCTCATTCACCGTCCATTCTCTATCTAGGCAAACACAGCTTAACTTCAGATTAGAATGATATATTTTGCTTTATAATTCCATTGCGGTCGACTCACGAAGGTTATGGTCTGGCATGTTGTGTATATCGCTATATTTATACGGTAACTACCACTATTTTTGTAGTTGTTGACCTGGTAGGCTCTGCCGTGGTCTGCGAGAAGTAGACAGATCTGTGCTCAATTCTGTTGAAGAATTGGCCAGACTGAACTCCTGGATTAAGAGCAAGATAGGACAGTGGATAACATCGACAGGTTTCAGCAGAATTGCATGCGAGGAACCTCGCAGATTCGGTGTCTTGTACCGTATAGTGCACACTGTCCTGGCTCTTATTTTCTAACTGCCTGACTGGTGAACATAGATCTTCAATTGTGATATTGAAAACAAAAAGAGATCCATTTAATAACTTAAAAAGGACAGACTCTCCAACGGAAACGCTCAGATACTTACGGTCAAAAGTAACAACTTCACCCGCTGTGAGCTTTACTGTATGTATGGATGCAGCAGACGAAACGGGAGGCGAGTGCATGGGAGTCCAAGAGATTTTTCCCGCCACTGCGGGTGGAATCGCCGGGGTAAGCTTTGACACTTCTTTGGCTGATAGGTCTGTCGTACTGCATGGAATTGACTTGGGGGACGAGGTACTAATTAAGATAAGTGATGGGGACCTGGAACTTTATACCGGCTCTAACACTGAAGTCTGACTTGTATCTGACAGACTCGAATTGGAGCCGATAATAGACCCATCTGCCGTCAATGCCTGGGGGTTGGGCAAATAAAATGTGTAGACGTCACTGTCAAGCTCATCAGAGTCTCGCCCCCGGGGCTTGACCTTTCTGCTAACTGCTCAAGAGGCGTTATTTCAATATCAAAACATGTAGTATAGATCTACAAGGGTCAATTAGTGCCATGCCTCCTGAGAGATTATGAACTTACTTGATGTCCAGTTTCTAACATCTTGGTTGTATTCCACAGCCAGTAGATAGTGTAGATACTTAATATTTCTTCCACTGAAGACGTACAGGTCCTTCATGTCGCAGGTTGGAGAGTAAGGAGCAATATACGGATACGGGAAGCAAGGTGGGACACAGGGCGAGCGATTACTTCACACCAGTCGTGTGGGTTAAGAAATCGATCTTCTCATGCTTCTGGTGTCTATCCATGAATCACTGATGATTCCACCGCTAAGAGAGGGGGTCCTTGTTCTGATTTGTTTGGTTGGAGCTTTTACCGCTATTGTTCGGAGACCTTTCCCACCTGCACACGTTCTAGATTGATATATCTTCATTCGCATGTCATCTATGACGATAATTCTAATACATTATAAATGACTATTTGGTTGGTCCCGCCTCAATCACCCGGAGATCATCCTTCTCTTCCACCCGGTCCTCCTTCAGACCAAACTCAGACTCGAGTGTCGTGCGCAACTCTACCTCCTTCTCCAGCCAAGCAATAATGAAACCCAACCCTGCAAACACCACCGAGATCTGCCACACGCGCTGCATAGCCCCCGTATAAGCCTCGATAATAGCCGGCTGCACATCCGCCGGGAACGTAGACACGAAGTCCCCGGATGCCTGCTCATACGCCCCACTAGAACCCAGGATAGCCGCGATGCGCGGGTCCTTGTCCAGCCCGGCAGCCGCCACCCGGGAAGCGAACTGGTTGTTAAAGATAGCAGCGGGGATGGCGACGCCCCACACGGAGCCCAAGGAGCGCAGGAAGGCCCATGTGGCAGTGGAAGCGGCGACGTCAGTCTCGGCTAGTTCAGCCTGTGCGGCGGGGAGAGTGGAGGTGATAACAAAGCCGGATCCGATGCCTGCGAGGAGCTGGAAGCCTGTCCAGGCGCCTGTGCTGGAGTTTTTATCGAGGAGACTAAATAGACCCATGCCAAGAGCCATGAAGACGAAACCGGCGATTTGGATTGGTTTGTAGCGTCCGGTCTTCGTAAGGACTACACCTGCGACGATGGCCGCTGGTACCGTGACGATGACTGTTGGGAGAAGCTGCACGCCGGAGCGGATAGGGGAGCTGCTTTTAACTCCTTGGAAGTAGACGGGGAGAAAGTAGATAGTCCAGTAGAGGAGCATGCCGTGGAGGAAAGTGAGGGTGAAGGCCGCTAGGGAGGTGCGGTTGGCAAAGAGGCGGAGTGGCATGGTTGGTTCGGGACACAGCTTAGGGGTTGCCTGGATGGCCGGGAAAGCGACCAGAAGGCCTACCAGGCCGAGAACTAGTGGTACAACTACATGCCAGCTTGACCAGGAGTAGGTGGTACCGCCAAAACTGAGGGCGATCAGGATAGCCACCACCGAAGCGATGAGGAGCCCGTTGCCAAGCCAGTCGATGCGCTTAAGCTTCTCCACTAGAGTGGTGTTCTTCTGGTACTTCACTTGCAGGAAGAGGAGCATGAGACCTATAGCTGCTCCAGCAATGGGTAGACTGATATAGAAGGACCAGCGCCAAGTGACATTCTCAGTGAAAGCGCCGCCGATGAATGGGCCCAGAGAGGAGCCGACTGCGAAAACGACGAAAATGAGGGCCATGATCTGCCCCCGCTCGCGCAGAGGCACGAGGTCACAGACGACCTGCAACGAATCAGAACAAGAGCAAGAAAAAAAGCAAATAAAGGGAAGCCAAGCTTCAGGAATCGTACAATATCCACTAACATGTTGACTCCTCCCAGGCCCACTCCTTGCACCGTGCGTCCAGCGATGAGCATGCCTGAGGATGAGGCGCCCCCGCTGATTCCACTTCCCAGGGCAAAGAAGGCGACGGCGGAAATCAGCGGCCATCGTCGGCCCCAGACATCGGCTAGCTGGCCATAGAGCGGCTGAAAGGCCGTGCTGGATAGGAAGAAGGCATTGACAAACCAGATGTACGACTCTCCAGCGTTCAGGTCGCGAGAGATAGTGGGAAGAGCCGTTGAGGTGACGGTGGATTCAACGGCCGTCAGGAGCGAGGTAACGGCGCAGCCCGCAATAATTAGCCAAAAGCGCCAGCCCCTCGAGGAAGAGGATGACGGTTGTGCTTCCATGGCTGCGGCAGGATGAGGGAAGGATTGGGAGGCGCAGGCAAACCAGAACCTTTAAAGCGCGCAGGAAGAAGAAAGCTGAGCCAGGATGAGTAGAGATGGGAGTTGAGGTTTCAGCTGCAAGGCTGAACGAGGAAGGGGGTCGAGGACTCGGTTTACTCGGTCCAGATTCTGCCTCGATGCGACCTGTGTATTATACCGTCTGGTATGCAGCAGTACCATACAGGTTTTATCAGAAGTAACAACGCTACCAGTCGATATTAATGTGTTGGTCTGGAAAATGGTGCCAGCGGCACTCGCAGGACGCTAACCCTACGCACCCCTGCTGAGGAGTGGGGACGCGCAGGGGATGTGCAGGACGACAACTGCCCAATTGCCCAATGAAGCAATGGTCCGTCATTGGGGCCATTTACTAGTGTGTATGTACTATGCAGTGAACAAAGAAGATCCCTGGACAATTACAAAGAATCATCATGGTTCACAATCCTTCGCTTTAGTGAACGTTGGAACATTTCACCTTCCTCCTTTGGACTCCAGTAGCCACGGATTTATCTCTTCCGGTCTAGTACTATTGTAGTAAGTAGTTCTTAGTGTTACAGTAGACCAATGGAAATTCACTGAGAACAGAGAGAGACTGGCTATCTATCGAGGATTATTTGATTACATTTGATACACTGTGTTAATGAACAAAGGGAGCTCCTAAGCGATATTGCGCAATGATCAAGGCTGCTGCCTATCCCTCCTGCCCTCCTCAAGCTCCAGCGATGGGTCCGCAGAGTTCGTCCAGCGGCCAGATTCCCCTTCATCCCATGAACTGGTAGTCAACTCGGTCACACTATCGAGACGCTGCGCATGCCTTTGCCCTTTACCTTGAGCGCCCCGACCGTTTGACGACATCATATACCCATGGGGTTTGAACGGCCGACGAGATTTAGACGCAGTTGTTGATTTTTGAACCACGCGCAGCAGCGGCGCCGACGCAGGGATACACGCCACCACCACACCCCAACAGAGTTGCACACTATTCCACATATAACTGTCCGTGTCATCCCACGACAGGTCGCCACCATTCTCCAGCTTCCATGAATAATAGAAGCGCACCGCTGAGATGGCTGTGACGAAAATACCTAACGAAAACGTGAAGATCACCGCCGCCTTCTTGCGGCCCGGCATTTGAAGATTCCAAAGCACAAACACCGGGACCAAGAGCATTACTACCTCGGAGAACAGGTCGAGGAGTAGCGGCACACCCAAATGCAAGCGCTGGGGCTCGCAGGTTCCGTGCAAGGGCTCCGGGGGTTCAAAGCCGAAGATGGGATACACGCGCAACCAGAACATTTGTGGCGGCACGCAAGCGCAGATGAAGGCGATAGTCGATCCGACACCTAGCCCCGTGCAGAACACGAAGAGGGCCCAGATCGTGTAGCGTAGGGATCTGATGATGGAGTTGAAGGCGCGCTGGTAAAAGAAGAGGATGGAAAGCTTGTTGAACATGAGGGCTACGGCTTGCAGCACGGTCACCACATAACCCATCTACGTATGAAGAGGTCAGTTAGTTAAATGATCGGGTATTCCACTTGAGGACCACAAAGACAGGGGGGGTATTTTCTTCAAACTTTACCTCAAAGATGAGCGCTGTTCTCTCGGGGGGATGGGGATCCTCCTTCATCACCCAGTACTGCATGAGTTGTCAGCCCTACTCTGCTATGTTAGGCCATTGTGTCTCGGGTCTTACTAACCTCATGCCGACCTAGTCCATTCTTCACAGCAACGATAGTGCAACTGGACACCGCCAGGGCTAGTACGGATGCAAATATAATAAGGATACTATCTGGTGTGAAGAGACGGCGGATGGTGGCCTGGGCCACGAGGCGAACTACAGTGGCCAGCACACAGAAGATCATGCTGATGATGCATGCTGCCAGAACCTCGGGACCCCGGTTCTCCCGGGAATGGTTGCTCAGAAGCGCATCCATGGCGCTGGTAGTGTTCGCCATATTGGTCGATTGAAACGAAGGTAGGCTCCTGTACGAAGTACACGCCAAATAATCCTTTGGGGAAAGGAAGGTGGTTGTGAGAAACTTTGAGAAATAAAACCCCCTTCTCTGAGGTCCTTGACCGATTTCCTATCAGCCTTCCCTCTTTCCCCTCATTCCGCTGGAGTAAGACTGCGTCTTACATGCATGCTACTACATGGGGGCCACCGACTCGCTACAGGTATGTACCTCTCAGAGAGAAGCTGGCGGCAGAGTAGTCGCATGTGGCTGGCTTTCTGCCCCAAGAGCTGGCAGGTTTTCACCCATAAAATGCAATATACTTGTGGGGGCTGAATGCGCCGCTCTAGGACTGTGAGGGGTTATCAGCTAGTTCATAGCGCGATGACGTCGGGGCAGGCCTGGAGGGGCTCAGTGCAAGATAGCTGTAATGTTGCAGAGTATTGTTTCATTCTCCACTCATTGTGAGACAGGAGATGCATTTGATAGTCCTCTGTGGAATGGGGAGGCGTGATGAGGATCCGTCAGAATGGCAGGAATACGCAGTAAGGTTGCAGTGTATATAATCCAGCCAAATTCCGACACCCTTTTCTGCAACATGGGGTGTGAAATAGACCACCCATAATGCCCGCACTACCTACGACGCAGAGTGCATTGGTGGTGCAGGGGCCCAATTCCCTCCGATGTGTGACCGACACGCCTGTGCCGTCCCTCGCAGGGGACCAAATCCTGGTACAGACTAAAGCCGTGGCCCTCAATCCGTCTGATTGGAAGATGCTCGAGGCCGCTGCGGCCACGCCGGGCGCAATTAGCGGCAGCGACTTTGCTGGAGTCATCGTTGCATGTGGAGAAGAAGTGCAGAACATGTCAATCGGCGAACGTGTCTGCGGCTTTGTCTTTGGGGCCAGTCCGACAAACCCCACAAATGGTGCTTTTGCAGATTATATCGTCGCCCATCCGAGTCTCTGCTTCCGAGTACCCCCGACCATGACATTTGAAGAAGCTGCTTCTGTGGGTATGGGCTTGATGACTGTCGGACTACTCTTTCGTTCGCTTGGCCTGCAGACACACATAAGCACCAACCCCGATGCAGCGAAAGCGAACACAAACAAGCCGTTTGTCCTCGTGTACGGAGGCTCAACAGCGACCGGCACCCTGGCCATTCAGATGCTTCGACACCATGGCTACCAGCCGATTACGACGTGCTCGCCGCGGCATTTCCCGCTCGTAAAGCAGCGGGGGGCCACGGCAGCCTTCGACTACGCCTCACGCAGTTGCAAGGAAGATATCCGTGCTTACACGAAGGGTACACTGGCGTTTGCTATGGACTGCATTGCCGACTCCCATGCCACAACGGTGTGCTACGGCGCTATTGGTGGGGATGGGGGCCGATATTGCGCCTTAGACCGATTTCCCCCTCGCCTCGAGGGTCGCCGGCAGGATATCCAACCAGAGTGGATTCACAGCGCCACTATTTTTGGGGATGATGTCCAGCTAGCCGGGTCTTATCATCGCACTGCACGGCCTGAAGATCGCGAATTTGCTATTGAGTGGGCACATCATTGCACCCACATCTTGGCTCGAGGTGAACTGCAGACCCATCCACTGCAAGTGCAAAAAGGGGGTCTTCCGCGCATTATTGGGGATTTACCTTTGCTCCGGAGTAAGCAGATTTCGGGCCGCAAATTGGTTTATCCTGTGGGAGGCGCATAGGCCCGATGGCAGTTAATGCTCCGTCAAAATACACCAGAGCAAGAGGGGAAGTTCTGCTGAAGAATACGAGTGGTTGGTATTGTTTGTTAAGTACGCTTTTGTTGGCGGAAGAGGAGAGGGCGCAGAAGAGGGGATTTGTCGTTTGCTGTTGGACGACGCGCGTGACGGGCCAGAGCGTCTTAATTTGTGCCTTAATATGTTCCGTTAACTTCTTGATTACGATAATTGGTTTAGTTGGTTTGTGACGAGTCATGTTATCTCCGGAACTCTGCAGCTTAAGACGGCGAATCATAGCCCAAACTCAATGCTAGTGCTTACCTTCTTTTTGCAGCATCATCGCAATAGGGCTGCAAGTTTCGGTGGCCCCCACACTCTAGGCCTCAGTCAATCGCGAGGAGATATCTTACCACGCGCACTCACAGGCCCACTTGTTATCCTTCTTCCAATCGCAACATGTCATTAACCCATGAAGGTCTTGTTTGGATGCTGACAGTTCGACATGCATCTTGTCAAAGCTAACCCCAAAATAGCAGCGAAGGAAGGTAGTCTCCTCATCAGCGTCGCTTCAGTTTAATTAATAAGCAAACAGCCGTAACTGGATCAAGGAAAAATGGCATATTATTTCCGTTGAGTTATAGACAAGCACCGCTTACTCCACAACAATCTATTTTTCCGAGCAGAGTAATCTGCAACCCCGGGTCTTTAGACGCAGTCTATTGCCCAGCTAGTCACGGAATTAGTGCAAATTATAAACGAAATGTTATTGACGGAGCTAACTGAATACAAGATGATATCTGCCCCATCCCCCCTTTCTAGATGCGGATGCCCTCGGGAGCCGATGTGGTCTTGCTATCGTGACCAAGGCTAGTGAGCTCCTCAAAGCTACCGTAGTCCTCTCCCACTACCTTTCCATCCTCCACAAACACCTCCTCCCACCCTGCAGTCAACTTGGCGCGGGTCTGGTCACAGATCTCATCCTCCCCAGCCACGAGGCTCTGGAAGTCCGGGTCGGTTACAATTGCCTGCGCGGTCTCCGCGTTCGGCACGTACACGGACACCATGATGTCGTGATCTTCAATCTCCCAGCCTGGACGTACGGCCCAGGGGATCTTCTCTGTGATAAGCCTCTTGCTAGCGCTAGGGGTGTGGTACTGCTCGGACATTTCCTGGTCAGCTTATCGTTTCCAAAGGAAACTTTGTGGAAACTAAGAGGTACCCAGCGGGGGGCTTGGCAAAAGGGATCAACAAACCTGGCACACTTTGATGGCGCCATGGCGAGCCTGTACGATGGCTGCCTTAGGAGCATGCGACTTGCTGGCATATTCGTGGAATTCTTTCTCAGAGATGCCCTCCTTCTTGTAGCGGAAGGAGGTCAGCTTGAGGACCATTTGCTTCTGGGGAGCCATGTTGATGAGGAAGGAATTGGAAAAGTGAAGTGTTAAGACTGAGGAAAATGTAGTGGAACAGAAGTGTTGTTGTTGTTGTGGTTGTTGTTGGTCAAGTCCTTACGAGGGCGCATTCCCAAGCCTATATATATTTCTCGCCTGTGGTTTACAGCCCCCAAAAACAAAAAATATGAGCAGTATCATCCCACCTGAGGGGTTATCTCCCATGAGACCACCACTCGGCTCAAGATAACTATTGCCTGACATGCCAAGGTACTCATTTGGAAGTTCTCCGGTCATATCCTGACTTGAGCTCCGGGTGGCTAACCAGTATCTTCACAGGGACGTCGGGGACCTGGTGAGGAGCATCAGCAACATTCACCATCTCCCTCGTGTTGATCATCGTCACAACTAAAGTCTTACCGATGACAGTGCTAAAATCTTATTTACAGTAGGCTCATCGGCCTCACTGCCTAGACGGTCGAGTGACATGGTGGGGCTGAACGCCAATACCACGCTACTCTCAGCTTCTATGTGCAACCGAGGAGGCGTAACGGTCCGGGGAGAGGAAAGATGTACATTGTCATAACAGGTACGAGACATGACAGAATGGGGGCTGTAAATAGTTGGCATGATTGGCTCGAACTGAATGTCCGTCTCAGTGGGTCACTATCTTACTCAATATACGGAGTACTGCCTCAACCACCCTGCACTAGCCGTCTGTACGGAGTGCTTTGAGCAATATCCCCGAGTCAGGCTGTTAGCGAGATTGGCCTCGTCGATACTATCAAATTGCACTGCCTACCAATATCGTCGGACAAGTCGGAACATGCCTTGTGGAGAGAGGCTCGGTGGATTATGACAGGCAAGCTACGTTTGGCTCCGGCGTCCGCCACGACTACAAGGGTGAAATGAGAACCCCCTCATGCTCCCCGCTTACAGTCTATAGAGGTGTGGGGGCCTGGAGTAGTGTAGCCTGCTTGTTATTCTACGTCAGACTTCCTCGCTGGCTCCGAGTGATTGATTTACTTTGCAACTGAGGACATCATGGCAACGGAACGAGAGCCTATTGCCATTATTGGGAGCGCATCGCGCTTTCCCGGCAACGCTACCAACCCACAGAAGCTCTGGGACCTTCTCATACACCCCAGGAATGTGGGAAGGGTGATCCCCGGTGACCGATTCTCTGTGGAAGGCTTCTGGAATGTGGACGGGTCGCATCATGGCACGTCCAATGTCAAACAATCCTACTTTATCGAAGATGATACCCGTCATTTTGATGCCAATTTCTTCAATATCAATCCCAGAGAAGCGGCGGCCATTGATCCCCAGCATCGCCTACTGCTCGAAGTGACTTATGAGGCTCTAGAGAGTGCTGGTCTCTCGATTGATATCCTCCGAGGAACTACCACAGGGGTCTACGTGGGCCTTATGTGTGCCGATTATCTCGACGTCCAATTGAGGGATCCGGAGGCCCTTGCACAGTATCATGCCACAGGCACAGCACGCAGCATCCTGTCCAATCGGGTGTCCTACTTTTATGACTGGAAAGGGCCCTCGGTAACTGTCGACACCGCGTGTTCTTCTAGTCTGGTGGCTGTCCACCAAGCCGTGCAAGCCCTGCGCCAAGGGGAAGGCTCCACGGCCATGGCAGCGGGTGTCAATCTTATATTTGGACCCGAGATGTACATTGCCGAGTCAAATCTGCGCATGTTGTCGCCAACAGGTCTGTCCCGCATGTGGGATGCCAGTGCCGATGGATATGCTCGCGGTGAGGGTGTCGGAGTGGTGATTCTTAAGCGTCTCGGGGATGCCCTCCGGGACGGGGATCCCATTGAGTCTGTGATCCGGGAAACGGCAGTGAATTCGGACGGACGCACGAACGGGCTCACCATGCCATCCTCGGCCAGTCAGGCGGATCTGATCCGTCAGACCTACCAACGTGCTGGGCTTGACCCGACCCAGGCGTCCGATCGGTATGTATGCTGTCTTCACTTGCATTCTATTTGCTGATTTGTTCCACTCAGATGCCAGTACTTTGAGGCTCACGGCACGGGGACGCCCGTCGGGGACCCCCTTGAAGCCGAAGCCATTCACTCGGCATTCTTCCCTGAATCCTGCGATGGCAGTCGGGTGCAAGAGAGCCAGCTGTATGTAGGGTCCATTAAGACGGTCGTTGGCCACACGGAGGGGGCAGCCGGAATTGCAGGCTTGCTCAAGGCGTCCCTGGCCCTGCAGCATGAGACCATTCCACCGAACCTGCATTTCAGGCAGCTAAACCCCAACATTGTACCATTCTACGACGGCCTGCATGTCCCCACCAAACCAATTCCGTGGCCGCCGGCGCAGGTTCGCCGTGCTTCGGTCAACAGCTTCGGTTTTGGCGGGACCAATGCACACTGTGTAAGCCATCATGTCTCCATCATTACTGCAGTTGCTAATGCTAGTTACAGATCCTCGAACAATATGCACCTTCCATTCACGGTGAGCCAACCATGGGCTTCAGCAAGCCCGTAGGTGAACCGGCGGTTGAAAGCCCGCTGATTAGCCTGCCCTTCTCTGCCTCATCTCAATCATCCTTGGCCCGTTTATTACAGAAATATGCTGCCTTCATCGCCGCCCATCCCTCGGTGGACCTGCAAGCAGTATCCCTGGCGCTACAAAAGCGCTCGAATCTCCCCTTCAAGCACTATGTGTCTGGCCTTACCCGTGAGTCAATTTTACAGCAGTTGCAAGACCCTCATTGGCAGTCCGGGGCTTCCGGCGGAGGGGCTGAGGCCCACAGTTCCGCGATCCTGGGAGTCTTTACGGGTCAAGGGGCGCAATGGCCCACAATGGGTCGTGAACTGATGCTTCGGCCCGGTCCGTTCTCTACAACCATTGATCGCCTGGACGATATTCTCCAGCGGCTGCCAGACCCTCCCGCATGGTTCTCCGGCAAGAGATCCTCGCTGATGCGGACACATCTCGGTGCCAGCAGTCAACATACGCCCAGCCACTGACAACTGCTGTCCAGGTGGCTCTAGTCGATCTGCTCCACAGTGTCGGCATTCGCTTCGCCGTGGTTGTGGGACATAGCAGTGGCGAAATAGGGGCCGTAAGTTGGACCACTTTCATCGTTACAAGTCTGTTCACAGTATTAACGTAACCTCCGTCTTGCAGGCCTACGCGGCAAATTGCATCACAGCAGAAGCAGCAATAACCATTGCCTACTATCGTGGCCTCTATTCCCCGCGTGCAGACCCCGGGGAAGGTGGGCCCAGGCGCTCGATGATGGCCGTGGGGATGGGATTTAACGAAGCGACCCGGTTCTGCAGCCAACCCGAGTATGCCGGAATGATCTTTCCGGCTGCCAGCAACTCGCCCTCATCGACCACGCTGGCTGGGAATCTGTCAACCTTGGAGGCTGCCAGGGACGAGTTGGCTCGTCAACAGAAATTTGCTCGCATTCTGCGGGTCGATAAAGCCTACCATTCTCCCTTCATGCAGCCATGCGCGGAGCCCTACCTACAAGCTCTCCAACACTGCAACTTTGCGTACCGCATGTCTAACCCGTCTTGTACCTGGATCTCCTCTGTGCATGGCTTCGAAATGGATTGCAGCTCAGATTGTGTGGATAACAGCTATTGGCTGAAGAACCTCCTGCAGCCCGTCCTATTTTCGGATGCTTTGTCGCAGGCCATCCGCGACCATGGCCCCATTTCTTGTGCCATTGAGGTTGGCCCGCATCCAGCGCTGGCAGGTCCAGCAGGGCAGACATTCAAGGCGCTTCAGCAAAAGGTACCCACCTATCTTGGGGCGCTGACCCGGGGAGAGAATGATGTCCTTCGCCTGAGTAAGTGTCTGGGTGACGTTTGGAAACTCTGCGGTCCATCCTCTGTCGACCTCCAGGTATTCCAGAGTCTGATCAATGGAGGAAACGGCGCCCTGTCAGCCACGATCTTGAAGACCCTGCCAAGTTACCCATGGGATCACGAGCGATTGTACTGGAGGGAGTCGCGTGCTTCTAAAGAATATCGCACCCGAGCACCTCCCCATGAGCTTCTGGGCGTCTGTGTGGAGCAATCTGAGCATCTCTGGCGGTGGCGAAACATTCTGCATCCCCAGGAGATCTCATGGCTGCACGACCACCGATTCCAAGGCGAGATGCTGTTCCCAGCAGCAGGATATTGTACAATGGCCATGGAGGCAGCGCTGCGCTTCTCGTACCCACGACCTGTCCATCTCCTGGAGCTGCACAAGCTGGATATCCGTCGCGGGATCAGCATCGATGGAAGCGCCGACGGCATAGAGGTCCATTGCCACCTCGCTCCTGGTTCCACACAAGAATCAAAGGAGTCGTCGTTCTTGGAAATTGTCAATCTCACCTTTACCTGCACGGCTGGTCACGTCGATGGCTCTGATGCATTGACAACCAGATTCACTACCCGCATCCGACTGCAACTGGGGAGTCCTGACCTCACTGTTCTGCCCAGGAAGCAGCAACAGTCTTCGGGGAAGTCTCCTGTAGACATTGAACGGTTTTACGGGTTTATGTCCCAGCTGGGCTTGGACTATACTGGGCCCTTTCGTTCTCTGCTAGCCAGCGAGCGGAGGCTGTTCCAAGCGTCAGCGACGGTGGCCCATGTGCCATCCTCTTCCTGCTTCATGCACCCGGGTGTCCTGGACACTTGCTTTCAGACTCTTTTTGTAGCTTTTGCATCCCCGGATGATGAGTATGTGTTCCCCATTCCTATTTTCGTCTCCTACTGCACTTACTAATACCCTCTCTAGGAGTCTTCGGGCACCTCATCTGCCAAGGGAGATCCAATCTATGCGATTCAACCCAGAAGCCATAGCCCACGCGGATCATCCTAGGGACTCTTCATTCCAGGTCGATTCTTATGTTACCAAAGCTACGCCTCCTACTCCGAGGGCTCCATCAGATATGGTAGGTGACATTGATGTCTATACAGCGACCGGTGACTGTGTGATGCAGGTCGAGGCCCTCCGGTGTGTTGCCTTGGCAGTGACCACCGAAAAGGACGACCGCGCGATGTTCCATCGCACCCACTGGGAGCTTGACATCCAGGCGGGAATGGTCGTATCTTTTGAAGAACCCAGTGAGGAGTATTTATCGCACCTGCAGCATTATGAGGCGGTCGCTCGCCAGGCTATTGATGGAACACTCCCGGGGGTGGGCGAATTAGTGTCTCCTGAACTGCAGTTGATTCAACAGGCCACATCATTTGGTCGTGCAACTCCTGGCGAGAGTTCCGAGGCCCAGTCGGCCTTCGAGGCGGCGCAGAACGAATATTGGAAAACGAGCGCTGGGGCTCGACGGATGCAACAGTATATTGTGCGCACTATGGAGCAGGTGACACACAAGTATCCTCGCATGAGAATTCTTTTACTCCTCGACGACGACGATATATCCACTGCACAGCTCATTCTCGATGCTATCAATGACAGTTACACGTCCTTCACACTCACCGACTCGTCTTTAGAAACATTGAAGCTAGCAAAGGGCCGCCTCAAATCTTACGGTGACACCGTGCAGGTGGAGACTCTAGATTTGAGTACTTCCCCACCTGACCAGTTGTACGATATGGTTATTGTACAAAGTGGCATCATGAGAGAGGGGGCTACCACCATCCCTTTGGAATACTGTCGTCGCGTCTTGAAGGCCGGTGGCTTTCTACTGTTCGGTGCTATTACAGGGCGTGGAAAACTTGCTGGCTGTCTTCAAGGTCGCCTTGTCGACGACTACGAAGCCAAATTTGAACCCGAACGTCTTTGGGAAGCCCTACTTCAGCATTCCGGATTTTCTGGCTTGGACAGTGTTGCCTATGATACCGGCAGCTCCCAGTTCCACTGCCACTCCCTAATTTTGTCTCAGGCCATGGATGCCTCCCTTCAGTCTCTCCGGCACCCGCTTGCTTATCCCGACCAAACAGCGGGTGTAGAAGGCAAAGACCACGTCCTCATTCTCGGAGGTCACACTGGCCTCGGGGGCCCAGAATTGACATTATTAAGAAACCATCTATCTAGATGGAATGAACAGATTGCCAACATCGCCTCCCTTGAGGACCTCGTCGGCGAGAACATGCAGAACCTTCCGAGCCACGTTCTCTGTCTAATCGACCTCGATGCACCCCTTTTCCAGGACATTAGTGCCGTAAAATTCGCGGCTCTGCAGCGGCTCTTCCAGGAAGCCCGCAATGTGTACTGGGTGACGCGAGGATTTAAACAGGGTAATCCCTATAGTGCCATGACAGTTGGTCTGGGGCGGGTCGTGCAGACGGAATTGCAGGGTCTGAACCTGGGCTTTCTTGACATTAACAATGTGGATGAGGATGGGATCACCCAGATCGCAACTCGGTTTGCCCAGTTTGTAATCCATGGCCAACACAGTCATGCTGTCAAGAACGGAACGAGCCTATGGTGCCAGGAACGGGAGGTTGCCCTTGAGAATGGCCTGCCCTATATCCCCCGCGTGAAGCATGCCCGGGACATGAATGATCGGTTCAATTCAGCCTTCCGACCGATCGAACAGCCTCTCACGCTTGATGCACCATTGGCAAAGCAGTCCGATACTACTTCAGAAGCGGAGGTTGTCGTCAGTGTGCTTTCGCGCTCCGCCTATGCTCTTAAGCTCACCGATGAAGTTTATGCGGATCTCTCTATGGTGAATATCAAGGGTATGGGAGGCGATCGTCTGGGATTGGTCATCTCCTCATCAGCCGATGAGAAAACCATAGTATGCAAACGAGACGATATCCTTGACTTAGGCCTCCTTCAAAACCACACAATTGGTGTTCCTGAATTATTAAGCATTCTGGTCGCACTACACATATCTGAGCGCGTCCAGGCATCTCTTTGCCCATATTCCACTACACTTGTCTTTACGAATGATCGTTGGCTACTGAGGGTCCTCGCCATGTCTAGGGAAGCTGATCAACGGGCCCTCACACTGGCCACGTCTGATGAACGGATCATGGAATGGGACGAGTCGATTGTATATGTGCATCCGCATACACCAACACGGAACCTGCGGACATTAGTGCCGCAAGGAGTGAGCAAATTCATCAACCTAGACACCGTGTTCCAACCGTTGCATGATCGTTTTCTAGCTGCGATCCCGAGCACATGTGCCACCCAATCCGCCAAGGATTATCTCTCAGAGCGCGCGTCAACTCCCCATGTTCTCTCATCATCCCAAACATCTAGGAATGTATTGAACATGATCTGGACCCAATGGCTGATATTTTCAGCAGCCCTCCAAAGTACCATGCCGCCTGACACTGCCGTTGCTCATACTCTCTCAGCCTGCGCTGTCAAGTCATACATCCCCGCAGAGAACCCCCATGTGACCGTTCATCGACTAGATCCCAGCCCACTCCTCCACCGCGACGCAACATATCTCCTAGTCGGAATGACCGGAGAGCTAGGCCAATCCCTCTGCCGGTGGTTGGTAGCGAACGGTGCACAACATCTAGTCATCGCAAGCCGGTCCGTGCAACCAGTTCCCTGGCATGACGAATTACAACAGTCATCTGGCTGCCGATTGATGACTTTGCAATTGGATGTTTGCGATCAGGAGGCTCTACGCTCTGCACACGAAACAATTCTACAGTCCATGCCACCGATCGCCGGCGTCGTCAATGGGGCTATGGTTTTGGCTGATGCGGCATTCGTGAACATGGCGTATGAAGATTTCATTCGCGTACTCGAACCCAAGGTTAGGGGGAGCAAGAACTTAGATGAGTTATTTTCGGAGAACGAGCTCGATTTCTTCATTATGCTCTCTTCTACGGCATCTCTCATTGGGAATGCCGGGCAGAGCAATTATTCTGCGGCTAATATGGTGAGCGGATATTTCATCTAGATACCTCCTCTTGTTTTCATTCTATCTAACAGACTCTAGTATATGAACGCACTCGCTGAACAGCGCCGCCAGCGCGGCCTTGCGGGATCTTGCTTCGATATCGGCATGATCCTCGGTGTCGGTGTAGTCTCCCGGGAGCGAATTTACGAGGAGCCCCTGCGCAAGGCAGGATTGATGCCAATTGCCGAGCCTGATTTCCACTGCATGTTTACCGAAGCTATGTGGCTGGGCCGTCCCGGCATGTCTCCCCATGCCTCTCCCTGCTTCTCTACAGGTCTTCATGTTCCCCCGGGCCCGGTGCGGCCGGCATGGTACCACGATCCCCGGTTTTCACACTTCCAAGTTCCCGAGATTGACTCCAGCCGGAGTACAAGTGCTGGGAAAGACGCCACTGTTACCATCGGAGAACAGCTCCGGAGTATTTCTGAATTGACAGTTGCAGAGGGCCTGATCCAAGAGGCTTTCGTTATCAGGCTACAGAGCCTACTCCAGCTTACAGGACCAGTCGAGGATGTGACGCGTGCCCTGTCAGAGCTTGGAATTGACTCGCTTCTCGCTATCGAGATCAAGACTTGGTTCTTCCAGGAGTTGGGATTCCAGGTCTCCGTAATGAAGGTCCTCAATGGCATCTCTGTTCGTGGTGTATGTCATGAGGCAGCCGAGCATGTCTTCAGGGCTAGAGCGGCCGAAAGCGAGGAGACTCCGACCGTCGAGAGTTCGGACGTTCTGAAGATACCGAAGACTTCAACTCCCCGACAGCAGGAGGATGAAGCAACCGAAACGGTATCGACAATTGCCCGAACGCAGGAAACCCCCTTCAGTGATACATCGTCGCAGACAAGCCACGCAGTTGAGACCCCTACCTCCTCCCAAATTCTGCCTACCGCTGGCTTGTCCATCCCAAACATGGGAGGGCTTTCCAGTGAGCAGGAAAAGATCTGGTTCATGTTACAATCGGTGGATGACCCCGCCATGTACAATTGTACCATCCAGTATGAACTTCAAGGGCCGTTGAACCGGGCCCGCTTCCAGGCAGCAGTCACCGAGGTCGCGCAGCGGCACGAGTCGCTGCGAACTGCGTATATCACCTATTCGCGAGATCAAATTCCCCAGCGCATTATTCTGGATCAGCCTCAGATCACATGGAGAGAGATCATGATAAAGAGTGATGACAAGGGCATGGCCGCGGCAGAATTCCAAGCCCTGCAAACCCGAGCATTCAATCTTGCCAAAGGCGAGAGCATAGCAATTACTATCCTCAGCCACGGACCTGCTCGCCATGATATCATCTTCGGCTATCACCATCTCATAATGGACGGAGTGAGCTGGCAAATGGTGCTGCGCGAATTTGCGTCCGCCTACCAGGAGCCTCAGAGCCTGTCTCCAGTGGTCGCTCAGTACAGTGAATTTTGCAACCAGGAGGATTCGACAAGGGACGCGACTACACCCGCAGGGAATAAAGGGCCATTTTCAACCGTCACAGACGGTCAATTGCCCGACGATCTGCCCTTATTCCCGTTTGCCCGGGCAGGCTTCCGTACACGGACACGCACGAGCTATGAGACGACCCGCGTCAGCGCGTACCTAGGCAAAGAGGACGCGAGCCGAGTGCGCTCTATCAGTTCTCGCACCGGGGCCACAGCATTTCACATCCACCTGGCTGCAATTCAGCTCCTCCTTCATCAGACCCTCGAGGTTGATCGATTCTGTCTCGGAATCGCCCACGCTAACCGCAACGATCCGCGCTTTGAGCGAGTCGTCGGGCTGATGGTCGAGGTCGTGCCGCTGTTGTTCGAGCCGCAACGAGAACAAGGGTTCAAAGATCTGGTCAAGGATACCCGATCTCGTGTGCTGAAGGCATTGAGCCAGCCTCACAGTGATAAGAAGTCATCTAGGCCCTGTGATATCGTCGTTAACTATATCGCCGGCGTCACACACGATATTATGTTCGATGAGGCCGTGCTAAAGTACTCAACATCTGAAGACGCTCGTCAGCCGCATGACCTGGTCATCACCGTCCGAGATAACCCTGATGGCACGACGGTCATTACTTTTGGGGCTCTTGAGTACCTATACCACGCGCATGATGTACAGCTCCTGCTGGACCTCTATGTGCGACTGCTAGGCTCTGTGGCCCTAAACTCCGACCTCAAATTGGAGGAATACCGCTGTTTAGAGCCATTGTGTCTGAAGTTCCCCAGTGAACCGTCATCCAGCCTGGCAGAGTTAGATTCCGTCCAGGAGTCTGATCGACTTACCCAGTGGATTGCCAGAACTATAGCGACCTATCCGGACACAGTCGCCCTGAAGGATACCGACGGAAGAGACCTCACCTACGCCGCGATGGAGAGCAGAGTGCGTTCTATTATGGACATTCTCATAACAGCCGGTGTCAACCCTCGAGAATTTGTGGTGGTGGCCTGCGGACCGTCCGTCGACACCGTCTGCGCCTTGTTGGCAATCTGGCGGCTCGGGGCCGTCTATGTTCCTGCAGACCTCGAGCATGGTATCGAGCGACTGTCCCTTGTCCTAAAAGATTGCCAACCCACGGCTCTGATATGCCGCTCAAAAGCTGGAGTAGAGCATCTCTTGGCCGAACAGGAGCTCCAAATCGTGGAATTGGAAATGCATTTGCCACCTCGATCTACTTCCACGCTGGACTACGATCTATCTATCGGGCAGGACCCCGCCATCTTGATTTATACCAGTGGAACAACCGGGGTGCCCAAGGGAGTATTGCTCAGTCATGATAATCTACTATGTCATTTCTCGGCCGTGCAACAGGTGTTTCCAGTTGATCAACCGGTGGTCTTGCAGCAGAGCTCGCACAACTTTGATGCGTCCTTGTTCCAAATTTGTGTTAGTCTGCTACACGGGGGTACCCTGGTCATGACCAGTAATCGTCAGGACCCGCTAGCGCTTGCAGAGTTGATGGTACGCGAGAAGGTCAGCCTCACCCTTGGCGTTACCTCCGAGTATGCCCTGTGGCTTGGCGAGGCCGCCTCCGTGCTGAGAGATTGCACATCTTGGCAATATGCCCTTTGCGGTGGAGAGAAAATGGGATTTGGCACACTGCAAAGCTTTTCCGCACTCAGTATCCCTGGTCTGAGGCTTATCAACGCGTATGGGCCTTGCGAGGCATCTGTCGCCTGCACAATGGGAGAGATCGACTACAAGAGAGCAAACCTTTCTGGAAGTCACGATCCTATTCCAGTTGGAGAAATGCTACCCGCTTATGCCATCCACATCTTAGACGACCAAATGCAGCCGGTAGCTACAGGATGGCCAGGTGAGATCTGCATTAGCAGTGGTGCTGTATCATCATCTGGCTATTGGAATCGGCAGGATGAGACCTCGGCGCGTTTCCGGGACTTCAACGGCGTCCGGGTCTACAAGACTGGAGACTACGGCCGCATACTGCCCGACGGTAAACTGGAGTACCGCGGGCGCCTGAAGGGTGACTCGCAAATCAAGCTGCGGGGGATGCGTCTGGAGCTTGAGGAAATCTCCAGTGTCCTTGTCCAGGCGTCCCAGGGTGTGCTACGGGAGGCTGCAGTGATTGCTAAGGGGCAACCGGAGCCGTACCTTGTAGCATTCGTGGTCTTTTCCACCACCTCTGACTCCCCAGTCAATGTTGACTCTTTCCTCGACAGTCTGCGTAGTGGGCTTCCTCTTCCCGCATACGCCAAACCCACGGTGATCACCGTTATCGACCGCATCCCGTTGACGACCAGCGGCAAAGTTGACCGGACAGCACTGGGCAAACTTCAGATCCATCAACGGCAAATAACAACTTCTACCTCAGGTGCGCTGAACATCGTTGAAATGAAACTGAAAGAGCTATGGGAAGAACTTCTCCCGGTAACGGGGCTTCCTATCACGTCGCGGTCCAATTTCTTCGACCTAGGAGGCAACTCGCTGCAGATCCTAAGGCTACAGGGACGCATTCGAGCGATCACGGCTGTCAGCATCCCGGTGGTGCATCTCTTCCAATGCTCAACACTCAGCGAGATGGCTCAGTTGATTGGAGCGGCCACAACTGCGCACCGAGCATCATCCCCACCTCCTTTAGCACAAGCACCTCCCAACACGATCGACTGGGAGATCGAAACCGCTATTCCCAGCTCCTTCGATGACTCCATCGCCATCCCAGACCCTCTCAATCACCCCGCACACCCGCCTCGAGAAGTTATCCTCACCGGCACAACAGGCTTCTATGGCACTGCACTCCTCAACCACCTCCTCTCAATACCATCCATAACCCACATCCACTGCCTCGCCATCCGCCCCAACGCAGACGGCTCCCCCCGACACCTTCCGCACCTCTCATCCCCCAAAGTCCACCTCTACAGTGGCGACCTCTCGCATCCAACCCTCAGCCTCACAGAAGTCGAAGCCACTCGCCTCGCCTCCACCGTCGACTGTATCATCCACAACGGCGCCGACGTGTCATTCCTGAAGCCGTATTCCGCGCTGCGTGCCCCCAATGTCCACTCTACCAAATTCCTCTTCAGTCTATGCATTCCCCGCCGCATCCCCTTCCACTATATCTCCACCGCTAGCGTCACGTCTCTATCCAAGAAAGACGAATATCCCGAGGCTTCGGTAGCAAGCTACCCCCCACCCACGGACGGCTCGGCCAGTGGACATACAGTGGGCTATGCGGCAAGTAAATGGGCTAGCGAGGTTTTCCTTGAGAAGGCTAGTGCGAGATATACTGATGTCCCGGTTCGTGTTTATCGTCCTACAGCTATCACTGGAGCGGGGGATATGGCTATTTCAGCGACGAGTGGTGGTGTTATCGAGTCTGTGTTGGATCTGAGTAGAGAAATGGGGGCTACACCTGAGACTGGCTCCTGGAGGGGGTATATCGATCTGATTGGGGTGGAGAAGGCGGCTGAGATGGTGGTGGGAAGGGTTGTTCATGATAGTGGTAGCGGTGATTATTGTGGGAATGGAGTACAATACTCGCATGTCTGTGGGGAGAAGCGGTTCAAAGCGATTGAATTGAGGAAATTCTTGGAGAAGGAGGAGGGGGTGGAATTCCAGGAGCTGGAATGGAAGGAATGGTTGGCTAGGGCCGCTGATTATGGGATTGATGATGGGGTTGCGGCTTATTTGGAAGGATTGCAGGGGAAGACTGGCAGTGCTGGGGAGTTGTTCTTTTTGCCGTTGTTGGGGGGCAGATTAAGTGATTATTAGTTTTGTTTCGTAGTATATTTCATCCGATTTACTATACTTTTTTGGCAGATGAATAGTTCTCGTTACGATAATCTCAACTTGATATTTTAGTTCAATTTACCTGGATAACTTCAATATATGTAAGGTTTCAGTAACGTGGATTATTGTTTTATTGTTCAAGCCTTCGTTACTCGCAAGATATATAAGGATCCACATGATGATGGATAACAGAACAATAAATTCAAATGTGGTCATCAATTTCAACACAATGTAGTGTAAAATATTGTACTAGTACTAATTATGGATAAATGTAAGCGAATAAAGTAAGTAGTAATAATGACAGCAAAAAGAAAAGGTATCTTTATTACTTTGTAGCAGTTGAAAAAGACCTTGATCATGGGAAATTGTGTTTGCCGCGGAAAGAAAAACAAAAGAAGAACTCCGATGCGGGGAATCGAACCCCGAGCTGCCGTGTGAAAGACGGCGATGTTAGCCGTTACACCACATCGGACTTGTTATGTGGGTCATGCGGTTTACAAGCACCATATTCTAATGTTATTAAATCATGTACAATGTTGCTATAGGATGGGAACTAAGATCAAGAGGGAGTGGCATTTATTATCCCGTTGATATGGCTTATGCTTAGGGGTGTTAGGAGCAAAATAGGTTTGCATTTAGTGAATTATATGATTAAAGGGAGGCAAATAGACGCATAACCAACGGACTTTGATGATGCTGGATGGTGGATGTTTAGGAGACTCCATGGCTATGGAGTAAATAAGTCACCTAGAATGCCACAAGGAGATGGTTGGCATTACCTATTCCAAAATGACCTGCCCTCATCCTCATTGTGTTCCCTCATCTTGAGTGTCACCTCCCACGTCCTGTCACATTTATCTTTCACTTGCCATTGCGCGTTGATAAGGCCCTGCGACTGAGCCGAGTCCATCAATCTCCTGACCAGACGTCCCATCTTCTTCTGGGAGTGTGAGAAGTCGGAATCTCCCCTGCTTGATGCTCGCTCGGTGGCACTTTCAAAGTTATCCTCCAGTTCCTCTGCGCGGTAGGCCGACGAACTATAGATAACCCTCATTTTCTCTGACACTTGCATCGCGAATGACTTCGCTGCCGCCTCCAACCCCTCCAACCCTCCTAATATCCGCTCGAGTAAATCGGCCCTTTCAAGACGGATGGATGTTGAGCTGGCGGATTCTGCGAGGGGCATGGTGACGCTGCTCTGCAAGCGGAGGACATGATCGAGTTCAGTGGTTTCGAACATGTCAAAGGATTCGTCGTCGTAAGTACCGTCGTCCGCGTGGTGGGATATATCAACAGTGCGGAAGAAAGCATGGGCGATCGGGACCATGATGTGGTTTGCATCCTGCGCAGGAAGATTGTATAGGTGATTGGTCTCGAAGCCTTCATTTTTAAGTACTTCGGATTCCACGGTACCGGAGATCACCTTGACGGACCTGCCGACGATGTTGTTGAGGTAATGTAGGTTCATGCAGCCGTTCATATTATTAATGACTCCGAGGATGGATCCTGTGCAGTTGTCATTCTCGTAGACAATGACGGAATGTTGGTCATCGTAGATATTATCAATTTTCACTAGTATTGACTTTGCATTGACATTGCTGAGTTTGCTGCACGCACTAGGTCCTGCAAGTCGATGAACTCCAGCTTCAGCTCTTGTGCAGCGCTCGCCTGTGTACTCTGTTAGACGGTACCCGAGAGCTGTAGCAAAGAGGACCGAGATAACCAGAAGACGAAGCATGTTGATGGAATGGCGAGCAGAAGGCACTAGTGGTGATTCGAGGAACGGAATGCAGGACATTCAGGGTATCATGGTAGGACCGAACCAGTTCCTTTCTCATGAACCCAACTCGGAGGTAGAGACTTGTGGACGCCGGATTTATGGCATCGCCCAGTTCATTTATACCTCCGTGCCTGGCGGCTGTGGAGTTCCGCCCTCCAAAATCCCCTAAAGCTTAGCGCCATCATGCGGGGCGTTCCGGTTCTCCAGCACAGGAAATGATATTCATCGGTGAGCTCCAAGTCACAGCCTTGTGAGGCGGCTGAACCCGAAGACAGCACTATGTACTTATCACCCCACCTTGCTCAATTTGGTATTCGCACCTCAAGGAGTACTTGCCTACAAATCACTAGTGCGTGATTCAAATCATATTATATGACTTGAGCCAGTGTAAAATGGACGTCCCATCTGTATAACCGCTTGGAATAAGTTGCACAACTGAGAATTCGCAGAACCGGCGTGGTCGGGATCCCAGAAGCGGAAGGACCGAGACAAGCCCTCGAAGGGCACCGTCAAATGATTTCACTCACCGTCGAGAAACGGGGCACTAAGGCACTATGACTGTTTCAATTAGAACTACTCCGATGTTACTTATGTGGCCCAATGTATTCTTTGGTAATCACATTCCCAATTGGTTGATAGTCAGTGGGCCTTCCCTGGGACCCCTGTGAGCGGGGATTCTTGGTTATCGTGTTCTCAAGCTAGTTAAATAGTGGCGCCTTAGAAATCCTTGAACTGATTCTGCTCCAGTATCTCACATTCTAAGATTGCCCTTCCGTCCGGAGTATGTTGTACTATATTGTGCATGTCATCTGGCATCTTTGGTAGGTCTACATAGCGAATCGGTCCCCATTAATTAGGCTAGTTGTGTGAGCTTCATCGTTCTTTATTCATATTACCAATCTTGAACGAGGCCTAGCTCCAACACAGTTGATTTCTGATTCCTCTATAGATTATCATACCCATTACCTCACTTTTCCGTCTGTGCTTGTCCCATGTAGTGTGCTATACGCCACGCATACCGGCCTTTGTGTCCTCACAGACCTTCCCCCCATGCAAAGGGATTGGTGTAATACTGCCCGATATAGTTGTTTATCATGTCCCAACCAGCAAACATTAAAGCGCCTGTAGCAGGAGTTATGCCCGTCTCGTCACGAACCCATTGCGCCCAGAGAGTGTAGAAAGCGTCTAAGAGACCACCTACTATCATTGCACGGGCAGTGATGAAGCCCAGCATTACAATTGCCTGAGATTCAATGGGAAGACAAAGGGACAAGTGATAGTGCAAAACATTAACCAGGTAATTCCACCGTTGAGACGGGGAAAACCGCCCATGGTCTTGAAAGACAAATCGATCGATGACTGTCTCACGAGAAGAGCTGCGCAGTTTCGAAATTATGAACCGAAGAAGCGCTGTTGCTATCCCATGCTGGTCTGTGTGATAATTCGATATGGAGTTGCTGGTTGTGCTCAAGCCCGCCTCTATAGACAAGCCTGAAGTATCAAGAAGTTTATCTAGAAGGGAAGGATTGGATACATTGAGGTAGCGGGAATCTGGATCCGAGTTTGTGGGACGCACTGCTGTTTCTCTAGCGAAGGCGGTTTTGGCGTCTGGGTACTCGGTGAAAGAGGTATAGAATCGTGGAGTCAATATTTCGATTTCCAGAACGGGTCTGGGGTGGGATGTGGGGGGAATAAAAGAGTTGAACATAAGGCGATCGAAGTGTATCGATCTTGGGGGTATGTATTCGATGCACAGTGGAAATGTACAATGAGCGGCGAGTTGAGACAGATATTCTCGGAAGAATTGTTCCAAGTACCTGTCTCATTTAAAAGATGTTAGGAACATCTAATCAAAAGGAAGAGGAGATATGACTGACCTTTCAACATTAGTTTCCTTTCGTGGATTCGTCCCTGGGTGAACCTCAGGCCTTTGTAGATACTTCAGATTACCACGAAAGCGAATTCGCAAAGCCTCCTTGACAATCCGGGGTGCAGACAATGCTCCGACATGCGTCCAACGGGAAATGAACCGAGCAATATCCCAACCACTGGCCGTCAAGGGATCGACGGGATTACCCCAAGATGCAAGACGACTTGTGACTTTCACCTGACCATCCGGGTTGTTGGAGCTCAAGGTGGACTGGAGAGACGGACCTCTCAGAATGTCCACGGTCTTTGCAAGCATATAACCCTCCACTTTCTCGAAAGGCGAACCGAAGATTACTTTATCCCAGTAACCTTTGTAATAATTTCTCTTGGAAGCGGGGGAGTGGGAGCGAAGAGATACCGACTCCCTGGTACCCTTGGCTGAGGCTATGATCGTCGACGAAGGAGATAGTGGCTCGTCAACAGGCATACCGTCCCCAGTCAAGCGGAAGAAAATGTTTCTCTTCTCGTAGAAAGAGTTGTTGATCTCCATGATCATTGCAGTCAACTCCCGCGTCGGTGAGTAGAGATACCAGTAGCTGATCGCACTTTTCTGCCACCATAAGAACCGCGGGACGCTGATCATGTAAGCGTATGGGAATTTCTGAGGATTCTCTCCCTAGAGAAGTTAATGATGGAATTGCAAGAAAGTGCAGGCAGGGGTCAGATAGTACCAGGTTGTGCAAGAAGATATTCAATTTCTCCTCAAGCGTTCGGTCACCACTTCCAGGTTCGAGATAGTAAGCCGGGTCGATGGTAAACCAGCATTTCTCCAAAATGCTCTCTGACGTTGGCTGATTGTCTATAGAGATGAGGTTTCCGATGCGACCGCGAAACCCCACTGGGACGCCTACCATGAAGTAGTCATACCAATAGTTGTAGCGTTCACTTGCAGGGAACCTGCGTGCGTGGGACAGTTTGGCTGGAAAAAGAAGAGGCCTGCCTAGCAAGTCTGGTCGCACGTGAGGATCATGTATAACCAGGCGCTGTCCCAGGAAAGCAGCCATGACCAGTCTAACGAGCAGGCATAGGATGCCAGCTACGACAAACAAGGCTAACAGCTTGAGGATATCTTGCAATCCAGCGTGTGTCACCTTTAATATCAGATGCCCTGCAACGATTATCAAGTACACAAGATTCTGGAGACGCATGATGTCACAAAGAGATACCGAGAGATGCTGATTGAAGACACAGAGCTAGTCATAAGAATCATGAAGTCAGGATGCTACGCTGGCGGTACTTAATCATATCTACTCAAAGCCTCCTATAGATTAAAGTTAAGCTGAATAATTATCACCAGTCTCAGCCCGCAACCGTACCAGAAACATTATCATGCATACAATATCAAGGAAAGGATATTGCAATCTTGCTATCGGGTAGATCGGTGCTTCGCAGCTGGCATATACACGTCACTTGGCTAGCAAGGGGAGGTAAACATTACCCCTACAAGACAGTTGTCCCATCCCATTTGCTACTGGGGTATGACAGCTGCATCCATCTAACTAGGAACGTGCGTATGTCGGCAACTCCGAAGTTGAAGATGGGTAAGCAACATGGACCCCCGGTAATGCATATAGATGCATCTCCGAGGGAGATTGGATGGTTCAATATGGTCAGCAACTGCCTTCCCTATCTGTCTGTATGGGCCTCCAAAGCGTTTCATTATTACTACGAAATGAGCAATCATTATATTGTGAGCAGCGGGAGTGACTGTACTAATATCATAAAAAACCCTTGTTATAGGGATGTCAATTATATTCAGGTTTCTATCTTAACTTTGTTTCCATGTTATGCGTTTGCGAACACCGACTGACTCATGTCATCCACACGACCTTACGCAGGACCTTGTGTGTTGACGGAACATGAGTTCAGCAATAATTGATAACTAATTTATGTAGTGATATGAAAGATGTAAGGCACGCATGGCTAACTTCACTCTTAAATGTTCGGAATAATGACATATGTAGATGGTCGGACATAGAACACCGCGTATATGACATGCATCATGCAGCTCACTGATTTAGGACACATAACTGACAGCCATGTTTGTGCAGATCGAAACAAAGATATGCCTTGTAAATCTCACCGGGCTCGTAGAAGGAAAGTCCTTGCGAGTCGGCAATATGCTGTCAGCATCTGGACTCCGCGGAAGTTGACAGCTGCGACCTGACACACAGTACCAGAGTATATGCTTCGGATATTGCCGAAGGAAGATCCCCTAGTGCGTCCTGAATCAGAACGGAGCAGACTATGATCTACGGTTGTGATCATCACAGCGTGGATTGGTTTCACAATCACCGAGCTTATTCTGGTGGGAACAACGACATTCACCCCCACTGGCAAATCAAGAACAAAAACCCACACATTACTGTCAAGACACGGCATCCTTCCAAGTAATCGCATCAGTTACTTGTAACTGTGCACGTGAAACTGACGGGACAGTTTGTCGTGGTAAAGTCCCTTGCTTGGCTCTGGTTTACACAGCATATGTCCTATCAACAGCACGCACCCAACCTGTGTTACAGTAATGTCTTCCGCTCGACCACGACTACAACTCCGATAGACGAGTAGTTAATTGGCAGATGACGCCGGAAACAACCCACGGTCAATATAATTGTTGTCTTCGTAAAAGCCTCATCGGGAGGCTGTTCGTAGTGAAGTGAGGAAGCGTCAGTACCGATCTACTTCGTTCCCGCAGCCGAGCCCGATCGTGGGTACGATGGAAACTGTATCGGAGTTATGGAAATCTTGTCGCTTCAGCTTACCCACCATGCTTATACAAGTTCAGCGAAAAATAAGCATCTCTGACTCACGATCGGGATCTGCAAGTAATGGAATCGAGTCATTCTGGGTGTAGACCGATGGTACTCCTACGCCGTCTTACCCACATTCCACTGACTGCGCCCTTCTAGATATCACTGAGAGAAGGAGTTATCTTTGCTAAAATGGGGTCATAAGGTATCCGACGCGCGTGAATGGTACCTCATTGGACAAGTAATTAGGTTCCGTTTTGGGGGCCAACTGCGGTTTAATGTCGTGGCGCGCTAAGCAGTGGTCCCAGCCCAACCTGGTGGGTCAGCTGTAAGCAATAAGATACTAAACACGACCCCAGGAGACTTCGACTTATTCCGAAAGGAGAAAGCTTATTGCGAGCCGTTCTAAATGGTGTTGTGTAGTAGCTGAGATAATTTTGTCATTCTACCATATAGATCAATATTTAATTGCCAGTACCACCATGATTTCACACAGCCCAAATCCCCAAGAATTTTCTATATATCTATATCACACCTCCAGTCAGCTGCTGAATCGTCCCATGCGATAATTTTATCCAGCCAGTGCTTTCTTCTTCTCGCAGCAAAACTTGAAAAAAAAAAAAAAATAAAATAAAATAAAATCTTGTTCTTATGGCTTCCGGCACTTTCTGTTCTTTCCCCAAGGTCATCATTGTCGGGGCTGGGTTCTCCGGACTGGCAATGGCATGTCAATTAAAACGAGAGTTAAAGTGCGATGACTTTGTTATTTATGACCGAGATGCAGGTTTTGGTGGGACGTGGCTAGCAAACAAGTGTATTACTGATTATCCTCTCATCTTTTCCGGACGGACAACGCGGCCGCTGACCTGAGATTCTCAGACCCAGGATGTGGAGTTGATATCCCGGCCGCGTTCTACAGTCTCTCCTTTGCACCTAACCCAGACTTCTCAAACCTCTTTCCAAAGCGGGATGAGGTCCTACAATACATCAACAATGTGGTAATGGAGTACGACCTGTCCCGTCACCTGGTGGGAAATACGGAATGGATAGGGGCATCCTGGCAGGACAACGACAATACTTGGCTCGTTAGCCTGCGGAGCGTTACAACTGGCGAGGAGTATACACAACGTTGTAACATACTAATATCAGCGGTTGGCGCATTGACAAACCCTAATCCACTGAATGTTCCCGGCGTCGACCGCTTCCAGGGAGATATCATTCACACAGCCAGGTGGGATCAGAGCGTGTCTCTGCGGGACAAGAATGTAATAGTGCTTGGAAATGGGGGTAAGCTCCATTTTGCATCAGCATGGAAGATCAATGATTGACACCGTTTAGCCTCAGCAACACAATTAGTACCAGCTGTGGCAGAAGATGTTCGGTCAATTACCCAATTTATGAGGGTAAGTTCGCTATCACGATGCTCTTGTAGGGTGAATTTCTAATATATAATGATCGCATCCAGTCAAAACAATATTTTCTCCCAGGGGGAAATAATACCACTATCAGTCCAATTTGGCAGAATATCTTCCGCTACGTACCCGGTGTACTTCTTGCCGTCAGATTTTTGATCTTCTTATACCTCGAAACGTCCACCCCCCAATTCAACCTGACCAAGACCGGAGCGAAAATGCGAAGAGAAACCGCTGAAATAAGCGAGCGTTACGTCAAAGAAAATGCGCCAGGTGAGCCGAGTCCTGAATACTGTCTGAGCTACTCTGACCTCAGCTCGCAGAGAAGTACTGGCCACTCTTACTGGCCGACTATCAAGTCGGATGCAAGGTAGGTACCGTCAATCAGCATTCATCTGAAACATCCAGGCTGATGAACTCCTATTGCAGCGACGGGTATTCGATCACGATGGCTACATTTCAACATTAAACCGTGATAATGTCCGCCTTACCGACGATGAAGTCATCGCTCTTAACGAACGATCAGTCTCAACAAAATCAGGAGCAACATACCCTGCCGATGTAGTTGTATTAGCCAACGGGTTCTCTCTGACCCAATATGACACCGAGCTGTGCGGTCGCCGTGGACGCAGTCGACAAGAATCCTGGAAAGGAGCCGGGTACATCAAAGCTTACGAGAGTATCGGCATGTCTGAATTTCCTAACTTCTTCTACATTCTGGGTCCCAATTCCGGTCGCGGGCATACATCTGCAGTATTCTCCATTGAGAAGTAAGTGGTTCCTTCAAGCCAATGATTTGACCTATTACGAAGAGCTAAAAACTTGCTAAACGTGAAACAGCTACATAGATCTCATTATCCGGGTTATCAAACCGATAATAGCCGGATCAGCTGTCTCAGTGGAACCTGATATGTTGAGCGAAAAGGCATACAACGAGAGGCTGCAGGCCGCGCTGAGGAACACAGTGTTTAACAACACATGCCGCAGTGTAAGGGACTCCTGCCCCGTTAGTTTAGCCGACTGATATCAGTTGGTGTTGATGACGCTACTCTCCCTTTTGGTATTAGGAAAAATAATTATCAGTTGACCATGACCTATGCAGTGGTTTATAGACCCCCAAACCGGATATAACTGGATGATATACCCTTGGAGCTCCTTCTACATGTGGTGGACCACGCATGTTGCAGGCCTAGAAGGGTGGGTCTACGAGGTGAGTTTGCCGATCTTATCGGAGTTAAAGCATATTGGTGTCTAACACAATGCATGCATAGTATCCCCAGACGAAACAGATGCCACCGAGGCCGGCTTTCGCTCTCTTTATGCGCACGGTATTACCAACCTTTGTCGTTTGTCTGTTTTGGGGGGCGTGGACTTATACTAAAGATTTATGCGGTTTGTTTGTGGTGTGAAATGACGAGCGTTTAATGTAGATTCTTTGGGATCTGTTATAAACTTTGCTTTAGATGTAGGGTTAGACCTTTGTGAAGCGTTTAATGTTTGGGTTTTAGATTTAAATTCCCCGATGCCAACGTCGTCACTTAGTTATGATGAAAGCTAATATTCTACAAAAAAAGGCTGAAAGTGCTGTACCATGACCTAAAAGCCATGTGCTACCCTGGACTGCTTCTCTCAAGGGAGTCCAAGCTTACGACCGGTGGTTGGGACTCCTCTCTCTGAAAGTTCGCACTGGGAGCTCAATGTGCTTGTCCAGTCCGTGCCTGGGTGGCACGTTCTCTGACCTAACGGCACGAGCAGGATGGACAGCTTGTCTGCTTGGCGCATCATCGTTGCCATCTTCTTCATCTTCTTTATTTTTTTCATCTTTTTTATTTTCTTCATCTTCTTCATCTTCTTCATCTTCTTCATCTTCTTCATCTTCTTCATCTTCTTCATCTTCTTCATCTTCTTCATCTTCTTCATCTTCTTCATCTTCTTCATCTTCTTCATCTTCTTCATCTTCTTCATCTTCTTCATCTTCTTCATCTTCTTCATCTTCTTCATCTTCTTCATCTTCTTCATCTTCTTCATCTTCTTCATCTTCTTCATCTTCTTCATCTTCTTCATCTTCTTCATCTTCTTCATCTTCTTCATCTTCTTGGTTACAGTCGGTGCTCTCATTTTCTGCGGCCATATACGCAGCACCTTCATCTTCTGATCCAGGATCTGTATGAACAATGAGATCGTCCGCAGTAGCGGCGCCACTCAAAGCTTGCAGCCGGATCAAGTTCCACTGCATCTGTAGACTATCCATGGATGGGAGAGGATGAATGTCCGGATTAGCTGTCTTGAACACGACTTGATGCCCCGAGGAGATCATGTGTTCTGTCTCACAATCTCATAACTTTGCATTCTTAGGGCTTTGGCGGAGATTGTTCTCAATCATACGGGCCGGAAAGAGCGGCTGTTACTGACTATATTCAGTTGAAGGTAGCCAATAAAACTGAACAATGAGCTCTGTCTTCTTGGGGTTCATCTCGAATGGTTTAAGGGCAAATCGTGCATCGCCCCACAGGCTGTGAACGTGTGCAGCTAAGGCCAACAGGTTATCCGCAGTTTCAGTCGTGTCGGGGCCAACCACACAGTCTCTCCAGGCCTTCACCTTTTCTTTATCCCAGTAATCTTCCAGGGTGAGCCAGAACCTTTTCAGTTCCTGACTGTCTTCTCTGCCACCTAAGGAGTAAGGATAGATATGGGCAGCAAAGGAATCCACGCTCTTGGAAAAAGTTTAATTCGTTGACCGTTCCTAAAGTCGTCGGATCAACCCCCGGGTCCAACTGCTCTCCAACGATTTCCTGATTTCCCTTCGCCTTATCGTCTGCTCCATGAAAACCAAACGCTCTTTCTTGCAACCGAGTCTATAGGTTTCGATGCAGTTATTGCACCTCTAACCGCGACCGCCAGAGATGCACACCGCGAATGGCCGCACACCTGATTGCGAGGGAGCTCACGTCCAACTTAAATCACGAGGAAAGCCTCGCGGAGCTGGGCATGCTTACCCAACTGGTGAAATGACCTGTATCCAATGAAAAACACAGACCGCAAACCGGCTCTATTATCCAGCGGCGCTCGCGACCCGACAGGGACTACTGCTCTGTCTAGAAGAGGAGTCCTAGTAATACAGCCAGAGTACTCACGGACAGGCTAAGTGTAAGGACCCATATCCCTACAACCCTCGCGATAACCCATATCGCGAGGAATGCCCATACTGATATCAGTCCCGTCGCAAGGCTTGACTGCCTGCTTCAAGTAGATGTTCATTAAGAATGAGAGCATTATGCAATCAACGGAGTATGACCATAGTCTGGCTTCCCAAGGCCTCCAAGATTTCATTTTAAAAGTTAGAGAGGAGAAAGTAGAGGCAAGTGGCAAAAGTAGGATGGAAGTGCTTATATACTGGATTGGGAGTGGTGAATCTTAAAGACTGCTGTTGAATGAAGGGCGGTGCAGAAAGTTGGAAATTCATCTCTGATATTCACCTCTGTGAGTAGGGCTTATTGATCAACTGCACCAGGCCGAATTCTTCATGGTTTGACCTCATTCCTGTCCAAAGTATTCACAGCACACCGGGGAAGCCAAAGCACGCCGAAGCTAAGCTCTGGTCGCTAAGCAGACCTACAGTATGTTGCCTCTGGGAAACAAGAGAAAATCGGATTTCTGATTGATACTGCAGCATCCACTCCCTAGTGCTTACGCTTCACTTAGAAAGCGAGTTGGCCCTGGCTCCCACGCTAATCCCCCCAGCCCGCACTTGGGAGACATTCAGGGTTGCCCGAGTGGGGAATTGAGCGATGGCCGATGCGGAGATGGTCCGACCCGGCCAGACTTCCCCGGCCGGTTTTGTGCCATCGGCCCCTTGCGCGAACAATCGAAGATTTGGTAGACAGGGAATGCGGAAAACTTATCACAGTGAAAATATGAGATTAAAGTAGGACTCGAGAAATTCAAGATGGTAGTATTACTGATGCGGCACTCACTGGGCAACTTCTTCCCTTGTCGGCCCACCCTCCACTGCTCTCCCCGGCTCTCCACGGCATCCCATTTGTTCCTGAGCCCGAACCCTAGCTTGAGCCAAGATGTAACCAATCTATGCCACTCCAGTCTACTAGTCAATCTGTCTTCTTACCCCTCCTTTGCTGCAGATCAATACCCTCGCCGACCATTTGCCGTCCTCGAGGCGTTAGCTTAATTATTCTTGCCTTGAAATTAGCCGATCCATTCTCTGCCTTTTCCCGCATAGCGTAAGACATAATTTACACTTTTTCTGTTGCCTGATCCCGGTTGCCGTGGTGCCATAAGATCGTCTTCTTTCCTCTTTCGTCACGGACGTATCCCCGTCTATGCGTTCCACACTGCTGCTCCACTGACTAAGTATTTGCTTCGGTGTGTTACTGCTCAGCTTGCGCTCACCAGGCCGACTCCGATCTGAGCTACCTATTCATGGTATATAGGCTTCGATGACCCCTTATTGAGCAGAAAATTCAATTCTTGCTTTCCCAGAGCAAAACGCGTTTTCCATTCTAGCTGTACGCCATGCGCCACAGCATCGGATTGGCAGCGGCCCTACTGGCACCAACCCTACCTGTAGCGTTGGGTCAATATATTCGAGACTTAAGCACCGAGAAATGGACTCTCAGTAGTCGAGCCTTGAATCGGACAGTACCTGCTCAATTTCCATCGCAGGTTCACTTAGATCTACTAAGGGCCGGAGTGATTGGTGAGTACTATTTGGAAGTCAAGTCCTGTGAGTATACAACCGCTAACAGCCTCAATAGATGATCCGTAAGTGACTTCATCTGCCATGGATGAGAATTGAATCGCACTAAATATTGCTGGAGATACCATGGTTTGAACGATTTCAATCTTCGCTGGATCGCTGCTGCCAACTGGACTTATACCAGTCAACCCATCAAAGGCCTGTGAGTCGCTGTGAAGTTTGTGCAATGTCGTTCGACAATACTAAGAACCAATAGCCTGGACAATTACGACTCAACTTGGCTCGTGTTTGACGGACTGGACACTTTCGCAACAATCTCATTCTGTGGGCAGCAAATCGCATCCACGGACAATCAGTTTCGCCAGTATGCGTTCGATGTATCCACCGCACTAGGGTCCTGCAAAGGAGATCCTGTTCTGAGCATCAACTTTGGAAGCGCACCGAATATTGTTGATGCTATCGCACAGGACTCTAATTCGCAAAGTAAGTTTCAGAGGTGGGGGACTGCCGAAGTTGTTACATGCTAATTGTATATAGAATGGCCCGATGACGTCCAACTCACCTACGAGTACCCAAATCGGTGGTTTATGCGCAAAGAACAATCGGACTTCGGATGGGATTGGGGTCCAGCATTTGCCCCTGCAGGTCCATGGAAGCCTGCATATATTGTTCAGCTAGACAAGAAAGAAAGTGTCTATGTCCTGAACACGGATTTGGATATATACCGAAAGGGCCAAATTAACTACCTTCCGCCAGACCAGAGCCAACCTTGGGTCGTCAACGCTAGCATTGACATTTTGGGTCCACTACCTACCAAACCAACCATGTCGATTGAAGTGCGCGATACTCATTCTGGCACGATTCTTACTTCGCGGACTCTGAACAATGTCAGTGTGGCTGGTAATGCCATAACTGGTGTCACCGTTCTCGACGGGCTGACCCCGAAACTGTGGTGGCCGCAAGGCCTCGGTGATCAGAACCTCTACAATGTTTCTATCACTGTCCAAAGTAGAGGAAACCAGACCGTGGCCAGTGTGAACAAACGGACGGGCTTCCGCACCATTTTTCTCAACCAGCGCAACATTACTGAAGCACAGCGTGCGCAAGGAATCGCCCCTGGAGCAAACTGGCACTTTGAAGTCAACGGTCATGAGTTCTACGCAAAAGGATCGAACCTTATCCCACCAGACAGTTTCTGGACCCGTGTTACAGAAGAGAAGATGTCACGGCTATTCGATGCAGTGGTCGTTGGAAACCAGAATATGCTCCGTGTCTGGTCCTCCGGCGCGTACCTGCATGACTACATCTATGATCTGGCCGATGAAAAGGGCATTCTCTTATGGAGCGAGTTCGAGTTCAGTGACGCTTTATATCCCTCCGACGACGCTTTCCTCGAGAACGTTGCTGCTGAGATAGTATACAATGTTCGACGAGTGAACCACCATCCCTCCTTGGCTCTATGGGCTGGCGGAAATGAAATCGAATCCTTGATGCTCCCACGTGTCAAAGATGCAGCCCCATCTTCATATTCCTACTATGTGGGCGAGTATGAGAAGATGTACATTAGCCTCTTCTTGCCTCTGGTCTACGAGAACACGCGTTCCATCTCATACTCCCCCAGCAGCACAACCGAAGGCTACCTGTACATTGACCTTTCTGCCCCTGTCCCAATGGCTGAACGTTACGACAACACTACCTCCGGCTCATACTACGGCGATACAGACCACTACGACTACGACACTAGCGTGGCGTTTGACTACGGTTCCTATCCGGTAGGCCGCTTTGCCAACGAATTCGGCTTCCACAGCATGCCCAGCCTCCAGACATGGCAACAAGCTGTCGACACTGAGGATCTTTACTTCAACAGCAGCGTCGTCATGCTGCGCAACCACCACGATCCCGCAGGTGGTCTCATGACGGACAACTACGCGAACTCGGCCACTGGCATGGGCGAAATGACCATGGGCGTGGTAAGCTACTATCCGATACCGAGTAAATCCGACCACATCTCCAACTTCAGCGCCTGGTGCCATGCCACCCAGCTCTTTCAGGCAGACATGTACAAAAGTCAGATCCAGTTCTACCGTCGTGGAAGTGGCATGCCCGAGCGCCAGCTTGGCTCCTTGTATTGGCAGCTCGAAGATATCTGGCAAGCGCCATCATGGGCAGGCATTGAGTACGGTGGTAGATGGAAGGTCCTTCACCACGTTATGAGAGATATCTATCAGCCTGTTATTGTTTCACCTTTTTGGAACTATACTACCGGCTCGTTGGATGTCTATGTTACTTCCGATCTGTGGAGCCCTGCAGCAGGTACTGTCGACTTGACCTGGTTGGACCTGTCCGGCCGCCCTATTGCGGGTAACGCGGGCACGCCAAAATCTGTTCCCTTTACCGTGGGAGGTCTCAACAGCACTCGCATCTATGGGACGAATGTTTCTTCTCTGGGCTTGCCGGATACTAAAGATGCTGTTCTGATCCTCTCGCTCTCGGCTCACGGCCGTCTTCCGAACTCAGACCGGACCACCAACTTGACTCATGAGAATTACGCTACGCTTTCTTGGCCCAAGGATTTGAAGATTGTTGACCCGGGACTTAAGATAGGACACAGCTCAAAGAAGACAACCGTTACGGTGGAAGCTACATCCGGTGTTTCATTGTACACCTGGCTCGACTACCCAGAGGGTGTGGTGGGATACTTTGAAGAGAATGCCTTCGTCTTAGCACCAGGCGAGAAGAAAGAGATTAGTTTTACTGTTCTAGAGGACACTACTGACGGGGCTTGGGTCCGTAACATCACCGTCCAGAGTCTCTGGGACCAAAAGGTTCGCGGTTGATCATCAATAGCATTCACATAGCCACAATAGCAAGCATGTACATGTCATTTCACCACTTATATCGAACACTTCCCATCCACAATACACACCATATTCCAAACATGGGGAAGATAATCCATTCTATATCATGCTAATATCATTAATGTGGTCGAACAGCAGAGCTCGTAGGTTGACACTTGGTTTAGCGTGCTTCGGCTTCGTTGGTATGCATGCGGTGGATCTCTCGTACAAGAACGAAGCCATAGCATTAATATCAGACGTAAATCTTCAAACATTTTCTACGGTCTTCGAGAAATACCACGAGTTATCATTGATACGGTGTGGTGTGGTTCCCTATTGGAGTTAGCCTGTATTGAGGAGCGGCGATGCTGATAGGCCCGGAGATTCCATTCACCTGACGTTGAGGTATAACACGAGGATGACGGAAAACTTTTGGCCAACATTGTTCCTTCCACTTTCGTCCCCAGTCTCCGCCTCACTTCCATCTGCTTCCATCCTTCATCTCTTCGGATCTGTCCCCTATCCCTGACCACGGTTAGTGCGGGGAACGAGATGAGCGCCGTTGTCTCATCACCAAGGCTGGCGAACCCCTGCAGACTGAACTGTTGATGCCCAGACTGCGTACAGTGATGCACATCCGAACTCGATATCGGGAATATCATGGCAACCGATACACTTGACTTGTCGCCTCTACTGCCAGGTAATGGGAAGTTGTACATGAATCCTGTACTCATTTCATTGCAGTCGATGGGGTTGGTCCACTCTTCGCATTTTTAGAGCTTTGGGTGTTGAAAGATGGTCAATCAGATCTAAGGAAGCCATGAATCATGGCCCTTAGACTGATAAACGAAGTAAAGAACTGATTGCCGTTTCAGGATGTTCTTCTAGGTACTACAGCCGATAAAACTGTCCATTAACGATTAAATGAACACAGAAAAGAGAATCAAGCCAAGGATATGAGAAAGGGATAATCTATCCAATTAGGATCGAGAGACAAGCCCGGCGCATATTAACAAAGGCAAACAAGAAGTTCGCAATGAATTTGCATATCCCATACTCGGCACATACTCAGCACATACTCAGCACATACTCAGCACAAAGCAAACCGTTGCAACCACTGGTTCCAGTACAATTCTGGCCATGGCTTAAAAGATCCCAAGCATAAGAAACAGGATTGGTTGGAATATACCGCCGCTCTTAGCAGAAAGGAGTGCGCAGATGTGATGAATATGGATAATTATCTGTCAGAACAGATGTTACGCTTTACAAGCGCCACAAAATTACACTTACCCCTTAAGGCCAAGACATGGCTAATGTGTAAATGATGTTCTGGTAGCTTTCAGCTTATTCTGGTCGCCGAAACAAGATCAAATCTTGTAAGGCCTCGACAATTATAGCCCCGAGCTTAATCAAACCGCCGGCGAATCTGTTGACATTGGCTGCACATGTCCATAGTCTGTGGGAAGATGCAAGATTCACGCTCAAATTAGTGAGGATGAACCCAGGGAGGACAGAGTTAATCGTTCAGTTCTAATGTCTACTCTCTAATAAATAGTATAAGTGTGTTCGACTTTCCTGCGCCAATACTAAAAAAAACATGTGTAAAAGCCCAAAGAACGCAAAGATATTAGACTGCGAGACAGAGAAACAATTTTCTCAATACATCAGATTGTGTTCAAGACAGTTAATCCGAAAACACATCTTCTCACGTCTAAGAAATTATTGCTGATGCAATGGAACTTGGTTCGAATGCAACCTTTCAACATAGCAGCCGACCTTCCTTGAAGATAGCGTTCCTATCCAATTTCTGGCCTAGGAGATAGCAGTTCTGCCTATGAGGCCGCGGGAAACAATTTCCAGGAGGACCGGGTTACAATTAAAATAAACACGATCTTAATAATTATAGTTCAAGGCAACCCGTCCGTTCATCTCGTGACGGTACACCGAAGATCGTGCCACGCGGCCACAGGCGTGGGTAGCACCCCGGCGAAACGTCAATGCGTACTTCCGGAGAAAGGAAGTTGAAACAATAGTTGGTTATCGTTTCCATTCGCTCTGATGGTCAGTGACAGGGATAGAGGCCGATGGGTTATGCTACGCGGTTGAATCAAATCACCTCAAAGTGGGAAGGCTATTGTTTCCAGGTGAGAAAGGAACACATCGCAACTAGGAAAGGTTGAATCTAGCAAGAAGCTTGTTAGGGTTGATGATACTTGTGTCATATCATTAGCATCTTTATAAGTAATGTTACGGCCGAGGTTTCGAGAGCGAATTTATACTTTTTCTGTGGCTTCCTGTTGACCGCGATCGACCTAATTTTGAGCTTAATCCATACTACTTAAAAGAGCAAAAGACGCATTATCTGAATTTAATTCGACACTTTTTTTTTTTTTTATAATGACCCGATTCAATTCCGCTATCGAAGATGCTAGCTATGCAGGTGCCGCGCCGTTCGGGCAAGAATAGTGTCCTGGACATCATCCAATACGTATATAGTAGCTAGGCATATATGCATTAACCAGCCCAAAATGTACCATCGTAGAAAAGGCCAGTAACGTAGCGAGGTAGATAGGCCCTAAACATGAGATATTCCAAAGAGGTGTCGCAACTGATATGGCAGTTGCCTGCACGCCTGTATCCTCTGTCTTTGGTCCCCACCACTTGTCACTTCCCACCCGTAAGTTCCTGCAAATTTGATCTGCGTGGCCTTCCCAATGGCTCAAGTGAGGTGCAGTCAGTATACTTGTGTGTTGTCTTCAGCGTCTCTCCTTACGTCCTGTAGGCCTACATGTCCCTATTATATGTCGGGGTCAGTGGATGAAGTTAACCTGTATGGTCTTCTTCCCGATGCAGCACATATGCAGCATGAAATAGCAGCACTGTAATAACTTCCGGTCGAGTATGTGGAATTCAGGCGGAATCCTTTGCGTGAGGTCCGAACATCCGCGTGGCGATCCCTCAACTATCAAATCAAAAGAGTAAGTCTTTATGTACCAGGTGCCTATGCGCTCGGCCTCGAGATTATATCAACATAATACGCTGTGTTTCTACTATACACTCTCTTTTCTTGGTACACAAATTGCTTCATGTACGCTTTTACCTTCTCATGGGCTTGTTGGTATATTATCAGAAACATTATTGCATACGGTGGCCCGATTTATTCGCTCTACACATTGAAAGACCACACCCCTGGAGGCAAGGTAACCTGCCCCGTAGTCTTTCCCCTAGCTTGAAATAGGAGAGAACTATGACGATCTGAAATGATGCCGCGTTGAGTGAGAATAATAACATGGCTTGACTAGTGATCTGGGAAACAAATAATTCAGTCGATACACCGGAAAAGATTCTTTCGGCTTCTGCGTTGGGCACTTGCATATGACAACTGTACGCCAGCTGTTCACCCTCAACCCTAGTGGACCGCTGTTTCAACCCAACGGATCTGAAGATCTTTGACATACTTTTAACGTGACTGTTTCCACAAGACCTTCGACTTCATTTACTTATTATCAACCGGAGCCTTATATGGCTCATATCTTGATAAGCCAAATTGTATGACCAAGTTCGGATTACCTCTTCTCATTCGTCAATTACGTTTTCCTCATGTCGATGCTCAAATAATACAAAGAGCTCCTCCTGCCTACTATTCGACAACTCAGACATCACTATGCGTTTGATAAACGTTAATACACTCAAATTAGAGGAATTCCAAAGGAAAGTGCCCCGTTACGCTATACTCTCGCATACGTGGGGAGCCGACCACGAGGAACTATCATTTCGCGACATCAACGAATGCAATATCGGAAAAGGGAGTTTACCATTCAAAGTCGCAAAATGCTGTGAACAGGCAGAGAAGGATGGTCTTAAGTATGCATGGGTCGATACGTGCTGCATTGACAAAACAAACTCAGTAGAACTCGGTGAAGCCATCAACTCCATGTTTCGATGGTACAACGGAGCCGCTGTTTGCTATGCCTATCTGGCCGATGTCACCTCTGGGTATAATCGAAGTTTTCCCTTGGCACAATTTTGCTCCTGTCGCTGGTTCCAACGAGGCTGGACCCTACAAGAGCTTTTGGCTCCTGATAGTCTTCGATTTTATGATTCGGAATGGCGCTACTTGGGAACAAAAGCAAACAGGTCGAGCACCATTGAACGGAAAATCGGGATACCGCGACGATTCTTGCAAGGAACGGCTTTGGGCGAGGCAAGCATTGCTCAGCGTATGTCATGGGCCTCTAAGAGAGAAACAAAACGAGAGGAAGACATTGCTTACTGTCTTCTTGGGATTTTTGATGTAAACATGCCAATGATCTATGGCGAGGGTGGCGTTCGAGCGTTCACTCGGTTACAGCGAAAAATCATGAGAAGCTCGAAGGATGAATCTATCCTAGCTTGGGGTTTTCAAGCCATTGAACCACCAACGATTGACTCCGAAGACCTGGCCGTATCGGCAGGGGTACTTGCAGCATCTCCAGCTGACTTTACCAACTGTGGAGAAATAGTCCCACGAAAGGACAAGGCAAAGTCTCCGACTACATTCACTATTGAAGGGGGCCTCGTCCGGATTAGTCTCCCTTTGTTTTCAACAATAACTGGTGAGGTCTTTGGACTACTAAACTGTGGTCCTCAGCACGAACGCAAAGCAGTGGTAGGAATCCCACTGAGTGATAAGCCGTCTGGCGAGTATCTAAGGCCACAAGGGCGCTCTTCGTACAGTTTCTCAATTGATAAAACCCGTGCCCCAGCCCAGCCTGTGTATATTCAGATCGGGCGGGAGAAGAAGAGCGTCTCGGAAGTCAGTGCTCAGAATTACTTCTATATCGATGATCCCATTGAAACAGGATTAGAATTGATTGAGGTTGAACCGCAAAGTCGCTGGTGGAAAGACCGTTCTCTCATCATGACATCGAACGACCCTGCTGACGATACTACACAACAAACCTGGACCCGATTCCGTACTGAAGGTGAAGGGTCCAGCGACTTTCTGGTGCTTCTCGAGTTTCAATCGCAGGGGTCGCAAGTGCAGGCTCGATGCCACTTAATGACAGCATCAAGAAGTACATCACTGGTGGATGTAGCACAAAGAGCCAGTTGTATAAGGCAAGACGCATTCGGTAAATCAGGTGCCAGTGACAGCACCCACAGCATTCAGGCCAGCGTGGAACGAGACAGCGTGCAAGAGATATTTGTGGTGAAATTGACCGCAACAGCGAGTCCGCCCAGCGTTACCATTGATGCCACATTTGAGTTAGAAGTATTGATGCTTAAAATTGAACTGGAGAGCATAATGAAGGATGAAGATGATCTTCGTCTTGAAGCAGAGTATTTCGACAAGCCTGAAGAAGAGACAATTTCCTCCTTCGAATCTGCCAAAGCAAGCTTGAGTGAAATAGAAGAGGAAATTAAAAGGTTGAACGAGCAGAAAGTTCGACTACTCAAACTACTTAACAGAGCTTCACGGAGTGTCCGAGTGGAGGAGTTTAGGCAACGGGAAGCCATATTGTCGGAACGCAGAAAGTCATTTGCAGGGAGATTGGACGGGCGGCAACAAGCAGTATTGAACAATGGATACGGCCTGCTTCTTCATCAGACTCCGGGTAGGGATACTGTGGCAGTCAATTCCTCGGCTAATCCATCAGTGGTTCAAAGCAGTTCAATAGGACATTCTGGTTGGGTTCACGGTTATGACGAACCGATGCTTTCTGACACTGAAGTCGAAGAAGCTGAGGCCGAACTGGCGGAGCTGGTAGATTCTGAAGTTGAACTGGCGAAAGTCATCGATGAAATGTTCAGGAGGGATCACTTTCTTAGCCAGCTTTTCAGCGACAAAAGGGGTTTTATAATATACTTATACAAAAAGGCCCTGGATATGTATCCGGACAGCGACCAGCACCCCGAGTACAAAAACATCGTGACAGACACAATCAATGTGTCCATGCACCAACAAGTGTTCTATTGCGGTGAGTTCCGCCAAATCCAATCACTTATGGTTCTCATATTCTTATTGCTTACTTATAACTTCGAGGACTATTTTTAAGATGATGGTTCAGCAATTGGACATGAAGATCGTTGGGATGTCCAAAAGAAATTCGTGAAGCTGCTCGCCAAGCTCACTACTCAAGTCATTCCCGCTGGCAAAGGGGTTGCGCTACGTTTCATCAACCGCGAAGTTGATAACTCCCCTAACCTCACATTTGAACGGGTGCAGAAGATCATGGATTCCATGCCATTGAGGCTCGGTAGCAGCACGGCGATTGGGAGAAACTTAAAATCTAGAATTCTTGAGCCTCTAGTCTACAGCAAGATCATTTCTCAGAGCCTTGACAGGCCACTGCTCATCACTATCACGATTGCTGGCCGTCCGGAAACCGAAGCTGAGTCCGAATTCATGAACGCTATCAGAGAGTGTGGCAGAAAGCTAGAACGCGCCGGATACCCCCGCAACAGTACGTAGCCTTATACCCATGCTCCACTCCCACCTCGTCAACCCCAGGTGGTAACCACTGATCTGATCAACCTGCAGCTGTGGTATTCATGATCTATCAAATTGGCACAAACAAAAAGACCGTGGAGTTCCTACAACGTCTTCAAGGCGATCCGGATATTCTCCCTGTCACCAATGTTATTCCTCATCATAAATGTATGCCCCGTGTTCGGTTCCGTGGGTCAAATTCTATGCCTACTAATATATTGAAGATCGTTTGAGAATGGAGGTCATCCGTGACAGAGATGGCTTGGAATATGATTACAGAGTATGGTCTTCCATCATCTATCCCTGGTATTTCCCGGCTGGTTGACTGATACTGACGGATTTTTTCTTCAGATAATACAGCACCTATCTGATTTCCTTCATAGAGCGGGGGTAGTTTTCCCATAGGGAGCCCTTAGTACCTACAAAGTATCACCTTGTCCGGCTACATGTGCTTAAGATGGTGGTGTCTATCTTGCGTATCACCTGAAGTCCCACATATAAGCTGATTAATGTAGACCGTTGATTAAAAAAGCCAACCCAGCCAGTGTTCGCAAGTGAGATCTGCAGTAGGACATAAAGAATCAGGTATTGGTATCTTTCTTGGCTTCGATCGCCATGAACACCCCTACGAATAAGTAGTGCCAGATCAGCTACAGTAGTGTTTCTGGAGCCTTAAATGGCGCCTTTCCAGGATATCTTATGAATCAAAGTATCGAAACCCGCGTGAGTAACCCAATGAGAAGACTGTTTGGAACCTTGGTGATGGAATAGTGTCTGTTAGACAACGAGAGCGGCGTCTCTCAAAGTTAGTTGATGTTGTCATGATACATCTCCGGGTATCGCATTGAATACTATGCTTAGATTGTTCGAATTATAGCTGACTTCAATGATTGGCTCAATCGTGGCTACAATGAAGCTTGACATGGACAATATAATGGGTGAAATTTCAAACACCCTGCAGGACTAAGGACCGTAGCGATGTCTTGAACTAATATTGTGATATTAAAAATCATATCAACATGGAGGAAGCTTGCTTCAGTTCATATAGCCAGATTCAAAGTCATTATGCGCGGCTTTGCCAAAGTGGAAGAGGGATGGACAGAGAAGGTGAAGGGCAGGTGCCAAGCATGTGGACGTCTGGCTGCATGAACGGCCGCCTGGTCCTGAAGCCCCTGGCATCTTTGACCTCCTCCATCAACTACAACTAAAAGAGATGTTTCGGCTTCAACCACATACTTGCTCACAAGTTGAGTCTATTATACGTGCAACCTTTTTCATATCCTCACGTCATTTACCTTTCGTCATAGACTCCTACCTAGTTCGTCTAATCCAGTCAAATGCAGATCAACTTCCACCATCGCGTCTGCAAACACAACCATTCAGCGCGTATTTCCTACGTCCGGTTTCGAGGCCATCGATCCGGCAGAGGATATTGAGGAAGAGACATTGCCCACCTACAATGCAGAGAAATACTACCCCGTTCGCCTCGGGGAAGTTCTGGACGGCCGATATCAAGTCGTTGCAGGCTAAGGTGTCACATCTACAGTCTGGCTCGGTCGCGATCTGAGGTAAGATGATTTTCACTTTAGTCGACACTCCCTCGTTTTATCACCTACAATCCATATACTCTTAGCCACTTGAGCCCGCTATGTAATCACGTTTGGGGCTCCTATGCTGAAGGTGTAACTTCAGTGATTTCAAGCATGTCGCCTTGAAGATATATGTTTCCGGCACTGCGGACAGGAACCATGAACTTGACGTGTATAAACGCATGAATGCAATTAAAACAGATCATGCGGGACAAGCTCTCATTCGGGAATTATAGGATCATTTCTTCCTAGAAGGCCCCCATGGCCGTCACATATGTCTCGTACATCAACCACTTGGCCTTAGTGTTGATCAGTTTCTATTTTTCTTTCCTGGGAGGGTGATGAGCCTTGACGCCTTGAAGCCCTGCATTGCGACAGGTATTAGGTGTAGTCGATTTCCTACATACCGAAGCGCAGGTCATACATACTGGTATGATTCCGAGAAATCCTTACTATCCATTGTGGCTGACAGTTCCGAAGATCTACAATTAAAGAATCTGCTTCTCCCAGGTGATCCAAAGAATTTCTCGGGTCTTGAGGATTCTGAGATTGAGGAACCCTCGCCTAGAAAGGTACTTGGTCCTGAGCGCACAATCTACACCAGCCATATAGTTGTCCCCGGAAATGGGTTGCCATTGCTCAGTGACTTCGGAGAAGCCCGCTTCAGCGAGGAAGAGCATGACGAGGATATCATGCGAAATCTTTACAGGGCTCCTGAGGTGGTGCTAATGATGAAATGGGATAACAAGGTGGATGTATGGAGCAGTGCCCTGATGGTAAGAGATGGTGCTTATCGAGTCCATTCTTCATTCATCCCATACTTACCTTCATGTAGACCTGGGATATGGTCTGCTCTCAAACGCTATTCGATGGCAGAAACAGTGATGATGTTTTTGATGATCGAGTCCATCTTGCTGAGATGGTTGCAATTATGGGACCACCTCCCACCGAGTTCATCAAACGAAGCAAGGTAGGCTCGATATTCTGGGATGAGGATGGTATGTTACCAATTGAACCAGCTGCATGACATGAAGCTCAGCTAAAATATAAGTTTAGGGAAATGGAAGGAGCTTGCGCCAGTGCCGAACATGACGCTTGAGGAAAGGGCGGCTAATATCCAGGGACCCAACAAGGAAGAATTCTTAAAGTTTGTGCGAAGAGCATTAACATAGGACCCCGAGGACAGACCTGCAGCGGGAGAAGTGATATTTGATGAGTGGCTTATGAAGGGACTGCAGCTTCCCGCTCATCTGTCGAAGAATACCTACTTGTAATTAAACTTTTCTAGTAAATCAATTGTAAAGCGTTGAATTGGCCGAATCGTATGGCAAATATGAGTGCAAGATATACTTTATCGTGCACAAAAGATGATCATTCCATACTCTATACGTGAGAGCGTAGTAAATGCTCGACGATAAGTGAAAGTGGAGCCGGCGGAAGAGTTGGGGAGAAAAAGACCGGGCGGGTGCCTGAGGATCCCGGATCCAGAACGGATTCCGCTTCTGGGATTCTCGTTCTTCTTTCCGCCGACCAACCGTTCATCCATCCTCACCTCAGTCCAGCCATCATGTCGTCCCGCACCGTCTGGAGGAGTCTCCAATTGCAAGCCCGGAGACGTTTCATCGTCCCGGAGACACCATACCGCTGCTTCTCCTGCACGCGACGTGCCCAGGAGTCGCCCAAGACCAACCAGGACGATCGCATGACCCATTTCGGCTTCCAAAATGTTCCCGAAGCACAGAAGGAGTCTTTGGGTAGGTTCATCGGAGATATTCTGCATATACATGATCGAAGAAAGAAACGATTTACTAAGACTTGTGCCAATCTCTAGTGGGGGCCGTGTTCAGCTCCGTTGCCTCGTCCTACGATGTGATGAACGACATGATGTCGCTGGGCATCCACCGCCTGTGGAAAGATCACTTTGTCCGCTCTCTCAACCCCGGATCCGCACTTCCCTCTCGCGAACACGATACGGCAGGACGTGGTTGGAACATTCTCGATATCGCCGGCGGGACGGGCGACATCGCGTTTCGCATGCTGGACCACGCGACGAACATCAACAATGACCACGAAACCCGCGTAACGATCGCCGATATCAACCCGGACATGCTGGCGGAGGGCCAGAAGCGCAGCGTGCAGACGCCTTACTACAACACAAACCGACTGTCGTTCATGCAGGGCAATGCGCAGTCCATGCCTTCCATCCCGGACAACTCGGTGGACCTCTACACTGTGGTGTTTGGTATCCGCAACTTCACGGATAAGCAGGCAGCATTGAACGAAGCGTTCCGTGTGCTGAAGCCTGGTGGTGTGTTCGCCTGCATGGAATTCAGCAAGGTCGACAACGCCCTGTTCAATGCGGTCTACAAGCAGTGGAGTTTCAGCGCCATTCCCATGATTGGTCAGTTGGTGGCGGGTGATCGGGACAGCTACCAGTACTTGGTCGAGAGTATCGAGCAGTTCCCTAGCCAGGAGGAGTTCCGCGGCATGATCCAGAAGGCTGGCTTCATGATCCCGGGACGTGGTTTCGAGAATCTGACGGGTGGAATTGCCGCTATTCACAAGGGTATCAAGCCGCTTTCCCGGGCTTAAGAGGGGCAACTAAAAGGGATGGATGGATTGTTTCAGACAGTGTACACTAGCATATCTTTTTCGCCACTGTAATAATATTGATGGTCAATTATTGACATGGAAAGCAGTTGAGCCAGTCCGGAACGGCAGCGGGGAATGGATCTGCAAGACATCAGCAGCGTTGCGGATGGTGTGATGGCGGATTCCGAATGGCCGGGCGGAGGCAGACTAAGTAGGGGTTAGAACTTAGAAGAGCGTAGAAGGATGCATGCGTCGGGATCTAGAAGGTGGTGCAAAATGAAGAACAGATTTTAATTTCTAATCGTTCGGGGAGGTGGTCAGCTCTGACACGCGGATTGGAGAAGACATCCGATCCGAGGCAACCTTTCTTTATCTCTGAGGAGTCTAGATAATCCCTATCACCAAAATCAGCCACCCGGGCTTTCCCCTTCCCTCTTCTTTCCCCTCCACTTTTTTTGTTCTGTTTCGCCCCCCCACCATCGGATTTCTCCTCCTTTCCCCCTCCTCACTGCGTCTCCAGGTTCGCGTCCGGGATCTTTCTTCCCAGGCTACCTCCTGGGAGAAAGGCGCCTTCTTACTCTCTTCCCTCTCCCTTTCCCCCCCCACAGAATGGTTTCGTGACCATGGGGCACCTGAAGCAGCCATTCGCGATCCCGCTGTCGCCCGCAATGCCCCTCCCGGAGTCCAACCCCTCCATCCACGATGATTTCCTCCTTCCGATGACTCCTCCAGATCCCTCCGAGGTCCCACTAATGGGAACCAAGGACACTGCGCCCGTGACTTCAGCCCTGCAGGTTATCGCGGCGGAGCGCGCCGCTCTGGCGCATCTGGAGCATATCTACCAGACCGATCCGCTGGCACAAGATAACCTCGCGCGCGCGGTGGCTCAGATTGTGCGCACCATCAAGTATGGCGGGAAATTGGTCTGCTGTGGTGTCGGCAAGAGTGGTAAGATTGCTCAGAAGCTTGAAGCCACCATGAATAGTATGGGGATCTATAGTGCTTTTCTGCACCCCACGGAAGCCTTGCACGGCGACCTGGGCATGATACGACCGGTAAGGCTGTCCTGACCTCAAGTCAAGGGAGAACCGCTTGCTGACTGAATTCGAATGCACCAGCATGATACGCTATTGTTAATATCTTTCTCGGGCCGCACACCCGAGCTTCTGCTCATGCTTCCTCATATCCCTTCAACTGTCACGGTCATCGCTATCACTTCCCATATGGTCTCGTCGACTTGTCCTCTGCTTTCTTTCCACCCGTCAAACATGGGGATCCTCTTACCGGCACCGATCCACGAGGATGAAGAGACCTCGATCGGAGTCTGTGCCCCGACTTCGTCCACCACGGTAGCCTTATCGCTGGGAGATGCACTGGCTATCGCTACGGCTCGGCGACTACATACAGCTCCTGGCAGAGGCCCGGCGGAGATCTTCAAGGGCTTCCATCCTGGCGGGGCCATCGGCGCTGCGTCCATAGCTTTGACACCTATGAGCATGTCATCTGCGTCAAGTTCCGCCGCCCCATCAGACTATATTCCTGCTCAACAGACCGCGACCTCCTTCCCGCAGTCAGACGACAAGCCTAATCAGCGTTCTCTCGTCCGTGATATGCTCGTGTCCCTCGATCAGATTCCCAGGGTGTCTACTTCGGGTAAAGTCCGTCTTCTAGACATTCTCCTCACTGCTATCCAGCACCCCAACGCCAAGTCATGGGTCCATCTCTCACCATCCGAAATCGTGCCCCCACGGCATCTCCGCTTCGTCTCCCAGAGCAACTATGTAGATATGCACGTTTCCGCCTTCACTGAGCTGGGTCTACCTTTCGGTGTCTCCCGCAAGGATTGGTTCCGCCTCGCGAGCTCGAGCACCATCGACGACGCGCGACGGCTGGTTTCTGAGGCTGGTGCATCCTCAGGCACCCCCGTGACAGTGGTGGCCGTCATGGACGAGACCAACCCTGACCATTGTGTTGGTGTCATAGAAGCTGAGGATCTATGGAATGATTGTGATGACTAAAATATATCTATATCCCCTCCCCACTCTGATCCTGATGATGTATATGAACTCATGCCTGATATTCGTGTTCTTTCTGCCTTCCTGTCTTATATCTCCTCCTTTTCAACCACAATAGATAGCTTTGATTTGGGACATGTATCCCAAACTTGGAGATGGTTTGTCTGCATGAGTGGGGTATGTCGGTGTGCCGCAACCTCATGATGTTTATCAACTTTTCGGGTTCTTATATCTTTCACATACATATTACTATCCTCGTGGGGACCTTGTTGATGTCCATACCCACCTTCATACATACAAAACTCTTGCGTCTTTTTCATTTGATGACGTATAGAAGAGACTTACTATCATCACTACTTATACTAGATACCCGATCTCTCTGATCATGACCGCAGAAAAGAAATTCAATAACTTGTTTGTTTGTCCGATTTCAAGTCTAATTCTACCATCATCTCTGTAGGTGACCCTCTAACGTATCGGTACAGAAATTCTCAAATGAGCCAGAAACAAAATAAACAGGGTATAAACATCATCGCGGGGACATGATAGCAGCACACAAAGGCAGGCCGGAAGGACGGAGGCAGAATATTAATCTATGGTATCTTCAACGCATTACTCGTAACACAGCGGAACGCCTGATCTGATCAAGGGACATAGCATCGAAACATGACCTGAGTTCTTTTTTAGAAAACCGAAACCCACCATTATAGGTGGTTAGCAAGGAAGGGGTTAAAGCTGTTGGTTCATGTCCCGTTTCACCATTGAAGTCCGTGCCCGGTCGGAGTCAAGGGGCGCGGACGTCACGGAAGTGGTATATCAAGCACATCTTGAGAAAGCAGGGCAAAAAAAATTGACGAATGGAGAGACAGAAGAGATCAACGTTACAACGGGGATGTGATGATGACTCTGGCACCAGGCCGAGATATCCCGCGCGGTCTTTGAACTAGGTATCTCAATGGGTGCATGAGACGACCAGGGCTGACTCTGTTACAAATGACGCCCGTATGTTCTCTTTCGCTCTCTTCTGCCTGTGCTCGAGTCTTCCTGTGGCGGTGAAAGCGGGACGACTCGGAGGGTTCGTTTCAAGACGTAGTGAAATCACCAAATGGCGTTTCACCCCGAAGATCCGGGTTCTTGTCGGCCTTTGCCCTTGTCGGTTGATGCCGTGCTATCGTCCTTGTATAGATTGTGTTGTTCGATGTAATGGATCACGGGGACGGGAATCAGGTATCGTACACTCATGTCACGTCTCAGGAATAGACGGATCTTGGTGCTGCTGACGTCATTTTGGATAAGTTGTTGAATGACATGGATGTTTTTCTTCCATGTTTGCAGGGCAGCGAGAGCTTCGTCAATGTCGGTTCCGGTGCGTTCCACAATGAAAGTCTGCAAGGTGAATTAGCGGCAACCTCGGAAACTGGGAGGATGATCTGTAGACAACATACGCCGTATTTTCCAAGAATGTGGTCGAGATCCTTTTCGCTCCATACCCCAGGAGTTGACATGGTATGAACCAGATCAGCGCCTGCCAGCAGAGCAATCTGGATGGGCTTGCGAGTACCATTGCCGGCCTCGATGCCCTGTCGTACAGTGTTGATCTCATGATCAAAATGGTCCAACACCACGGCTGTCGGCTGGTACTCCTTCTGCATCGGTTCCCACGTATCAACCATCAGCCAGTCGGAGGTCTGATCCACGGCGAGTTGGCACATAGCGACACTATTAGAATCATTGCAGTTAGCGCATGAATGGAGAGGGATGGTGCGGAATGGCGGGGTTGTAGAAGGGCCGGGTGGAACACAAGAGCCTTACCGATGCTCAGCGCTAGCCAGACCGGCCTTACGATAGGCGTCTGACACCGGGGACAGGTAACCCCCGACCAGTTCAAAGTCCGTGCTGAATTTGACGTAATCGGCGGCCATTTCGAACATGCGCAGGTGCAAGTAGGTGATGGGCGAGAAGGAGCCACAGGCCACCAGGAGAAGAGGGGTCTTTTCGGGGTCGTCCATTGTGCGCTTCAGACGAAGCTCAGGGAAGGCGTAGTCATCCATCGGAGCCGGAGGCAAAGGCGAGGATCGCCGGTGGACATCGTCACTGATTGTGTCGGTCATGGTTGCAGATGAGAGGCAGAATGGTGTCCCAGGATGGTGGGAGAGGCTGGGAGGGACCAAAACTGGCCCAAAATAGATGGAAATTTGGTTGGAAGATTGAAACGGAGACAGACGGAAGAGAGTTCGGGAGGGATGGAATGGTAAGAGAGATGATATGGACGATGAATGAGATTTGAGTTCGCCGGTAAAAGGATGGGATGCGGGCGCAGGGGGGTTAGTCAGCGTGGGGGAAATGCAAGAGGCGGGCGGGGAAGAAAAAACGACCAAGACGGATGTTCGGTGTGTGCCTCGGGCGCGATCACATCATCATCAACCACCGTATCGAGCATTTACCACCGAGCCCCATTTATAGTATGGCCTTGCGCAGGCAATCATGGTGTGCCTAGCAGGTTCTCAATCTCCCACCTAATTAGCTATGCTTGAGTGTTTTGACTCAATGAGAATATCATCCCCGTCTCAGAGAATCTCCCAAAGTGGTCTATGTCCGTCGCATACCCACATAGCCGGTAGCCGGCTATCTATCTCTCCATCGATCGGGCCCAGCACAGCAGCCCTGTGAGGGGGTAACTTGGTGCCTGTCATCCATCCTATTCCATTCTTTACCCCCTCAAGGCCGGTCTAAAAAGTATCCCTTGAATTAATCCCCCCACAGGATTTCTCTCTTCCAAGCCAGTCAACTCCTGTCCACACTTCCCATAACAGTTATTTGCAGGCATCCTCCAATTGAGGACTGGTGTGAGTCACCATCCCCATGGCGACGTCCACTCACTCCGCATGGTTCGGGAAGAACTGCTTCGCCTATCTACTCCATAGTCCATACACGGGCAGAATTACCCTGTCTTGCCGCAAGATTTTCCCAAAAGAATTTAGGTCGTTAAGGTGGAGACCAGCCCGACGCTATAGCCGTTACGGTGCTATCTATTGCTCCATTAGGCATAAGTATCAATCTCCTCAACTCTTGCATGCATCGCTGAATTAACCGTGGGTTAACGGGAATTAAAGCTGTTCACACATCCGACCGGGTAATGAATCCGAGGCACGCACGCGATAAGATTCATTGAAAACCCCGCGCAGATGCAGTCATCTGCAGTTCTGCACTGAGTGGAATGTCACAGATGTGGTGCTCTGATATGGAAAATGGGAAAATGCAGATCAGGGCAGTATGGTGCGACCCCAAGGTACTTACAGAGTAGATTTGCCGGCTTTCTGCATCAGATAAGAGAAGGTACGAAGCCAAGTGGTTTGTTTGCTTACCTTCACACAAAGTACTATATGGGTATAACTACTGTGATGATCACTGCCCCTCAGGTAGCCAATCGTCACTTATAAATAGTATCAAGGAGTATCAGCAAGGGGCCTGTCACGCTACCCATCTACAGTATGAGTTTCATGTGATTGTAGTGATACTTGGTAATGCTGAAGACCTGGGATGACACCTTAATGGTAACCTCTTTAAGATCCGTGGATTGCAACATTACTCATTACTCCTAGTAGTAGATAGCCAAAAGCGGGATATGCATTTGCCCGTTCAAGCCCGACAACATGCTACATCAACTACAGATACTCTTAAATGATACTGAGGAAACAGGTATACTTAGCAATTTCTGGTAGATCACTGTGGTAGTTACTGGTCTAAACAGCTGTTTAAGCCCTTTAGTCCTTGGCTACTGTGATGGAAATCTCTCCAAACCGGTCATGCTATTAATCAGCCTCTACTGCAGATAGTTAACTACTAGACACAAGGGTACAGGAAGAGGTCAGACCCCGTTGACCGCAATGGTCTAGGTAAACCAGTTAGATTTAATTCTCCAGATTAATAATCGGCTCATTCCGCATCGAAAGATCAAGATTTTTGAGATTGTATATCCAGGAAAATGCCGTAACTTCGCATGGGAGAATATCGGGATCTCGCTCTGTGGTGGTGGTTGAGGCTGCACTTTAGCTGTCTGACGCCTTCCGGACTGGCTTCCTCAGGCCGGCGTCACTCACCACCGCCAACCACGTCAATCATCTTCCCCCCCCAAACTCCGTCCTTCACCATCACCTCATCCACCACACTTCATTCCACCCCGATTCACGTTTCTCTGTTCTCGACCACGACTCTTACGATCATCTGCGCTTTCTGGTATATACTACTAATTGACTACGCCTTCGTTACCAGGGAACACCTTTGTTCTCTCAAGTATCGCCCCCTTCACGTCCCCGATCGGCCGTCCCTCAGCTACACCCTCCCCCGGATCGTCGACGGAACCCAATTCGCCTTTCTGCCCACGCTTGGTCAACATTCCCTAGGGTAACGGATGGCGGGTTAACGGCGACAAGTGACGAGCGAGCCCTCCTTATCTAGCTCTCGTTAGCAATCGACATATGGCCAGACAAAGGCCCAGTGCTCACCGCCAGGACCCTCTTGAGGACTCTTCCACTCAGCCAACCTCTGCTGGACCTTCCGCCACTGCCGCTAGGTACATACTTGATCTCTTTGCCCTTCACTCTTTGGCCCTGTGCCCTGTGGCCTGATACCTGGACTTCTTCCCCTCTTTCGTGGTACCCCCGCAAGAACCCGTTCCCTACAGACCTGTCCAACTGTCTTGGTGGATGGAGAGCTCTGCCCACCAGCTGCGTACTCGGCGGGAACCATCACCGTCATAATACTTTGCTATCTGGGTCGGGTGGGGATTCTCCCCTCACACTACAAGCTGTTGTTTTGTTGTCATCTTCATTCTGATCGCTCTCACGACACTCTTTACCTCTGCCCCACCCACATCCTGGAAGTGAACCTTTTCTCATGTCCTCCAGAATCACTCGCTCCGCCGCGAGAGTAGCTGCAGACTCCCTTCCGTCTACCGGCTCTGGTCCCTCTCCTGCGAACGCGGCCGCTGGTTCGGCTCCAAACCGGAAGCGAAAGGCCCCTGCGCGACGTGATCGATCGGTAGACGCCCCGGAACAGTCAAATCCTTCCTCTTCTCCCCGAAAATCCAAGCGACAGCGACGTGCAACTTCCCCCCGAGCGGCGCAGTCCCCTGCAACCACCCGCCGCGGTACTCGCAATCGTCCAGCTATGTCCCAACCTGGGTAAGATACGATCGGGATATTGATAGTATGTGGGCTGACTGAACCATGATTATAGTCCTTCATCACATCCTGCCGAGGATTCATCAAGAAATCAGGCCTCCCCTCCAGCGTCTAGACGGAAATCAAGCAGGAGCGGGAAGGTGTCACAAGGTGAGAACGGAACAGCCTGGTGGGGAAGAAGTTCTCACACCTCGGAGCCACATGGTCTACGCCCCTATGGATAGGATGAGCTGACTCTATGATAGATAATGCCTCGGCAGCTCAGCCATCGCCTCGTCGACAAAAAAAGCGCCCTTCCAGAGCCAGCCCCGATACTATCATGAAGGAGGCGGAAGAGGAGATGGAGGAGCAGGAACGAAGCGAAGAACGGGATTCTTCTCCTCCAAGTGATAGCCACGAGGGAACCATTCCCTCTGGTCTTGATGACGATGACGACGAGGATGACGGGGACCTTTTCCATAACAGTCTGTTTGGGTCGCGAAGCCCCTTGGGTCTGCAAAGCACCCTCCGTGCTCTGAGCGGCATGATGTCGGGCATGTCTTCGCGTTTGCGAGATATTCTGTGCAACCTGCGAATGAAGGATGACCCGTCCATTCAGCTGATCGCTCTGCAGGAGCTCTCTGATCTACTACTTGTATCAAATGAGGATAATCTTTCCGGCCAGTTTTCCCCTGATCCGTATGTAAAGGAATTGGTCGCCTTGATGCAGCCAAGCGATTTCGGTGAGGAAAATCCGGAGATCATGCTTCTCGCATGTCGCTGCTTGGCCAATTTGATGGAGGCCTTGCGTGGTTCCGTGGCCAATGTTGTCTACGTAGGAGCTGTCCCCGTCCTTTGCCAGAAGCTCCTAGACATTCAATTCATCGATCTGGCTGAGCAAGCTCTCAGTGTAAGTCACTCCTTGTCCTTTATCATTCAATTACCCCTGTCGGGGGCGGGCAGGCTAACCAGTCGTTGCAGACTCTGGCGAAAATATCCGTGGATTTTCCCGCGTCTATCGTTCGCGAAGGGGGTTTGACGGCTTGCCTGACGTATCTTGATTTCTTCCCGACTAGTACACAGCGTACGGCAGTTACAACGGCTGCTAATTGTTGCCGCAACCTTCCTCACGACTCATTCCCGGTGGTTAGGGACGTCATGCCTACTCTGCTCAACGTTCTCGCCAGCAATGATCCCAAGGTTGTCGAGCAGGGCTGCCTATGTGTCTCCCGCATCGTTGAAAGCTTTAAGCATAAGCCAGAGAAGCTGGAAGAGCTCATTGAGCCTGCGATGCTCAAGGCTGTGCTTCGACTGCTCTTGCCCGGCACTACCAATCTCATCGGGCCTCATATTCATACACAGTTCCTCCGTGTGCTGGCCATCACGTCGAAAGCGAGTCCGAGACTGTCCGTTGAATTGCTCAAGATGGATGTGGTCGACACTCTCTACCAGATCCTAACGGGAGTATCGCCGCCGGCAAACCTAGAGGACACCGCTGTGAAGATGGACAGTGTTCTTGTTATGCAAGCACTGATTCATCGCCCCCGCGAACAGGTGTTTGAAACTCTCAATGTTATTTGTGAGCTTTTACCGGGTGCGCCGAACCGGTTCCTCTCGGCGGACAGCTTGCTTGGCTTGCCCGCTGAAGGCGATGCTGCTCGCCAGCCAAAATCACCTAAGGCCAAGGAATCTGAAGAGAAACGGCGTTCGTTGCTCGTGGACTGCAAGACGGAATTGAAGCGCTTCGCGATGATCTTGCTGCCGACCTTGACCGATGCCTACTCTAGTACTGTTAACCTAGAGGTGCGCCAAAAGGTCCTGACCGCTCAGCACAAGATGCTGCATAATCTAGATGCCAGCTTGATTGAAGATGCATTGCGGACGGTTCCATATGCGTCGTTCTTGGCGGCCATCCTTTCACAGAAGGACCATCCGACTCTGGTGTCCTCTGCGCTACGCTGTGCGGAGATCCTTTTCCAGCGCTTGGAACATGTTTATCGACACCAGTTCCACCGTGAAGGTGTCATTTCCGAGATATTTAAGCTTGCTGAGGGACCACTATCCACAGACAAGCAGGGGAAGCCAGCGAGCGATTCATCGCCGGCCCAGGAGACTATTGTGGAATCTAAGCCATCCCACGGTGGAAATGATGTGATCGGTAGCGAAGACAATGGTGGCGACGACGCCGATGGAGGAGATGACTATGATGAGCAGGACGACGAAGACAACGACGATATGTCTGAGTCTGCAAGCTCCTCATCCTTCTCCAGCCATGCCCTTTCTGCCAGAATTGAGAATGCTATGCGTGATATTGTTATCCGCGATGCTCGTGCCTTCGTTGAACTCTACGAAGCAAGCCAAGGAAGGGATATGCGGGACAAGGCTTTGGAGACTTTGAACGAACTAAAGACCCTTGCAGCTAAGATTGAGGCATTCTATGCTGGCGATAGTGATGAAGATGGCCTTGCGCTTTTCCAAAAGCTTGCGACATATTTTGATGGCGATGCACTGGAAAGTATCACTAGCTCGGAACTTCTCAACTCTGGCATCATCAAAGTGCTGCTCGATGTGTTTGGAGATTTTCAAGGTGAGTTCTGTACTAATTCGCTTAGAGACCAATGGCTCACCACTCTCTAGCTACCTCCATGCGCGAGGCTCGCGCAGCTTTCCTACAAGCGTTTATGGGATCGACCATTTCGGAGAAGGCCCAGAGTCAAAGCACAGCAACGACGCCCTTCAGTGTCCTCATACATAAGCTGCAGGATCTGCTCAGCCGGACTGAGCATTTCGAGGTCTCCACCGTCAGCCATAATTCATTGGAGAATACTCGTAGCAATGCCGCCTACATGCTGGGCAAGCAACTCAGACTGAAGCTGGTGGCGGATGAAGACTCGGATATTCCTCGCACGTATCGAAACATCATGGTCTCCATCCACGCAATAGCAACCTTCAAAGCTCTGGATGATTTCCTCCACCCCAGAATCAGTCTTACAGATCGGCCCAGACCGTCTCGCACGCGTGAGACGATCCTGTCTCAGATTGCAAATGCGGCACGTCTCCGAGATCAGCTGGCCGGTGGCGAGTTCCCTGCAGGCGATGCCGCCGCCACGCCTCGAGCATCATCAAATACCGGCAGACCAGCGCGCCCAGGAGAGACACTGTCGGGTGCCAACGATTCGCCAGCTGAGGGACGTGACCACAGTTCCCGGTCTAGGCGGTCCGGTCGGCATCAAGCTTCAGGCGAAAATGAGCACGAGAATGAACCCCTCGAGTGTGCCGACGAACGGCAAATGAGTGATGACGAAGATCCGGAAGATGACGGCGAGGACGAAGAATTGAACGCTATCGTCGATGACTTGGAGGATGATCTCTCGGACGATAACGTCCATGACCCGACTGCTGTCAACATGGAGGTAGCATCTTCGGGTAAGGTCACTGCTCGGAAAGAAGACGGCACTCGCGTGGCTACTCCTTCGCAAACGACACCGGCGTCCAAGTCATCCGCGTCGGCTTCTAGTTCTGCGCAGAATCCTCCCGGTGGCAGTTCGCTAGCAATGGCCGGGCGACCTTTCGCCTCCTATGCGGCTGCTATGGCATCGATTCCTTCCGACTGGCATATCGAGTTTAGCGTGGACGGTGAACCGGTCTCGAACGAGACCACCATTTATCGCGCTGTCCATCACAACCGTCAGCACACTGAGCCCCATGCCCGGAATGTTTGGTCTGCCGTTCATACGGTCAAGTTTAGACGGGTACCAGGTCCGCCGCCACCAGAACCTTCCACGCTCACGCAAGGTACATCCGGTTCTACGCCGAAGGACGATAGCAACGATATGCCTGCGTCGCTCAGTCAAGACCAAACGACGGCATCCATCCTCCAGTTGCTTCGTGTCTTGCATGAGATGAACACCACCCTTGACGATATACTTGCAGAGACGAAAGACCTCGTTTCTCTCACACCGGAGCCATTGGCGCAGTTCATCAATACAAAGCTCACAGCCAAGCTCAACCGACAACTGGAAGAGCCACTTATCGTGGCAAGCAGCTGCCTTCCCAGCTGGAGTGAAGATCTCGCTCGCCTCTTCCCGTTCCTCTTCCCGTTCGAGACGCGTCATCTGTTCCTTCAGTCGACGGCGTTTGGGTACTCTCGCGCAATGATGAGATGGCACAACTCCCAGAACGATGACAACCGCAGCGATCACCGGCGCGATGACCGGCCTATCCTCGGACGGCTACAGCGACAAAAAGTACGGATCTCGAGAAGTCGTATTCTCGACTCTGCTATGAAGGTGATGGAGTTGTACGGTTCTTCGCCAAGCGTATTGGAAGTTGAGTACTTCGAAGAAGTCGGTACCGGTCTAGGTCCCACGCTGGAGTTCTACTCTACCGTATCGAAGGAGTTCTCAAAGAAGAAGCTCAAGCTTTGGCGTGAGAATGAGTCCGTCCACGGCGATGAGTATGCCTTTGGCAAGCGTGGCCTTTTCCCGGCACCTATGAGTGAGGAGCAAGCCACTTCCGAATCTGGCAAGAAACAGCTTCAGCTGTTTAAGGTTCTGGGCAAGTTTGTTGCTCGGTCCATGCTGGATTCGAGAATCATCGACATTTCCTTCAACCCGGCCTTCTTCCGAATCGCCGCCAGCTCATCTTCTGTTGCCCCCTCTCTTGGCACGGTCAAAGCAGTTGACCATGACTTGGCAAAATCATTGCTTCTGCTGAAGTCGTTTGCCAACGCTAAGAAGGCCGTGGACGACAACAGGACACTGTCGAAAGCTCAGAAGACTCAAGCCCTGCAGCAGATCGAGGTGGGTGGAGTCAAGGTGGAAGACTTGAGTTTGGATTTCACTTTGCCCGGATATCCGGCCATCGAATTGGTCAAGAACGGCTCTAACATCCCCGTAACGAACGAGAATGTTGATCTGTATGTCGATCGAGTGATAGACATGACTTTGGGTAGCGGTGTCCAGCGACAGGTGGAGGCCTTCCGGGCCGGGTTCTCGCAAGTGTTCCCCTACTCTGCGCTTCGGACCTTCACCCCCCAGGAGCTTGTCATGCTGTTTGGCCGAGCTGAGGAGGATTGGACCATTGAAAGTAAGAATACGCTTGCATATGCGCTTCTAGAGATAGCTAACAATTTTTCTTGCAGCTCTGATGGACTCGATCAAGGCCGATCACGGTTTCAACATGGACAGCCGAAGCGTGCGGAATTTGCTTCAGACGATGAGTGAACTGAGCCCTCAACAACGGCGAGACTTCCTACAATTTGTCACTGGCAGTCCTAAACTCCCAATTGGAGGTAGGTACTTTGAGCTCTGATTATATGAAGTTATACTAACAGAATATTTAGGTTTCAAGAGTCTCACCCCCATCTTCACGGTGGTGTGCCGTCCTAGCGAGCCGCCTTATACACCAGATGATTACCTGCCGAGTGTCATGACCTGTGTCAACTACTTGAAGCTTCCAGACTACAGCAGCCTGGATGTACTGCGCGAGCGGCTATCAGTTGCCATCAAAGAAGGCCAGGGAGCCTTCCACTTGTCATGATTGTTGCACATACGATCCGTTGATCTACTCGCATCTTGCCATGAAGGATTTCGAATGACGCAAAACATAACACGAGCAAAGAACCCGATCGCGCACAGATGGTGCGTCGAAACGATAGCTAACTACATACCCTTATGGTTGTAAAAGGGAGGTATTCATGCAATGCCTAGGGCACTTGTCTTTTGTTTTAGGGGGGATTTGCGTTCGGGCCACATCTGTCTGCTTTCTGTGCCTTTGTGGGAAGGGCGTCTGGGAGTGTTGCTGTTGCTTCATGCTTCCATCTAGATAGAAATTCCACTCGTACCGAGGCCAGTGAGTCTATTAGTCTGCTGATGTATCTATCTGTTGATTACATAGGTCTATCTATAGTCTATCGCACAAAAATGAAAGGGTATTGTTATCGCCTCCTGTCTCTCCTTCTTTTTCACACCTCAATTCCGATACAGCGGCACCATGGACTACACAACGTCAATCAGTTAGCCATCATCCCATACAAACCACGTCAGGGAAAAGAATAGAAAGAACTCACCTCCGCAAACTTCGGCTCCACAAACAACGCCCTCGCCTCCGCCACTACTGTCTCCCCTTCTCCCTCAGCACCATCAGCAGGCATACTCCTCATCTCTCCCTCCACCCACGCCTTCCTCCCCTCAACCTTGACCGTCTCCGCCTTGAGCACATACACCCGTTCCGGCAACGCCGGCTTCCTGAAATCCACATTCAAGTTCGCCGTCATGCCCAACCCGCTCTTAAACGAATCCGACACGCACCGCGCAAACGCCTCGTCGAACATCACGCTCAGCAAGCCTCCGTGAACGTACCCGGGGTGTCCGCACAGCTGAGGACCGATGTGGAACACGGAGATGAGGCGCGCGCGGGGGGACTCCTTTACCTCCTTCCCCTCATCATTCTGCTTCTGGGTTCGGTTTGGGTTGACAATGGAAGTGAACATATACGGCGGCACCGTCACCTTGTTCGCGCCGGAGAGGGTGCCCGCGACGAAGTGATTGGGCCGGTGGGAGGGTTTCATGTGTAGGTGGGGACGGGACTCTTTGTAGGAGGGGTTCGAGCGGAGGGATTGGACTAGCGGGTGGGTGGTTATGAGATGTTCTGCGGCTGCGGAGAGTTGAGATTGAGAGGGTGGTTGAGTTGGGGGCTGGTCGAGACGGTCATGGTAGGAGGGGAGGGTGGAGGGGGATTCGATGGCCGAGGAGGCGGCGCCGGCTTTGATGGTGCGGATTTGGGTGTAAGGGTTGAGGTGGGTGGGTGGTCGTTTGGTAAGGAGACGGGTGAAGGTGCGTGGGAGGGACATTTTGATGTTGGTTGATGTTGTTTTCAATGCTATTGATGTGATAACCCTAGTGTGACTTTTGGTGGTTAGTGTTGATCATGCAGACTAGTGATAGTAGGTGTAGGTTTGTAGACGGGATGATGTCTGTGGTAGCTTGCTGGGAAGCTTTCTCAACTCACAAATATATAGTACCTGAGGGTATCAGCTATCGCTCGAATGAATCACTGGGATTCTTCTCTGGGATTCTTCTCTGCAATATGCAATTGCGAAGCCTAATTGCGTTCGGGCAGAACAGGGAAAAAAAGATGAAAAACCCTGGCCTATCCGGGAGAGTGGGTCCCAGCCCACGTGGAATGGCATCAACGTGAACTAGTGCAGCCAATAGGAGGCAGAGGCCCGGCGCTAGTTGGGATGGCTTGCAGGGATGAGGCGCCCAACTTGCAGGGATCGGGCGGGTGGGGCAGATCCGGTGTGTTGGGATTGGTTGAGTTGGCGCGCCGGTTCTTTTTATTTGAGGAACACCTGTTGCTGAGGGTGGAAATAGGTGCTGGTTCTAGGTGGTTTCCTTGTTGGGGAGGTTGGATTATGATGTTAGGGGCGAGGTATTTTTAGCTTTATTGCTGCTGCTATATTGAACTTTCTTATCTGGTGTGAAAAGGGGATAATAGTAGTCAGGAATATATCCTGTTTCCACTTCTCTGCTCGGTCGAACGGAGTTCATTAGGCCACTGGTGAACTACCACAATGAAGTCATACTCAACGCTACGTAAATTTTCATGACTACTAACTGCTAATAGCGATACAACGGCATCAGATTTTATCCATAAGCTGGACTTCAGAAAATTGCAGACGCAACAGTAGAATTTGAATCGTGTCGGAACTAAGGTGTATGAACGATCTACTAATCCCTATTGAGTTGTTGTCTTCGATTGGTATATGAACAGCTCTGTACAAAGTAGTAAATACAAGCATTAGAAATCCAAGGGATCCACCTGGCCCAGGAAGGAATTGTTGCCTTCTCCACGCAGCAACGCCTCAATATCCACCCGTCCTGAGGTGAGGTACCGCTCACTCACGCCCACGTTCACTCGCTGAGACAGCAAATGCTTCAACTCCGCCCGCATAGCAGCCAACTCATTCTTCGTAACTTCACCCGCCTTGCGCTGCCGTTCCTGACGGCCACGTCCGCGACCGCGACCACGGCCCTGGGCGCTCTCAAACTCCTCGCTGTCATACTCCACCCCAAGGTCCTCTGCTGCCTTTTGGAGCCAGTTATCTTCCGCGGAGATCTTCTCCTTGGCGATGTTGGAGTCGGTAATCTTGGCGGCCAAGTCCACGCGTTGACGGACCCGGAGGACAACCCGACGGTCGAGCTCTAACGACTCAAGCGGCAATTTCTTGCCGTTGGCCATGTTGGCGTGCACTTTGGCGGCGAGACGAACCACTCCAACCATTTCCTCCGGAGCGCAGATGATCACACTCTTTCCTGATGCACCCGCACGGGCAGTACGTCCGGAGCGGTGGACGTAGGTGTCGGCTGCGCGGGGAGCATGATAATGAATGACGAAGTCGATGCCCTTGATGTCGAGACCACGCGCAGCCACGTCGGTGGCGACAAGGATGCTGCTGGGGTCAGATGTGGGCGAGGAGAATCGCTCTACTGAACGTAGACGTGCTTTCTGGGCCATAGAGGAGTGAAGTGCCAGAGCGGGAAGGCCGAGGTTCTGGAGCAATTGAGTGAGACGGCGGACGGCGGAGATGGAGTTGGTGAACACAAGTGTCCGGTGCTTGGGGTTATAGAGCAGGAGAGTGTAGAGATAAAGATCCTAGATTTGGTTAGCATATGAATAAGACTCTGCGACATCTGAACATACCTTCTCCATAGCTCCACATTCGACAATGCCCTCCTTAAGCCCTTCAGCCATCTGCGAGACCGGATTGACGTCAATGAACTTGGGCTTCTCTTCGCGGAACTTCAGTTTCTGAAGGAGGTATTCCATGGACTCCTTGTTGCTCATGATGTCGCCTCCCGTCCAACGCGCTTTGCCGGCTAGCTTCTGCTGCAAGTCACGGTGGAATGTAGCGGAGAAGACCAACGTCTGCCTCTCAGAACGAGCATCCTCCTTTTCTTCATCTTCGCTTTCTTCACCACCGAAGTTACCCTCCTCAACACGATCGAGAGCGCCAAGGATCTCCTCGGCTTCCTTGAAGTGACCCTCACTGAGAAGTCTGTCCGCCTCATCAATGACAAGGAACTTGATTTCACTCATCTTGCGGATCAAACCCTGACCACTGCTAAGCACTTCCCATACCCGACCAGGGGTACCGATGACGATGTCAGCTCCGGCGAGCACTCGCTGCTGCTTCTGCACGGACAAACCACCTGTGAGGAGTGCAATGCGGGCATTAGAGCCGGGAGCGTGGAGAGCAAGCTCGCCAATATGTTTAGCCAATTGATGCGCCAATTCTCGAGTGGGCGACATAATGAGAGCAATCGGAGCCGTGTCCTTCTTCTTCTCTTCCTTGCCAGCGCGCAAGTCCTGCCGTCTCTTCTCAAGATAGTGCTCGAGGATGGGAATACCGAACGCCAATGTCTTTCCGGAACCTGTCGACGCCTTGCCGATCACATCGTGGCCATCGAGGATCTGGGGAATGCAGGACTTCTGAACGAGGGTTGGTGTAGTGAACTTCATCTTCGACAGACTGGTGAGGATCTCAGGAGACAATCCGAGCGACTCCCAGGCAGAAACATCCACGCCATCGTCATCCTCTTCATCCTGGAGCGCAGCAAAGGAAAGTCCGGGCTTGATGCTCTTATCCTCCTGGTTGGGTGTAGTCTTCTGCTTCGCTTCTTTCTTGGCTTTCTTCTGCTCTGCCTGCCTGTCCTTCTTGGCCTTCTTCTTCTCCTCGGCCGTGGGTTTGTCGGCTTCCTGTTCGTCCTTCTGGTCTTCCTTCGGTGCAGTGTCCTTCTTCTCGGTCACTTCGTTATCGCTGAAACCGGACCACTCGTCGTCGTCAAATTTCGGTTCTTCTTCCTCGGGTGCCTTCTTCTTCAGGATTGACTTCTTGGGTTTTCCATGTGCGGCCTGGATGATCAATTAGCACTCTCCTATCACCACCAGCCAACGCTGCATACTTTAAATCGGAGTCCCTCAGATCCTCCCTTGATAACCTCCACTCCGTCAATTTCCTCCAATCCAAAGAAACCACCTGCATCCTCAAGCCGATCAGGCAGCGCGACCTCCTTCCAGTTAAGGTCATTGACGGTGACAAGCGCATCTTCGCCGTCCTCCACCGCGGAGACGTCCTTCTTCCTCTTCTTCGCCTGCAAGTCTGCGCTCTTCGAGCCACGCTGTCTCTTCTGACCCATGATTGCAAAATTAAACCCCGACCGAATACACAAAATCCAAGATGCGAGGAGAAACAAACGTGCGCAGCAAAGTCGCAGCCGCCGAAGGGAAAGAAAAAAAAGCGGCAGAAAGCCGCCGCCCGGCACCAGTTAATCTTATCGCCGCCCCACGAGAAAATCCCCCTCAAATCCCTCCTCCAGCAATTCAACACCTCAATTCCCACCACCACATAACACACCCCACCCACCGCCACAATGGGTAAATCCTCCAAAGACAAGCGGGATGCCTACTACCGCCTAGCCAAAGAGCAAAACTGGCGCGCCCGGTCCGCCTTCAAACTCATCCAAATCGACGAGCAATTCGATCTATTCGAGCACGAGAACCCAGACAAAGTCACCCGAGTCGTCGATCTGTGCGCCGCCCCCGGCAGCTGGAGTCAAGTGCTGAGTCGCGTTCTGATCAAGGGTGAGAGTTTCGGTCGCCGCGCCTGGGTCGAGAAGAAGCGCAAAGAAAAGGAAGCCCTCGATCGGGTCCGCAATGGCGACAACACCACCACAGTCACTTCATCAGAAGACACCGACATGGCCGAACTGAAACCCCGCAAGAACGTCAAAATCGTCTCCATCGACCTCCAACCCATGGCGCCCCTCGAAGGCATCACCACCCTCAAAGCAGACATCACCCATCCCTCCACCATCCCGCTCCTCCTGCGCGCCCTGGACCCTGAAGCCTACGACTCCTCCACCTCTTCCACTCCCTCCGCCATTCGTCCCCCTCACCCCGTCGACCTGGTCATTTCCGACGGCGCCCCGGACGTAACAGGCTTGCACGACCTCGACATCTACATCCAATCGCAATTGCTCTACTCGGCGCTCAACCTCGCCCTGGGCGTCCTCCGCCCCGGCGGCAAATTCGTCGCCAAGATCTTCCGCGGCCGCGACGTCGATCTCCTCTACGCGCAACTCCGCACCGTGTTCGAGAAAGTTAGCGTCGCAAAGCCGAGGAGTAGTCGTGCTAGTAGTCTGGAGGCGTTTGTCGTGTGCGAAGGGTTCATCCCGCCTTCGATCCATGCTGGTACGGACGCTCTGAAGAACCCTATCTTCGGGGGTGTGGCTGTCCCGCCGGCTGTTTCAGCGGATGGTAATGTCGGGGTGGAGGTTGTCGAGTCTGAGGACGACGAGGCACGCCCTGTTAAGCTGGCTCGGTTTGCTCCGGCCGAGGCGACTCTGGGTGCTGCTTCAGCGGAGTCGAGCCAGACGGAGGCGCGGCTGCTTCACGATGACTCCTTGGCGTCGGTGACGCCTACGCCATTGGCGTATAAGTCTGCCGGTGAGAAGTTTGCTGTTGAAAATAGGTGGATTCCTAGGTTCATTGCTTGTGGTGATCTCTCGGCTTGGGATTCCGATGCCTCTTATACGCTCCCGCCGGATCATGTCAGTTTGGATCCGGTGCAGCCGCCTACTGCGCCGCCTTATCGGCGGGCGTTGGAGTTGAGGAAGGAGAAGGGTGGTGCGTATGGGAAGACGAAGTTGGGTAGTTTGGGACGGGCGTGAAGTTAGAATTGATTATTATTATTGCGGCCGTTTTAACGATATCTTCTTGTTTATAGTTATGGTTACGAATTTTTTTTCGACTTTGGCGGGGTAAAAAAAAGTTGGATGGGCTTAAGACGACTGCTTGGCTGCTAGATGGACAAGGGCAGATGGATATAGCAGATACCCATAGATTTACGATAGATGATGATAACCAAAAGAACAGGAATAAATTCAGAGAGAATGCAGAAGTCTATTTTGAGCTGGTAGATCAGGTGTGTCTATGCTGGTATGCGCTAAACTCAAAAAGGACGGACAGATCATCACATCACATCATGTACAACGCACGGCGCTAGATCTCCCCACTAGTCTTTTGTCATAACCTTTTTCCAACATCCCCTTAGTACACTTCGAGGACGTATCTCTCCTCATCCTTCAACTTCTCGATTTCCTTGCGAGAGTCGACCTTCTTGCCCAGGTTCTTGGCTTCAGTGGCAATGGCCTCCTCCAGCACAGCGGTGACATCGGGAACGGGCCACGTGGGACCGCACAGGTAGAAAGCACCCTCCTCGCGGATGTAGGCCTGGATGATTTCAGGCAGAGTCTGGCGCATGCGGTCCTGGATGTAAATCTTCTCCGGCTGATCGCGGGAGAAGGCGCGACCCAAGACGGTGATGACACCAGCCTCCTGGTAGGCCTCCCACTCCTCACCGTAGCAGTACTCCTCGCGCTGGTGACGGGAGCCCATGTACAGCAAGACGGCACCAATCTCCTTGCCCTGGGCCTTCTCGAGAGCACGGTGCTGGACGAAGGCGCGGAAGGGAGCCAGACCGGTACCGAGACCAGCCATGATGAGGGGTTGAGTAGACTTGGGGGGCAGCTTCATCACACTGGACTTGACGCTGACGGTGACCGGAGTACCGGGCTGGAGGCGGCTCAGGTACCGGGTAGCCAGACCGAAACGGTCACGGCCAGTGGGGTCCGACCAGGTAACCGCAACGATCATGAGAGCGACGGTGGTGGGGGTCACCTTCTGGCAAGAAGCGATGGAGTACTCACGACGCTTCAAGGGACCGACAATACGGATCAGTTCGTGGAAGTCAGGCTTGGCCGAGGGGTACTGCAGCAGGATATCCGCGAAGGTAACGGTGTCCACCTCGGAACGGCGCTTGAATTCCACAGCTCCGTCGGGGCCACCAAGGGTAAGAAGATCGGTCTTCTCCTTCTCGTCGTCCGCGAATTCGGCCAGAGCTTCGTAGAAGCGCTTGGGCGGGCGACCGAAGATATCGACGTTCTGGACAAGGGCCTGGTAGACGGTGCGGTTTTCCAGCACGGCAGGATCCTCGCGGCTGGGCACCTCGACAACATCGTCGGCGTTCAAGCCATAGAAGGCAATGAAGTCCATGACATCCTTCGGGTCGTTCTCGGCGTGCACGCCCAGTGCTTCACCAATGTCGTACTTGAGGCCAGAGTCACCCAGGTCGAACTCGATGTGGAAGATGTTACGATCGTAGGTGACAGGGGTAAGACGTCTGTTCTCCTTGACGTGAACAGTGAAGGTCTTGGTGGCCGTCTCAGGACGCAAAGCATTCTTGGTGCCGTAAGCCTCCTTGAAAGCGAGACCCTTGGCAGCGGTCTGCCAGTCCTTGAGGTAAGTGGCAGGCTCGCTCTCTTCCTTGTCGAAGGACACGAAGCTGTTGGGGGAGATGTCCTTGGGGAGCTGAGCGACCTGGGCTCCCTCTTCGGGGGTCTTCCAGGCCTCGGGAACCTCGATCTGGCGGAGAACCTTCTCAAGCTCCTTGCTGACATTCTCCAAGGCCTCAGCATTGCCGCCAATAGAGGCCAGCTTCTTGATGCCCACGCTCTCCTGAGAAGGCAGAGCCACACGCAAGAAAGCAACCTGAAGGACCGAGGACTCAGAGGCGGTCTCACCGGCAACAGAGGGGTCGACGAAGTAAAGGGAGATGCCGCGCTGCGCGACAGCCTGGCGGAAAGCGACGGGCAGTTTCTTCTCGAGCTCATCGTCCTTCACGCCAGGAGCGTTCACAATAACCTTGCCGTTGTCCTTGACAGAGGCGGCAATGTCGACATCGCCAAGCAGCTTAACGTCTCCAACATAAGCAGTGTCGGCAGCGGTGATGGAGTAGGGGGCATCGACAATCTTGGAGCTCTTGCGGATGTCAACACGGACGACACCTCCTTGGACGAGGTTATCGTGGACCTTGTTGGTGGTGACATTGCTTGCCGAATCGGCAGCCAAGGCCTGGGAAAGAGTCGTGGCGACGTCGCCACCAACGGAGTTATCAACATCCCAGAAGGTGTACTCCTGGACGGTGGCGGGGTCAAGCAACTGCAGGGCCTCGGACTCGGCACCAGCCTGAACAATGGGCTTCTCGTGAACCAGCTGGAAAGCAGCAGCGGTGTTGATCAGATCCCAACGCTGAGAGCGGGCATACTTGATATCGATGCAAGCCGGGGTCTGCTCACGATCGGTAGCGAAAGTCAAAGCAGCAAGAACATCCTCGTACAGGGCAGAGCGAACACCCTGCTCCTGCACAGCCTGTTCGTCAGAGACCTGGCCAAGGACACCAACGGTCTTGACAGACTTGGGCAGAACGCGCAGGAATTCCTCCTCGACGAAAGGACGGTAGACACGGACGTTGATGACACCAACGCGAACGCCGTCCTTAGCCAAAGAGCGGGCAATCTGAGCAGTGAGAGATGCCTCGACGGTACCGAAAGCAACCAGAACGGAGACGGGCTCTGCGTGGCCGTGGTACTCAAAGAGGCCATAGTCGGTTCCGAGCTCGCCGTTCAGGGACTGCAGGAGCTCGAGGAGCTTGCCCTGGGTGTCGAGATGACGGCTGCGGGAGTCTTCAAGGGTCTTGCGGACGGCCTCGTAGGTGCGAGACAGACCAGCCTGGTCGAGGACGTCAATGACACGGGTCTCTTCCCGGCCGACGCGGACACCGTCATAGATGTGGACGGAAGGCAAGACAGAGGACAGAAGGGTGGTGAGCAAAGCCATGTGCTGAGATTCATGGACAGAGGCACTCGACACCAGACCCAGGCCAAGCTCTTCGGCGAGGGAGAGGGCGGAGGCATAGTCGGACACAAGGCCGTCCTCACCGGCATAGTCGACAGCGGCGACATGGGCGGCAACAGGGCTAGCAACGGAGTACAGGAGAGACAGCTGTTCCAGGGCGGCACGCATATAAGGAAGAGTGGCCGACGAAGCGACGATACCCTGAGGGATGTGGCGCTTCTTCAGGTCGAAGTCCTGGGAGAAGATGTAACCAAGGGCGATGTTACCAGCACCCTGGCGAGTCTCCATGGCCTTGATCTCAGGAGAGTCGCCATTGGCGTTGATCTCCTGCTTGGAGGACCATTCCCGAAGAGCAGCATCCAAGTCAAAGGACTCCGGAGAGTAAGAGAAGATCTTGTCGTTCAAGACATAGGCGACTTGCTGAATGAGGGTCTGGGCAGTGACATAAGTCGGACCACCGAGGGTCGACAAGGCTGGAGAAGGGGAGCCCATGGCGGATTCTTGTCTGAAGATGGGGGAATCAGCCAGCCGATACCACCAAGATGAAGACAAGAAAGACAAGAGGAGAGGAATCAGCAGCGCCGGATTGGGAGGGGCGATGGGGGGATAAAAAGCCCGTCGCCTCCGCCGCTCTATAGAAAATCCCAGGGGATCTTACCCAATCCGGCTAGTGGCAATCACGCAATTTCTTATCGATAGATCCTGGAGGCGGGATCCTGTGGCAGAATGTCTCCGCTTTCGGCCTTCCCCGCATTAGTAAGTCACGGTGTCCTGAGGCATCAGCCATCTGGACCCGCCGATAAGTCGTGATTACTCATCCACGATAAGTCGGGGGAAAACGTCATCTCATCGTCCTCGCATGTAGTGATCCCTTTCTGCATCAATCCGTTTCTGTATATGACAACTGCTAGCATGGCCAACGTCGCACTGCTCGGCTGCACCGGCATGGTGGTAAGTCATCCAATTTGTATTCCTTCTAGTCAATCCAAGCCCCCTCAGCATCGCAAACCCGACCCTCCAATTTCACCATGTAGTCCTCGGCATAGGCAAAAAAGCAAAAGCATCTAATATACTTATCCGCAGGGGAGCCACATCCTCACCCACCTCCTGGGCAATTCCTCCGTGGCACGCATCGATACCATCTCCCGTCGCACCCCGCAACCCGCCACCGCCGCGCCGCAAGAAAAGCTTACCACCTTCGTTTCCGACGACTCCTCCAAGTGGGCTTCGCAGCTCTCCTCTCTGACCCCGACGCCAGACATCTTCATCTCCGCATTTGGCACCACCCGCGGCGCAGCTGGTGGCTTCGAAAACCAATACAAGATCGAACATGGCCTGAATGTTGAGATGGCCCGTGCGGCGCGCGACGCCGGCACCAAGGTCTACGTGCTGATCTCGTCGACTGGAGCTGATAAGAACTCCTCGTTTGGATATCCCCGCATGAAGGGTGAGATTGAGGAAGAGGTGAAGGCGATGGGATTTGACAGGACGATTATTCTGCGCCCTGGGCTTATCTCCGGGGAGAGGCAGGAGAGCAGGCCTGCTGAGGCGGTTATGCGGGGCTTTGCGGGCCTGGTGGGCAAGATCCATTCCGGGTTGAAGGATGGATGGGCGCAGGATGCGGATGTTATTGCGAAGGCGGCGGTTAATGCGGGAGTTAAGGCTTTGAATGGCGAGGTTCCGGCTGGAAGTGAGAAGGTGTGGGTGATGTATGGGAAGGATATTATTCAGTATGGGAAGGGGCAGTAAGGCCCGGAGCTTGCTTGATAAGAGTCATTGTACCATGTAGTATTTATATATGCTATCTGCGTTGATTACATGATTTTCGGTTTCACTCTGCCATAGTTGAACATGAAGACAATGTACGAAACAACTACTCTCTGAGGCCTGCGAATATATATTTCAAACACAGAAGATCAACGAGATTCTCATTAGATCTAATATCATACGCAACGCAACAAGTGAGCACTTTCATACATGACACAACTTAAACACGGAAATGCAGAGTCTATACAATAGCCCTGGTCTCTTAATATTTCCTATTCCCATCCCTCACCTCTCGATTCTTCTTCGTCCATCCCCTCGAGCTCGGCCCAGCCTTCTCAGCATTATGATCGGGACCTCCCTCCTGCGGCGGCCTCGCATGGCTGGCTTCCTTGTTTCCAGGACTCATATCCAAAGGGTTACTCACTTTACCCTGCTGCTCGGACTCCTTCTGCGCCTGCTCGACCTGGCCTTCCGGTGACGTGTTACTGGGATCGAAGGCTGCATCGTGGCCCGCGACTTCGCTATCTGTGCCCGTGTAGGAGCTCTCCGATCGCTGAGGGTCGAGGACATTGCGATCTCCGGATTGGGTTTCGCTCTTTTGCTGATGGGTTGTGCGCAGCGGTGCGATGGAGCGGAAGGTGCGAGTAACGGGTTGAAAGGTCCGGGTTCGGGTGGTGTGTTGGGCCAGGCGGCCAATTGAGGTGAGTTGGTGCAACATGGTGGTGCAGGTAGATAGTATTGTTTTGACTGTGCGGTTTGGGTTGAAATATGCTTTTCAAAGGATGGGTCTAGTTGTGGTAATTTGATGGTTGCGGCGGCTGTATATAGTACTGGAGGTAATGGTTAGCCAGCAATTAGATGGGCTTGGGGGAATTGCATCAAGTATCTTCGCGTACATGTTTAAAAGTCTTTTTGGCTACAGAAGATCTAGGAAGAAGTGATATTGAAGAAGGACATTTGAAGGTTGCGTTGGAATCCCAGAGGGAACTTGGCTGGACTACTATCATCTTGACGTCATCTACTCTGCCAGGGTGCGTCGTGGACACGTGATCTCCGATGTATATCCGGATGTATACCTGCACTCTTCACTTTGAAAAGGCTCTGATCTACGGGGGAAGCGAAGATGATGAAAGACTACGTCGACTCAGATGGCCTGGGAAAAATCCAGACATGCATCTCAATGTTCAAATTACAAGGAAAGAGTACCGTCAGCCCATCACCTACCACCTGGACAATGTTTCTAGACTAGCGGCGTAATCGCCTTACCTCAAAGACGTGGAGCAAGGCAGAATTCTAGTTTCCCCTCCGATCGTAGGCAGCCTTCCTGGTCGCAGTGGATGCCTTGTGCTTCTCGTCGTGCCGGGAAGAAGTACGGTGCTATACTCATCAGGTGGCCACGATCAGGAAAAGCAAAACGAATAAAGTCTGTCCATCGTAATGATAGACTTGACACGTCAATCATGCTACACGCGGATGCCGCCTCAATTGAGCCCAGACTATCAAAGTGCGATGGCACAGTCTCCGTGCATTTGGCAAGAAACGCCTCACGCAAGACTCCAAGTATGTGATGACCATGATTGAAGCTGCCTCGTGGTTCAGGCTTCTGTGCTGGACGTTAATAGCCCCCAAGGCGGGGATGTTTATGGGCTGGGTCAAGGCCTCGTGCATAAAGATCGTACCCGATTAGGAATCACAGGGAGCTTACGGCGGTCGAGGCGGATCGATGGACAGGAAGAAGAGCAATGGGTCAAAGCCACAACCAGACTTGTGCAACATGAAAGGCTGGATGCCTCAAACTTGAGGCCGCAGAGGAATAATTGCAGGTGCCAACGTGCAGATGCGAGGACCCGCTACGATTCTTCCCTGCTCAAGTCAATCGGACTTGTCTAGTCTAGGCGTTTTGCGGGCTAGACAGCAATGACAGGGGTCCTTTTAGCTGCATATATCTCCCGTCCAGCTGAACCGCTTCATTGGCTACGACCTGCTGACTCCGTCGAATATGCTTTCATCCACTGGCCAATCCAGATCCGTAAGCCGGAAACAGAGGGAAACGCTTCCTTACCTTAAATTTTCGAAAGGTCGTTTGACATATTCCATTTGTTGACTGCAAGAAAAACATGTATGCGTAGATGCGCAGAGGGCTGCGGTCACGTTACAGTCACGGGACTGAAAAATCCCAGTATTTCGGTGCAAGTATGTGGGTCACAAAATCCAATTCCAACGTCGTGGCCAGATCCCTCAAGTTCAGAGTAAATAAATTGTAGAGTTTCCAGACAGTTGCAGCCCAAAAAGAAACTCACAATCATCAGGCGTGAATCACAAATCCGGGCTGGCTGGGCAAGGACGATTTACCGGAACTATCGAGCCAAATCCTGGTTACGGAAGTACAATTGCCACAGGCAAGGCTGGACTAGAAACATCCGAAGTAAGACAGCTCGCAAGAGAAGGCAGAGGGGTGGCAAATCGAATCGCGAGTACCGAGCTTGAGCAGCTCGTGAGTGGCAGAACAGTTGGTAACCGGTGTTGCCTCCAGGTTGCGGCTGTAAGCCAGAACCGATAGTCGCTGAGTTGGCAACCGACATCATTCCATGCTCGGATTCTCAGCACACAGGGAATTTAGTCGGGTTGACCGACGATCCAATGCTGTGATGGATGTACAGACGCACGAGAGAGTTTCATGCAATCATCTCGAAGGGTGTCCGGACAAGCGGAAATTCGGGTACATTGACCCCCTATAGGCCAATGCTGGGGAACTGAAGGCCGCCTTGCTCATGTCGCTATGAATTCTGTACACCATCTTCTCTTCGAAAAACCCCCTCTCCATCACGGAAGGCCGAAATTTCGAGCACCTCGACCAGACGAAGCGTGCCACGTCAGTGAGTCTCCGAGCTCTAGTGCAGCTGCACGGGTTCGACAGTAGGTGCACCGTACCACAGGCAGTATCTGCCATGGCTGATGTACAGAACTGGCATCCTATCATATTGGCCGAGGAAGGCAGGCAAATGAAGATAAACCCTGCACCCGAGCGGGGACAAATGCGGGATTATTCGTCTGCAGATGTGGGAGATCAGCTGAAGAGAATCAGTCCCTAAAGGAATATTGAGCTCATCATGCAACTGCATGTCATGTTGACTCCCGAGGTAAAATTCAAAGACGCAATGGATGCCAATGAAGGGCTCCTAGTGACGCGTCTTTTGCCACTAGATGCAGAAATATTTGGTTGATATCAGCCAGACGGAAACATGCGGAGTACACGAGACGGTCATTGGCACGAAGGCCAAATTCCTGTGTGGACCAATGTTCGGAATACATGGTAGGAGGAACTTGGTAGGGTTGCAACCAGGTGACAGAACCCTGAACCTTTGGGCATACTAGGTGTCAGGTAAAGAGTTGAGGGGGAGAAAGTAAAAAAAGAAAAGTAAAGACCAACTGGGCAGATGTCTCGGAGTCACCCTGCCCTCGGCCCAAAGTCCGTATCAAAGGTTATGGCACTAGGCCAGTTCGCGAGCAGACTAATTGGTTGTGAGTGAATAGCCACAAGGTTATGGTGGTAAGGCATCTAACAAACCAGACTAAATGATCAAAGCCGTAACCACACTGGACCTGCAAAGCCGAACTGTGCTTTTTCCATCCACTCAAACCGGAACACTAGGTTTTTTTTTTTTCCTTGGACGCGGAAGGGGGCAAAAAAGGTTTGGACGGTGAGACGGACGGCCTGACAGCTGGCACAGAATAAAGAAACGGTTTATTTTTTTTTTCATGCAGGAGCTTTGATTCAGTAAGAGTGAGGCCTGTCTTCTTCTCGAAGAACGACTTCATACGCAACGGAGACGCAGAAAGGAAGCGGGGATGATCGTTGGAACGACCAAGGCTGCAATGGCAATCCCAGCCAGGACGACGAAAACCGTCCATATCAAATGAGGGATTTTCCAGGACTCTACCTGATTCAGAAGAAATGATACCGCCACGACAGCAACACGCATGCATCCGTGAAGCATCCACTGACCACAACTGACCCGATTAGGAAGGTTGTGGATAATTTGTGTCTCCACAGCTGGAAGACCCCAGCATAGCCAACCGGGAAAGCACTGGATGTGATGTGAAAGTGATAGCAGAATGCCGTAGTCGATAAGCCATCGTATGTTGAGGGGTTGATCGACGGTTGACTGGTAGAGTACGAGAACTGGCTGGGCCGTAACATAGAAGCTTCCTGCGAAACATAAATAGGACCCGGGGCCTACCAGTCGATTGAATCTGGATCATTATCCGTTTCAGACTCAGCTTCTTCAAGAGCCATCGCGAGATCTCAATCGTTGTTCTTCAGAATAAGGTGTTTCGTTTTAAAACAACCGTCAACCTTCCATAGGCCTCGTGCAAGCTTAGCCTATCAAACCTCTGCAGCGCGGCAGGAGCATTTGGCAGAGCCAATAGAAGTTAAGGTAGCAACGTGAAACAAGAAACTGTATCAGCAACAAGTGAGTTTGACCACGGCTTGATCAGTATTTTAGCTGACGATAGAATGATAGGGATGTGCTTCTACAACCAGAAGAGATTTAAATGCGGAGACTGGAGCTGGACAAGTTTCGCTCACCGCTGCAATTATGAGTACCGCACCGGGGAGACCTGCGGCATGAGGCTCGTCAACATGACTGAGTTTGAAACAACACTATGCCGCTTGTGCGAGAAGATCGAAACCAAGTACCGGCGGCGAAGCGCCGAGTTGGAACGCTTGAACCGATGGAAACGGGAGGGAAGCACTCTCGTAGCATCCATGGACCGGTCACAGAAACTCGTCATGGAGCTCGAAAAAGAAATTCGCCAACTGCAGCGGGAGCGTGATGACAGAAGAAAGGCGCTTTCATGAAAGCAGGATTGAAACTTTTTCAGGAGCCATGCGTTGGGCCACTTGCTGTTGCTTTTGTTTGTGCTTAGGATTCCCTCTTTGGTATTGTCTTTCGGTTTCAGATCATGTTCCTGTTTGTAAATTCTGTGCCTCACAGGGGCTGTGTCACTTGACACCTTTCATTTCATCAATTATTCTTTTTTTTTTCTATTTTCCTTTTGTTTCGATGATCGAATCGAGGTTGATTCTTCACGCCGGGCCCATGCAATGGTTGGCGGAAAAGTGTGAATCAAGGATTCTGCTGTCGAGAAATCATAACATCCAATGAAAAGGTTTCATTTGTGCAAGTCTGGTAACTTCGTGCAGCGTTCACGAGGAGGTGTTCCACATCATAAGCGCCCATGTTCTTGACGAGCGGCTCGCCAGACCAAGGTAACAAAACCCCCAGGGCAATTGGCACAGCAGTAGGGGCCATTGTGAGAAGAGGGGTTAATGGCGGAAATCCAGCAGCCTAAAGACCACACCATGTAGGCCAACTGTACGAAATGATTCATTTTACCATGGTTGTACCATGATTGTCGATGACAGAGGCCGGCGACATTGGGAAAGGAGATATGGAGCTGGACATGGAGATGGTACCCCGCGTTTGGGCGGTCCACCGCACGTGATGCCCTCCTCTCCACATCAAAGCTACTGAGTTAGTGACGGCCCTCTGCGGCCTTTAGTCTTCTCATTAGAATCCGAAAAGAAAGCTAACACTGATATGTCAAAATTTGCAATCTGCTGGGCCTGACTCATCTTTGAGTGATCCTGAGGGTATGCATAGAAACTCCCTCAATAACCCCGCGCCTGCGATGCTTCCATGACACGGCCGTCAAATTCGCAAGAAGACCGGACAGGTTGACATCGAAACACATTCACAGCCGGTGCATTCGCTTAGCGATGATGTGGTTGTGTTGCAAACAAGATACCAGCTTGGGTCCTGGGGATTCTTCTATATATGGGGCCTTACAATCTCATTAAAGTTCCGAAACATTCAGCATTTGTTCAAGCGCCCAGGGTGCTCGTGGCCTTGAAGACTACGTGGACCATTCATGTCCCAAGATCAATGACGACTTTGGGCATTTGCGGTCGACAGGCGCGAGGGTACACCTGCAATGAATTGCCCGATGCTTAATTCGACATCAAGGCTTGCCACGTCACCCGTGGCCGACGTCAGTTGCGCTTCAGATGCAGCTATAGGCCTCACCCGTTCCGTGAGTGATTTGGAGCGACCTGTCATACGAGTGTACATATACGAGATCGTAGAGAATCTACATCGTAAACGTTGGGCAGAAAAGTGCGCGAATATTGCACAGGAACTGTAGGATTATCTGGTCAAGTAGCAAAATGGGGTCGTCTTCTCATTTATTTAATCTCGCCAGCCTCGGGCTCGTCATCAACCTTGGCCAGCCCATGTTCTTTCAAAAGAGCATTGATCTCATCAGCATTCCACAGGTGGTGATAGATCTTGCCTTCCGGCGTCCTTCCCACCGTAGCAAACTCGACTGTAAGGGCCAGCACATTAGTCTAGGTCACGGTGCCGAGATAGCGTGGTACCCGTGTATGAACAACCACGGACAAGGATCAGTCATGACTTACTCTTCTCACTACTCAGCTTGGTCGAGTCCATGGTCTTGCTCAGAACCTTGACAGCCATGGCGCAAGCTTCCTTCAAGTCGCAGTCCTCCTTGTAATCTTGCTTCAGCAGACTTTGAGCACTAGCATTGTTTGCTCCTACGCTAGTTGCTTTCCAGCCACCGTAGTTACCGCTGGGGTTGCTCTGGTACAGTTGGAACTCTCGGAGAGGGTCGTAGCCGGCATAGATGAACGATACACCGAAGGGACGGAGACCACCATGCTGGGTGTATCCTTGCTTCAAGTCGCACAGACGACGGACAAGTTGCTCGCAAGGAATTTCTTCGTTGTAAGTGAGGAGATACCGCTGGGCAGCTTGTCGGGCATAGTTGATAAGGATGTTCGCGTCTGCCGTCATACCAGCAACAGCACAGATCATGTTGCTGCCCAAGGATTAGATTTCCATCTCGTTAAAGACCTGCGATTCGGTGGGGTTTGTGATGCATACTCGTTCAGCGTGTATAGCTTCTCCGCAGATGTGTCCTGCTCCAGTAGCTTGCTGGTGACCTTCTTCTCCGCTGCGAGGACGATTCCATCCTTGGCCAGAATTCCCAAGGCGGTACCGGCATGCGAGATGGCTTCTAACGCATATTCAACCTGGTAGAGTCGACCTTCGGGGGAAAAGATGGTAGTCTGTGGAAGGACGTCATCGGGTCAGCTAAAGCTCCAAAGGAACGACAGAATTGGGAATTAGGCATACTCTGGAATCGTATCTCCGTGACATCTTGACTTCGATGTCAACCTGAGTAGATTATGAAAGATTGTTTTTTGTTGAGGAGATCAGACTGAGGGAAGGGAGGATTGGAGATGAGGAATGAGTGAGTGCCGGGGCGAGCTGTGCAGGAAGGTCGGATGAGCTCCCGCTGAGTGGTGACCAGGCAACTTCGCCCTGGCGCGTCCACCTCTGAGCGTCCGGGCTGACCGTCAGTCCGCCAAGCTCGGACCACCCGAACACTCATTGCGAAAGCTCTCGGCCTGCGCGAACCCGCTCCGGAAATCTTTCTTTCGGGACCTCAAACTGCAACCGAATGGGTTGTTATGCTGTTGACATTCTATTGATACCCTTTCGCGCACTCTCCTAGATTCTCTGTGGTCGCAATGCTCAAATCTACGTATACCCCACCCCCTCCGTTACCTCCAGGGTGGACCGAACATAAAGCTCCTTCAGGTTTGGTTACCAGCTTCCCCGATATCCTCTTAAAGTCGCTCTAATTAGACCCAGGTCATCTGTATTACTACAACTCGCAGACCAAGCAATCCACATATACAAGGCCTCAGGCCACTCCCGTACAACCTCCGCCTGCACCTGCACCAGAACCCACGAATAACGCGCCATTCCTAACCCCAGATACACTTCCTCCCTTTTCTTCGACTCCTTATGCTCCTCATGGTTTTGGGCATAGCGCTGCATCTCACGGGCCACCTTTCGATGGTCAGTCACGCGGAGGCTTTCGCGGGGGCAGAGGATACCATGACCGCAAACCCCGTGGGCTACAGGATAGGCCTAAAACCAAACATGATATTCCTGGATGCGCGCCATGGATACTCGTGAAGACGAAGCTGGGAAGGAGATTTGTTCACAACCCCGAAACGAACGAAAGTTTTTGGAAGATCCCTCCAGAGGTACTGGTAGGAGTCCTTGAGTACGATCGCTTGGAGAGAGAGGCGAAGGAAAGGAAGGAGCGGGGCGAGGAGACGGAAGATGTCGCCAAAGGAAAACCCGAAGCTCAGGAGTCGGATCAACCACGGCGGGAAGAAGCAGAGAGTGGTGCCGCTACGGCAGCTGGGGAGGAGAGCGATGAGTATGAGGAGGTCGAAGTTACTGATAGCGAGGGTGAGGAAGAGCAACCTTTCAAACGACCGAGAACCGAAGAAGGGGACGAACAGCAGCCGATGGAGTTCACTGAAGAAGATATGGAATATCAATTAGCGGCAATGGGCGAAGAATATGGCCTTGACCCTGGCGAATACGGCGAACCCGGAGAAGAAGAATGGGAAGAGGGCGCAGAAGGGCTTCCGCTCACGGAGGAGGATGCCACAGCCTTATTCCGTGATCTTCTTGACGACTATCGCATTAACCCGTTCTCCACGTGGGAAAAGATCATCGAAGAAGGTCGGATCATTGACGATAGCCGCTACACTGTGCTGCCAAACATGAAAACGCGTCGTGAGGTCTGGTCCAACTGGAGTCGTGACCGGATTCAAGAACTTAAAGAACGCAAAGAGAAGGAAGAAAAGAAGGACCCGCGCATCAAGTACTTGGCCTTCCTCCAGGAACACGCCACACCAAAGTTGTATTGGCCCGAGTTCAAGCGCAAATACAAAAAGGAACCAGAAATGAAGGATACGCAATTGTCAGACAAAGATCGAGAAAAGTACTACCGCGACTTGATTTCTCGATTGAAACAGTCAGAAAGCACGCGAAAGTCTGACCTTTCAGCGCTACTAAAATCTGTACCACTGCACGAACTCAATCGGTCGTCTAATCTGGAGGCTCTTCCTCCTTCCATCATCACCGATCTCAGATACATCGCCCTTATGCCCAAAGTGCGGAATCCGCTTATCGAGGCTTACATCTCTACCTTGCCTGCTGCTCCGGAAAGCGACATGACCGCCGAGGAAAGAGAAGAGCTAGAACGGAAGAAGGTTGAACGTGATCGACGCGAAAAGGCGTTGGCAGAACGAGAGAAGCAGGTACAAGAGGAGAAGAGAAAGCAAAAAGGCGAGCTTGTTCGCGGTAAACACCTTTTGAGAGAAGGGGAAGCGGAGATCGAGGAAGCTATGAGGATCAATAGAGGAGGACTTCGCAGCTACATTGAAGCCGAAGATCAATCTTCAAAGGGCCAAGGCGAGAACGCCAGTCAGCAGCCATGAAGAATCAAAGCTGGCAGCCTATGTGATATATAAAGCATACTTATGATTGCAAATGACTGTAGAAATACATTTCCATCCTTTCTGGCTGATCCAGTATACATTCTCGCGCATGTAGGAGTTCATCGTAGATAGTATGTTAAGAGTACAAAATGTCGCTGTCCCATCATAAACACGGGATACCGCCCACGCCGATAGAAAGTGTACTGTGGCCCATTAAGAGAATTAATAGCAATGGCCTGTGATTTCACATAGCTTATTGGGTATCACTGTAAGTAAGAAAAGTCCGGGACCTCCCTCGTATGAAATGACGCCTGTATTTCCCACGCCCGACCCTTAGCCGCGTTAAACTCATTTAAACCTCCAATTGTCCCAGTCATCGTCATAATCATCATCGTCATCGTCATCGTCTTCTTCAGCATTCGCGTCGCCTGCAGGTGGATTTTGTCGGTCCCCTGACGGGCTAGCAGCGGAAGGAGGTTCGTCCATTCTCTGCATTTCTGCATCTTCCATGGTCCTTAATTTCCTCAGCTCTTCACGTTTGTGCTTCAGACGTCTGACGCGCTCTTCTAATTGCTCCATTTCATCAAATTCATCTTCCATGAACCGTGCCGCATCCTCCCTTTCGCCTTCGACTTCAGCCTCACGGCTTTTCTTGATGGCTTCGTTTTCTTTCTGCTGCTGGGCGGCGAGCTCGTCTGCAGATACTGGCGCTGCTGATATAGTCGCTTCCGCGGCGAGCGCAGCCGGCCTATGTGGCACGCGGGTGGGCTCGACAACTTCGCGCTCGAAAGCGGCCCATTCATCCTCGTCGATGGTTTGAGTGGTCGTGGCAGGCGGTTCGGAAGCTACAAGAGACGGATCTGATGGCTGTACATCCGGTTCAGCAGTTTGCTGCTCATGTGCGATGTCAGATGGCGGCTGCGGTCCGGCGATGTCCTGCTCTGATTCCTCGATGATCTCTTCCTCTTCCTCCTCGATAGCTCGTGCACTGGGAGGTTGTACGGTGTGCGCGGTCGGCTGACCGGATGGCATGCTTGCCCTCAACCTCTTGCGCCTCAAATCATCTGCTGGGTCTACCTTGCGCTTTTTGGTCACACGGTTCGTTGCGCTCCCTGTCTGGGATGAGCCCTTGCGGGCGGCGAGCTCATTCCGAAGTAATGATCGAACATCTGCCATGATCTGTACTGAGTAAAGGTAGGATGGAAAAGATTATAGATATTGATTTGATTTTAAGTGAGCTCTAAACAACACGTCAACCGGGGACACGGGTAAGAAGATCGTGAAAAGTAAAAGACAGTCTATGTGGGGATCTGGAGAAGCTTTCGAGGGCGCCGAAAAATAGACGCGACGAGAAGGAGCCGGACTGGCGCCTGCCAAGCCATTCTCCGCGGAGCCGCAGTCACGTGCTAATGACTCAGCATCCCGATCCAACCGCGACAGCATCTCCTCTCTTCCCACCATCTGTCTTCTTCATCTCCCAGCACCTCCCGTGGCTCGTCGCTGGACGTTCATTTCATCACCAGACATTCCTACGAGGCTATTCTGCGGAATTTTCATCGTCAGCTCTCGATTCACTCGCGGAAAAGCCGCCTCAGGCGCTGCGCAGTCTACACGCGACCCCGCTCACGCCAAGCATTCACGCTGCGCGCGACAGCATTCAAACGAGACTCAACACCCACCGCTTGGTGTGACCACCACCGGCGCCCACGCGTTGTCTCTAGACTAAAATTCGCTGGAAGTGCAAGGACAAAGTAATACCTGCGTGGACCGGGCAAACCAAAAAAGTGCCACTTTCCAGAGCCTTCCTCTGTGTATTACTTTAGCCCTTCTGATGCCGTAGAACGAGATTTGGGTGGCGTGCGCAATCCTTTTTTTCTTCTCTCTATCTCAGACCTTTACAACCCCCAAAGCTTCGCGCCGTAGAAATTTGAATACTTGCTATCAGCTTATATACTTCCATCATGGCCGGTAAGCTATTGTATACCAAAAGTCGTGCGACCATTGTCGGACTTCCCGCTGGGTGGCGACTGGCAGCACACTCCACTTCTGTCGGGACAGAAAGCTAACTACTAAGCCAGATGAACCACGACGCTCCGGTCGCTCGACCAAGGGCCAGCACAAGAACCTCGATATGATCACCGAAACGCCCGCGAAGAAGTCCAAGGCGAAAGCCCAGCCGAAAGAGAAACCTCCCAAACCCTCCGTCGAACCGACGCCTGCTCCCAGCGAAGAAGAAGAGATTATTCGATGCATCTGTGGCGAATATGAAGAGGAGGAAGATGTTGAGCGCGACATGATCTGCTGCGATCGATGTTCTGCCTGGCAACACAATGACTGTATGGGCCTGACATACGCGAAGGGGGAGGAACCGGACGAGTACTTCTGTGAGCAATGCAAGCCAGAGAATCATAAGGTTCTTCTCGAAAAGATCGCGCGTGGTGAAAAACCGTGGGAGGAAGCTGCCGAAAAGAGGCGCAAGGAAGCCGAGGAGAAGAAAGCATCCCGACGCAGAAAGGGCAAGAAGGGCGGCCGAAGAGGCAGACCAAGTGAGCCCAAGGCGGCTGAGCCTAAGACAAGCGAATCTAAGTCGGTCGAACCTAAGGCCAGCGAACCTCCGACGGCCGAGCGCAAGACGAGTGAGTCTCAAGCAAGTGAGCGTCAGGCAAGTGAGCGTCAGGCAAGCGAGCGCAAGGCTAGCGAGCCAAAAACAGAGACGAGCACACCTGCGCGCGCCGCAACCTCTGCAACTCCCGCCCCATCCTCTACTGCTGCTCCTGCCGCGCCTCCTGCACCTGCTGCACCGGTCCCTGAAGCCGAGACGCCGGCTCCTGAGAAAAATGGACATGTTCCTGAGACGCAGTCGACAAGCGCCCAAAAACGCAAGTTTGATGAGCACCAAGAGGTGCAAGTCCCTGAACCGGTAAGTTCTCGTTGTTCTAGTATCATGGGTAGGGGAGGGTTCCGCTAACACTGCCATATAAGGGACCGAAAACGAAGCAGCAAAAGATGTCACCGCCAGCACCTGCGACGCCTGTGCCAGCCGCTGCCGCCAAACCGGCTCAAGTGAAGGAGGAGCCCAGTGCGCCGTCTTCTCGGAAAAGTTCTGCTGCAGGAACAGCAGTGACGGATAGCTCGAAATCCGCGGACCAGCTTACGCATCCATCTCGCAAGAGTGTTGCCAAAGCTCTGGTCAAGTTATTTGTAGAGCAGATTACTCAGGCCCAGGAGCGAGGATCGTTCCAACTTCCCGAAGGGTCCGGAGTGAAATCAGTGGAGGAATTTGCCCGGCAGCTTTCTCTCTCACTCGAGAGCGCTATGTATGAGAATATATGCGGAGGAACTGGGGAGCCCACAGAGCCGTATAGGTCACAATTGCGGACGATCATGTTCAACGTAAAGAAGAACCCTTCTCTACGGGACCGTCTGCTCGTAGGTAGTTTATCTCCCGATGCCCTCTCTAAGATGAGCACCCAAGACATGGCAAGTGAGGAACTGCAGCAGAAGGATGCCGAGATCAAGCGGGAAGCTGAACGCCAGCACATCATCGTGCAAGAACAAGGGCCTCGCATTAGACGGACCCATAAGGGTGAAGAGTTCATTGAAGATGATAACCAAAATGTCGCCAGCGAGCCCGTCTTCTCAACTGCGGCCGCTCGACGCAGTCTGGCTGATACCGATGGCAGCCCCGCTGGCCAGAGCCCAACGACCCCTGGCCCCCAGTCCCAGGCTGATGACTCCCGGAAGGCATCGAAATCACAGGATGTTGACACCAAGATGACCGACGGTGTCACCACTCACCAGGATCACTTCCCCGCGCGGGCTCATTCTCCGGGTGGCACCAGCCACGAGCAGGTCTTCCCCGAAGTGTCTGCTCATATCCGTGAGCAGTTGCCAACCGCTAGGGCTCAGGCTGATGCTGAGATCGATCAATTATTAGGAGATGATGAGCCTGACTCGCCACCCTACTCCCCAAAGGACTATCATGACGAAGGGTCCATCTGGCATGGCAAGGTCGTCATGAACCCGATCACAGAGTTTACTTCCTCCGCGAAGCATGTCGGAGGAGCTGATTTGAGCGGACGCATACCATGGAGTCAGCTTGCTCCACCGACATTGTCCATTGACGGAAGGATTGAGATTGCTCTCGCCAGCGAGTACCTTTGCGGTCTGCGTTTCAGCTCTTCGACCGACGTGACGGTCATCTCGATCAGCCGCCCCGATTCCCCCAAGGACCGTGCAGGATTCGACAAGCTGTTCAGCTACTTCCAAGACCGTTCGAGGTATGGTGTCGTTGGCAAACATCCATTGCCTGCTGTCAAGGATACCTACCTTATCCCTATCGAAGCAGGCTCCACCAAGAAGCCAGAGTTCATCGAGCTTCTAGAGAACAACGCTCTTGAAGATCCCACACCGGAGCGCGTCATGCTCGTTGTCTTTGCCGTCAAGACCGGCGATTCGAACCCACCATCAGTGCAGCCTCCTTCACACTTCCCAAGCCATGAGCCTGGTGCTTCTGCCAGTCCATTGACCGTGGCCGCGGGGACGCCCCAGCAGGCGCATTTCCTGACTCCTGGACCGCCGCTTGCGTCCCAGTTCACGCCCACTCCTGTATCATCTTACGACGGGACGCCTCAAACGCAAATACCTTATGGGCATCAAGCTCAGCCACAACACCAACAACAGCCACCACCAGCAGCTCCCCAATTCACTCCCTACCAGCCTTCCCAGCCCAACCAACCACCCCTCACCGGTCTCGCCGCCGCAATACAAGTGCTCGGTGCGCAAGCCAATACGCCCGCTATTCAACAACTGCTATCCCATGCCCCGAATGCAGACGCCTCACAGCTAAGCGTGGTCCGGGATATACTCCTACGTCGACCAGAAGTTCGCTCAAATTACACAATGTTGATAGAAGAGTTAGCAACGGCGACCAGGACCAACGGCCACGGTCCACAGCAGAATGCACGGTAGTGAGACAATAAAAAAAGAGAGAGAAATGGGGAAGGGTGTTTCAACACTGCCTACTGTACAGTAACGTCTTTCTTCTCCCATATCTTCGCTTTCATGTTTTTTTCCGCAAGGGTATCTCCGGGGCTTGGTGTAATTCTTTTTTTCGCACTGCTATTCCCATGTGCTGGGGTAGGGTTTTTTTTTTCAAAACGGGTATTTGGGCGACTTTACGGGATGCTTATCTATTTGATCTGTTCTCTTCTTTCACTTGCTTTTCATGTGCTTGCCATGAACATGGATTTTATGTACCCAGAGACGTTTGCTTCAACACTGGGTTTGTTATTTTATCCCTTCTCTTTTTTTCCTACGATCGAATTTCCCCTTATCTCATCTTGTTCTTATCGCATGCTGATTTACATGCGTCGAATTTGTATGTCAAAATGAACACTATCCTACTATTTCATTCCACTTTTCTTTATGAAAACTACATATACCTAGTAAGCAACTTGACTGGTACTGCCGGTATATTATCGTAGTATTACTACTGAGTACTACTGTCACAGATCCACAGTGGGATGCGGGGACAAAGGATGAAAGCAACAGCAGACTCGGCCTGTACATGTTTATTATATTTTTATTTAATCCGTAACATCCCAGACGTAGTAGTAACGAAAACGCCTGCGCTATGCAAATCCAGACAAATTACGACAGCATTGCAGAATAAACTCCAAGAAAAGACAAGACGCTCACCAATGTTTTACCAGCGAGGACCGCGCTTCTTGTAACCACCACCGCCATACCGAGGACCACGTCCACCACCGGAGCGTCCACCCCAACCACCATCATCGTCATCGTGGTGACGAACCGGCGGAGGCCGTCCCTTAAGCTCCTCGCTGAGCTTCTTATACCCCTTGCGCATGTCCGAGTATCCCATGTGCATCTTTCCGAAGAAATGGTCCGCCAACCGACGATCGTTATCGAGACGACTCAGGTACGCGCCGCAGACATCGCACACTTGCAGCTTCTGATGACCTGAAGGTCCGGAGGTATCTTGAAGGTTCTTCAATTCTCGCTCACACGTTTCCTTTTGATGCTTGGCTGTGCGGATCTTGTGGAGTTCGTTCAGGGCCTGTGCGACGGAGCCGGTTTCGCCTAGCACCGAGATCTCGAGGAGACCCGTGTTGATGGTTTTGGTCAGGTCGGAGATTTGCTTCAGCTATATTATTGAGAATATGATCAGTCCAGTCTTCTTTTGGCCACTTGGGGTGTCCTGTGGTTGGGCTGGAGTATATGCCTTACCAAGTTGTTGGTCTGCCTGATCTCGTCCGGAGTCTTTTCCAAGCGTCGCTGAGCGGTATCGATACGTCGGTCACAATCATCGATGTATTTCTGCATGTCGCGCATATAGTCGTAATCGAATCCCCATTTGGCCTTCTCAGCTGCCGAGGCGGTCTCATACTCCGTCTTCAATCCTTCGCTGTGAACTTTCTGACAAGGGCCCAGGTCTTGCTTGGTATTGGTGAAGAGGTCATGCGGACAAGTGCCGACGAGATACGAGCGACAGACTTTTGGATCGGTGATTTGGAGCTGCGCATTGCGAGAGGGAGCGCCGGTACCTATGAGCTGGTCCGCTGGAGAAAAAGAATTGGGTTAGCTGTTTAGAGCTTGGTAGAAGCTGGGGTTGGACAATTTACCTCCCATGAGCTGCTCAAGCAGCTTTCTTTGTTCCGCCGCCATGATGGGATGATGTTAGAGGGAGAATGGAGGGTGGGGAGAGCACGAATGGTCAGAGCGTAACTGAGGGATTGAATGGAGATTGCGATGGAGAGTCGAGATTCTGCGGGCGTGGCGCTAACCGCGGCTGGCGCTTATATAAGTGAGCCGGAGCCCCCCTGTCGATTCCCGCTGATTTGCGGAGTACAGCTCGGCCTTTCCACCTTAGTTGGCGACATCGGTGCCATGATCTGGACACTCTGACGCTTGATACATCTTATGCAGGCTTGATACAGTCGCGAGGCCCGGTCAGCCTGTTAATTAGCTTTGCTTGACCCAAAACGCAATCGACCGTTCTTCTCCGCCGCTCGGAGAGCTGAACTTACACTCCGTGTATGGCTTGCTAGCGGTAGTGAGGTACGCGATAGAATAACTACACAGTATCTAGAACTTTCCGCATCGGCAAGCATGACGTGATGACGGTCCTCTCTCTCCTTACCTTACTTTTCGTTGTCGCGCTCTCTTCGTTCACATCGGCGACTTCGGACTACCACGAGAGCCTCTACCTCCAGCCACTCCCGCAGTCATCCCTGTTAGCATCCTTCAACTTTCGAGGCAATGAGTCCCAAGAGTCCTTCGATGAACGGCATTTCCGCTATTTTCCGAGAGCGTTAGGCCAGATCTTACAGCACGCCAATACGAAGGAGCTCCATCTGCGGTTCACTACTGGACGATGGGATGCTGAGAGCTGGGGTCCTCGTCCTTGGAATGGGACCAAAGAGGGCGGTACTGGTGTTGAGCTATGGGCCTGGATCGATGCACCTGATGACGAAGCGTATGTGTGAACGGAAAGGAGGACGCGAGTTTGTATGTGCAACGATACTGATGGGCATTAGGGCCTTCGCGAAATGGATTACCCTGACTCAGTCTCTGTCGGGATTGTTTTGCGCCTCGCTGAACTTCATCGACTCAACCCGAACCACTCGCCCAGTCACGTCGTTTGAACTCATAGGCGACCATCCGGCTTCCAGTAATCTGCATCTGCTGCACGGGACACTTCCCGGCGAGGTGGTCTGCACTGAAAATTTGACACCATTCCTGAAGCTCCTACCATGCAAGGGCAAGGCAGGCGTTTCTAGCCTTCTAGACGGGCATAAACTGTTTGACGCGTCTTGGCAGAGCATGTCTGTGGACGTCAGTCCTGTCTGTCCTCACCCTGGAGAGTGCTCCGTGCATGTCGATCAGTCTGTGGACATTGTTCTGGATATCGACCGGTCAAAACGACCACGCGGTTAGTTGAATGGTGCCTGACGCCTTGATTGATATGCTAATGGCTACTCAGGCAATCCCATTCCGCGACCTGTACCTTCTGATCAGCTTGCATGTGACACATCCAAGCCTTACCATTCCGATGATACCTGCTATCCTTTGGAAAGCACATCGGAAAAGGGCTGGAGCTTGACGGAAATCTTCGGGCGCACCCTCAGTGGCGCTTGTCCCCTCACCGATAATGCTTCTCAGGAGTCGGTCTGCCTACGGGTGCCACATGAGCGCGAGGTGCTTGTCACTCCAGGTGCACTGGAGACCAAGAAGACGGATGGCTTCACCCGCTGTTTCACCCTGGAGCCTTCTACTCCGTTCGACCTCACCATCCCTGAACAGGAAGTTACCACCCATGTGCCACTTGATGAACCTGTCCTAAGCGCAGAGAGAACGATTGTTGGTCACGGCCAAGAGCGCGGTGGCATGCGCATCATCTTCGACAACCCAAGTAACACCAATTCTGTCGACTTCATCTACTTCGAAACTCTACCATGGTTTCTACGACCTTATGTCCACACACTGCAAGCTTCAATCACAGGCCGCGATGGACTTCGCCAGCAAGTACCCGTCTCACACTTCGTCCGTGAATCATTCTACCGACCGGCAATCGACCGCGAACGAGGAACACAGCTAGAGCTGGCATTGACGATACCGCCCGCATCGACGGTGACTCTCACATACGACTTTGAGAAAGCGATTCTGCGATACACTGAGTATCCTCCAGACGCAAACCGCGGCTTCAACGTCGCTCCTGCCGTAATCAAGCTCGACGCAGCAAACGGCCAAAACCACCCGATCTATATTCGCACCACCAGCCTTCTTCTACCGCTTCCCACCCCCGATTTCAGCATGCCTTACAACGTGATCATCCTGACCAGCACCGTAGTAGCGCTCGCCTTTGGCAGCATCTTCAACCTCCTCGTCCGCCGTTTTGTCACGGCCGAAGAAGCCTCCGCGCTGACGGCGCAAACCCTCAAGGGACGCCTGGGGGGCAAGATAGTTGCCCTACGGGACCGAATCAAGGGCAAGACGGCCAAGACAGAATAGACAAGACAAAAAAGCATCTTAAATGTGACATACATCCATGCTATACCAATACAACTACCCCGCATCATATATCCCATCAAACATATTTTATATAGACAACACCTGTGTGTTCCCTCAACCTCAAACTCCATGTAATCAAACAACATATTCATTTCCCAGTACAATCCGTTCATTTATTCATAAAACCTAACCAATCAAACCCAAAACTTCCCAAAATTACTCCGGATAAAGACTAATACCCAACCCATCAGCCCCATCCCAAAAAGGAACAGACCAGGGCATGCTTACAATCCCAACTTATCCTTCAACACATTCCAACCCGGCAACGCATCCGACCCACCGGGCTTCGTTCCCATGAAACTATGATCTTCCGTAGCACATGTTCCCTCCCGCTCATCGTGTCCTTCATCCCACCGACTCATGAACTTTTGCTCTGCGGCTTGCTTTTGCTGCGAGATGCCTTGGAGTGCGGGCGTCGTGAGGATGTCGGGCTAATCGCCATTGTTAGCATTGGTTTAAAGAAAGGGGGAGTGGGTATGGAAAGGGGTGGTTAAGCGTACAGAAACCTCGTCCGATGATGTCTGGTTCGCAGTTCCTAGGCCTCCTCCCTTGGGATAGCCCTCGTCGCCCCAGCCGCTGCCTCCGCCGGAGTTGTTGGCGGGCGTGGGTTGGGCGCTGGCGCCGCCGCGGGTGGAGCCTGGGAGACGGTTTTGGGACATTTTGTACGTATGTATGTGTATATGGGACTTGTAGAAACCAAAATTGTGTTCTTCTAGAGATGATTTGTTAGTTCAATTATGCCTGGTTTTTGGTGGCGTGGATAGTAGTAGTAATGATGGCGATGATGTTGGTGAGGTTGTATATATCGTCCGGGTAGATGGTTGGTGTATGATTGTATTGATTGTTGTATGAACAGATGGCGATTGACTTACCTAGATATTCAGCTTGAGTTGAGTAGATAACAATGATCAACTAGCCTTGTCTCTGATCTTGAAATTGGGCGATTTATAGTCGAGATTCTCTCGTGAGGGCAGTGATCTCATCATTAACAAACGTCATAGGGGTCTGCTTGATTGGCCAGTTGTTGCCACTCGGCTTAGTCATGGTGTACATCCATGGAATCTACGAAAAGTACTGCCACGACTGAGGGCGTTCTGGACTGTACTAAAATGGAGGAATGGGTATTCTGCTGATTGATGATCGCATAGTTCATGCAGATGATGTCCTATCTAGTACAGCTAATCCGTATACCCCAGGCAGTCGGATGAGACTCGCCTCTATTGCGGTGCGGTAGGTATGTACATAACGTCATAGCTAACCAAGCAGGTGTAAGCAAAGCCTTCATCTCTGAAGGATAAGGATATTGGAAAAGACGCATAGTGAGGGGAAGGCTCTAGTAGGCCATTCGAATGATATCGTATCAAAGCAAGCAACAAGTACTGTTTAGGGGAATATGAGTGCATGGTTCATGTGTCTTTGGCGCAGATTAGAGTTGGAATCATATCATAATGAATAGGAAAGCAGGCTGATTCGTAAATGTATAATTACTGAGATTCGACTTGATCGGCCCAGGAAGCCCCCGTCACTGGTGACAAGGAGTCCGACTTGAGCAAATCAGGAGTAGTGGGCGCTTCCTCACCGGCCTTCTCCTTCTCCTTCTTCTCACTCCCAGGTAGAGCAGGGAACTCAGCCTCATTACTGATGACTGGGGCAGATGCTTCAGACTTAGTGTGGCCAGGAGTTTGATCAGCAGCACCATCGGACGCTGCAATGTCTCCTCGAGGCCCGCGATGTCCACCGCGGCCACGGCCACCTCTACCACCTCCACCACCACCACCACGTCCGCGGCCGCGATGGTAAGGAGGACGGGCGTCTTCACTGGGCTCTTCGCTGGGCTGGGAATCAAAGTCTCGCCGGGCGTATCCAGACACACCGCCGTGCATACCTCGTCGGAAGCCACCCCTGCCACCACGGGGATTGTAATGTTCCTCCTTCTTCTCGGCGTCCCACTCCCTTCCGTTCAGGGCACCCAGTTTGCGCAGTCGGTTACGCTCCCGCTCATTGTCCATGGCCCGGCGATGCTGGCGTTCCTGGCGTCGCTTCTCTTCAGCAACCTTCTCGCGCTCAAGGAACGAGGCTTGGTCTGCCTCAGCCCGAGCATGTGCAGCGGCAACTTTGGCAGCGTTTTCTTTGGCGGCAGCAATACGACGGGAGAGTTCTTCTTCCGTAAGTTTCGGCTGGTAGCAAGTTAGCAAGCATACATCTAGAATTCGCAGTTGCCTCTACCTTCTTTAAGCCACCTGTAGCACTTCTGTCTCCGCGAACCGCAGGCACGCGCGGTCCCTCTGCGGCAGCAGCCTGTTTGGGGTCCGCTGCCGTTGTCTCCTCTTTTCCATTCTGATCTCCCTCAGCCGGCGTCTCCGGAGTCGACCCTTCGCCACTCTTATTCTCATGCTCAGGAGCACTCTCAACGGGCTTGTTCTTCACAGGCCCTTCCCCACGACGGCCTCCATTGTGCGACCCCCGCCCACCACGTCCTCTGCCTCGACCCCGTCCTCGCCTTTCGCCTCCACGCGACCGTGATGACGGGGTATCAGTTCGAGCTGGTTGCGCATCGCTTTCGACAACAGGAGCGGGGGAAGGTTCCGCGTGCACTTCGGGCTGAGGTTGCTGTTCTGCGGCGGGGACAGGGACAATCTCATCGTCAAAGAGGTCATCACCACCTCGAGTCTGCGCGAACTCGTCCATAGCAGGTGCGTCGGAGGTTGGATCGGTCATTATTGTGTGATGTGGTAGAGAAAAAGCTGGGTGCGCTCCGATCGCGGGTTCGATGCGACTGTACGCGCTCACGATGCCGGACGATACGACCAATAAAAGCGATCCGTGGTAGCTCAAGTGGTGAACCAGCGATCAAGGCTCAACGCTAGTCGCGGGGAGCAAGTCAGCTTATCGCCAGGCAGAAAGGGAACCCATCCTGTTCGATCTTCCAACGAGCAGGAGCTCACACCACCTTCAGAGTGTGCAACCACCCCCTGCGCCAATCCCAACAATGTCTCGGGAAGAACAAGCCAGCTAACCTTGCTTCAAACGTGGCGCTCTGGGGGTGAACACCGCAACCCCAGATGTCGGCTCCAGCTGCGAAGGCGGTCTGCGTGTGGATCGGAGATGTTTGCTGCGGGGGTTGCGATTGATGCCTCCGGGAAGGATAGATGTAAATCACAGTGTAGGGATAAAGCACGTACAGTATAGAGATTTATTCGCCTGATCATAGATATTCTCCAGACAATTGAGGTCGAGATCGGCGAGGCTGGGAGGAAACCGCGAAGGGTGGAGGGAGACTGAACTGCTGATCGGCGGGCGCTTTTCTGCCGCATCATACCGCTGCTTTCTGCCCAGTTTAACCCTAAAGTCTCAGGCAGTCCATCTGGAATACTTTCCAAACCTTGCTCTACTTCGTCTCATATACGCTTTAGGGATATTTAATTCGTGAGACATGTTGATGTCGCGAGAATATGGTTCATATAGTGTCATGCTACGGTGCTATCGCTAATTGCAAACTAGACTGCAAGCCAGACCACCGTATGGTATATCATTCAGATAACTGAGTACCGCCTCCCAATAGATCGAGGGTACATGAAGCTTGCTGAAAGGTCAGAGTGGAACCATTGTCCATGGTATAGATATATGACAGCAATTCAATATAAAACAGCACTGATATATTTGGCCATAACATCATGAATCAAAGCATGTTCGTGGTAGCGATATGATCTGTAACCAACAATATCAGTAACGAGCCTGAGTCATGTATAGACTAGTTGGACACATACAAATAGCAACAACAAGTAACACTGTGGCTGCCTTGAGGCTTTGGGCACCAACAAAGCCAATTAGAAGGCTATACACGGTCTGTGCAGGGTATGAGCCGAAGAGACCTCTAAATGCAGGTACTTCTCTATATCGTTCTGCCACGTCGTCGACCATTGCCTGCAGATTCGCAGCTGCGGCCGTTTGTTTATCGGCAAGTGCTTGGGCAATCCGCATATTTGTCAGAAGATGCTCTAGAAGTTCAGTCTGCCCCAGCTGAGCGCTGCGCAGGTCCTCAGCTATCATCTGAGACCCGGTAAGGGCAGATTCAACATCACTCAGGCGCTGAAACGGTTAACTAGCTTCTTATTCACACGAGATATCACGAACCTTGGATATATCTTGCTCTTGTTCGAGTATCTGAGCAAACCTGCCAGCAAGCCATTCCTGACACGGTCAACCTCTGGCAGCTCTATGGAAAGGCTTGGCTTACTAGGGCAGAATTAAAGTTTTCTACTTTGTTAGAAAGCTTTTCCATGTCACCTTGAAGGAGTGTATCCAGGTTAGAATGCAAAGAAGAAAACAATTGACTCATTGAGAGAGCATCCTGCTGTCGAGTCAGCGCCTGTTGTTGACTCCATGCTGTTCCTTCCTCGTGAAAGAGCTTCAATATGTGTTGTAACTTGCTGACATCCTCAACTGCGTTCGCTATATTCTGTCATACGTCAATCATAGCCCTAGAGAGCGTGGAAGGACTAACCCTGTCGAGGGACGCTGCACTGCCATGTAGACCCCTTATAGCAGAAACCATAGGCTCTATAATCGAGCTAACGTAGGCGCTCATGTCGAGGACCAATTTCTCGAACGTTGTTTTGAAATGCAGCTCCGTCTCCTCCATGCTACCTACCAGCTTGCTCCTCATGTCTTCAACTGCATGTATGAACTCTTTATATCGGAAAGATCCAGCTGCGGCCTCTTTCAATGCTTCCTGAAGGCCACGGTCAAGTTTGATTGAACCTTCAATAATAGATCGGTGGAGTGCAATGATTTCCTCCCTCTCGTTCTCGAATCGGGCGGCTTGGCATATAACCACAGCGTTCTGTCTACTATTACTATAAGAAGTCCACCACTGGGGTCGTGACTCTAGAGACCGGAGACAGGACTCCAGCTGCCCTTTGGTAACGGTTTCTGCAGCATTGAAGTGTGTCTTATAACCGGAGGGCAGCCTAAAGATGCCTTTCTTCTGCGGCATCCGCATAGTTATAGACTGGCATGTAGTGGGAACTGCAGCACCCGCCTCATTGAGCTCGCATATGGCAAGCCTTGCCGCGTAAATTGATCGAATGTGCTCCAGTGTCGTCGATATATGTGGGTCCGGCTGGTCAGATTCGCCCCCAATCGATTGGCAGGAACTAACCAGTTTGGAAACTGCCATTCTATTGCAAGAGGGAGAGACCTGCATTGACCGGAGAAGCCCCAGTGCATCTGAAAATAGTACTTCGCGCTGGTGGTTTCTTGATGTCAACAAAGAGGCTAGATCGACATCCGTAGCCGAGTTTCGGTCTTCGGCTCGAGAAACTTGCTAGTAGGTTAGCCTGACCAAGCAAGATGGTTTGAGCAGGCGTACCATCCATTGAACTAGAAGCAGTGGTGGCATTGCAGATGACGAGAATTAGTATTAGGCAGCGTAACAAAGTGGAGAAAGACATTATTATGCCTGAGCTTGACGGCAGTTTTGGCTATGGCGATGTGTCGCAATTTTGGGTATATTAGCAGTAACAAAGCGCGCAGAATATGCTAATCAGTATAGCAGATATTGTCAAGCAGATGAAATAGTGGAAAAGCGGTTAGATGGTATACAAGTTGCAAGCTAAAAGTACAAGAAGCAGCAGTCACGACATTAGCGACAGTCAAAGCAACAGTACGGCTGAAGCTGTGGTACAAAGAATGAGACACCCGGTAATCACATCAGTACAGTGAGAGAAACATTAGAATCAACTCAAACTAGGGTAAAGGGACAATAATTCCATAGCTTCACAAATAATGTTCTGCGATGTGGAGGAAGTAAAAGGAGAGTGAGAGAGCGCCATCTATATAATTCATCACGTGATTGCGCACTAACCACATCGGGCGTGCAAGATCTCCGGACAAAATCAGTCGGCATCGGAGTTCCCAAGCACTCGTCCAAACCTCAATCCACAATTACCATCGCCATGTCATGTTACTTGTCTCAGAGCTGCTTTAGGCAGCTTGCGCGGAGTCCTTTGAGACAAGGACCTCTGCCCAACTTCCTCGTCCCCGCTTTCTCTCACCCTCTTCGGACACAACCTTTCTCGACCACGTCCCCAGTACAATCGCGAGTTGGCGGCGCCGCGATCACCGTGCCCCCGGAGGTGTCTCTGAAGTTCATCGACCTCCCTCAGCCTAAGACCAAGGCCAAGTCGGTTGACTTCCCTAACATGGCCGTTGAGGTCAAAGGACCCCTGGGTAAGGAACAATGGCAACAATTCATAACAGCGGCGTCGGAAAGCGGAGCGAGACTGACATCTGAGTGCTAGGTGAATTGTCGCTGAACATCCCTTCCTACGTGAAAATCGACTACGATGAAGCCCTTCGGAAAGCCACTCTGGCTGTTCAAGACTCAGAGATCACTCACCAGCGTGCTATGTGGGGTGCGTAACTCCGTTGGAATTAAGTTTACTGTTGAATTATAGTTGACGGGAGATTGTCTCTAGGAACCATGCGCGCCCACCTACAGAACCACATCCTCGGAGTGTCAGAAGGTCACATTTGCATTCTGAGTTTCGTTGGTGTTGGTTACAGAGCTAGCATCGAACCCACGGCGACCACCGTTGAGCCCCAATACCCCGGTCAACAGTTCGTGTCCCTGAAGGTTGGATACTCGCACCCGATTGAGCTGGGTATTCCCCAGGGCGTCAAGGCCAGCACACCCCAGCCGACTCGTATCCTGTTGGAGAGTGTGGACAAGCAGCTTGTGACCAAGTTCGCGGCGGAGATCCGCGAATGGCGCAAGCCGGAACCTTACAAGGGCAAGGGTATCTTCGTCAACGGGGAGACGATCAAGCTCAAGGACAAGAAGATTCGGTGAAATTGGCGTCTATATCTTGGGGGAACGAAACTGTGTTTATTATTTCTGTACATGTATATCCGAGCACGGTTCTTTTGGTTCGCAATTGGTATCCTTTCTTTTTATGTACTTTTAGACGCATCTAGCGTGCACGGTCTGACAGGACTGATCGAGAATCTATTACATTCATGATAGACAATTCCCCCCATACTCTCCTAGCATTTACAACTTCAGAACAGTCTTCACAGCACCGATGACCTGGTCCTGGAGGGCCTTGGGGGCCGCGACAACTCCCTTGTTGGCCGCCAGGGTCCTGCCCTTGCTGAAATCCAGTCTCTGGCCGTAGATATCCGTCACTTGACCACCAGCTTCCCGCACGATCAGGTCACCAGCGGCGTGGTCCCAGATCTTCTCCTGGTAGTCCTTCTTCACCGGCAGGCGCAAGTAGATGTCACCAGCACCGCGGGCAATCGAGCAGTACTTGGCTTGCGAGTCCAGACGCACACTGGGGGAGGTAATACCGAGAAGTTTAGCAACGGCGGCGTTGTCGTCCTGAGCGGAGTGACCGGCCTCGACACCCTCGCAGAACACGGCCTGAGCGATATCGGGGACGGGGCGCATGGAGATGGACTTGCTCTCAGCAAGAGCACCGTTGGTGAGGGGCCGGCTGATGGAACCAACGCCCTGGATGGCGGAGAAGAGGACACCCTTGCCAGTGCCACTGGTCTGCTCAGCGCCGATGCCCGCAGACATGGTCTCGGCGTCGTTAACAGGCAAGTTAGGGCAGCCAATGGCACCAACCTTGACATCACCGTCTTCAATCAGACCGAGACAGACGGCGTACTGACCACCGCGCAGGAAACCCTTGGTGCCGTCAATGGGGTCCAAAGCCCAGATACGACCCTTGGCACCGCCAGCACTCTTGCCCTGGTCGATGATGTCCAGCATCGCTTCTTCGCTAGGCAGAGGGCCTCCCAGGAGGTTGTCGCTCTCAGTGTCCACCAACTTGATATCCTGGACCAGTCTCCAGATCTCGGCGCTCAGCGCCTTGTCCTCCCGAAGGCTGCTGGCCTCCTCTTCGGCGACGATCTCATCATTGGGGAAGTTCTTGCGGATGGCTTGGATGATCAGAGCCTGGGCGCCGAAGTCGCCAATGGTAACGGGTGACTTGTCATCTTTGGAGACAGTGCCCTTGGCCTTCTCGTTGAAGACCTTCTGGGTGAGGAGGGTGGCACGCTGGACGGCGAGCTCGGCGATGTAGCGTTCCTGCTGGTAGGACATGGTGGTGGGTTGGGTATAGGAGGAGCGGGAGGGGGTTAGGTGGGGGAAAGATGGGAGCAGATGAGGGCGGGTTTTTAAGATGAAGCTGACACCCAGTAGCAGAGTGGAGCAGAGGACCAGACGGGAGAAGATGGAGATAGTACGCGGCCTGCGAATGGAGCAAGGATCTGCCGAATTCGTCGACCAGAGACCCATGGAATTGGGATACTAACGGTGGCGAATAGGTCAGCAATAGGATACGGACAGTGAGTAATCGCTATTCGAGCAGTTCCTGCGTCAAACGAGGCCCAACCACTGGGTCAGAAATGCTCGTGGGATATTCTTCTTCAAACTCGCAGGAATGAGCCCGGGATCGGCGTGGGCCGTGGGAGGCCCCAGGCGCAAATCAGGCACTGACTCGGAAAGTTCCCCCGCACTTATCCCAATTGGGACAGGCAAGAGGGGCAGTCACGAGATCGGGATGGAATCAACACCGCATGACGTTGGAGGCGCCAGTCCGATCCTTCGTCTCTTGCAGTTGCTGCAGCTCAAACGGCTCGAACGCTGCTGGTCTGCGAGATCAATTCACGGCGGAGTCGTCTGCCAATGCAAAGCTACTGTTTTTAGTGCATCTGGTCCTTCTGTACCCCCCGCCAAGGCAGCACAGCGGCTATCCAGTTGGCCTAACACGTCACCGTTCTGCTCTTCTCCGCGTTGTGCGCTGGATAGATATCTATCTTCCTAGGCGTCGGGAAGGGTCCCTGTTGGGTAAGACCATTGTGGGCACACTCTCTTGCTCGTCCGCGGGTATAATTGAGAGCACAAAGAAGGACAAAGGGGGTTCAATCCGCTGCATCTCCTCTCGCGACCCACCTCTCCTTAACGGGGTCGACCCTCCTGCATGTATCGGTGACAAGTCGATACGCATGTGAGAGTTGCAAACATCGCTTTCACATATCTGAATACTTGCGGGGCTTTCTATTCCCCTCTTCGTGATTGAATATCGACTCTATACACTCGTCCGGTGCTGTCACCATGTTTCACTCATCGGTAAGTCTATTTGGCAACTTCCCGCGGCCTAAACCAATTGGCATTGAAAGCAGTGTCAATTGCACAACACACCACCATCTGCAAATTCACGAGAGAAAATGTGGCTCTGCCATCCATCGATTCATGGACTAAAAGATGTACTCTCCATAGAAGCCGTATTCGGCTGTGACGGTCCAGATCGAGGTCCTCACCAGCGAACAGTATGAGGTGGAAGATTCAAGTGGAATCGTGGACCTTATCGAGGCCATTCGTATCCAGGCCAGTGGTCCTACAGAAGCGAGTCGCGCTTTGCGTAAGAAGCTGTCCGTGTGTCTACTCCCTCTGATTGAGAGCGCTCTAACGCCCTCTCAGCAAGTATGGCAATCTTCACCGCCAATTGCGAGCCCTTACGATCCTCGATTTCCTGATCCAGAATACCGGCGACCGCTTTCTGCGGGAATTTGCAGATGAGCCCTTGCTGGAACGACTACGAATCGCCGCGACCGACCCGGTTTCTGACCCTTTGGTAAAAGAGAAATGCAAACAGCTCTTTGGGCAATGGGCAGCCTCTTACAAGAACACCCCTGGGATGGAGCGGGTTACAGGTCTCTACAGACAACTACCGAAGCGTAAGCAGCCGGCTACTCAGGCAAAGGCCAAAGTGTTGCGGGATGCGGGGCAATCCGAAGAACCTTCGATGGGCCATACGGTGTCCGTATCAGCCGGAAATGGGCCGGCTACAGTTCTCAGTGGCCCCAAGCACAAGCACACCTCCAGCAAATCATCGCTTTCGTCCTTTAGGAAGGACAAGAAGGAGAAGAAGACATTAAGCAGGTCTTTCAGCCTCGATAAAGAGAAGCCAGAGATGCTACAGACCCTCGCGTCAGCCTCCGTCGCCAGTACAAACCTCCTCAACGCTCTCAAGCTGGTTAACCGCGAAACGCAACGGGTCAGCGAAGATGCCGAAGTGCTCAACCGGTTTGAGACTTGCAAGACATTACGACGCCAAATTCTGCGATACATCCAGCACGTGGAGAGTGAGGAGTTTCTGGGTAGTTTGATTCATGCAAACGAAGAGCTAGTCACGGCACTTATGGCATTTGAAGTCCTGGACAAGAGTGTAGACTACGACAGTGATAGCGACCAGGATGTCCTAGAGACGGGGTGGACCCCTGACCGCGACGACCTCCCCGACTCATTCGCAGGGTTGGTTGTCAACCCCCCGAAGCCACCACGTCCCCCTCGTCCCTTGAGCATATCCGTACCATCCTCATCAAGAAAAGTCTACAGTGACAGCGAGTCAGAAACGGAAGACGATGACGATGAAGATAATCCATTTGGCGACCGCAACGCCATCCGCACCCCTGGCATTGAGAAGCACGAGCCTACCTGGTAGGATTCTTTTTCTTCCCAAATCTTTGAACTCAATTAACTCCCTGGCAGGAGAGAAGTTTAGAGGGACACTTCCCAACCCGCATCATATCACTCTCATCACAACAACCTAAACCGACGACACAACTTATTCTGAAACGGCTGCACATTCTGTTTACGACAAGAGAAAGAAGTATGAATTCCGCAAGGACGGTCTAAATGTTTTGATGTCACTCTATTTCCTTTTCCTCGACCTTTGTCCGGCTGGTGTCCGCATGGCATGAGGCGCACGGGGTAGTTGTTAGAATGAATTTTCTTTGTATGAAGTAGCACCCTATGATTGATTCTGTTATACCGATGTCATGGAAAGAAATCAGTTAGGAAGGGGGCCCGAGAACCTCCAGTAAGCTATTAAAGCATGTCTACCCGGTTGCAACCAGGCATACATTCACGAGGCACGCACCTACTCGTCCCTAAGCTTATATATCTTTATGATATCAAAGCAAACCACGTACTAAGAATCGCATGAACGCCATATTACAATGCCTGATACCAATACAACTACTACATGGTGAGATGATAGGGTGCGTGAAGAGCGTAATATAAAGCTAATAGTTTACAAGAGTTATCTACAGTTTTAAAATAGTTACTAACTGTGAAAATATAGTTATATGACTGTCATAGGTATTGCTTGGTTAGCATTAGTCTATCATAAGTTACTTAACCACTAATATTTCAGTCCTATTGTATGCCAGTATGTAAGTATATATATATATATTAGAAACCGTCTTATGCTACAACTGAGTACTAGTTCCTATATATCTTGGGGATATATACTAGTGCTGCCCTCACAGATGCTGCAATCGACAAAGAGGATTGCATGAATACCATTACAAATTGATGAAGATAGTATATAACATTAGCAGGATCACAATATTATATACTACGATGATCAACATTCGTACTATTGCAATTTCCATTTGGTATGCAACCAAGACTTCCAAATCAAAGCGGTCGCCTCAGGTACTAGTATGCTTCAAAACACAGCAACAGACATCATCCCGCCGTATCTGTTTGGGCGTAGATCAAATAGACGCAAACTTGTAGTACTACTCGAATGAGAGGGTGGTTGTAGACAGAAATCGTGTTTTACCTATCCTACATGATAGGCACAACAATGAGACCAACGCTAAATACCGGGTTCCTATTCTTCCCCATGCACAATTACATGCAATGCGATAACATTTACCAGCCCAGGCCCTTCATGCAACGAGAAATATAAACAGAGGGTGTGGAATGGTAGAAAAGACGCCAGCGGAGAAGAAACGAAGAAGATAACGGGGTATTATAGAATAACTATCGGTCACGTTTGCATGAATGGACAAGAAAGAAAAAAGAAGGACAAGAGGTATCTTAACAAGGAGTAGGAGAACATAAACCTAATCAATCAATCACAACACTTTCGTCTTCATCCACTCACTCGTCCCAACACCCAGGTTAAGACCATTCCGGGCCCACCATCTACGAACACGTTCTTCAGCACCGGAAACCGGGTCGGCGTCTTCGAGAGCTTCTTCGATATCGCAGGTTTTGAACTCTACGCGGAGACCGCTTCGACGCCACCATTCCAGGACATTGTCGTGGCCGTTCTTGGTGGGCCCGACGAGGACTTGGCTGTCGAATATCATTTTGGCGCCTTTCAGGCGGTGCCAGAATTCGAGGACGTGGACGTGGCCGTGGGTGCTGGCGATGCGGGCAACGGATTCACCATGGCTGTAGGGAATGCCGGAGGCGTCCCACCAGGCTAGGGAAGCGGTGCGGCCGGATTGGGCAGCAAGAAGGACGGACTTGCCGACTTTGAGGGGGATAGGGTTGGAAGGGGGTGCGTTGGCCGAGGCGGCTTTCCACCAGGCGAGGACGGCTACTCGGCCTTCGGCACTGGCGGCTTCGAGTGCGCGCTCGGTATACCGAAGTTCGAGGCCGGAGGTTCGCCACCATTCTAAGACGTTGACGAAGCCGGCGCGGGAGGCCCCATCCATTGCGTCGGCGATGTATTCTTTGTTGGGAAGGGCGGGCGCATCGCGCCACCAGGTGAGAATGTTGGGGTTTCCGTAGATGGCGGATGCGCGGTATGGGAGGTTGGTGAGTCGAGAGGTGGTCCAGAGTAGATCGAGGTGGTTTTCAGTGAGGTAAGAGAGGATGTCGGTGCGAGAGAATTTGAAGATGAGGTGGCATACAAGGTCGGAGAGGGGCTTCCATCGTGGCAGGCTGTCAATGCGCTTCTTAATTGCGGCGAAGGATCCTCTGAGGATGGTATATTCCAAGGAGGCTGGGGTCGACATCTTTAACAGGTGATTTTGCCATTCCTTCGGCACGGGCAGATTGGTTGGGATGCCAACTGCCTTTGCGATCTCCCAGTCGTGTAATTGGTCTTCGAAGATGTTGAGCCATAGCTCCATGGGTAGCGAGCGCGGGCCATTTTCCGGTTTACTGCTTCGATGCAGAAGGTGTCGCGATACCGTGGACGCCGCGTCGCCAGGCGTCTGCTCTGACATGCCGGTCGGGTATGTCGGATCTGAAAGCTGGCCAGGCTTAGTGAAGACCTGAGAGAATGAAAGGCCCAAAGTTCGTTCGAGAACCTCATGCAGTTCTTTCAGACCTTCCCATGGTAACTGAACCAGCTCCTCCGGACTGACCGATTCCCACAGCACCGGCGACACCACACTTATCCATGGCCAGAAATCTGCCACCTCTCGCAGTTGCCTTTTACTTAGCGGATGGTGCCATTCCGAGACCGTCATGCCAGGGATCAGAACAACCGGCTTGGACGACATCCAACCCCGCAGGAGCGCCAACGTCAAGGTGTTGGTCAAACCATACAGCATCGACCCCAACGCTCCGGCGTCTATCGGCGCAACCAACAGCATATCAGCCCACTCGCACAATTCCGCCGCCTTGGCCTTTAGCCATTTCCGAGCCCCAGTCTTCTTTTCGAATGTTTGACTATCCACTGTGTCCATATAATGAGGAACCTTGCTTGCGCCCGACAGAAGGGCGGAGGGCTCGTCGGTGATCAATCGTATTTCGATATCGGGATTCTGAACCAGCGATGGAAGTATGTTGTCGACGAAGGCACTCTCGGTGGAGAGAAGTAAGCGTCGCCGACGACGAGGAGAAGAGCCCGGGGCTTCTTGTATTTGATTATCTATTTGCATGGGGATCGTAGTGTTATGTTCAGTTAACTTTCCTCCCTGCTCTGTAGTGACCTCCATTTCCGTCGACCAGACACCCTTTGAAACCACCGTTGCGACACCAGTCGATGTTGAGGTAAAAGTTGCGCCAAAACCGACAGCCATCACAGTGGGGAGGGAAAGGAAAAAGAAATATGTCGCAGAGAATGATCTAAACGCAGATCCCGCGGTAATATAGTCCAGTCACGTCACGATTCGTTGGAGAGAAAAGTAAAACCGTCCAGAACCTGTCGCCTGCAGGGATTATGCAGCCAGCAAACCCCGGATTAGTCTTTTGGTGTACCGTCGAAAGGATGATATCGCAGCCAGTGCGCAAGAACGGCGAAGGAAATGCCCTGCAACAGAAAAAGGTAAATCCACCTAGGTGACGATTGTATATAAGTCGGCCAGCCGGGGCTAGTTGTCGATCAATTGCAACCCAATGTAAGCTCTCTGTCTCCTTCTCCCTCCAGGCGAGACCAATAACTAGTAGGCCCAAGTCATGCACCGCAAGACGAGGGCAGGAACCGGACCGCACTGCGGATCTGGAGGCAGTACGTGTTGACTGACGGGTGGGCTGATCGGACAAGCTAGGGAGGAAGCGGTGTGTCGGGTGAAGCAGCAGCGGGACTTGCAGGGCGAACTAATTAGTTGTTAATGAAACCCAGTTAGCAACCGGAGCTTGGGCGTCAAGAGTCCAAGGTGTGCCGTCGCCACGTCTGCAGCGCAACTTTCAACGCCACCCAAGTTCTCGTGCAGGTATCGGTTTAAGGTGACTCGGGGATTGATCGGAAAGGAGGAGATTAAGGAGGGACGGGGGGGAAAGTGAGAGGAGAGGGAAAAGAAGAAGCGAAGAGGAGGAGGAGAGTCGTGCCACTTCTACCTCAGTGGAGGAGGAATGTTTCGTCTTCAACTAATGGAAGATCCAGAGGCTGCGCTGGGGAGGAACTCCTGGTTCGTCTGCGGAAGAGACGGGCGCTTATTGGCGGGCGGGCGGTGGAACCTGCAGCCTCGACCCGATAATGATGTCGCTATTACTGTTCTATTCGGTAGGAATGGACGGCAGAAGTAAGTAAGAAGTACTACTATGTTCTCTATCTCTTACGCTGTCTGCAATTTTTACACATCGCGCCCGCAATCATCATTCTTTCTCTCTTCTATACTCTCTGTTACTCTTCCCTCCGCGCCAAGTTCGAGTGCAGCTTATGTTCGCGCATTCCCATACTGACTATCGCCCCCAGCACGCTGAGTCCCAGTAACGTCAGAAATACGGCGCGCAAAGAGTCCATATACGAATCCAACACCCCTGGGATCCAGTCTGCAGGGAGCTTCCGGATTTCCTCGAGGCTATCGCGGATCCGTCCAATCAGCTCGCCCGCATGCTCGCGATCTCCAAACCGAGACCAAAGTCCGGATTTGAGAACATTCTGGAACACGGCAGAGGCAACGGTGATGCCAATGGTGCTTCCGGTGCTGCGGAATGCGTAGGATGCGGATGTGATGACCGCATGATGCTGGTGGTCTACAGCAGAGATAAGTGCCACCAGCGTAATGGTCAGCATGCTCCCATAGGCCGTACCCATCAGGAAGAAGTAGATGAAGGGTAGCCACGACGAAGTCGTGAGTGACAGCGTGCAGATCAGCACACCGGAGAGAGTCATCAGCGCCATGGACACATGGCTGAAGATCTTGTAGCGTCCGGTCGACCGCATCAGGATCCCCGATCCCAGTGAGCCGAGCGAGGTTCCGATGGCTTGGGGAATCAGCCTGACGCCAGCACTCGTCGCAGATAAGCCTTGAACTTGGAAGAACAACGGCAGGTAGAACAAAAGCCCAAAAACGGCCATCGTGCTGAACCAGTTGGTCAGGCAGGCTGAAAATACCGTCCGATCTAAAAGCAACCGGACAGGAATAACCGGTTCGGACGCAATGTTGGCCTCGACGTAGATGAAGAGGCCAAAAAATACCGCGGAGAGCGGCAATGAGACAAGAATAAGAGGGTGCGTCCACGGGACCTGGTTTCCACCAGTGTTCAGCCCCAGCAGGAGCAGAACGAGACTTGCAACCAGAGTGAGCGCACCGAGGAAGTCAACTCGTCTCAATTTGGCGCTGTCAGTGGTCTTCACCGGCACTCGTACCGTGGCCGCTACGAGGATGCCGGACACCACAACGAAAGGGACCTGGATTAAGAAGGCCCATCGCCATCCCAGAGTATCATTGATCCATCCTCCAAACACACCGCCCAGTCCACTTCCGGCTCCATAGCAGATGTTACCAATGCCCTGCCACACTCCACGTTTTCGTAGAGGCACCAAGTCGGAGGTGACAAAGGTTGAAATCGCAGTTAGACCGCCACCACCGATACCGGCGATGACGCGCCCCAGTACAATAGTCCCCTCGGTTTTTGCCAGACCACATATTAGATTCCCGGCTGCGAAGAAGATATTCGAAAAGACCAGCCCAGTCCGTCGAGAGAAGATATCAGTCAGACGCCCACTCAGTGGTTGAAAGGCGGCATTGGAAATCAGGTAGGAGGTAGCGAGCCAGGACAGCAGAGTGAAGGACTGGAAGGAGGACGAGATGGGGGCAGTGAGAGTAGCGACAATTGTAGTGTCTAACACCGTCAGCTTCAGCGAACGGAGAACCTGTAGTAGGACAGGTCATACCCAAAGCAGCCAGGAAGACTCCGACCCAGATACTTCCCAAGACTAGGATGAGCTCTTTCGAGCTGGGTTCCTCGGCCAAGGGAACTTCGGAATCTCCCGAAGGCAGTGGTTCATTCGGCGTGTGATCCCCAAGGAGGGGCGTCTGTTCAGACACCGGCTCTCCTCGAGGTTCATCAGGAGCCCCTGTTCTGGATTGATCAACGCGCATACCTGTACCACCAATATTCCTGTCGTGTATACAACAACGGTGGACCGGTGGGTTGGGTTTAGGTTGGTTGGTGAGCAACTTGGCGGAGCGGCGGTTATTCGGGCGGCGGTCCGATAAAGAGCGGGCGATAACGCGACCGATCATTTGCCGCTTTCAAGCTTATCGACGTCCACCATGACGGCCGTCTCTGCTTCGTAGCTTTCGGCAGAGTGAAGCTCTCGGCGAATCCTAGAGCTCTCAGAATGGGGCGGTCGGACACTTGCCCTTCCACGGTTATTGCTTGAACCTTGATGTGAGCTATCCTCGACTTTGGCGGGTTTCTGACCATGGCTCTCTAGACCCGGTCGTATTTACGATGGATCAGACTTGAACAGACTCTTGGTCTAGTTCCCTTCTCTCCCCCTCTTCACCCCCTGATCCGGCGAACAGGTCTTACTCTCACAATCTCTTCAGGCAAACAGGCAAGTCCTATTTTTGCACTCGACCTATCATTCTATTTCTGGCATGGTCAGTCATTTCACCTAGTATAGTGTAGACAACAACTCGTTCGTCACTGGACACCGACTGCAAGCATGAACGGAGCATTCAATGTACGTGACATGGAATATTAGACACGGCTGAAAGCGAGAACCATACATACAGTCTTAACGAGTGCTGCACACACCATGTCGGCCGACTGTTGAACAAAGGCCTATGGACTCGCAAACGGCGCACCGCCAAGATTCTCGCTTGCTAACGGGCGCATCGTGCATGCAGAGATGAAACAAACTAACAATATACGAAGATTTGAAGGAGTCAACCGGACCTTCTAAGATAGAGTGCTCCAGCAATTTCCAACTCTCAGAACACCACCACCACGGCTATGTGAGTCCATTGACCTGAAGTAGGGCAATTTCCGTGCCCTATATACAAGGTCCCCACCCACGGCAACCCAATTCATCTAATAGTCCCAAATAAGCGCAGAATAAGGATTGTTCGCGAAAGTAAAAGTGGGGCCGTGATGGTCGACTAGATCCTCGTACATTTTCTCTGTCGGGGTTTTATTGACAGCGCTTGGTCATTCTCACGATAAGGGTTGCCCCTGAAAGGAGGGCCATGGGAAAAGTCGATCCAGGAGGAAGAGGAGAAAAAAAAGAGATGCAGTACTTACTCCTGACTCGCAACTTATGCAACCCCCTGGCGCTTGGACAGGAAGTAAGTGCGATGGTCTCCATAATTCGAGTTGCTAAGTTGCTATTCTTGAGCAGCAGCCACCACTGCAAGAACAGGATAGTCGAGCCGGGATCAACTGCTCCGTTGGCAATAGATGCGCGAACCGAGGGTTACTAACGCGGCGGGGTGCCGATGCATTTGCCCATCCCTCGTATATTAACTCCCTAGATAGAGTAGTTGCTTGGATAGACCCAGGGGTAGCTCGAGGATTAGTTAACTTAGTTGTCATGACTAATAGGTAAGCCTTTAGATGACGGCACCAGTGGATCAGCAGCAGTGGTCGGCGGGGGCATGGAGAGGGGGGGAGATGAGGCAGGACGTCGTAGTGACTAGGAAAAGGGTCCTGAAGCGAAAAGAAAGGAGGCATCGAAGAGCAGATTAAGGGCGCTGGCGATCAACATCAGGACCGTGCCCCCCGTCACGTGGAGGACACATAACTACGGCCATATGAAGCCTTCTTTTTTTTCCTCTTTCTTGTCCTTGTCTTCTGTGTTTTGACTTTTCTTTGTTCTCTGTACTACACTTTCCTGCTGCATCTCCCCGTTGTGGTTGTTGATCCTTCCATTCACCATCCCAAACTACTTGTGTATACCGAACTTCCCCTCCTTTATCTACTACCCCTCCAACTGTCACCATGCCTGGTGAGTGAAACCCCGCAGATCATCTTGCATGCGCGCGTATGGACCGCTCAACTGACCCTGCATCCCAGCCTTCCTCAAGAACATCAAGAACAAGCTCAAGGCTATCTTCAAGAAGAAGAAGACTGCCGAGGAGAACCCTGAAGGCGCTGCTGCTCCTGCTGAGAACACTCCTGGTACGTTCTGCGACTGTCACGCAGTTCTTCACGACCGCTTACTGACCATGCCATGATGCAGCCGCCGACAAGCCCGCTGAGCCTCAGTCCGAAGGTGTTTCTGCCGCTCCCCCGACCCTCGAGGTGACGGAGACCCCGGCTGGCGAGGCAAAGCCTGAGACGGAAACCCATGCGGAAGCCGCTGCCGGTGCATCTGAGGCCGCTGCTAAGCCCGCTGAGACTGCTGGAGACGCAGCTGGTAAGTCGAGCAGTTCCCGCAATGATCAGTTGAGATGGATGACTGACTGACCATGCGCAGACAAAGAAACCAAATAATCTGCCTCTCGGCTCCAGCTGATGCAGCTCTCTGCATGCATCATCCACTCCTTCGCCGTGCATAATTTCCTTCCCTTTGCATCTTCTCATACCCCAGCATAGACTGCTCTGATTTCATTTTGTTCTTCTCTTGATATCCACCTTTCATATACCCTGTACTGCTTTCAATAGCCATGCGTATCCGCATAGTCTAATAATTCAGTCTGTCCGCGTGAAGCAAGTATTTCAATCTCTCGCATTGTATTCTGTAGTAAAATCAAGAAGATCTGATCAATCAAATCCATGATTCGATATCAACCTGGGTATCATAAGCGGAAACTGAGCTAGAAGAACATACACTCAATAAAATAACCAATCCCGTCAATCGCTGCCCTCATCCGAAGACACATCCACATCCATCTGACCAGCCGGAGCCTCACCACCACCAGCCGCAGCAGCAGCGGCGGCCTTAGCAGCCTTCTCCTCTCTCGCCTTCTGCCTCCGCTTGATCTTCTTCTCGCGATTCTTCCGATTCCGCTTCTCCGCCTCCAACAACTTCTTCTCCTCCTCTTTCTTCTTTCTCTCATCCGCAGCCGAGACCCGCTTCCGCAACTGAATCCGGCGTTTCTTGCCCGGCTTCTTCAAAGACGTCGGCGCCCTCTCCGCAGGGTCCTTCGCGCACGTCACCGCCGCACCCTTACCCTTCTTCTCACTCTTCAGCGTCACAACCCTCCACGGAAGATGACACCCAGGCTAGAGCGCAGAAAGTGTCAGCAAAACATCCACTCAACCATCCCAATAGAGCTCAAGATAGTAAGAAAAAAAGTAGACTTACCCACTCCACACCAGCAAACCCTACCACCTGCAACCCCGAAACAGCCACGTCCTCAAACTGTCTCCTCTTCTCCCTCAACCTCTCCTCTTCCAGCCGTAACTCATCCTCCTTAACCCCAGCCATCGCCCCCGGCGCAGAGAAATAGTACCCCCATCCGCGAAACGGATTCACAAAGCGTCCATCTTCCACTCCCACTGCGCCGGGCGTGGGTGAGCGTACCCGGATGCGTAATTTCTGGGCTTGAGTTGTGCTGGACTCGACAGCTGCTTGCTCTTCCTTTTTAGATTCGGATTTCGCAGGGGCGCTGAACAGTCGGAATTCGAACTCTTGTTCTTCGTCTTCGTCGGGGTTGGCTTCGGTTGTTGGTTGCGGAGATGGGTCGGGTTGTGGCGCGAGGAGGGCGTCGATGTCTAGGAGGGCGCCGAGACGTTGGTGGACGTCTGTGAGGGAGGATTCTGGGGGTGGAGAGGGGGAGGGCGAGGTGGATGTTCGGGATAGGAGTTCTTCGCGACGGACGCTGTGGTTGGGGCGTTGGTTAGTGGGATTGAAGTTGGTATTGAGGCTAGTAGGTTGGTGTGTTTGACGTACCGCTTTGCGCTGGGGAGGTCGAACATATCTGTCTGTCTGCTTTTGCGTGGGATTGAGTGTTTGGCAGAGGAGAGTGGTGGATGACAGCTGGGGTTGATTGGTGTTGCGGTGGTGGAGTGAAAATTGTCGGCGGATGTGGTGAGTGCTTATTTCCACGGGCGGGTGTGGTGCGGCCACGGGTTCGGAGGATTGATGGATTTCTCTTTATCTCTACGGGGAAGAGTGGATTGATATTGGACTTCATACGTTTACTACTTTTTCTTCTCAATGTTAAAGTGTATGTGATATGCTACGGTGGGGTTTGCTCTAGGATACGTGTAGAATGTATACATTTATTGTCCTCTATAGAACTGCTTGTGAATAATGCATTTGGGATCTTTGTATCTATGCTATATCACTTCCAGTAATAGGCGCAAATAAATCCATGCGACCAGTAGCTAGTTGTATAGGCTTTGTTCGAGCTACAGAAGTAACGATTACCGGGCTAAGATGCCCCCTGATTTAGTCGACTCTGAGGGTTTAAGATCATACGACGACATAATTGTTCCACCAGGCATGTGATAGTATAACCCTCTGGCAACCTCCGAATCTTCTGGGCATACCATGCAACGCAACATAAATCTAGTATTTGAGGCCATTGCTGCTTACATTTTGAAGATGGTTGATCAGAGATAGATTTCAGTGACTATCATTCAGGACATTCCAGGGCACTCATACTTAATACTTGTACCCGATTCCGATGACATCGGCTCGCACGGGCCACTCCCAACCCACCGAATTATCCAAACCGTCACTCCTTCAAGTCAGTGACCCAAGATCTCAATCACCCAACCAACCAACCTCGCATTCCACCTTCGCAAATCATCTCCGCTTGAGCATCACCGCCCGGCGCGTTTTTACATCCAATTCAACATCCAGACGCTCATTCCAGTCATTCATTCGCCTCGCACTTTTTTCACCAGAGCCCGACACTACTACCGTTCATAATTAAGCCGTTCCAACCACTACCACCTACCGTCACTGAACATCTCTCCTGCGCCTCCACCTCTATTCCGCCGATCTGATCAGCACAAATGGGTATCTGCGCCTCATGTCTAGGACGTAATCGTCAGGAACCCCACGATGTAAGTTCAATCCTATATTCCTTTGCCGGAAAAAAGGCGCACGCAACCAACACTCCTCCCTCCCTTTGCGCCCGACTCCACCAACCCTCTTCGCATCCATCATTTAGATGCCAAAACTAACTTATCTCTATCACCACAGCCCAACCACCCCGAATCTTCCCGCCTCCTCGATGAAGACATCTACCAACCGGGCTACGGTTACGGCGCCCTCCACCAAAGCACCCAAGGCAATCACCCAGACCCCAGCTACCTGAAGCGCGAACGAGAAGCCCTCGAAGCAATCTGTCAGCGGACATCAGAGTGAGCCACCCTTCACCACCAGTATGACAGAGATAGAGTATAGTCCAATACTGATAACGTGCAACAGTTCCGTTATCGACATCTGGTCCCTCCAACCCCAACCGCATCTCCAACCTCGCGCCACCCTCCCCAGCACTGTCCCCCCTCCTTCATCCTCCGATGGCGATGCGCCGCCCGTGAAAGTAATAACAACCGACTCGACACCGGCCCGTTCAAAGAAACATTCCTCTCCGGCTGCGAAGGCGGGCGGCACGGTCCCGAAACATTGGGGTGAGGTGGTGATAAATACGCGCAAGAATCGGTCGCGGCCTGGGTCGAGTACGGACGAAGACGGTGCTGCTAAGAGAGATGTGTTTGGAGTGTTGAAGGTTACATGACCGATATAACTATTTAAAATGGGGGAGGTTGCGCAGATGGTGGCAGGTCAAATGTGATAGGTGTCGTGTGGTGGTGTGTTATCGGGGGCGCTACTAGATGAAACACGGCAAGGAAGTGGATGGACGGACTTCTGGACGAACATGGTGGACAGGCGTGACAACACTTATCGCATTTGACTTGACGTGTTTGATTGTTTTTTTCCTTTTACCCCATTCTTCTTGATTCTGTTTTTTCTATTGCTTTCTTGTGGCCAGCTTTTTTCTACATCATCCCCTTAATACCCCTTTTTCCTTTTCTTCGCGCATCGCGATGGGTCGCCGGCGACGACGGGGTCAACTCTTCTGTTCTTCTCCCTTTAGCCATCGGCGCTTTTCTTTACATTCCTCTTCTTGACTTCTACTTCTTCTATTTCTATACCCTTGTTCTGTGCCTAGGCTGATGCCTGCGGCTTTTACTACTTCCTCCACCGAGCTTTCATTGTGCATTTCCTTTGTTCGATCCTGTCTTGTCTAGTTTGGTTGGGTTGGATCGCAGATCGCTCTCAACTCGAGTACAGCAGTACTGCTAGTAAACAGCTGAAAAAATAAACGTTTGCTGTATGATATGAAACGTACGCAACATCTTTAACAACGGGCTATGTATGCTAGGCTATGCTACTAATAGTAGTGGATCTAAATAGAGTATAACAATAATGCTCCCATTAGCGATATACAGTCTTTATGTTGGAACATCTGCGAGAGGTGGAGAGTTGAACAGACTGCGGAAGTCGCTGGTATCGAAGAGATACGGATCGACAGACAGTCGAATTCCTGCTCTTTCACCCCCCACGCTACATGATCCGATCGCCCATTAGCCCACCTTCTCGTGACCATCGTAGTCGATTGCTGCACCTTGAATGACAGAACTCCGCCAGAAACGCCTTTCCGCCTGACACCCGAGAGAAAGCAGGAATAGTAAACACCGAAAACAGATAATAGACAACAATGCCTATGCAATATACTGGTGTGCAATGTCCAAACCAAGACGCGAATGGTCTAAGACAGACTGGAGCGCGGCAGATTTAGACGTCGTCCATCGTACCGGCTGGCTCTTCGCCGCCGGACTCGTAACTGCCTGCCGAGCTCAGTTCGTCTTCCGACTCTGTGTCTTCCCCGGCTTCATCGACAGCCTCTTTGCTGGCGTATTTGGCCACGTACTCTGGTGACACGTCAGCTAAGGATGACGAAGTATGTCGCATATGTGGCAACGTACCCTTGACCTTTGCCTCGTAGCTCTTTGGCTCCCGCATGAGCATAGCAGCTGCTTCGCCGTTGAGAGGGTCCGAAGGGTTGGGGTAGCGCAGGAGCTGAGGAAGGAAGACCTCGAAGATGTTGATCATATCGTACATGGGCGACCATGTTTGATTTATGACATCCAAACAAACGGAACCCGACCTGGGCAGCTGGGGTTAGCCGTTGGACACAAGATTTGTCGAAGTTGTCTTACAGCTCATCGATGTTCGGGTGGAAAATCCGGTTCACAAATCCGATACTCGGGCTCTTGTATGGGTACTGGTCGGGTAGTTCGACGTGGATCTTCCAGTGGCCACCGGCAAAGGGTGCTGGCTATGTCAGCAGGTTTGATTTGCCATAGTCGGAAATTGTATGGGTCTTACTCTCTTCAGGTCCCTTAAAACGCACGTAGAACTCTTGCCTAACAAAGCGAGCAGTCAATATCAATCGTGCATCTGACGATTGTAGGGCAAGCAGAGTCTGCATACACTGCAAATCAAAGTCAGTGTCCGATGGTCGGTGGCAAAAGACTGAGTGCACTTACTGTTATCATTGACCAGAGTCACCTCATAATCACTCATCAACCTATGCGAAACATCAGCACCAGTCCCCCTGAAATCTGTTGACCTGTCCCATATCCGAAATTGCGTGCTCATTCCAACCCAAGTTGAGGGGGGGTATGATAGGTGCCGGATACGGGGAAGGGTGCGTACATCCTGCCAGAATATCAGTCAGTCAGCTATCAGGTATGAGCGCAACAGCGGTACGAGGGCGTACTTCATGACCTATATGTGGACAAATCCCAAGCGTTAGTCCTTCCGCCACCACTTTCGCCGCAAGGGCATGAGGGGTACCGAGGGGAGGGGTACTCACATCTGTCTCAATTCTCCGCTTCGGGCTACTCATTTTGAATGACTTGCAGATAAGGCAAATATAACGGTATACGAAGACCTCGAGTCTGTCGACACCGAGATATCTAGGATCAAAGGCGAATTGCGCAAGCGGTTGAACTGAAACTATCCCCAAGGTCGAAGCGGGGAAGGAATGAGCGGGGCGACTCTGGGTAGAAATAGGGCAGATCGAAGGAAGCGGTGTAAAAGTGCGGGGCGAGAGGGATCGCAGTAAGGAGGGAATAAGAGGACTGAGGAAAGAGAGAAGAAGTGAGCAAGGCTGGGGAGAGAGAAGGTGTCGCTGGACTGGAAGGCAGTGGGCGAGTTGATGAGGCGGGAGGATTGGGGGGTGAGGAAAGGGAAGAGAGGGAACTTAAAGAATAGAATGGGTGGTGGTACGTAGTATGACTGATAGCGGGGACACGGGGGGGGATGAGGTGACGGGCTCTGGTAATGACCGGTAAGAGTGGTCACTGGCAGCGCTTCCACCCAGTCATTCGGCGCGTATCAATCAATGTTCCAGTCAGCTGGCCCCGGAGTCACGTTCTCAATGTATTTATAGTTTCTGTACGTAAAGATTCTGTTGTCATGTTACTGGAGCCCCCGAAATTTCTCTGTCTGCCCGTAATGAATAGTCATGGTCCTCTCCGACTGCCAATAGTTCTTCTTGTCTACGCATTGACAGGGCTACCCGATGCCCAAAAATCAATCTAGCCGGCCGGGAATGGATGATCGTCGCTAATGGGTCCCCTAGCGGAACGCCGGGGAACAATACTGATCTCAACAGTAACTATGCTAGTTATCTGATCCAGGAACAGTATTGCTTCGTTTCTCCAATTTTCACATCCAACCCATTCTATGCGTATATTTTATTTGCCTGAAAGTCAGAAAGCCTGGTTCAGTGTAGATTGACCAAGAGTCAAGACAACGCGAGTGTACCGAACAATGTAGACAAGGGCCCGATGTTATGCATGCATCATCGCTACCTCATGGCACTAGAGTCGAAATCGCAGTGGGTCTTTCTCGGTTGGCACTTGACAGATGTAACTCTGCCCGAAAAAGTCTCTAATCCGTTTGTCGGGGCAGGTGAAATGGTGCTCCTATAGTAGTACTTACTATACTGATCAGATAGTCAAGATGTTGCTTGGTTGAATAGGAGCATACCTCTGAGGCGATAAAGTATCCGGATTGGCTGGCAATCGCCCCTGCTTATCATGTACCTTGGCAGCCCTGAAGATTCGCTTTGTTCTTCACGTCCGACTTTACCATGGTAGAGAAACCGTTGATGGATGGATGATGGTGCCTGCCACTTGATTGGACCACCTCCCTGCCTCAGGTGTCCATCGGCGCCTAGCCAGGGAATGGAACATCAACAACTCGCATCAACCTCAGCATCAACACCAACAGTCTTCTGCAAACCATTCCTTTCCATTCCTTATCACCCATCGCTGTTTTTACTCATACTAAATAGTCTGTTGTTCTTTTTGCTCATTCAGCCTCGAGCACAAGTCGCGCTACACAGCGTTAACCCCCTATCGCCAGACATGGATTCCCCTTCGCCCCAGGGCCCCTCGGCCCAAAACTCACCCAAACCCGACCAGGCCAAACTCGCTCACAGGCCAGCCAATCGTAAACAATCTTCTGATTCTTCCTCGAATACCCAAAATGCACCTATACCAGACGACAAGCACGGTGCGGACTTACCAATGACCATGTCCGCCTCGGTGGTGCTAACCAGCTTACCCCGCGATGCCCACCAAGCATTGGCGGATGCTGAGGCTGTCGATAGGGGCAAAGGCAAGTAAAACCCTCTGGTCATCATCTACTACGAGTGCTATCACGTATCCACTGCCTCGAATTGTTTTGAATTCTTTCTCGCTCGAAAGTCAGCTTTTTCCGAGCTGCAAACTGGCCCCTCACTTTCCTAGTAACGTCATGTGGCTTATCGGGACAAGCCATATACTTGTCCGAAAACTAACGGTGCAGCAGTTACCGTGCGCTTTCAGCCACTGCCTTCAGCTCCCATCCTGAAGAACCGCGTGTTCAAGATTAGTGCCTCGCAAAAGTTCGAAACAGTCGTGAAATTTCTCAGGAAGAAGCTGGACTGTAAAGAATCCGACTCGGTTTTCTGTTATGTCAACAGTGTATTTGCCCCTGGGTTAGACGAAGGTGTTGGTGGGTTGTGGAGGGTAAGCCGCCTTGATACGTGGATTCGAGCCACCCATTTACTGACAGCATTCAGTGTTTCAAGACTGACGAGCAACTTATCGTTGCTTACTCTATGACGCCTGCTTTTGGCTGATGGGGAGCAAAGGTCGATGTGTATTAGTGCAACAGCTGTCTTGACTATTTACAGGTAATCTTCCTAAACCAAATCTGCCTCTCCAAGCTAACATGGAATGAAATTAGAAAGGCAACTGTGCACAAAAATTGTCAAAGTTTATTTGACAATATATAAGAATTTTGAACATGAACACGAAATACCAAGGTATCACTGAAACGACTTGCTGGACATGATATGCATGATATTATGCTTGAGAAAAAAAAAAGATTTATCAGTGAACGCTCACAGGATGAGACAATATGGCTCTGAGTCGGGGTCGCGAGCAATTAGTCCTTGCCGAAGTGTTCAATGGCCTTTTCAAACTCGGCCAATTCTTCCTTCGCAATAGGGTAGGTGTATTCTTCGGAAGGATACGCCCGGCTCTTAACCTCTTCACGGTATTGTTGAATTCCTTTGATAGCCTCTCCCCAGACGTCGCCATACTTCTTGACGAATTTGGGAAGGAACCGGCCCGGGGGGTAGTTCCCGATCATATCAATTTGAACCAGGACTTGTCCGGAGCATCCGTTTCCAGCACCGATGCCAATCGTGGGGATACGCAACTTCTTAGTAATGAGGGCGGCAATCTCAGCAGGCACGGCTTCCAGAACCATCATGAATGCGCCAGCTTCCTGGACGGCCAAGGCATCTTTCAACAGCCTCACTGCGCTGGCGGTCGTTTTGCCCTGAACCCTGAATCCTCCAAGAGCGTGTTGACGTTGAGGCGTAAGCCCGATGTGACCGCAAACAGGGATACCGGCCTGCGTGATACGTTTGATGGACGGAGCCATCTCAGCACCACCCTCGAGCTTGATAGCCTGAACGCGACCCTCCTTCGCGATGCGGATGGCAGACTGAACAGCCTGCTCGGGGGAAACTTCATATGACCCCATGGGGAGATCTGCGACCTGCGCCGAAATCACACGTTAATCTCGACAGACTCAAGAAGGACGGTAAGAATAACGAACCGTGAATGCACTCTTGACAGCACGCGCGACACTCCGACAATGCAACAACATCTCATCCATGAGGATCTCACTTGTATCCTCCATGCCGAGGGCAACCATGGCCAAACTGTCACCGACCAGGACCACGTCCATCCCCGCCATTTCCGCGACATGGCCACTGGGGAAGTCATGCGCCGTAAGCATCGTAATTGGCTCCCCTTTCTTGTAAAGATTCCGTAACGTCTGCATGGTCACCTTCTTTCGGGGATTGGCCGAGGCGGCCCCCAGCGGAGAATGAGAGCTATACCGCTTCTGAAGCTCTGTTGGTGAAGGAGTGGCGATGGCATGTCGGCCGGCGAGAACCGAGAAGACGGGAGTGGATGCAGCCCGACAGCGAACGGACGACCGCGCCAAAGGCACTAGCAATTGCGCCGAGAATCTTGAAGCCATGATGATAGCAGTAAGCCGAGTATAATTGAAAGACGAAGCAAGATTGGGTCTTCCAAAAAGGAGAGAGAAAAGCAACGACACTAGTCGCCCCTGAAGAGGCGAATCTAGGGAAAGCTGGAGGCAAACAGCAAAAAGCCGAGAGCAGCAAACACGCAGGTACGCAAAGCACCGACGGGCGTGGAAAGAACCAAGTCGGAGAACGGAGCGGCGGGCCAAAAAAAAAAGGGCTAATGTCGTCACTACCCGGAAGCAAATAGAAAAAAAATTAAGGGCAGATAAAAAAGAGTTCCTTCAGATTCTGGATCGTTATCAAAGGGAACTTATTCAATACCCCACATAAACCCTGGCACAATGGTTGACACAAGAAGAACACACAAGAGTTCACAAAAAGAGTTCAGCTGAAAAGTAAATCAAGACTTTTTCTCACATAACCACGCGCCACCCCACGACCCGTCTGCCTTATATAACCACACCCTGGTATAGATGATGCCGCGTAGTCCGGATCATCCACCAGAAACATGAGAGTTCAACCTTAGTTAATAATTTAGTGTCAATCCCCCAACATTTCGGCATTATTCACACTTTTCCCGATTCGGATGAATTATGCCCGCCTTAGGGCGTAGTAGCTGCGCTGTCATTGGTTCATCGGATACTTACTTTTGTACATGCAGGATTGTGGCGCGGGGAGGAGATTCCACTGCTTTCTTTTCTGTTTTTCCGGACCGAGGACTTGCATCGTGGGCCGAGGTTTGCGCGAGTCAGTTCTTCTACCTACGCTGTACTTTGTATCATTGAAGGTTGTTAGTCTTGGTTTCCTTTTGCTGCAAGAATTAATTTCGATGGTAGGGGTGTACACTGTAGAACATGTGTATTCTTACTGTAGTAGTAGGTTCCATTTCTATGGCTACAGCCTATGCTATAGCTACAATTATAGCTATAAGGCTAGTAGTAACTAGTAGTAGTATAGTGACACACTTATGTTCAGCCGACGAAAACTGAACCCATATCACTCAACTAGTGAGACACAAAGGAAACAAAAAAAGGTAAAGAAAAAGAAGATGATAACCACCAAGCTCGTAAGCAGCAAAACTAAACTCAACACCAGTCCAGACATGTACCGCCATGTCTTTTGTATGCAACCACCCCTCGGTTTGTTTGAATACATCCATCCACCCATCCATCCATCCGCCTATGAAGGTATGGTAAGAACAAGAAAAGCAATATGCAAAGGATACTATATAGGAAAAAAGAGAAAAGAAAGTAAGGAATAAAAAAAGAAAAAAAGAAAGGAAAATGTATGCAATCATGGACACCATTGAAGTATAAGCTTGTCTTCCCAATGCGCGCGGTGTGTGCATGGATGCATGCATGAATGTATGTATGTCCTGGATTTTGATGAGTCCCATGTGTCACCTGCCTTAATTCATTGCGCGCGTTGATCACCCTTCTTTGCGTATTTCCCTTCCTGTTTCTCATTCTCATGCTGATTTTTTCCATTTTCGGTTTTATCGATGTGGGGTTTCCAAGATCTCTTCAAAATTTCGTCGTTGGCGAGGCCGTTAGATGCTTTTCATTCATCAGGTCAAGAGTATGTAGGGATATGGCATGCAGAATCCAGGGACGCCGGCTGTGCACCAATTACAGAAGAGGAGAACGAATTGTGATAGGAAATGGTTGTAGGAAATAAGAAGGGGAAGGATGAAGGAATAGAAATGCAGTATTAATCGCATCGTCTGTCGATAGTTGTACGTGAGGAGTAATTGAAAGACGGGTGTATATGCCAGTGTTATGGAAGGCGAGCTGAATATCTTCACATATTAACACTGCTGAGCGGCCAGCAAATCATCTCCGCAGGCAACGCTACAGCCAGTTCAGTCCGGGAAATAGACAAGCCGTCACAGACTTCACATCCTTTCCTTTCATTCACGAACGCACGGCCTGATTATAAACCTGGGACACCTTCCGCACCAGATTTCACAGGCCTCTCCAGCTGATAAAGTAAGGCGTCGAGCTCGGCCCAGTTCGCTCGGTTTGTCGCAAAGCGGCGGTGCTTCCGAGTTACAATGTGCTGCCAAAGGTTAGCATTCTTCTTTTCTGAATCTTGAGCCTCCGGACTAACCTCTTCGAAGTCATCGAATTTGTCCCTGCAGTTCTCACAGTAACCTGGCTTAGGGTCTCTCCGTCTCTCCTTCCTTTTCGGTATTATTACGGTTTTCCGATCACCGGCCCGCCGCTTGGGAGCGCCGTTGTTTTCCAACTGCGTTGATTCCTCCTCAGGGACATTTACGAGCTTTTTAGGCGGTTGCATATTTCCGAGGCTGTTTTCCAATGGTTTCGCCTTCAACGGTGCGGCTCCATCTACGGCGTGGTGTGATGGAGGCATAGTCCCCGCTGTAAGCCCTCCATTTCCTTTTTCGAGCACCTTTCTCTTGAGTTCATGAACTTCCTTGCTCAGGCCAGCCTTGGCACCAGGTGCAGCAGCCGTCGATGAAACCATCTGCGAACGAATGGCGGACGTAATATTCGAGGGTTGTACGCCTGATGCGGCAGGTTCACGGCCATGGAAGAATGGCCCTTTCCGTTGAGGAGGCGGGGGCACAAAGCTCTCGGAGCTTTTCCTGGGCGATAATTGTTTCGTCGACTGAATGTCCTGGAGTTCAGGCTGGGGCTCAAGGGGTGCCTCTTCTGTTTGGCCCAATTCGGGAGTCTTATCCTCGTGCTTTGTAACCTTCCTATGAGTTTCTGGTGCATTTAGTTTCGCGTCCGGAACGTCTTGTACAGGAGCAGCATTAGCAACAGCTCTTTCGTCCCTTTCCTGTCTCTCCGTCCTCTCTTTTATACGGGCACGTTGACGGTCAATGTCCTTCTGTGTAGGCGGGTCCTCAATGAACGGACACTTTCCCAGCCGTGCACTTCGGAATTGCGGCCATATACCATCCTGCCGCCTTGCAACCTTTGGGTATTCTCGCACCATCACAGGGCGCGTCTTCTCGTCCATGTCATGGACATATATGAAAGGACCCTTGAACATAACCAGCTCCTTCAACACCGAGAGAGGATTGCGATCTGACGGGCCATTCAGCTCATTCTGAAGCACTTGCGAAAGATCATTTTCACCCCGAGCCCTGGCATGGCCGCCAGCAGCATTGCTGTTTCGCGTCGCATGGCCATCATGCCCTCCGACATCGCCATCATTGATCGCCGTGATCATGCGCTGCAGTTTTTCGATCGCCCAGATCTTCATTCCCATCTGGCGGGCTCTGTGTAAAACATCCATGCCCTTCTGCTCCCGCCGTGCATCGTTTTTCAAGGTCATATGAAGGTGTGTATCGGCGCACTTCTCGAGCAGGGACGGGTTTACTGTCTGCAGCGAACCATCCGCCGCCGCTTGCTCCGCCGACTCCGCATTGTATTCAGGTGCATTCGTGGGACCGTTTTCTGGAGGAATAGGACGAGACGTGACGACGTGGGTCACTAGACGCGAGAAGAATTTTTCTTCACGCTGTGACGAATGAAGTCAGTAAAGTTACGCAGTCACGTAGATATAACCTCCGCAATGGAACGGTGGGGCATCATTGACCCTCAGCACGCAGCTCCTTTAAAGGATCAAGTGTAGGAGATGTCGAGCCAGACGGAAACTTACCGCTCCCAATGCAAGTACCTGCCTAGAGCTCTTGCTGCGAACATCTTCCGGGATGCTATCAAAGTAGAAAACAAACTGAGGAAACGCCTTGCGGTAATGCCTCTGCCACTGCCGGATGGAATCGAGGGTCTCCGCAGAAGGCCTCTCGTGCCTCGTGCCTTTCATTTGTGCCTGTCGTTCTTTATCTCTCACAGCGACCAGTTTCCTTTCGAATGCACTCGGTTGAGCATTATTCGTGCGCCGCAAGAACAGTTTGGAGTCCGTGTTTTGGTATGCGGACGCCCTGGTCCGGGTTGGGGATCGAGCGTCCGCCTCCTGACCGTCCACTACCTGCTTCTTCGGAGGAGGCTGGCCGTAAGGGATGTCAATCTGGTTACTCGTTGGACGTAGACGTTTGGCAGGCACGAGGCCTGACCTGTGAGGGGAATTGGTAGCATTCGGCACGTTGGCAAGTGGTCGGCGAGTCGACATATTAAGCGAAGACCGAGGCGAAGGTGGTACGAATACAGCTGCCATGTGATAACAGAATACAAGGCACTATATGAGCGTGAGTTGCTGTGAGTTGGACACCAGCAAAGCAAAAGAGGGGCACTGGAGGCGAGCACGCGATGCGTTACACGTCTCGACGGGGGGGTGGATTACTCGGTTAGAAAAAGGCCATTGTCGACGCGATAGATGAGCAAATAAGGAGCGGCAGTGAGAGTTAGCGAGAGAAGCAGAAAGCCATGCCCTGGAAGAAGGGGAAGCAATGCAGCAAAACTCGCGAGAGTCTGTGGGGGAGGAAGACAACAGAGAAGGGTCCAAGGGGAGACACAGACTGAATGGGTTGGTGGTGATGATGGAAAGAAGAGAGACCAAGCCAGGCTAGACTAGTAGAGAAACGACTAAGCGTGTCAGGGAAGGTCGGTGGAGCCCGGCGGGTTTGTTTTGGCTCCGGGATGTGCGCCGGACAACCACCGCCCGGCGCGCAGCATGAACCATTCTTTCAGTTCATTCCTCTCTGGGGCTTGCTGGCTTTGGAGATTACTTTCAGAAACAATCTGCACATATCCCTTTTTCTTTAAGTGAGGGATCCTGTGAATGATTGACTTGGCTGTTGGTGTGCCTTTTGCAATTTATTCGTACCCTCTAGTCCAACCTCCTGCTCTTTCTTCTATACTAAGTAGCACCCAAATTCACGCCCCACGCGTCCAGGTGCGGTGTTTAGTTTCTTAAGTGCTTACTGCTGACTGGTGACGTCTACACGAGCCACACGAACCACCAAAACCGGCTTGTCTCTTGTTTACTTCTTGCTCAACTCGGCCATTGTTTGCTATACCTCAATATTCGGTTCATTATGTTATATGTTACAATCTTATGCAAGGGTATCTAGCTTTACACAGTTTCGGCCCTCATCCAGATCAATCACGGAGGGCCTCAATATCATCGACCTAGAAAGCAGGTTTGTCAGTCAGCCCAATATTTCATCACCACAACCGCGCGGGTAACACGTCTTTTCTCTGTCCTACAACCCGGGAGAGATCGCTTACCTCTTTCACTGCCTCCGTGGTCAATACAATGGGGCTGTCATCTCCAACACAAACACTGTCTTCAATCCGGATGCCAATGCCCCGGAACTGTGCCGGCCACCGCTCATCATCCGGAACGTAGATGCCACTGCCCCGATTGTTAGCATGGTCGACATCACAGAAGGTCATCAATACATACGGCTCAATTGTGATACATTGGCCTGCCTTGAGATTGTATCCACGAGAATAACCCGAGCAGTCATGCACGTCTAGGCCAATATAATGACCCAGGTGGTGAGGGAAGAGGATACCCATTGCCTGATCATGGTCAGTACTCGAAAAACCAGAGAAAAAGACTGATAAACCTACACCTCCAGAAACGTCAAATCCTAACTGTATCAACTGGTCTCGCAAGCCGGTCTCTGCAACGTTATGCAGCCGGTCCAGGCTGAGTCCAGCATCTTCCCGACACAGCGAGACACAGCTGCGATGCACATTGAGCACGGCATTGTACAAGTCACGCTGAGGGTCGGAGAATTTGCCGTTCACCGGCCAAGTTCTGGTGATATCGGAGATGTAAGTGCCCGCCTCCTATTAATAAATTAGTCTCAGTAGTCGGCGGATGGGCAAGATATACGTACACCACCTCCATCAACTAGAACCATATCCCCATCCCTATAATAATGTGTGAGAGTCCTGCCATAATAATGGCGCTTGCAGTGCATACCTCAAAACGTCATCGTTTCTCGTGTAGTGGATGCTCAGAGCGTTCTATACACATTAGTCGCAAGATTCTCATACCTTTCGAATCAGTTACTCACAGAACCACCTGCGACGACTGGAACGAAAGCGCTGTTATCGCAGCCATTCCGCTTGAAGTTATACTCCAAGAAAGCAGTCAGGTCCTTTTCCTTGGTGAACGTCTGCCTCATGGACTCCGTGAACGCTCTTCCAGATGCTTGTCCAACACGACGCAATTGCACGACTTCATCCTCGCTCTTAAAGACTCTCATTTCGTTAAGAATGGAGCGCAAAGGCTTGACCTTGCGGTGGTCGACAATCTTTTTGAGCTTTTCGGAAGCTCCCGTAGGACCGTAGAGGTATCGATGCAAGGATGACCTTCCCGGGTTGAAGGCTGGAATATCGGTGTAGATCTCTGTCGCATCGGCAAGGATCTTGGGAAGGAGATCCCCAATGCGTTCGATATCACCGGACTACCAGGGCAGTGTCAGTCGCGTTTAATCCCAATGAAGATTAACAAAGTAGTTTCTTACTTCGTCCGCATTGAAGACATCAATCGCCGCGCGGGTACCTGAACGGGCACCGTCCCAAAGTTCGGCCTTTGCATCCTTCTCCCTGCAATAAAGGTGGAATAGGTGGTTGTTGCCGGATCCATCGTTCACTACTTATAATAAGCGCCAATCCCCAAATCGAGTCTCGTGGTAGGAGCTCACCGATGACAGCCAACGCATTCGGTTCGTTAAACCCTATTCATCAAAAAGATGTGAGCGACGTCTTTCCAAATTAAACAAAATACACCAAGTACCACCCACCTGTCAAGTAAAAGAAGTTCGAGTCCTGTCGGTACTCGTTGAAGATGCCCGAAGCCCGGTATGTAACCTCTGCAGCAGCCAGCACAGCGACGGCATACTTGGGTAGTTTGTTCGCCAGACGTGATCGGCGCTGAGCATACTCGAGAGCCGTTATTCCCGGTGTCACTTGAATCCTGTTAATACCGTATACAATATGCCTTCTTGTATTCCGCGGGGACCGAAGTGATGTTACGCACGCTCTCCCGGCTCCAGTATATGTGGGTGTGTCTCGTGTAGCGGCTGGCCGAATTTGAGCTCCGCGGCGGAGATCGAAGCGTAAGAACGGCGAAGAGCAGGCTGTTGGAGCACCGGCCGGCTAAGATGCGAAAGGGAGATTCGAGGCGCCTGGCGACGAAGGCAACGAGGCCATTGGCGAATGGCTGCTTTGCATGTCGACATAGTTATAGCAGCACCATTGAAGGTGTTGGCAAGCTTTGTCGAAATCAAGACTGGCGATCTGGCCCGCGTTTGGTTCGGAAAGTCGGCGGTGATTGCGAGACCTCCGAGTGTCCCTTGGTTTAGGCCGTTTATTATTTGATGCCTGAGGCTGGAAGCATGGGTCGGCGGCAGTGACCAATCAACGCGGAGGAGTTTGCGATAGACTCGCATACTCCGCTCGCCTGGATAGGCTGGAAGTTGCGATTCTTTCCCACCTGCTTCTTATCTCGGTCTTGCACAGCGTACCACAACCACGAAACGTCGGAGGTGTTTGGGCCATTGGAGTATGATCCCAAGGGTCAGATTTAATTTTTCGATGCGACTAGTACTCGATGACTCAAGTCGGCCCTTGAGTCACGTCAATGAGATGCCAAGGGTGACCACAGTATATATATAGTAGAAGTGAACTCCAAAGGTCTAAAGAACTTGAAGGACAATTCATTACTCACTCAAGTGCCCCATTACTTCTATCCTAGACAGTATTTAGTAGCCAGTTTTAACTAAATATATTGTTTGACCAGTCGAAGTCCCAGCATCAGAAACAATGGGAAGGACCCTAACATACCCAAAGCGGCCGTCGAACACGGTCAACCGTTACAAACATCGAGGTATACTTCAGCTCATTTTACTGCTTCGCGTTGAGGGAACTCACTAAGAACACCGCAGCAACTTATGACCTGGGTGCCATTCATGAAATTATCAACTCCACCCAAGTTCTCCATGTTTCCTTCAGCCCCGGACCATCGGAGCCGTTCCCGGCCATCTTGCCTATGATCGGACAGATGGGATCATTCGACTATCCTTCAGCTAGCATCGACGAGCCCCTTGATTGTTATCTTCATGGCTATGTCAGCTCCCGCATCATGAACCTGGCTCGAGATGCTGAAGGAGAAGGACTACCCATATGCGTGGCTGCTAGCAAGGTAGACGGGCTGGTTTTGTCTCTGACACCGAACTCCCACAGCTACAACTATCGATCTGCAATTCTTCAGGGCTATGCTAAGCTAGTGACTGACGAAGCCGAGAAGCTCTACGCCATGGAGCTGATCACTAATTCGGTGCTTTCGGACCGCTGGGCGCATACGCGCGTCCCACCAGACCGTGCTGAAATGTCTTCGACCGTCATCCTTAAGGTCAAAATCATGAGCGGCAGTGGTAAGATTCGAGATGGCAGTGTCTCGGATGAAAAGAAAGATACAGGCAGTGAAGAGGTCACGAATCGTGTTTGGACTGGTGTTGTTCCCGTCTGGGAGACATTTGGTGAGCCTGTTCCTAGTACTGGGAACAAGGTACCTGAGGTACCAGGCTATGTGAAGTCGTTTGTTGCTGCGAAGAACGACGAGAATCGCGCTTATGCGGAGAAGGCTGTGGGAATTGAGCTCCCCCCAGAGGAACAACACTGATAGTTGAGGAGCGATAATGTTTAAGCGATGTACTCATGGATTGTATCTAGCATTTCTGCTTTATAAAGTTAGCTTATGCTATTATAAAGGACGGCTCCTAGTTGTCCTATTGAGTGTGGGGAGAAAGTATAAAATGCCCAGTTTAGACCCTGCGGGGTATTGTAGCCTTGCTGCCGTGTCATTGCAACTTCTGATCTGCACAACGCAGGGATTGTCAGATACATAAGCTGTTAGTATATTTAGCTTCTAGTAATCACTGGAATATATATTGGGTATCTAGCAAAACTTATTGTTCGGTTCATTTGACGAAATAATTATACGTATAAGGCACGATTGCATAGTTTAGAGGCGACCCCCACGTCATCGGTACCATTAGCGTAAGGCCGACTCCGCAGAACTTCAACTTAGCTACAACTTCTCCAAATGACTGACTCGACGCGCATTTTCTCCCTTCTGAGGGAAACAAACATTCCATTGCGCACATGTGCACCGAATTAAAACTGTGATAATAAATGATCATCTTATCTCAACTGTTGTGTCCAGCCTAGAGTCCTTCTCCGATCTCCAGGCCCTCCGCCATGGCTCCTCCTGCTATTCCCGCAGCAGACCTCAGCTCATTCACCACTTACCTAAAAGGGTGCAGGCGAGTAATTGCCTTACTAGGAGCCGGGATCTCTGCATCATCAGGTCTTCCCACCTTTCGAGGAGCCGGTGGTCTATGGCGATCGTATGACGCGACGGACCTCGCAACGCCCGAGGCGTTCGATGCCAACCCAGACCTAGTATGGCAGTTCTACAGCTATCGAAGACACATGGCCTTGAAAGCACAACCGAATCGTGCACATTATGCTCTGGCTGAGCTTGCACGAAAGAACAAGGACTTCATAACACTAAGCCAGAATGTCGATGGTGGGTAGTACTTGGGTCCTTGCTCCGAAGTGGCACTCTACTAACTGGTTGCTTGAATTTACTCAGGCCTTTCACAAAGGGCCAGACACCCGCCACATCAGCTTCATCTCCTTCATGGCTCACTTTTCACCGTAAAGTGCACGTCCTTCTATTGCAGCTATTCCCGCGAGGACTTTACCGACCCAATTGTTCCCGCTCTCGCTCTGCCAAAGAAACTTGAACCATCTGCAACAGATAGAACGGGCGAAGAGGCTTCTCGATCTATTGCCAGTGCATTAGGGAACAATGAGGATGAGGCTGATGTATCGGACGAGCGTGTTCCTCTTTCCGCAGTGCCTTATGAAGAGCTTCCCCACTGCCCGGAATGCAAAGATGGGCTTCTACGTCCTGGGGTGGTGTGGTTCGGAGAGAGTCTACCATCACATACGATTGATTACGTGGACGAGTGGTTGAACAAAGGAAAGGTTGACTTGATACTGGTAGTAGGTACAAGTTCGAGGGTGTATCCCGCGGCAGGATATGTGGATAAGGCTCGCAGTAAAGGGGCTAGAGTTGCAGTGGTAAATATGGACCGCAATGATGTTGGCTCTTCCGGATTGAAACCTGGGGATTGGTTTTTTGAGGGCGATGCGGGTACTATTGTTCCGGAAATTTTGAAGGGAGTGATAGGCGATATATAATTCACAGCTTTGCTACTATTTCTTCTACAGCTGAACAGAGTACCGCGAAAATCCGAGATCTCTTCTAATAGCGTCGGATATCTCTCACTGCGCACATTTAGGATTAATAGTACTCTATAAGAAAGTCACAGATAGCTTAATATTCCTAGTGTATGGTTTACGAAGATCGTCGGCCCATAGCTCTTTCATGGCAGCGGGAAGGAATACAAACGGACTACTTCAGCTGACCTCCACTGACATTGACATAATGTACATAACCAAATGTGACTGAACGATCTAGATTGATAATTCCCGCACATAAATTCTAGATTCAGATGTGATTTGTGGGGGTGGATTCACAAATCCTGTGTGTACCTGGAGCTGTTGTGTGACCTGTCACCCCGCTGGTGGGCGGTGGTTGCTGGGGCAATGCGGTCAAACCGAGCGATAGCGCTATCGATAAAATGTGGCATGCCAGCGCTAAACAGAGCCGATCTCCGTCAACACGTCCAAAGCCCCTCCCACTACTCCGGATTTCGCCCTTCCTAGCCTCTTTTGCAATGTCATGACCTGACTGAAGTAGGTAAGCATCTCCTTACTATGACTTCCTCCATACGGAGATAAACATCGATAATGAAAGTGTCGTTGCAAACCCCGCGTGACGTGATGTGCTGACAGTCTGCCTCGCCTACAAGAACAGAAAAGATCTCACTCGCCATAATCACGATAGACTCACTATATCTATGCCACCTAGAGCTCGATCATAAAGGATACTCCTTTGACACCTCCCGCTGTACCCCTCAGCACATGACGCCTAGCCGCCACCAAGCTTTAGAAGGAAGTTTTATTCGAATAATACACCATGGCCAAAGAAAGCGACGCCCCCGCGGACCCCTTCACGCCTAGAAGGCCGCAAGAGCAGCCCCGTCGGCCTATGTCACATCATCCTGAGTTCGGAAAGCCATCTCCTATTCGCCCAGTGCATCATCAGAGTCACCACTCTAGCAACCCCTTCAATATCCCCAAACCGAACCAGCAACGTCCGGAGCATCACAGACAACAGCCTCGGCCGCAAAACCCTGCTCACAATGGTGCCCCGCAATATCGTCCCCCCACTACTCCGGGACCTAATTCCTTCTCAACTCCCAGAAGGGAGGCCTTTGACCCATTCAAGCCCGTTAGGCCGTCCGCGTACAACGAAAACCGCTTCTCCCGCCCGGTCAACAGTGGAGCCGTTGAGATTCGACGCCCAGAGAACTTCACGTTCAATACACCCCGTGCCCCCAAGACATTCTTCGCCTCGAAGCCCTCTGCCGTTAAGATGTCGAATGCGTCGAAGAACTTGAGGAACTTTGTCGACTTGACTGGTGAGGGTGGGTTCACACCAAGTGCGCGCTCTCGGGGCCCGGGATTTGGCTCTATGGATGTCAACGGTTATGTGGACACAGCCAAGGCAAATGAAAATATCAAGGCTCTGTTGGAGGGTGCTTTCGAGGATGAAGACGAGAAGCAACCCAAGTCGAAGAGCAAAAAGAAGAAGGACAAGAAAAATAAGAAGAAGAAGAACAAGAACAAGGAAAAGAAACAAGAGAAGTCTGAGAAGAAGTCCGAGGATAAGAAGCAGGACGCCGATATTGATGATCTTGCTGCCCAGTTGGGAACCGTGACTGTACAGGAATCCGATAATGCGGATGAGAGCACTGATGAATCGGAAACCGAGTCCAACGAATCCCCTGTGAAGGAGAAAGTCAAAGAAGTCGTGGAAGTTAAGGAGGTGGCGCCAGATAACGACGCCAGTGAAACTGAATCAGAGAACGAGGAAGACGATGATGAAGAAGAAGAAGAAGAAGAGGAGGAAGAGGAAGATGATGGTACAGTAGAAGGCTTGAAGGTCAAGTTGCTCCCTCATCAGCGAGAAGGTGTCAATTGGATGTGCGACAAAGAGACCGGCCGGAAGAAGACCAAGGGTGTGCTTCCCAAGGGCGGAATATTGGCGGACGATATGGGTCTTGGTAAGACTGTTCAAGCTATTGCTCTGATGCTATCCAACAGAAAGCCCGCAGATGGTCTCAGGCGGCCCTTGTCCAATGACGAGGACGAGGATGCGAACAGTGACGATGAAGAGGAGAAAGAAAACCGCAAACTACCGGCTGGATTGAGCAAGACGACTCTGGTTGTCGCTCCTCTGGCCCTGATCAAGCAGTGGGAGTCTGAGATCAGCGACAAGGTTGAAAACTCGCACAGAATGCGGGTCCTGGTGTACCATGGAAATGCACGGGCTAAGGGGACAGACAAGCTTGAGGACTACGATGTGGTTATCACCACGTATGGTACCTTGACCTCGGAGCATGGTGCTAAGGACAAGAACAACAAGAAATCCCCCATCTTCTCCGTCTACTGGTATCGGATCATTCTGGACGAGGCTCACACAATCAAGAACCGAAACGCGAAAGCAACACAAGCTGCCTACTCTCTGGATGCAGAGTACCGCTGGTGCCTTTCGGGAACGCCAATGCAGAATAATCTCGAGGAACTGCAGAGCTTGATCAAGTTCCTCCGTATCAAGCCCTTCAATGATTTGGCGGCATGGAAAGAGCAGATTATGAAGCCTATAGCAAACGGCCGTGGAGGTCTCGCTATTGAGCGCTTGCAGATTTACCTCAAAATCTTCATGAAGCGGCGCACGAAGGATGTTCTGAAGCAGAATGCCAATCTTAAGCCCAGCGAGAATGGGCAAAAGAAGTCATCTGGCTTCCACATCGTCAAGCGAGAGGTTATCAAGGTCGAAGCGGACTTTATGCCGGGCGAAATGAACTTCTACCAGCGCCTAGAGCAGAGAACAGAAAACAGTCTCGAGAAGATGATGGGTGGTGAGAAGGTCGACTATGCTGGTGCTTTGGTCCTGCTGCTGCGTCTTCGGCAATCTTGCAATCATCCAGACCTTGTTAAGAGCGACCTCGCTCAGGATAAGGACGTTCTCTTGCAGAACGGGCACTCCGGCAGCCAGAAACCCGCCAAGAATGATGAGCTGGACAGCATGGCAGACCTTTTCGGGGCACTGAGTGTTGTGAGCAAGAAGTGCGACATCTGCCAAATGGATCTGAAGAAAGAGGAGGCGTCTGGCGGTAATAGCAGGTGCAAAGAATGTGAAGTCGCGTTGAGTGCCGACCTCACTGACACCGGCAAGAAGAAGAAGAAGAGCGATCGGAGGTCGATTATTGATTTGACAGAGTCACCTTCGACACGCCGCGGAGAGGCGCAGGTCATCCGGTCTCGGAGAAACCGACGAGTTGTGTTAGACAGCGACGACGAAGATGAGGACGAAGGCGAGTGGCTTGTCCCGGAAGATCAGCGCGGGAGGCCGAGCCTTGGAACAGCGGGAGGCACCGATGATGAAGACGCAGAGGGCGGTGGTGAATGGCTGAACTCGGATGATTCTGACAGTGACGATGATGGGCCTGAGTCTCCTTCTCGCAAGCCAACGGGCATAAGTCGTCGGAGCCCTGAGGTGGAGTCTGACGATGACGATATTTACTTGAATGCCGGAGACGATGATAATAAGATCCTGCCTTCGACGAAGATCCGGCGCCTAATGAAAATTCTCAGGCGCGAGTCATCAGACCACAAATTCATCGTCTTCTCAGTCTTCACCTCCATGCTTGACAAGATCGAGCCATTCCTGAAGCGCACAGGAATTGGATACGCACGATATGACGGAGGCATGCGGAACGATCATAGAGAGGCCAGTCTCAACAAGCTACGGAACAACAGTGGCACAAGGGTCCTTCTCTGCAGTTTACGCGCTGGTGCATTGGGACTGAATCTGACTGCAGCAAGTCGCGTGGTCATCTTAGAGCCTTTCTGGAATCCTGTAAGGTTACCACAATTTCTGGAAGTATAATATGCTAATCCTTTCTAGTTCGTTGAAGAGCAGGCTATCGACCGAGTCCACCGTCTGAACCAGACAGTGGACGTCAAGATCTACAAGATGATCATCAAGGGAACCGTGGAGGAACGTATCATCGATCTGCAAGATCGCAAGCGAGAGCTGGCCAACGTGACCATCGAAGGCAAGACTGCCGCAGCCAAGCTGACGATGAAGGATATGATGGCACTTTTTGGCAAGGATGCCGAAGCACGTTACAACGGTGACCGCGATCTCGACCTGAATCAGACAACAAAGCTGCTGAATTCCGGCGCTGACAGCAACTCGGGCTCAACATACGCCAGTGAGACGCAGACCTCTAGCTCTCGAGATCGAAGCCGTCAGCAGGCGAAGCGGACTTCCCGTGGCGAAGACTCGGTGTATGGTAGGCGGTGGTAAGCATGATTTACTGGTAGCATGATGATTTGGGATTAGTGTGGGCGTTAGGCTGGTGAGGACAAGCTACTGGTTACTGCATTGATGTAATTTCGGGATTTACCTTTCTACATTATGAACAGGGCTTTGGGAGTTTAGAATTCATACGATTCGTTCATCTGATCATTGGCTTGGCTTGTTGGCCGACCCGAAACATGAAATCAACATGCAATAGCTTGACTTACACTGTAGACCTCCTATGGTTTAGTGCCTTGGACGATATTTTCTGTCACTTCAACGAGACATTGCTTTGAAAGAAACCACAACATCACGCCCCTACTTCCTGCTACTAACCCACTAACAACTATCCCCCATCACCTTCTCCAAATCCCCCATCTTCGCCACAAGCTCCCCCTGACCCCCTCTCTTCGCCCCCTCCCGTGCCTCCTCACTCATCCTCTTCACAATCAACTCTGCAGCGAGATGAAACGGACATACAAGCAGCTCAAGAGCCCGCCACTCACGAAGCACCTTCATCCCGTCGACATCACTAGGCCTTAGAACCCCCCGTTTGACCAAACAAGCATTTAACGTCTTCCCAACCCACCACAAATCACCAGGAACATCATCATCACTGAAATCACCAGAGAGAAGAGCTTGTGAGAGCTTCCCTTCCGTTGGATCCTCCCCATAAGGACCCATCACGTTACCGCCTAGATCCTGCAGCGAGACAAGGAACTCGTGGGCTGGGTGCGCTATGCAGGCGAAGTCGAAGTCGATGAGGGCTGTCAGCTTGCAAGTGCTGGGGTCGATGAGGATGTTGTTCATTGCTGGGGTATTGTTAGTATCTTAATGGGTAGGTGGGGTGTCTGCAGGGGTTTATACTGAGGTCACCATGGATGAGCACTCTGGTATCAGAGTCTGAAAGGTTGGGTGCTGTGAACCGATTGATTAGAGATTCGAGTCGTTCTCGTACCCCATGATCTCGCCATCCATTAATGACAGGGCTCGTATCAGCATCGTGCAATTCATGCTGCAGTCGTGCTTTGAGAAGCATCTCGTAGGTAGACCACGGTCCACCATTCGTGGTGGTCATTTCCGCACTGATGATGCTGCCGTCGCTGGATAGACCAAGTCCACCGTAGGTGATCACCGATGGGAGTGGACAGTTCCGAAGCCCAGACAATATATCTGTTACCTGTTCGATGATAGACTTCTTGATCGTCTCGGACTGAGAAGGGAAGAACTCGTCTAGTGGTACACCGGACTTGCACTCCATCAGTACCCAGGGTAAGTCATCCGGATGGCTAGGTTTGGAGCAAAATGTATATATCTTGGGAATGAGACTACCCAGTCCGGGGCGATATGACTCAAGTCCCTGACGAGCGAGAGACATGGCGGCGACTTCGTTCTCGATGCGCGAGGCATGTGGGTTGATGCCCATAGCAAGTGGGTTGCTCATTCGGAGGATGTATGTTAGTGTCCCATCGGGAGGGGAGGTAGTGCAGGGGTGGGGGGTTCTGTTTGAGATATGGAACGAGGAAGTACTGGCAGGTTCGGATAATTCAAGCTTGTAGATGAAGTTGTTGTAGGGACAGGGACCGAGTTCTTGGTATGCCACGGGGGTGATGGTAGAGACTTGGAGGTTGTATTGTTTGGTGATGCGCTGGATTTGCTCTAGGCGAGTGTGGTAGTTTCTGTGGTTGATGTCTGACATTGTGGGTGTTGGTTAGTCGGGAGATGTTGGTTTGGGGTTTGTCATATGCTGGTGGGAATAGTAGGACGGCCATTGATATGTCTATTGTAACAATTTTGGAAAGCTCCAAGGTCAAGGGGGGTGTGGTGGTGTTCATTAGCATTGTTTGCTTATCTTTGTTCTAGCCTGTCGCATATCAAAACGCCAGGGGTATAGGGTTTACTCCGCCGGAGTCCGATATGACTTTCCGAATATAATGGTAGTTATTGGTCTGGATGGCAAAAGAAATTTGATTAGAGAGAAGGTTTATCGCCATAGCTCGTTATCTCTAATAGGCTTGAGGCTAGTTGAATACTATGGCGCATGCAATAATGACAAGAGATGAATAAGCTCAAAAAGAGGGGTGCGCTAGAGGAACCAACGCTACAGGAACAACTTAGCCCCAAATCATCGGAGAATGCCATTCACCTTTGCTTCATCAACTAGGATTATCACTTGCACCATAATATTGATCTCGATCTTTCATATTAACACCCTCAGAAAAGGCACATTCAATAGTGTCTTCAAATATTACCGGCTGCCTGATTCTTCCTCATCTTGACGCTAAATTCTCACCTCCAATCCTTCTGTATACGCACTCCACGTGATTCAACCTCACGACTGCTGCCTGAACTGCATACATAAAACAACCCAGAAAGCAAGGACATCTCTTATCCTAACCTCCAGTCCATTAATCCAAAGTCGACACCATGGAATTCCACCCCAAACTCATCATCCTCCTACTCACAGCCCTAGTAATCGCCGGCGAGTCCTTCCGACGCTACCTGAAGCGCCGCCAATTCGCCCGCCGCCATGGCTGCGAACCGGTGGCACGATCCTTCAGTAAAGACCCTTTCCTAGGCCTGGACACCATCCTCGGAACAATGCGCACAAGAAGAGAGCATCGTATCCTCGAGCGAAGCTGCAATCTATTTCGCACTCTCGGCAACACATTCACCGTCAAAGAGCTGGGCCGTAGTGCAATCTTGACCATCGAGCCCGAAAACATCAAGACAGTCTTATCCCTCAACTTCAACGACTACAGTCTCAAACACCGCTACGAGGCAATGAAGCCTCTTCTCGGAGAAGGCATCTTCAACACGGACGGCCACCACTGGGCCACATCGCGCGCGCTTATCAGACCGAGTTTTGCCCGCGAGCAGGTGACTGATCTGCGCTTGTTGGAGGAGTTGATCCAGGATCTATTCGCGTTACTCCCACGGGATGGGAGCACAGTAGACTTGCAGGAACTATTCTTCCGGTATACAATTGACTCCGCGACGGAATTCCTCTTCGGACAGTCGGTGGGCGCGCTGAAGGAGAGTCACTCGGAGGTCGGGTTCGCGGAGGCGTTTCATTATGCCCAGATGGCGATCCCAATGCGGGGAATGCTGGGTCCGCTTGGTGTCTTCTTTCGTGATAGGAAGGCTGAGGAGTGTAATCGCATCTGTCGGGACTTTGTGCAGAGGTTTGTTGATGAGGCTCTCTATGCGGCTGCGACGAGGAAGGAAGATGAAGCGACGGAGACTAAGCGGAAATACATCTTCTCTCATGAGTTGGCATCCCGGACATCTGATAAGCAGCGAATCTTGGATGAGTTGATGAATGTGCTCCTAGCTGGCCGGGACACGACAGCCAGTCTTCTTGGGAATATGTTCTTCGTGCTGGCGAAGAGCCCAGCTATTTGGGCAAAACTGCGCGCTGAAGTTGAAACTCTGCAGAACCGGCCACCGACGTACGAGGAGCTGCGCGGCCTGAAGTATGTTCAGTGCTGTGTGAATGAATGTATGAAATCCATCTCACCTTCTTCTTTGTGATTGATTAATCTCACTGACATGAAATCATAGCCCTGCGCCTTCACCCTGTCGTCCCCCGCAACGAACGCGAAGCAGCCAAAGACACAATACTCCCTGTGGGCGGAGGCAAAGATGGTCTCTCTCCCGTCTTCGTCCCCAAAGGAGCTATCGTCGGATACAACGTCTACGCCATGCATCGTCGACCCGACATCTACGGTCCAGATGCAGAGGTATTCCGCCCTGAGCGCTGGGAAGATGGGAAGCTTCAGCCGCGCTGGGGATATTTGCCGTTCAATGGCGGACCGCGGATCTGTATTGGTCAGCGCTACGCCTTGACAGAGGTCAGCTATGTTCTTGTGCGGATGGTGCAGGAGTTTCGTAGCCTGGAGAGTCGGGACCCCGGACCCTGGGTGGAGGGGTTGGCGTTGACACTTTGTTCGAGGAATGGGGCCAAAGTTGGCCTAATTCCAAGCCATACAAATTAATTTAACTGGATAATTGGAAGATGAGCCACGTAATAATGAGATATATGCAGGGTCCGCTTCAGAAGAGGAATAGTTTTGACCTTGCAGTCAGTGAGAATGAATCTTGTCGCTACTACCGCTTCTTGCCGGCTTACATCCAACCACTCGCTAATGTGCTTTAGCGAAGCGATCACCTAGACTTTTGATAGTAATAGAAACTGTTAGGAATGCAACGATACAATTTAGTGCTTATGTCGGACATTAGTGTTCTCCTCCGGCGGGAAGAGGAGTAAACTAATTGCACTAAATTCTGACACCTCACAGGGTATGCGGAGACTGAGGGGATCGATAGATACCTCGCAGACTGTACAATTAAGGAGGGAGAGGGGCAGAGACTAACTAGTGCCTAACACTTTCTGCTCAAGTTGCCCATGAGATAAAGAGGAAAGGCTGTGTTGGCGGCCAACATGCAATTCATGGCCCGGCATAGCCTATCCACAGCGGAGAGAAAGAACCGTTTGCGATGTTTACTTTAGCGACACTACTTGAAGCTAATGCATGTTGCTCACACCGGGTAGATCGGAAGAGTAAGAGACTATACCCAGACGACCAGCTTTAGATAGTCGAGTAGATGACTGGCTAGTATCACTAGCCAGTGGTTCGTTAGCCAATTAGGGCGTGTGCAGCAGCAAAATATATTGATGTAATTTAGCGCTTGACGGGCACTCCTCCGTCCATTGTGAAACTTCTACAAGGTAGTCTGCGGCGTGCTCCGTATATGCTCATTACATACTAATTGTTGACTGCATTGACTTGGTTACTACATAGAAACACTGACATGTCTGTACATCTTGCTAGAATAAGCTGACTGGATATGATGTTGCCCCGTCGGCCCTTTCCGCCCACAGTCTCCCCCGCCTCCACTTGATCTGTTCCGGTCCACATGGATTGGGCGCTCGGGGACATACTTAGTTCATCCTTGGCGACGGACAGATAACCGAACAGAAGGCGAAAGTACGTAGCTAAGCTAGCATCCTAAAGAGTTTACCCGCGTAGATAATTGCTTGGGAGTTTTCCGTTCCCGTTGGCCCTAACGAGCCTCCGCAGCCTTGTCTCCTTCCCACACTTCCCCCTCTCTCGACTGGCCAGCACTCCAGGCAAGGGTATCCACACGCCCCTCCCTTCTTTGTCTTTTGTGTCTATAGTCTTTCACTACCCTCCTCTGTCTCCTCTCAGTGGCCCCCTCCCCTCACTAGGGGTACGTGCCTTTCTAAGTAGGAAGCGGGAGGATGGATAAGCAAAATGAACCCACAAAGAAACAGAAAAAAGGGACATTTAACATTTGCCAATGGACGTTATCTACTACTACTACTACTATTTCTTCTTCTTCTACTAAGCGCACTTACGTGTCTCTCATTACCGTTTATCCCCATATGGAAAATACGCGCCAGCATAAGTAACCTTCCGAATTGTGTTACATTCCAAACCAACATTGTAAATAAGTAGCTAACTACACACCCAATTCCTCATAAATATATCTATTCCCACTGTTTCACCAACTCCAGAATAGTCTTCTTCAACTCCTCCGGAGCAGACAACTGCGCACTATGACCCGTAGCAAGCTCCCGGGTAATCCACTTAGCACCGGTAGCCTGAACCATAGCCGTCTGGGCCGGGTAGGGCACCGCCCGATCCTCAGTGGTGTGGATGTAGGCAATTCTATCTTTAAAGGCCTCCGTGTTCCAGCTGGCCTCAGGACAGGGACTAGAGAAGGAAGTCAAGCCCTGACTCAGGGAAGTCTGGGTCGCGGCATCGGCAAGGGTGGGTTCAACATCGTAGAAGAGAGGGGGCTTGGGCTCGTCGCATTTGAGGAGGTTTTGCTCTTTCTATAATCCCATTTCGTCAACACCAGATATGAATGGGTCATCGGGTCAATTGGAGGAAGGGGGAGGGGCACATACATCCATATACATATGCGGCGGCAAATTTCCGCCAAAAGAGTCAATCACACTCAGACCATCACCACCACGAGGCAGGATCGTCGCGATGAAGATCTGGCCGAGCACGGAAGTGGACTTGCCCTGAGCGGCACGGTCGGCGGGTCCCAGTCCGCGCGCCGCCGCGCTAGCCGGCATTCCACTGTACGAGTGGCTGATCAGGATCACATCCTGATTGCCGACGTCCAGGAGGGGGAGGATCAGTCGGTTTCGCACGTAGTCGGCGTCGTCGGCGGCCGTGACCTCTCCCTGGGCGCCAATGCTGGGAAGAAGGCCAGTGAAGGCGCCGTAGCCGGCGGATTGGAGGAGGTGGAGGAGGTGGGCGTAGTGTGCTGGGTTCTGGGAGGCACCGGGCACGACGACCAGGGCGGGCTTCTTCTTGTCGGTGGAGATGGTCATTATTGTTCAGGGGAGTAGTGATACTAAGACAAGAAAATAAAAGGGGATTAATGTAGTATGTAGTAGGGAAAATTAGTTCAGTTCTTGGAAAGAGGGGGATTGGGAGAAGTATTTATGTCTGCGGAGGGGGAGCCGTACGTGACAGTCTACAATTTCAACTTCCGAAGGCCGGCGCTTACTATCTACTTTAGCGTTGTAAGATGTTCTTTGTTCAACGGCATAGTGAGAGAAATAAAAACACGTTTGTTGAATGGAGCCAGCCAGGGTGAGTCTGTCTTGCGCTAGAAAAGGAATGGGTAGCTCGGGGGCAGTCGAGTAGTCCGAAGCGAATGACCCACCGTCCGCAACCACCCCTGTACGTTTAGCTTGTTCCCTTAGATGTCTATGAAGAGGGGATGACCGGCACAGTCACTCCTCTTCTGGGTCGAGGGTGGAGGTGTCAGCCTTGCGTCTGGTGTCCCTACTAATTATACCTTTGGACTGAAGGTATTGTTGCTACTCCCATTGATAATTGGGCACAATAGACTGAGCCTATATGACTACAACTAAACCCACAAGATAGTTTTGGTAACATACACTAACACACTAAACTTCAACGATGATGATGATGATGATAATAAATTCAAAATTTCCAAAGACTCCCTGATCAAGCAGATACTTTCATACCTCCAAGAGTTCCACCTCGCTTGAGGTACTTGGAGTCAATTTCTTCTCAGGCCCACGCTGATGAGAGCTTCCCGACTGCATATGTGACTGGGGAAGGCTGCGCGAATCGTGGAACTTCGTCGATCCCTCCTTCTTGCTACTGAGCAGGCGAATCCATTGCTTGGGTCCGCGCCAGTTACGGAGCAAAGGTCCCAGTGTAAGCATAGAGCCCACGACAATAAAGATGGGTGGCTCGAGAAGGGCCCAGAGGATATTGTAAATGAAGGGTACTAGAACGGATCAGATATCTCGTCAGCAAACGTGTACGATAAGAGTTGAAGGCGATGTGAATCAGGAAAACATACCCTCAAACATGCTACTGATAGTCGCGGGCTCCTTAGTCCACTGAACGGCGTAGTACAGTCGAACGAGTGATGCCGCCATGCAGCTATTTCACCACAATATTAATTATCTGACAGAACATTTGAAAGGGGTGTCAACTTACGTGCTTCCCAAGATAAAGATCACAGACATAAACAGCTTCTTTGACTGATCCATCTGCAATTTCTGTACAGCGGCGATTGGAAGAGCCAGTGTCAGAAGATCAAACAAGCTATTCCCGGCAACGTAGCATATAAGAATCGCCGAGGCGTTGATATCGTAGGGGGCGGTGGGATCCCATTGCAGGTAGACCGGCCATTTTGAGAAGATAACAGCCAGTACAATCGCCAAGGTGAAGCTGGAGATCAGCGCAATGAGCACATTGCTCGCTATGACAAACGGACGGGAAATGCCGAAGATGCGCCGGTAGAAGAAGAGCAAAGAGACTTTGATGACCCCCATAGTGGCGATTTGAGCATTTTCGCAAGCGAAGTTTATCTTCAATGCGAATATGATAGCCTCCATGGTTGGCTGATACTCCGGGTCTCCAATGCCGGTAACAGCATCTGTGTAGTCGATGATAATGCTAATCCCGCAAGAAAGAATCTAGGCAGAAACACTGGATATTAGCAGCATGAATGATAGGGTGAATGGCGATAGACTTGGGGACTGTACCAGGGCGAGGATAATCGTCCAGTCATCGGCACCCAAGTAGAGCTTGGAATATATCCGGGCGTAGACGCGAAGTGCAACGGCAAAGATAGCCAGGACGCCTAGAATTGTGGTCACAATGATGATCGCCTTGGCCGTACTGGTAATACCATGACCCTCATAATACAACATCTTGCTGAATTAGCTTGCAGACAAGAGGTAAGGAGAAAGAGAAAAACGAGCAACGATGATGGCAGAGGCGCGACAGTCAAAAAACATCCCCTTATAATGACTTGGGAAGAGCATCATGCACATCTTGCCTTGGCTGATGCGTGAAAGGAGTGGAAGACTGCCAGGCTGATTCAATGCTAAGTTAGCCCATCATTTGTCTGCCACCGTCCGTCTGACTGTAGCGACTGTATAGCCCCCATACGCCAGGATCAGAGGCACACCGCGACTGCAACAGGGCTGTCGACACCGTCGGCTGAAGCAGACTGAGTGTGGGGGCCGAAGGATTCGCCTGCAAATACTCGACAAGGGCCTGTGACAAATGCTGCAGAACCACAATGGCCTTGTCAGAATGGACAGGAGGAGGAAGAGGAGGGGAGGGAGGGCTGCCTTGCAGGGTTACAACTCCTTCGAGGAAGCGAAGCTAATGGATTGCACTGCCCATCTGGCTCAGGGACTCGAAGACCTGACACGAAGGATGATGGTGTCTCTAAGTTTCCGGAACAACCTGCCAAGAAAACTACTAATTAAAAAATGCTTCAAACAATCAGTTGTCAGGCGGCCCGAGGAAGTCCACTCATCTTAGTCCCTCGATTACTTCCGGGGAAAGAGTGGGTCAAGCGCAGTGGTGAATTCTACTTCTCTAATAGTCTGACTACGCACTAGTACACTCTGTCAGATTGAGTAACCGAAGTTCTTCAAATCGATCTGCTTATGCACCCCGGACTAAAAGGACTATCGACCGATTTGCTTTCCCCCACACACTAGCCAGGCTCCACAACAACCCCTCTTTATAGCGCATACCAATGGCTTTAGCTTGCATGCCTGCAGGCCAAATGTTGAATCCGCCTTACCATTTCGCTTAAGCACTGTTCCCAATGTCAGTACACATATTGACCGCGCCGAGAAGTAAGTGCAGGAACTTACGTATCCTCGTACGTAATGAACCGACTGTTCAGCACAGCAGAGGGATCGCGTTCCTCAACCTCATCTCTCTTGTTGATGGAGTCTTCGTAGGTGATGAATCGCGTGTTCAGCACAGCGGAGGCATCACGCTCCTCGACATCATCTCTCTTGCTGATGGAGTCTTCGTAGGTGATAAATCGCGTGTTTAGGACAGCGGAGGCACCACGCTCCTCGACTTCGGATGGAGCTGCGACAGGGGCCGCCGTGGCAGACCTGGCCAGGGTGAGGAATATCGCGAGTGCGCTCAAGGCAGTACGCATATTGAAATATTCTGAGAAGTCAAAGTTCAAGGCCGGTGCCGAATTGAAGTTCAAAAATGTTTGAGGAAAACAGGAAGAGATCAGTAGAAAAAGTTGGTGAGATTGCCTCCGCCAGCTCATCAGGACACCACAAAGCCGGCAACGAAGCTTATATATTCCCTACGCTCTACCAATATCCTCGGTCTCTTGGTGTAAAACTGCTTTCCAAGACAGTTCCACGCCAACTTTGTCGGCTTTGGAGTCCGTTGTGTTGGCACCAGGCCAAGGGAATAGTTGCGCGCGGCTGCATCTAGTCCGTCCATCCTCACATCAGCCCATCGCAGACGTGTACTGTGCATTACAGAGAAGTGGGGTCAAGGTAGTATTTGCTTAAAATCTCACTGTCAAGGCACCTCGCAAATGAAGTTCTATAGGGCTTTCCACTCCGTTTCTGATGCGGCAAGAGCGGTGGGTTAGAGACCAATGACCGCACTAAACGACAGGTAGACATTTCAGTCATGCATAAATAATTCTCGCCAAGTACGTCCGGCATTTTTGGGGTTGCAATGCGCGGAAATCCGGCACCAATTGGCCCCCAATGTTCATACTCCGGTCGATGAAGAGATGCATCGGTCTCTGCATGGATGGGTAGAGCAGGAGCAGGGCTAAACCACTCCGAGGAGATAATCACAGTACTGGCTTGCCTTTGGTCGACACCGTTGTCGCTCCTCTCTGTTCCCTCAGCACTGCCTCCTACCCATAGCCTCCCCCCAGATCACTTCACCTGTGATTTTTCAAGTACTTTGTTCTTCTCCCCTCTGGTGCTCTGCCTTCTCCCTGCCTTCTCCCTCCTCTGCACTCTGCGTCTTGACTACTCTCTCCTACCCCCTCACAGCCAGCATATACTCAACCCTAGCTTCGCAATGACCGGATCCAGACTAGAAGATAGACAGAGCGAGGAGCGTCTTATATCAAGTTTTGATGAGGAAAACTTCCTCAAAGACAATAGGAGTCCCGGGGCGAGAAGGTCACGATGGTGCCAGTATCAACCCAACGGGACTCTGATTCTATCTGTGTGGACATTATTTCTGTTCATAGCTTCTGCCTACCTTTGGTCAACAATAGCTCGTCATCGAAAGACCGTTGCCGCTTGTCAAAGCGATGACTTCCTACCCATTGACTCGCCAGCCTTAGAGGCGGTCAAGAATACGGGTCATATCGAGAAGTTTGACGGCAGCTTTGCAAAGCCCAATGCTTTCAAGGGACCTCCAAGTCCTGCCATTGATGCTGCCTGGGACGATATCACTTATGCTTCTGGTAAGTCATCTTCAACTAGATCATTTCTACTTAACACGATGCTTACGATCTGTTCAAGGTGGTGTTATCAATGTTGATGAGCAAACACTTCGGCATATCAATGCGTCCGAATACTCAGTTGGACTGGCTGACGAGCTTGGCGGCGGTTACATGGGCTCGGTGGAAGTTTTGCATCAGCTACATTGTCTGAATATGCTCCGCCAAGCTAGCTACGAGGATTATTACAAGGACAAGCCGGGTCCGTGGGAGGATAGCCCGCAGATTCTACGGCATCATCTTGGTGAGTCAATACTGGGGCATGACAGATCTTGATGCATCGATGGATAGAATGTTGACAAATCCATGAATATAGATCATTGCATTGATATCCTACGACAGAAGGTAAGCCAGAAGGGTGTTTTTTGTCACATAGTTCTTATGAATTTCCACTGGCTAACGGCTGTTACTTGACAAATAGTTAATGTGTGATGCGGACGTTGGTATTCTGACATATGTCTGGGTGAAGGGGCATAAAGACCCATTTCCAGACTTCAATGTGTATGAAGAAAATCCCTCCATCCCCTTCTCAACAACACATGTAGCATTCTTCAAGGGTCCAGAACTTGCAAGTACAAGGCTGACCTTACGTGACATTCGCAGGCACCATAAATGTCGTGATTTCCGTGCGGTGAAGCAATGGGTCGGGCAGCATCAACTCTACGCAACACCCGAACATGGCATTGAGCGCCTACCTGGTGCGAAGGAGATGCCTAGTACACCGTAGATACATGAATACTACACAGAATACAATACACTACAAATGTTAATTCTGGTTGGGAGTTCCAACAAGTGCCCGCCCACCAAGCAGTAAGGGGCAGACTCGCGGCGCGTGTACGATCAAGTGGAGCCTTTGTCACATACTGAGTTTTAAGAATAAAAGAAAAAAAAAAAAAAAAAAAAATTCGCTTCAACAAAAGAGTGTAAATCGAACTTCGGTGCAACATTATTATTGACAAACTCAGATATACCTCCCGCAACGCCAAATCATCTCTTTTGCGCCACAAGATGAGGAAAGATCCCACCCATTCTGATATGTTTAGCCTCGATAGTCTCACTAACGGAAGCCTTTAGTTTACGCAGTTCATCCAGTTCTGATCTCCGGTGATTGCTGTTCTCAGCTGCAGTTTTGTTCTGGGCCTGCTGCTGCTGTTCCATTCTCATAAGTGCGGAGTGCAGGAAAAGGCTGATCGACTCTGTGAGGAGGTCTGAAAATTGCAGGCAGACGTCTGGATCGGCATCATCCTGACAAAACCCTCCAGGACGTAGATTGAAATGAAGGATACTGAGAGCATCTTCATCATTGTCACCTTTGAGTGAGAGAATTCGTCGCAGCATGAAATGTGGCAGACTGAAAAGACCCGAAAAGGAATGAAGTCAGTCAATGTGATTAAGCGGCAACAAGTGAGGGAAAGCCACGCAGAAAGTTTATAACACTCACTAAGGTACTAGATCGCGAGCCCGTCTCTCCACATCAATGATTTCCATTGCTTTCAGCATATCTGGTGTTTCCGGAAATACTTTAAAAAGTCGGGCTTCGCTTTCCGTCCACTGGAGATAGCCTCCTGGTCCTGTACAAACGACCAAAGATTAGAAACCAAGCGGAAATAGTATACCAGGGCAGTCACTAGAAAGGGAGGAATAACTCACTCAAGAGTAGCAATGCATTGTCAAGCGCTCGAGAGAGCTTCTCCTCCGTAATTGCATACGCAAGGCCGCGGATATTGACCAGGTCAAATTGCCCATGATAGCGGGCATCGAAAGGTTTGGTGCAGTCGTGCTGCACAAGGTGGATTCCTGGAGTGGGGTTCTCGGGGAACGCAGCTGCGTTCAGGTCAAAGCCAACAAGAGATGGGAGGGTTGTTGTGGTTGGGGATGCAGAGGCCCCGCCTGGGGATTGTAAGGACTGAGCTACTTCCTGCAGCCAAATGCCTGTTCCGCAGCCAATGTCAGCAATTCCACCCGTTAGAGACGACAGCGGGATGGGAGGGTGGATGAGCTGATTGTTGAGAAACGTCTGCTGGATGAGGTTGTGCTGTCGGTTCAGCCGCTCGTGTTCTTCCGTTTGCTTGGAACGGTGGGAGAGGACATATGTCTGGTCTTCGGGCTCTACAGAGGCAGGCATAGTGAGGGAAATAGTAAGCCGTGGGTTAAGGTTGGTGGGTTTCTGCGGTTGAAGAAAGAAGAGCTTGGAGGAATGCAAAGGCAAGGAGGGGCTCAGCGAAGGTTACTCATGGCTTTATATCAGCAACTATACGCCGTCACACACTAGTGCTTATGGATAAGTAGAACACTTAGAGCTAATGAGTTGTCTAGTACTGCATAATCCAAGTCCCAAGTTAGCATAGGGACCCATGCATTCATGTGCACAAGGTCTTGGCGCACTCATACAAGGATAGCTTGCTCTTGATAAGTTCTTGACTCGTGCAAATCGTACAGAAGGTTACTCTAAGCCATCGTCTTAGCAAGATGTTGAGAAGTATTGGCTAGTGGTAGGTACCTTGACCGTATTGTGTCCACAGAATGGCATCATACAAACTTTCGACCCCATCAGTTACAACCATGTTGGACATACATATTGAGACGACACCGAGTGGATTAGAGCCATTTGGTCAGATTAAAATATCCTTTCATCTTCCAAATACAAGCTGGATCACGCAGACTTATGCTGCTACTTCATCCTCGTCGAATCTTCTCATACTCCGATAAAGCCCATTTCACCATCCACTCCGACTCGAGAACCTGCTTCGTCGTGCTTCGCTGTTCGGGTCTAAATGCAAGCATCGGTCGTAACATCTCAAGGATAGCATCCCTCTCTTCTGCATCAAACAAAGGCATTCCCACTTCTTGTCTGGGCTGTTGCACACTATCCTCGAAGCGATCACCCCAAGAGCGATATGGATTCCGCTTAATTGGCCTCCCATCCTCGGTAAAACTCTCTGGTCGCGCTTCCCATCTCTTCCACCACTCAGGAGGCAAGATACCCAGAGTATCTACATGCTCACGGGTCATGTAATCTTCCGTAGCGAGGAATCCTTCAAAAAGTGGCCTCTGGGCAATAATGGTCCAAATTGTGCAGGCGAGAGTCCATATATCCGATGAAAATGACAGTGGTTTATTTGGTTCAAAGCGAGCTTCAGGAGGACGATTGACTAGTGGAGTGTGAGATAGATATCTTGTTTCTTTGGAAGAAAAGGCCTCACCAAAGTCTGCAAGTAGAATCCTTGCCTCCGGAAGCGTGACTTTCTCGCTTGGTTCTCCAAGCCAGATGGGCGCAATGCCGTGGGATGGGACCCCAGGAGGAAGCGGTTTTCCGTCTAAATGAACCACTGGGTCTAGCTCAGGTGCTCCATACTTTTCATATAATTGTTCGGGTGAGAGCTGGTCAATGCCGCGAGAGGTTTTGAGCAGGATATTGCCCATATGAATATCTCCGTGGATAAACTCTCGAGTATGTATGTAGTCCACTGCTAGAACGAGCTGAGCAGCAAAAGCCCGGGCTACGTCAAGTTGGAATAAGCGGAGCCATGAGCCATCTTTCAGATCGGAGAGACTAGCCCTGGCAGGAGAGGTAACGTAGCAAATATGTTCTCCGTTTGGACCATGGATGGAGAGGGAGTCTAGAATTGAAGGGAGCATTGTCTTGCCCGGATGACTGGTCGCAGGATAATGCGGACGTGTGAGAGTGGTTAAGATACTAGCTTCCTTGGGATCTGAGTCGGAGGTGCAGATTTTCACTGCAACATACTTATTGTTTTGATCGTCACGGGCCAGCCAAGTAGTGGAGTAGGAGCCATGTCCCAGCTTATGTATTACTTGGTAACGGCCATGAAGGTGATCTCCGATTTGAATGGGGTGATAGCCTCCTGGACGATAGTGCTCGATTCTTTCCACACCTTCAAGGGTTTCATATAGGACATTGGGGCTGCACTTGTCACCAGTGGGTATTAATTTGAACGCGGTGCTAGCGAAGCCGCAACGAGGTGGCGTACGCGCTTTGGGAATCGGAGACACGACATGGGAACGCAGAACCAGCGGTCGCAGGAATGGAGCTGATGCCAGGGATAGTCGCCCCATAGCCATGAGGTAGAATTATACTAAGTCTTAGCGGAGTAGCTTCTGAGATGGATAGTCTGACCCAAGACAACCAACTCCTGGCGCACGCACCTTTGTCGACGATTGGTTAGAGCGGTGGAATGTCTGGCGGCGGGATCCTGCAGATCTCGTTTGGGGTGAACAACACTATGCAGCCAGAAAATTCAAAGATAAGAGGTAAGAAACTTGTGGCTGATCGGTGACTATAAGCTGTACTAGTAATATCCCTTGCAATTTGCCAGTCCTCTCGGTCTTGATATTTTACTGTTTTGGACCTCGCCCTATTCAACCAATCCATCAAGCTCATGGAGAATACATCCCAAGTCTCAAGCCACTTGATGAATGAATTTTTGGAGACGACCTTTACGTATGGTATTTCTTTGACTATTCTAACCTCACTTATAACCGCATTAATTTATTTTCATACCCCCCTATGACGCCTGCACCGCAATGGGAAAATCGGCAATATGCAATTTTGCCGAGCCGTAAGGGACCAAGCGGACTTTACTCGGAGACCCGGTGACATTAGGATACTTAGGGGGCACCGCAGCGGTTCCCAAGTTTTCCTCCCATGGAACCAACCATGCATCCGCGAACAGGGCAACGGGAGTAGCGTTCTTTGCCCAGATGGGATTCTGAAGTTGTCCGTCGCGGTCATAGACTTGCTGAACAGTGACTGAGGTGGGATCAATAGCGTACCGCCAAGCAGAGGTCGGGTTGAGCACATAGTCATGTGTCTGGGCGACGATCTGGTCGGCGGGCAGCGGCTCTAGGGAAGAGAAGTTTAAGGGGCTGTGGTGGGTAGAGTTGTAATCGATGTCAAGCGCGTACAGCAAAGGGCCGTAATAGACGGCTGCAGTGCCGTTGGCTGGTGACTTGGTGACTTGGATGCCCATTTCTAGATCGATGACTATCTGGGTAGTTCCCCTGGTGAGGTTGAAGGTTTGCAGGTTATTGGAATTCGAAGATAAGGGTTTGAAGTTGGCGCCCGCGAGTGAGTACTGAGAGCTCGTCTTGTTTACCCAGTCGGGAATGCGGACAGAAAATGAGAGGTCAGTAGTGGCCGTGATTGCATACTCCAGTCGGCCGGAAAAGGGGTAGTTGGTCGTGCATGCGATGGTCACGTTGCCTGTAGCCAGCTTCGTGCTCAATGTCTCGGGCCCCAGCAGCGCGTGAATTACATGACTGTCTCCCTCGAGCACATAAGAAGCGGCCACATACTTGGGATAACCCTGGCCGTGGTTGACGGTGCAGCAGGGAAAGTTAGGCTCGAGGCCATAGCTGTTGGCATAGGAGTTCACGTTTCTGAAAGGAATGGCACTCAGGTTGCGGGACCAGGGCTGATTGACCTGCTGAACATATTGATGTGACCACCCTGAAAGAGTTTAGCCGGGGTAATTCGTACTAGATGCTCATAGACTTACAATTCGGCGATAGCGCTGCAGGGAGGGAGTTGAATGCCACGCGCTCGGCTCGGTCTGCGTATGCGTTGGTGCCATAGAACCGATACAGATAGGCCATGGAAAACATCATCTCAACCGATATGCAAGTCTCCGAGCTGTTTCATGTCAGTGCCAGAAATGGTAAATCAAGAAAGAAGTGAAGAGACGCATACCCTCTCTCGGGACTGAGTCCGCCCAGATGCTCATCGGCTGTGATACTCCCAGCAAGTGTAGACTGATAAGTGGTGAGCAAGTTTACTGCTAACGCGGTCTGGTCCAGCAGAGAAGAATTTCCATTCATGCGGTAGAGCACCGTGGGATACCGTAGTCCTGATCAGGTCAACAGTTTTTCACTGCACTAGACTTCAATTTCATACCTTCCGCTAGATTGACCCCATGGGTGAATGAACTAGTCGTGATATATGGCGTTCCATGGGTAGGGAACACACCCTCAACGAAGAAGGTTGTCCAGTCCTTCCCACCTGCGACACCACCGGCAAACATAAGTTCCATGGTCTCCCAGATGATTTCAGAGTTGTTGCGTGGATAGTTCTCATACAACCACTGCAACGACATGGGCAATTCATGCGTTCGCGCTAATCCAAAGCCGTAGGGGTCAAAGCTATCTCCGAGGTTTTTATTCTCAATCAAGCCAGTGAAGTTGTCCTTGAGCATGGAATGTGCCAGAATGGTGAATTTATGCATCGCTGTCACAATCCGCTCTGTCTCGGATGGATCTGCCTGTGCATATTGCTGGATCGCTGGATTAGGACAGGCAACCACATGTAAATATACCGGGTGCATGCACTCACTACTAATCCAAAGCATAGCAGACTACGTGCCCAGATTCCTCGGGTCTGGCGAGTGGTCTCGGGCCCCAGCCATCCATCTTCAGCTTGATGATCTAGCACGTAATCGAGAAATTCCTTTGCCTGAGCTTTCAGACGCGAGTCGTTGATCGTCCAGGCAAGGGGAACCACGTAGTTAAACCAGTAGGGCGCTGCCTCGTCTAGCGTGCTGTATTCCCAACTGCCACCGACCCACGTTGACCCGGCCACAAAGCGGTAGAAGTCGTTGAGATGACCGGCCAAACCATTTGCTTCGAGCTCCAGCTGATCATGCAGCCAGCCCGTTGCGGTGATCGTACCCAAGGGAAATGGGTTATACTTGACAGGCGCGAGTACTTCTTTCATACCTTATTATATTTGTTCGGTGGTTAGTAGGGTTGTATATGCAATGCTCTTTTAGGGTGGCCCAGCTTGACTTACTTTCCGTGGAACTGCTCACTGCCGCTGTGGAGTCCACATGCAGAGCCAAAGACAACAGTTGTAGCCACTTCATATTTATTACCTACTGCCAAGATTTTGTCCACCCCATGCCTTGGAGTTTTTGGTGGAAGATAAAGAATAGAGGCTCGGCTCCATCTCCGGTATTTAGCCCGCCCTTGCTTGGTGGGTGGGGTATTCACCGGATGATCGACCGCTGGGATGCCTGTCTGAGATGGTGTTTTCCAAGAATTATATGGTCTATCTCGAATGTTGGGCGCTTGGATTACAGAGATAAAAGTACCGTATATACACAGAATTGATACCATTCCGGTCACCGTGCCTCCTCCTGCCGAGATAATGAGATATCAATCAACATTAACTGTCCCTCCCCGGGACAATCATGTCATCATAGCAGTTCGTTTCACTGGCAACCCCGCAGACTGGCAAATCTCCGGGATTTCGCCCGGGGGCCGAGAAAAGCAGCGAACAGCAGTAACTGGTCGTGAGAATTGAAGAATAGTTGACGTATTATAGTTCTTAATTGAGCCTTCTTAGAATAAGGTAATTATATCTAGGCTACACATGTGGCACCAGTGATTATATGGTTCATATTTCATATACTGTCCATATACTATAAGCACCGCGGTAGTGCAATATTGTTGCTATAACTTACTAGCAGCCATCTGAGAACAGTCTGAATCTTATCCTCCATTAGCATGGACAGCGTGAAATGCTCTGCATCACGCTCCTCCCCTAGCACATCAACTGCTACTCTTTGCTAGCCACCAGGCGGGCCTCCTCCTGACTTTGAATTTCCTGGTTCGTAAATTCTGGTTAGCTCTTCTCAGCTCACTACTGTCGCCATTCCATTTAAAATCAAAGACGAGACAAACCTCGATCGCCGGCACTGCTGAATGCCAAGCAGCAACGAGCATTCCTTGGAGAGCCACATCGCTCTGAATATCACACATGGTCTTCTGCATATCTGTGCCCCAAAACCGCGAGGCTTTGTCCACCCCGTGTATACCAAAGTCAATGGCAATATGGTGTCGGAGCAAATCCGGGTACTTGAGGAAGGCAACCAAGCTTTGCCGGGCACAAGTACGGTAGTAACCGATGCTTCCCAGAACAAAGCCAACACAGGAGCCACCAAGAAAGCCCACCGCGCCTGCCGTGAAGGCATAGCCCATGACCGTGGCCCCAAGCATGCCGATGATCGCGGCGGACGAGCCCCCCGCCAGTAGATATTGGAACATGAACAGCCCTCTGCCACTTGGCTTGGTCAGGCCGCCGACGGCTCGCAGTGCTTGACCTAATGAGCTGACGGTTTGCGCTGGCGCCTCGCCCTACAATGAAGCCAGTTGGTGATGAGTGGCGGCGAGAACAGTGAGATGTACGAGTGGGGAAGTATTACTTGCATGTTGAATAGGGCCGGAAGCGATTTGATAGGACACAAAGAATATGTATGATCATTCGCCGGGTGCTAGAGATATAAGCTTTGAGATGGAGTATAGGTTCCGTTAGGGCTTTATATGAAGTTGTTAGGGCGTCCTCGGAGCCATAATGACGCCCTGTAAATCAGTAGTGCTCTGATTGAAGAGTAAGATATAAAATAACTAGGGGTGGGGACAGTGTTTGTGATCTTGTGTAAGAGTAGTTTATTGAGAGTAGAATATAATTCGTAGTGTAATGGAAAGGAAGTGAATTCAGATCTCAAATAAGGAGTGATAATTCCTTCTAGGACTGGCGCAGTAGTAGCGAAACTATGAACGTGATACAGATACCGTCGGTGAATTACTGTTCGGTATAACGAGAAGGCTAATCCAGCTATCGTAGTTGGGCCCGAAGTGGACATGGTTGTTGCCTTTGAAAACGCTTTCCGGCCTGTTCAATGGCTGCTCGGTATTATGTGTCATGATGATTTGAGTGCGTTGTCGCTAGCTTACCTGTCACTAGGATCATCGTGCTGGAAAATACCGCTACCAGCCAGTTCAGAGGCGCCAATATCCAGGGCGGTGCTAATAATTGTGCTCTGTATCAATACATCTCGTGAATAACCAAGCACATATAATCACAGACAGTAGGTTAACAGGCTCCCATGACTTGGATGTACTTAGACCGCCTGCTGAATAGAGCAGACCATATGTCACCGGTCAGTGTGGGTAATCTAGGTGACGTTTTCCACTATGTGAATGAACTATGTTCTGTTCACATCAATCCTCCCGTTATTATTCTATAACGGAATTGATCGAATCAAAGGATATAGTTACGAATGTAGATTAAATCAGATTGAATCTCGCATGAATAGGCTTTATCCACGCTACGACAATTCCCCCTTACTACCTCTAGCCGTGAACTTCTGAATCGACAGCAGTAGCGCTCAATATCACGCATCAGGCGACTTCTCCCATTGTCCTCCCACCCTTCCCAAAGGATCACGGATCTCCCCGCAAATAATCTTCCAGCATGTCTCATAATCAACAATCCCCCGGGAGTCCTGATGTTCTGGGCGACACGACAGTTCCAAAACCTCAAAGTCGCAGTGCTCGATGGCAATGAAGAAGCTATAGGAGTATTTGAACGGGACCCTCCACTTCCACCAGATATACCCGTCTTCACAAAGCTTCCCTTTCCCAAAGATCTCTTTCTCGGGCTCGTATTCATGTAGGTCATCCCACATTGATTTTTTCATCCCATGGTGTAGCACGATCGTCGAGTTCGCGGCCGACTGGTCGTCTAGCACTGCCATCCAGTTTTCCACGATCATCCCTTGTTCAGATGGCGGTCTTTCCGAGAAGAAGCGGCGGAAGTACTGACGGAGCTCGTCGTCATTTTTGCCCAGGAAACCGGTCTCAAAATCTTGAATGGGCGCTTCCGTTCCCCATTTATCCACCTCTTCCTGCTCAGGATAACGAACAAGGGTAAGAAACGGACAGGCGTTCTCAGCCGTCTGGCTCTCCTCGAAGAGCTGATTGAAGACCTGGGCTGGAGAGTTAGCTAGGCTTCCTTAGACGTGGAGAGGGAGCGTTATTGCTCATACACTTGCTGGCATGTTCGCCGTGAACATAGTCATGATGTCGGACATTGTGAATGGACTAACAGCCGGTTGTGATGTCAATCTTGGAACATGTCAGTGCAGAGCTCCCATTCAGTGGAATAATATTCGGATATGGTAGAGACAGCTGGGGTGGACGTCCTTATATACCCATGCATACACTCGATGGCCAGGTTGGGTAAGGCGCGTACACGGTGAATGTGCGAGGATAGGCTATACGTAACACTCACCGCTTTTGACTCTACGGCTTAATGCCTGTAAGATGCTGCAGTTCTGGGGTGAACGGCTGTCATGCATATTAATGGCTCGATAATGAGTAACACAGTCAGCCAATGTGAGCTAAATATGCAGGGATTCTCAGGGAGCCCTATGTGTGAGTCTCACGTAAGCCAACGCGTCAAGAAGGTGAGATCATCCCAGCCACGACGGGATCAGAATTGCTTTGTCCAACAGTGTGAGGCTGGAGCTGGAAATACATCTCAGTTAGGCTCAGAGGAAAGCTCCGGTCTAGCCCTTTTGCAATAATTCTGGACCCGTCACAACCCGTCACAACTAGGAGCCTAATCCGGTCGGATGCGATTTTATTCCCTTTGGGCATCCAATAGACGCTTAGGAAGACATTGGTCGGTCTAATTTGTTTGCTATGATGCCGAGCATACAGGGATCACGTGTAGTAGCCTCTCCTGAAACATACTGTGCGACAAATATTCGATGACAGGTGCCCTGCAGAAGCATGCTACTTCGAATAGCTGGCACCAAATCACCGGATGGACTGGGACCCCCGGGTAAGATGTGGCCTTAACGCTTTGTGCCATTCTTTTGATAAATGCTAATTTCGCGCATCAATCAGTCCCTACTGCAAGGCCCTTCAGAATAATAACCCCAAGCCTAACAAGAATGATGCCATTTGTAAACCGGGTTCCAACGGCAAGGGCAAGTGGGGATTTGATGTCGGCGAGTATGCTTATGCTTATGATGGTCACAGCTATCGAAAGGCTAGAGGGAGCAAGTGAGAAGGATGACGAATATGATTAAGAAAGTGAATTTACTCTTTCTTCCCCCGTATCTGTATTATTAGCTTTGGATGAGGACTTGTGTTTATGGATTTGGGTCGAGGACTTAAGAGTGGTGATTCTACTCAGACTATTTAGATGGCTTGGTACCCCAGGAAACAGTTAGAACGTAATAAGAATCCGTCCGTCTCCGGCTGAGATAGACGCGATACATTATGTTTGGTCTAGCGGTTAGTGTATTGATGAAGTATATGACTCATTACCAGTTTTCAATCTGGCAGATAATTAAGCGTTTCGATATTGTATTAGTTTTGTTGAGAAACCGATCCCAGGGCTCAGGATGTTTGATAGTGATTTTGAGTGTAATTACCGGAGCCTGGAGTGTATATGTCAGGCTCTTTCCAACAAACTGAAAGCTGCTTTTCATCCGCTGTATTTTTACCTCACATGCTGCATGGCTGTGGATCATCAACTCTGTACGAAGGACTCGCTGAGCGACAACGGCCCGAAGCGCCTTCTCCAGCCTACCGAACCACTGTCGGGCCAGGCCACCAACCGGTTGCTCCAGTATGTGTTTGGGCCCCACCTACCTTCGGCCGCATTCCTCATTTGGAGGTGTTCTACTGCCTATCCGGGCGCTAACCACCGAAACCTCCAAACCCTTCAAGCAATAAGCCATGGCACAAGCATCCGAGAGTTCCGTAATTTGAGTCCAGCCTTGGCACTTGGCAGAGATAGTCTGGGCCTCTGAAGTTGGGCATTGTAGTTGGAGAGGCGACCCTGCCAAGACACTATGTGGAATGGCGGGTCCGCTCCTCTCGTGTTTGTGGGTAAGGAATTGAAGCTAAAGAGGATGCAATGATTCAAGAAAAGCGTGGTTTGCTCACAAACTATGTATTGAGAAATGGGATTTACAACCTAAGAGTGAGTGGAGTTCCAGCCCGTACATTGTTCCTGATAGCTATGGTCTCGTAGGGACATATGTGTGGTTGATGGTCCCCTACTGGCGACGTGACAATAAAGCCTGTTTTCCTGTCTACCTGTCTCAAAGCCTGAGTCGAGCACATCTAGCATTGGATCCTTTAGAAAAGGAAGGCAAAAGCTAGCGTAATGACAAGCCATACAGCATGGCCGTGGTCATGGCTGCTCGCGCTGCCTTCCTTGGTTTCTTCAGTGGTGCAACTCACAGCGGGGTGAAGTGCGTTATTGCATTCATTGTCTGCGATCTTGGCCAGGATATTAGACTCAACCTCGGGACTAATGCTAACGCTGCAGGGGCTTGAAGTTGAAGTTGAATTTAGCCTGGCATCGGCGAGTTGTGGGCACATTGACACGGTATCAATATCTTCTTGGGGTAACTGGGGTGGAATCCTTAGGGAGTCCACAATCGACAATAGAGCAAGAGACGAGACTTTATCGCAGTTCTCGCTATTGGTGAGGGTCGTGAGGTTGGGTTGGCTAGCATCTTCGCGAGTGCTGAAGGTAACCCTGTCGACAATGACATTGTATGCTGTGTAGTGAAAGCCCTCATAGACCTTGTCGATGTTGAGGCTACCGTCGATGTATGGGGAGGATATCCAGGGGTAGGATTGGTTGTAGTATCTCGAGTCTTCTGAGATTGAACAATTGGTCCATCTCAGCCTCCAAAACAGCTCCCAGCTGCCAGTGGTATTGAACGTTCTGCCGATACCAGAGACACTGAAATAAGTGGTTTCGTTTGTTGAGTCGGACACATGGTCGGTCTGGCCAATAACTGTTTCATTTGGACGGCCTACTGGGTAATAGCCGTACTCGATGTATGTATTAACTTTATGGGCGACGGAAGGGGCTTGAACGGCGAATACAACCGGCATCAAAGGCATTGGCGCAAAGGTATCATTTCTTGGGAAAATCAGGTCCACCTCGGTGCGGTTGGACTCGGCTCTGACCCAAGAGACAAGCAGGAAGAGTGAAAGCCAGAATATTTGAGCCATACTGCTCTTGTAACGAAGCCGTGGGGCCTAAAGTGAATGGAACTGCTCACTAGAAAGGAGGCCAAGCAGTGACTGCTGATAGGAACAAGGGAATAGTAAAGTGCGCGAAAGGCAACATTTAAATTCACGCCATTTCGGTCTCTCAGTGAACTTGGGCCTTGGCTGTGATTTCTCCTAAGTTAGAGAGTCATGTTTTCGCCCCTGCAGGAGCTGGGTGGGGCGCCGGAAGGGTTCCGGCTTACAATAGCTTCATCTAGTGTTTTGGATCCCAGTGGGTTCGCTGTTGCTAGCGTCACTGCAAGAGCCCTTAGGCTCAAATAATCTTTCAGGGTCTACGGCTATCCGATATCTTTCACTGAGGCTATATTGGCTCCCAAAGGTATGCACCCCAAATGGCGAAACATCTCTACCTTGGCAAAGGCTCCACAGACGGGTGTACTTGATCAGTTCCACGCCTTGGATCGTACAACTAGTGCTTGTTGTGTGCGCAGTGGAGTTCAAATGCCGTATGGAACAATGTGGGGCAACATGTCCACAGCATCTCAGGATCACTAAAACTGTCCATGGGCGAGTAGCCGGGTTTTTGGACTGTGAAAAGGATCGAGTTAGGTGAAGGAAAGCTTCTTAGCGCGGCCAGTCGGTGATGCGCCGACAGTGCCAACACCAGAGTGGCTTGCAGCAGCTGGTATACTTCATGCAGTTATTCATGTAATCCTTCCTTCGGTTTGTGAATCGCTTCGAATGAATGTTCTCTGAGTCATTAGAGGCCTATTAATTTCAATGAATTCATAGTGTCTTAATGAATGCAATCCTATAGATGGATCGCGTATATGAATACCTTTGAACTGCTATTCACCTCTCCGTTGCTCGCTCTGTCTATGAAGTCCCCTCCTCCACGTCTTCTCCTTCTTTCCCCTCCATCATTTCCTTCTCCATCCCACCTTCCAGACATATCTTATTTCACTTTATCGCATTATCTCTTCTACTCGTCGTGCACTTGATTAGAGTTTATGAGTCTCCTCATACACTTGATGCTAGACTGTAAGATGCAAGCGAGTAGCCAAAAAGCGTCTCATGCATTAGCCGCAGGTACAAGCCATCATCTTTGTAGTCTTCACATATATATATATGGCCAATTTCATATATCCCCTCATTATTCTAGCATCAACCTCGTCTCGTCATAAGCAATACCTGGCAGAAGCAATTCCTTCCAATAGATGATATTCAATGCATACCCTACGATTGATAGTTACATCAATCAGACTATTGTCCCCGAACTCCAGCAAAGGTCCGATGATTATCCTTAGAAAAAATGGGGTGGGGGGGGGGGG